CTCTTGTTGTAAAGTGGCTCTAGATTCTAACACTTCTTGAAGAGTACGTTGCTGTGCTTCGTAGTCGTGTTGAAGTTTTTCATAGAGACGTGTAGTGTCGTTCGATGGACAGGTATCCTCCTGAAAGCCAGTGCTATCAACTTCCATATCTCTTTGAGTTTCATTATTTTGATGGTTCCGGAAAAGAGGGCCAATATCAGTAGTCTATGTCTCATTAGAAGTACTCCAAGTCTTCAAGAAAGAACTAACCTCCAATTGAAGGCGGCCGAATATGCATAGAAATAAGTCTTGCCGCACTAGACTGAGGTTGATGCTGCCCCATGTCTGACTGATATACAGATGCGCAAAGTATAGATTCTTCTTGTCTCTGACATGGTCTAGCTCGTATGGGCGCCCGCTCCGCCTTTCCACCTTAATGAAGTCGTCATGAGTCCCATGGTCATCATCATCATCATCATCATCATCATCTACGTTAGCTTCCGGGCGACTAGCAGCAACCACTTTCTCTACCAGTGCATTACTGAAATCGGCTGTCAAAGGATTTGCCTTGTGGAGGTAATCTAGAGCGAGCTGGGAACTAGAGTTGTCCTGTAAAAGTTCCTTGGCCCGAGGTGTTATGAATCCTCGTGATATAGCGAATTTTGCAAAGCATTGCCACACAACAGGGTTTGGGCCTCTTACCAAGGGCTTAGTTCCTTTGCACTCCATTCTAGGCGTGAACGCAGTCAAACCATCGAAGTGACGAGCACAGAATGCCCACAGCTCCACATACGATACGAACGCAGCTTGTTCTTTACTCAAGTTGGGCGTGAGCTCCATGTCTTTAGACCTCGAAACTTGTACAACGGTCTTAGCAGGAGCAAAATAGAACCCCTGTAAACTTTCTCGGATCGTTCGCTTGACCTTAACCCCAATGAGTTTTCTGAGTGCCTCACAAATCGGTTCGAGATATTTTAGTGTTTCAAAGAAAGTCCAGAGAGAAGGAATGAGGCCTTGGTGGTCGCAAATATTTGTCGCTAGCGTCCGTCTTAGGTTTTCATCGTGCTGAGATGAGAACAGCTCTCGCTGTTGCATCATAGCAAGGACCATATCTCGATCGATTGCTGAGTGTTTTGGAGCAAGTGATTCCAACTTCCCGACTGTGGCAGAATCTACAATTGAAGGTGCAAATGCTTCACTGCCACATTGCAGGATGCCATTCCAAGCTGCTGCAACATGGTGTAGATAAGCAATCATTTCCTGGGAGCGTCAGTGTCTTGTGTTTCTCGAGAGAAATCCTTACCTCATCGCATTTCAAAGCCAACAAGCGCTGAAGAGCCCCAAGTTGTACTTTAGCCCACAGACCTGGCATATCTATCAATGCGTCAAATGCTGCAGCTAGCTCTTTCTTTCTCAGGACCTGGCGCAGATCCCTCAATTTGGACTTGTCAAGACAAGCCCACCACCGATTCTCAGCCTCGTCATCTTTCTGCCTATGGTATAGTCTTATTTTTCTGAATATCTCTCCATCTGAAGGCTTCTGTTCGTTCGAGAACGATTCGACGATTCGAGTCAAATACGATTCTGGGGTGTCTTATAATTGCGTTAGCAAGGAAAAGGGGCGAGTAGAGGACGTCATGCCGGCAGAAAACAGTCTTACAATCCACCACTTGTCATTCTCATTCAGATGTCGCTTCGCTGCTTCGACGCGGTGTAAGCCTGAAAGACATCTGAGATGCCCCAAATCCAATGCCGGAGCATCGCGTGCCCATACAATCTGGCGAAGCTGCTCCGCCGTCTGAGCGCTGGAAGATAGAAGGGAGGGTAGTTCTTCGTCGTGGACAATCGCATTTATGACGTTCTCTTCCTGTAATCGTAGACATCCATTTCGTTCAAAGATGCGCTCAAGACGTTGAACGTTCTGTTCGGAGAGTTCTCTATGCTTGCTAAGTGCCAGTGGGTGATTAAAGTCTAAGCCATCTAGAGCAACTTTGACAACACCTCGATAGCAACTGGCTCTGAGCGTTGCTAGCTCGTTGTCAACGCCCACGCGGTCAGACATGAGGAGGAAAGCGATACGATTGCGCAAGAAGCTTCACTTACAGACGCGCCAGAGGAGTAGACTTGCATCAAACTACCGTCCTCGCTTATCTGTTCTCCGTATAATGCGTTGGTTACAAGTACCCGGTTTCTGTAAATGGGATTCGAACATTCGAGCCCGCAACTTAAGAGCTTGCCTATTTCCGTTCGTATCCCACATACGCACAATGGACACCTTTCCTTGGATAACTCTTCGCAAGAAAACTTTGACCTTACATGAACCGGTTGTCGGATCTTGTGACGCAATTTCGCAAGACAGTAAGCCATCATATGTTGTTCTTGTAGGGAAAAGGTCAAAGACCGTACTGCTTAACAAACTCCTTGGATGCACTAGCTCCTTGCCTGTGCACAGGGATGTCTACCTTCGATACTCACCAAAATTATGCGCCGATCGCACCCCGCTTGTCATCATTGATTCTGGTGTGCAAAGCCTGCGGCCGCCGGTATTTGACGACTCACAAACAGATGGTAAGAAGACGTCATGGACGCTACTCACTGAATGGAACAACTACAATGCGATGCTATGTGCGAAGGTCTTCTCGACTTTCTCCAGCGTCATTTGCTGCTTCGTGAATGATTTGGGCGGTCTAACGGCTGTTGCGGAATGGTTGGCCGAACAGATCAATGCTCCGAGAGTGTCCGATTCACCGACACTACCCCGCGTTCTGTTGGTTTTGCAAACGTCCTCAGATACTTTCGACGAGAGCATCGCTACACACAATGTGAATAGGCTGGTCAGGAAAGCTCTGAAGCGTAGCGGTCCAGTCTTGGCTCAGCGCGAGATTAGTCGCCACTTTGCCGGGCTTGAAGTGGTTGCTTTGCAATCTGCCAAATCCAACGCTGCGCAAGCGAAAGCATTGAAAACCCGTCTTTTTGCAATGTCAAAAGCATCAATGCAAGAGCGAGAGTCAGCTCATACGCAATTCAGTTTTCGTCATTTCTTGGACTTGTCGAAGCAAGTTTTGCATCTTGTGTGCAGCGATCCTGGAAAGCAGACTCTTTACCTTGCACGCGCATCACGACCTTGCGGCTTCTCAACGGATCTGTTGGAGCACTGCCTCACTGATTTTCTGGAGCAGATACCGTCGCAAGCATGGCTCTGGCATTTTGTAGCTCCTTTGATCGCGTCCGCGCTCATGCTAGCCAGCTATCCTCCTGGCGCTCATGGTGGGTCTCGAGCCTGAGCCTTGCAGCAGGAGCTTCGCTGACAGCAACAGATTTCGCGCCAGACTATCTTTTCAAGGAGCTGTACTTCGAACCCTGTCAAGCTGCTATATCCTCATACACTGCGAATAAGCAGATTCAAGATCAATTCTTGACGGCCGTCCTTAATGAATTCAGAGCTGTTTTCGCGCAACGCATCGACTTGGCCTTGCCTGCGGCGGAAATGCATCGCCAGACTCTGAGGAAGCACCATCCGCATCTGGCTGATCTAAAGAGTCATCGATCGTGTTTCTGTTGTTTTATGCGGATGCCTGAGAAAGTTCTTGCGTGTGGCCACGCTCTATCCGATTCATGTGTTAGAATCTTTGGAACCCGCTCCAGGACTGAGAAAAATTCGTATGAGCTGTCTGAATGTGTGTTGTGTGGTGTAAACTATCAGAATGCAGTGTTCCGCTTCGTTCCACCCACTGCTGGTATCCGAAGACTTAGTGTTGACGGTGGCGGCGTCAAAGGCATTATACCATTAATGTTCCTTCAACACATCAATACCTCACTCGCGCCATTCGGACTTCCAGTACAAGATTACTTCGACATAGTTTGCGGGACTTCGGCTGGTGCGTTTCAAGTTCCGGATTCGTAATGTTGCTGACATAGCAGGTGGCCTTGTCGTTATTGGCCTGTTTCTTCTACGATGGAGTGCTTCTGAATCTATGAAACGTTTCGAGGAGGTTGCAGAAAAAACTTTCGGCAAAAGGGCAACCTTTATCTCTAAGGTTCTGCGACTCCTCGTGGCCTACGTGCAAGATGGCCAATACAGTCTTGCGGCAATTCAAGGGGCTTTCCAAAAGGCACTCAACTCTCCGCTGCAGATGTTCAACCCCTTGCGGAACGACACCAAAGTGGCCGTCACTACCACCGCTGTCAAAGATTCCTCGCCATGGCTTTTCACAAACTACAATGCTGGTAAACGACCCAAGGGCTCAGGTCAGTGTTCATTACCCACTATTAGAATTCGTTCACTTAACTAATCTAGGCTATGACATTGCCCGTGCTGAGAAAGCTCGTGACGATATTAGCATTGGAGAAGCGTTAGTAATGAGATTGAGTGCCGTCCGTCTCTGTGCTAACATCTAACAGGGCATGCTGTACATCAGCAGCTCCGTGGTCTATATCCCAATTCCGGTTAGTGGAATTTGACTGACTGCGTAATAGGTTTTTCAAGCCCCAGGCGGTGGGTAAACTAGGGACATACCAGGACGGAGGTTTGCACCACAACTGCCCGTCAGATATGGCGCAATGGGAAACAAGATTTGTGTGGCCCTCTAAACCCGATGACCCAGATTTTGCGCTCTCTCTTGGCACCGGAACTTCGTCAGAAGAGGGCATTAGCTCCACTTCTCGATTTCTACTTCGTTTGTTAAACTGTTGGAAGCATGGGTTGAATGGTCAGAAGGGTTACGACCGATTCATTAATTCCGTTCCCCCAAAGTCTCGACCACGCTATCATCGCCTCAACATCCAATTTTCTGGGCCTGAGCCTAGCTTAGACGATGCACTCAAGATCCCAGAGATGAAAGAGCGTGTCACTAGAATGATAGAACTGGAAGAAGGTAGAATGACTGCTATTTTTGACGCGATCATCGCCTCCCTGTTTTACTTTGAGCTAGATGGACCTCCGAATCTGGAAGCCGGCGAATTTCAGTGCTCCGGTCATATCTACTGCCGGGCTGACTTGCGAGCTGACGGCCTCCGTTATCTGTACAAACAGCTACAAGACAAATCATCGTGGTTTTATATCCAAGGAAATCCCGTCAGATGTGTTGAGCACATACCAAGGAGTCTGCCACCATTTAAGAGACGGGTTTGTTTCCAAGTCAAGCTCGAAGATGAGCTCATCTCGATGTCAATTCGAGGAATCACAAGCACTTCACAATCTATAAGCGGGTTTCCTACAACTGTTCAGCACCTGATAAAAAGTCAAAGGCTTGATAGCGTTTTTGGAACAGTCGACCATTCTCTGAATGAGAAGCCGCTACCTGCAATACCGAGGAAGCGGAGCAGGAGTAATCAAGGAGGCCGATGTAATCCAAAGCGAACTTGCTCTAGCGTATACAGCACGTAGTCTAATAGCATCGTGTCCTTGCAAAGTTACCACGTCTTCGCAGTCAGCTGAGTAATCAGATTGTATTCAGCTGAAGCTCACCCGATGTAGGTATGAATAGTCGATCTACACATGACTGGAACATGCCTGCTGGTTTCAATCTCTTTTTACTAGTATCTGAATTCTGTTTCTTGTTCCCTGCAAACATGCCGGTGCATGCTCTCTTCCTGTACAGGTAACTTGTTCTCTGCATAGTGTGATTTCCTGTTTCTAGAACACGCCGGTGCCTGCCCTTCTCCTGTACAGGTAGCTTTAGTCCTGTTTTTCGTTCTCTGCATAGTGTAAATTCCCGGTTCTAAAACACGCCGGCGCCTGCCCTTCTCCTGTACAGGTAGCTTTAGTCCTGTTTTTCGTTCTCTGTGTAGTTTGAATTGCCTGTTTCTAGAACATGCCGGTGCCTGCCCTCCTCCTGTACAGGTAGCTTTAGTCCTGTTTTTCGTTCTCTGCGTAGTGTGATTGCCTGTTTCTAGAGCATATCTGTACAGGTAGCTTTAGTCCTGTTTCTAGTTCCCTGTGTAGTGTAGATACCTGTAGAGGACGCGCCAGAACTAGTCTTAATATACAATTCCTGTATAGGTAAAAGCAAACATTGTTTAATTTTCAAAAGATAATGGAAGTCACTGATAGCTACAATAAATGATAAAGTAGGACTATCGGGTCGATGAAATACTGCGCTGCGTTGCTATCTAGCTAGGAGAAGACGATATTTACTGACCTTGAAACGTGCTAGTCCAGAACACTCTGTCACGGTTTGGGACCTCTCCTTAGTAATGCCCTGTTGCACCTCACCTCACAGTGGGAGGCTCCAACAGTCTCGTACGTACCGATTGATATATTATATTCAATCACAAATTAATGGCGCTTAACTGATACACTGATATTTATATTCTGAGATACACAATCTTGAACGGTATCATGGCCGTCGCTTCTTCGAAGGGCGATAATCACCATCACTTGTATCGCCATCATCTATGATGCTGCCGGTTTCCTTAACTATGTTCTTGTCCTCCATGCATTTCAGAACCGGAAGCATGGAGTTGGCTTTGCACCCCGGCCGCACCCATTGAACTTCCTGTCTCTTGCGAAAATTGCGTTTACTGGGTTGAGCATTCTTACATTTAGCCATAATGCGAGCTTGTCCATCGATCGCTGATTTTGCCTCTGGTTCTGACATTTCGTCCTCTGTGTCATCGATTACGATGGGTTGCCCATCGTTTGTGTCTGTAATGATGGAATTCGATGCTTCTCGGGTCGTAGCTCGAGAGTCATCAGCCGTTGAAGTCTGACGCCTGGAGCCCCTTATTTCATTCCCTTTGTCTGGCTGGATTGGCTCATAGTAATATGGTGCCTTCGGGGCTGTAGGGCTGATGTCGAGGGCTTTGACCTGCGATAGGCCCAGTGTTGGTGCCTTCGGGGCTGTAGGGCTGATGTCGAGGGCTTTGACCTGCGATAGGCCCAGTGTTGGTGCCTTCGGGGCAGTAGGGCTGGTGATGCGGGCTTCGGCCTGCGGTTGTGCTGCAGACCTGGGTGCCTCCTGCACAGAATTGAGGACCGGCATCCCATGCCAGTGTTCAGGAAAAATGTCGCTGCCCCAGATCTCACAGTTGACCAGTAAGCTGAAGTCAAGCAGTTCATTCATATCGTAGTCCATAGTGTGTAGAGTTGTTGTCAGTCCTGGTGGGGTGGTGTCGAGCCTTTTATGGTTGAAAAATCGCGCTGCGGTCACCTACACAACAGGTATCCGATTCGTTATGATATCAGCTCAGCCCGTTTCCAAGGCTTTCTTTGCATACACGAGGCAGAAACCAATCATAGGAGTGAAACATTTGCCGCCATGGTGAAGGTCAAGGGAGGCGAAGGTCAAGGGGAGGCGAGTGTCTCGCCCAGCATCATGGACATGCTCTGCCACCGCCATCATCGTCGCTTTTCCCGACAGAGACGACGTCCCACACAGGTCATTGGCTCACAACGCGGAGAGGAGGCACTTGCATAAAGTTAAGATATATCGTGTCATCATACGGCGGCAACTGTGTCATGCTGTGGGCTTTAGATAGCGGACGATGCGGCACCTCGTCCTCTCGCATAATGCCGAGATGCACTGTGCCACGAATGCATACGTGACTGCGGACGTATGGCGGCATTTGGGTCATACCGTCGACTTCAACTCGCCAGTGATAACAGCATCAACTCCCTACGCATGAAGCCAAGCTGCACTTCGCCATCGATGGACGCGCGGTTGGACGCAACAGCGGCATGGCTGTGGTATGCGTTGAGATCGGTTGGTCGTCAAGATAGGAGGACGAGAATAGCACCATCCTGTTTCCACTTCGACGGGGTTTGACAAGCATGGAAGTGCTAAAAGCGGACACTCCGGTGGGGCTTGTACTGCTACTGACATCAGACAGAGTTTCAAGCTCCATAGAACGGCATACAAGATGAACCGAACGCCGACCAGACTGGGTTGTAGTAGGCATATATAAAGCGGCCAGCCGTCTGAAGTGATGGATCAACCAGCACATATGAGTTCTCTCCCCACGGGACCAAATTCTTCTCCGCAAACTCTCGACACGTATGTCTTTATGGATCCGAATACTGTTACATATGCTAACACTCATCAGCGCTGCCCCTCTCTTTTGCTTTATCTTTGTCTACACGGACAAGCCTGAAGATGGAGGAATCATCGTTGATGTCAGCGGCATCTCCCAGAACTACTCGGTCCGTGGCCAGAAGACTACAAGAAAGCAAGAACAATCCGATGGTACCGTTTCGATTTCTGGACCTCCCAGCAGGTGTGTAAGGCAGAGCCACATCAAGAAACTTCAACTGATTGAATTTCATAGACATTCGTAACGCCGTATACGAGTTCGGCCTGGAGACTACACCGATCAAAATGAACATTCGTCGCAGAGGAAGCGGACTCCGCAGCCCCATACGTCGCAAAGGAAGCACACTCCGCAGCCTCACACAAGTTTCTCGGCAACTGCGTGCAGAGTTTTACCCTTTATATATGAGGAACGAATTCATACTCAGGCCGTCCCAGGTGCAGAAGTTCTTCAACGATGTCGTTTCACCGACGGACTTGAAGAAGACCATTACAATCGTGGTTGACACCAATGGTTGCGGCATGAATACTGTCGACATATTGCCAATCCTTTTATCGACAGTATGCCAAGAAGAGATTCAATTTCAGTTCCGGTGCCCCCCTCACCAAGCCCGGTTAGAAGAAACCCTAAACAAAGCAATCCAGCAAAGATCGAAGTGGCAGACGTTGATTTTTAGAGCGAAGCACATATACATATCCTTGAATGGTCTACGCATAGACTTCTATAACAGAGGATTGGTGGTTTGGGAGGAAGGAATGGGTTGGGAGGAAGGAATAGACACCGCTCCTAACAAGTTTTGGGGCGATCTGGGCTTCGAAGTGCAAGAGACACACTGTTACGATCGCCTGGAACTTCAGTTGCCCGAAGAACTCACTCTGCCAGACTCGTAAGTCGAAAAGAGCGAGTCTGTCGAGCTGGAGAACATACCGATGTAGCTGTAGACTTTTTCCTTGCAAATCTTGTCAAAGCGGCCGCGTATTCTGTGCATCAAACCAATACTATCTGTCACGGTTTAGAGTGCTACTGTCTGTCGTACCTCACCTAGCTACGTGAGGAGAAGTCGACTATATACTGGCCCTGGAACGTGCTAGTCCAGAACAGTCTATACCAGGGTAATAGGGTCTCAACCGATACCACAATATTAAACACACAGAATAGTTCAATACAACCTCAATCCTTCAATCCTTCCTATTTGCGTACTGTCCACGCTCCCCGATACTATCTCTTTCCGTGGGTGATGGGAACGTGGTAAAGTCTGCGCAGTTTAGCCTTGTTTACGGTACGGTACCCAATGCGTCAAGCTTGCTGCAACCCCTCACCTCAACCTTACACCATCAACCAAAAGGTTTGCGACCAACGCAGCTTGCAGTAATACAGCTAATGCATCTAGCAAATTATCTATCGCGTCCCATCTCCGCATCGCTGGCCCTCTGCCGATGGAGATCGCGCGTCCGACCGTCAAACACAGAAGGATAATTGGTGGTGGAAGATTGAATATGCTCAGGAGTCCCTCAACTAGACGCGCAAGGCAGTCTTGTCAATGGACCCTGCTTTCCCAGACCGATGACAACGATAGGCCGCTGCCCGGTCTTGTTCCCCTATCCGCCTTACGAGCGAGCCCAAAGTCGCTTCGCATTTAGCTTAGCATCAATGGAGATCGCCTGCGTGGTTGTTATCATCTTGGGTGAAGCCCTACTGATATCGCAGAAGGATCATGATATACACCTTGAGCGGATCGAGACTATAAGCGCGTTCATGAAATACCGAAGTACCACAAGCACTCTCACACCAGAGGATGTTCAGCCAACAAGGTCTCCCGCCGCACAACCGTTCCCGGCTCCTTGACACGATGCTTCCAGCTCCGTCAAGACCTGAAGTATTTGAACCATCACCGAAGTGATGGTGTAAGACCTGCCTTGGCGTTGCGTTCTAACCCGCCAGGAGCCAGGACGTCCCCTTCGATAACGAAGGAACAGATGTGTGGGAATCACTCCGAGATCTAAAAAGACCGCCGTGACAGCACGCTGGAAACCCGAAGGAGACCAGAGGTTTCAAAAGTAGTATATATAGTCCAGAAGATCACCGGTTTGGCAACCAATTCAGCGAACTTCGCGCGGCAGGAAGGGGTTTCCTGAAGCGCAGCCAACAAAGTCGAATCAGCTTGTGCATATATGCTTGGAAGGCTCCAGCACGCCTATCCTCATCGCCCCCAACCATTTCACACTCTGCCCGAGTAGTAATGGAGCGCCTGGCAGGTATCGGATGAACGACTCTGCTAGCATCTGCCCTCGCGTAACGAACTCTACCCCCCACAAGTGCTCCGAAGATGCACGCACGAGTGACGGATTGCTTTGCAACAACCCGGATTTCGAACCAACACATGGTGCAACATGTCACTGCGCCTCAATCGCAGTGGCGGCCTAGCCATAGAGACAGGTACCGTCTTTCCAACATCGCGCATGCATTCATATCAGCGTATTGAGGTACGCCCCCATCCGCAGACAGGTTTCTCACAAGGTATGGGCGTTCTGGCTTCACCAAGGCTTCACAAGAACCACCGCTTTCTCCGGGTTACATGGGAGGGATGATCAGTCCCAACTTGAAACCACAGAGCAGCTGACATGCTTCGAGCTCCACTCTAGATCCACCAGCCGGCCCAAGTCTCGACATCTCTCGCAGGTGCCCCCACAAGCGACGCCTCAATCCCCGCTCCCGAAACCAAGAGTACCCAACGCTGGAGGGTGTCTCCTCAGCAAGCAATGGTGTATCCAGCAACGGTAATCGCGGTACCTGAAAGCTCGAGCGGGGTTCAACTCGAACCCACACGTATCCCCTCTAAGGCTAACCGGCGGATCAAAGTCCAACACCCAGTGCGCCTGGGCTGGTTGTTTAAGCCGTGAGATATGACTTGGACGCGCCAGAGGCAACGCCGTCGCTGAGTGAACTCGTCAGGACACTAGCAACTGATACGTGTGGGGGTTGTGCGATAGGCCTTCCAATGGTTCTGGGTATAATCTGACACGACACGCGGGGCACTACTCGCCGCATGCGCCAAAGGAGAACACCCAGAGTATTCCGAATCTGGGTCCTGCCGACCAGAGTTGACATAGCCAAACAAGACCGCAAAAGATAAGGAATGCAAGTATGATACCATGTGCCGAAGCACGAGATCCAAGCCCATGGGGGCGTTGCCCGGAGTAGAAGACGAAGTCGACCACCCTAGCTACTGCCCTGCCATCAAAGGCACCCAGCTACTTGTTGTGCTTTGTTAACCCAGGTAGCATCTGGTGCTGCCCCCAGGTGTGTCCAAGTTGATGGTGTGTCGATGTCGAACGTTGTCCTGGTGTAGTCAGCCGTGGTCGATGGCACTCAGCATGAATCGCAGTCTGGTGATGACCCAACCTAACACCTGCACTCAGCGACATCTCGCGGCGGACGATGCGTACTTCCCAGCAGTCGCAGATCGGGTGCGATCAAAGCGGCAGGCGTGTGAGTCGAAAGTTCTGAAGCTCGTCGTCTCGGGCGAGTGTATTTCCCAGCGAATGAGGTGTGGCAACGGTGAAGTCATAAGTGTGGCCTCGAGAATCTGCGCGTAGTCAGCGGAGCTCATCAAATTGGATCAGGTATACTTCCCAGCGGCGACTGTGGACAAATCTCACACCAAACCAACCTTGCAGGTCTCGCTCCGCGTCTGCTACAGTTTCTGGGTCGCGACAGCTTCAGATCACAGCGGTACCCTCGACCGGAGTTGAAGCTCCACGCAGGCTTCGGCAGCGCGGTTGGCGATCGCAGACGTAGTGGTTGTGGTGCAGAGGGGGAAATATTTGCTGCTGCAAAGCTCTGTTATTTAGGTGGCTGCAAGCGTCTAGGGTAATTGCAGAGTTGTCTTCACCTTCACGGTGACCTGCCCTCCTTCACCTTCACGGTGACCTGCCCCGTCTCCATGGACGAGCTGGGAAACAAACACGCCATTGGCCAATCAACGTGTGGCTCAGGCACTGTGCCACTAGACTAGGTGGCTAGGACGCACGTGCCGCACTCATGATATGAGGCTGAACATCACAGCGGTATGGGCACCAACGACAGAGGTATGGGACGAGTGTCATGAGGCGCCAAACGCCCTTGCTTCATTGAATAACCTTACACAGAAAACCCCCTCTGCGGATATCTCCCCTCTGCGGATATCCTTGTAGCTTCTGGCAACCTTCCGTGAGCAGGTGCTGACGCACCTCCGACATTTGAACATGTCAACAATTATGTGGTCTTGCAATGCCTCGATCAGCGAACCGCGTTCTTCCCTCAGCAGGCAATGACGCTTCTCAGTCCTGATATCCTCTGCGACTCCCTCTGCCTTCCGCTTCCTGCGCCGCTCCTTCTGCAACGCGTACACAAATCGTGACATATTTTCAATGTATATTCTGAACGTGTAATTTACCGTGCGCTGTCTAGTTTATCCAATTGTTGAGTTTTCGCCTATGCGTTTTTCGGGAAATGTATCCGTTCTGTGCGGGTAAAAAAATCCGCACCTTGAATGCGTTTGATCCCTCCAGGAACGAGAGGCAGGCGCGCAAAACCCTCCACTGCGAAGCGGTCAAGCTCCTGTATTCAGAATCCTGTTAACTGCAAGCGCCTGCTGTGCCACCAATACACGCCCACGTTACCCGCGCCTCCACCTGGCATCTCGTGTTGGGTGGGTCAGCAGATGCTAAAACTGATAACAGAAAGCTGCACCGCACCAGCAAACTGCTTGCCGAGTCTGATCTATCCCTCAGCATCTTTATTTGCTGCTGGGATAATCTAAGCCGGCCTTATGTCACTTCTATCTGATCTTGCAAAACGTCCTTCAACACCACACTAGGACCTGAGCCCATCCTTCCTTGCTCACAATATTCCTTTCAACCAATGGCTACCTCCTCCTCTTCTTCCCCTTCCTCTCCTTCTTCCCCTTCTTTCCCATCCCCGCCCGCATATTCAGCGCATTCATCTTCGAGTCCACTCTGGAAAATCAAGAATGCTAAGTACCGGTCCACTTTGAAGGAGGGCCAGCCGAGTATAAAAGATCTCCAGAACCACCTTGAATACATCAGAGATCCGCACTTTACAAGCGCAGTCAGTGGTTAGAGCATTTGAACCAGACGACTTCTAATGTCTCCTCGCAGTACGGTCCAGATCACATATCACCAACCTGTGAGCTACCACAGCTCATTGAAATACAGTATAGTCAGGTGTTCTGTCACCTTAACGAGCTCTTGAACAAAGTTCAGGACTGCATCGGCGAGATGAGCCCGCTCCAAGAAGAGGACCTGCTGTTCCTTCTGCTTCGTCGTTTTGCGGATTCCTCCGATGCGACCGTATATGCAGAGATCAGACGTTCGGATGATGTCCAAGTCTACGATTCTACTATCAAGGAACCGCTAGTAAGTCGGCCGAACATTTACATCGCAACAGTGTTGACGTAGAATTGCAGGAATCGATGATACTGGAAGGCTCTCTGAGCTATGATACCAGTGTCATCCATGCCGACCTCAATATGAACTACTCGAACCCCCAGGAAGAGGATTCATCAGACGAGACAGCCTACACTCTCCTGCCCCAGACACCTTCAGAAGTAGACACCACTTGTACGGTGACAGTCAACTTCCCCGCAACGGTGTCTATCGATCCACCAGATAGCTCAGGCTTGCCTCCAGGTAATCCACCGGAGTACTCAAGCTTAGAGTGGACAGAGATCCGGCCAGAGCACGACTGGGCTCAATTGCCATCCAAGCTCCAACCTCCGAGCTTTCGCATACATCGATGTCACCATAGAGGAGTGGAGCGTGGTGGTGAAGACGATGCTTTTGAGCTACCTCTGGGGTTTCCTGAAATAGTGCAGCATATGGAAGAAGCTTGCAACGACGTGTGTAGCGCCCAATGTGATTTCACCGCAAGCTGATTAAAATAGGTCACCAACGCTACGTTTCGAATCCACGATCAGTCAAGGCAGTCCCTGCCTTTAGGAGGTACACAGAGCTTTGAGTGCGATTTGTTCGCCACAATCCCTTCGTTGTACATCACAGTGAAGCGGGATGAAATTTTTTTGGTGTACGAGTGTTTCAGGAACAGAGAGGTAGGATATTTTCTCAGATTGTTTTGCTTGAAGCTGACAGCCACTTAGGACTGGATTTCATCCCACAACGGTCATGAGGAGTGTTCTGGATGTTAAAGCTCTAGCTAACTTACATTCGTAATTTAGATTCAACTGACTGTTGTACACTTAAAATGCTATAATCTGCCACAATGCAAAGAGCTGATTCGTACTGGCGCTAAAGTTGCGTGCATGTTTCGTGATTGCTGGAGTGTGTTTCTCGAAGCTCAAATTCGGATGACAGGAAACAGTTTCCAGTTTCCATCAACACACCTGGTGGGCTACTTATATATCTCCAGTCCCCTCTTCCTATTCCAAGCGAAACATCGTCTACCAAATCAATCTTTCACATCAACCAGGCCATGTCTACTACGCCGCCTCATCTTCTCTTTTGCCAATCGGCCAGTAGCGACGCTTCAGAGCCAGTCGAACTTGCTTACTCGCCAACGTGGTCTGCGCACCTGCAAGACTCAGCCAACTTCATGAGTCAGCCAGAGCCGAACATATATCTTCAGCTATCCCAGGTCCTTGAGTGGGAGATATGGACACACAGCCAGACCCGTGCTAAGCTCACAAGCGAGTGTATGCGATCTGCTGAGCTTGCGGCCCAGGTGAACAGACTCTCTTACGAGCTCGCGCTTTTGAAAGAGTCGTGCCAGACGCCGCAGCATGAAAACAGAAGGTCTTCAGCTGCCCTTGATGGCAATCCTAGACAGGAGCGCAAGGTCTGAGCTATCTAATATCCTCTAGAAAAGATGCTGACATATGATAGACACCAGAGCCATGGCCTTCTGAGCCAAGTCAACTGGACAAAGGCGTCGATGTGATGGCGGGAGCTGGGACAAACAGTGGATGGTGTTACAGCAGAGGCGCAAATGCATGAGTGCGAGAATCGTTGATAGGTAGACTGCTTAGTTATTCCATGCATGTTTGACTTTTCCGATTGCCAACCCCATGATTGTCTGTTGATACATCACGTCAACCATATTAACAGACACTCCACTAAGTTAGGTTATAGGTTGATTCCGTTCGTGAACGCTACAGTAAATCAGGAAGCTTAAACTGCTGTTCCAGACGTTTCGTGTGCCTCAGCCCTAGGACCATCGGTTTTTGATCTTCCCTGTCGACGTCGACGTCGGCGACTTTGACAAAACATGAAAGCTACTGGTGACATTACTAATATGATGATTATCACCACAACCCCGGCCAGCAGTGATCCACTCAATACCCCCTGGTTAGGGCTTCTCGTGAAGGCTGGCTTTGGTATCGCGGAGACCAACCTTCCTGCCAGCTTGAGCTTCTTCAAACGAACAATTAAAATCACTTTCCTGCCTCTTAATGCAAACCGCTTACCATTATAAATAGCAGTTTTTTGATTGCTCAACTTGATTATGCGAGGTTGAATGTGTATACTCCTGCAGAATAGTGGTTAGGATTAGGTCTCGTAAGGTAACTAGGGAAGAATTATGCAGACTGACTCGTATGGCGGTGGGTCCCCTGCAGGCGACGACCGCTTCTTGGATTTCGCTGGATGTCTGATAAAGAAACAGCTTAAAATGATACAACACATTGCGACAGCCTTAACAAAGGTATGGTGAAAGCTATTTATACTGTAGGAATGATGCAGGCTGTGCCTTTAGTGACCCACAGGCGTTGCAATGCTGTGAACCGTCCTTAGTGTTCAATCTAACACGAACCTGGTTCTAGTAAAAGTTTCTTGAGCAGGTCTACGTTTACGGTTTTCAACATGGGCGGCAATCGGCGCACTATCGGTACCGGTACCGGTAGGCCTTCCGACTGCGCCAAGCTCGCCTGAGTGTACCCAATCATATCACATCTTGTCGGAATTCCTGCGATACAAGGGGTAGAGCATAGGACTTTAAAGCGTGGATACAGACTTGGCAAAGAATTTACCGACGAATTTACATTCTCAACATGACCAGGAGCGCCTTTGTGTACCAGTCTATGCGTATGTTGTGCGCTACTCCGGACTTTGGGGCCCAGCTGTTCGAACTCCTCACCCCTTTGGACCTAAGCGCCTTGCTATATGCGTTCAATATCCCTACCACCAAGAAGCAGTCCCGGAGATATATGCAATTCTGGAGGCAAATATTTACAGACAAAGGCTGGATGCTATGGATACTCTCGCACGGGTTCAAGGTATCCTTTGTGGGCAACGACCTAATAACGATGATGAATTGGGTTAGAAACCCAGGACTGATGAACGCTGGGAGGAGAAAGCTGTACTTGGACCTGAACTTGGTCAGCTGCGTTGCGTCATGGAAGTACGCGCTCCTGTCTGATAAGAACTTCGAGTACGTTGTCAAGGAGAAGAACAAGCACTTTAATGAATTTGCGAGGAACGACAACTTCAATCAGGCATTGCAGTCAGGGATCGACGCCAGGTACTCCGAGCTCATTATGGGCAAAGACCTCTCCGAAGACCGTACTATGCCCTTCGCCTGGCTCGACCTCACGGTTATTAGCACAATCAAGCACGAGGAGTTCAACGAGTCATACTACGAGTGGACAAATGTTGATTCTAGCATGTCAGTTGGACTGTGGTACGGAGAGAAGAGTATGCAGAAATGGCGCTTTCCCCGCAGGTCAGGAAGCTCGGCGGATATGGACGCAGGTGTGGTGTTGAAGATGGACAACGCCTCAAGCATGAACATGCCGATGAACATCAGCTTGCCAAAGTTCTGGTGTATCACAAAAGTTGTGAGCAAAAACTCGTTCACCGGCGCGTAACTCTTTCAGCAGCAACGCTTGTTCGATTGTACGGAGATGTTCAGAGCGAGAGACCAGTATCTTATTGTGTAGATGAACGATGATCACACTTGTGGACACGACTTTTATGTATGTAAAGTCCGTCCAAGCGTGCCGGGACGCACGGTGTAACGGAACAGATTTGCACTTCGGAGCTTTGCCAACTTTTGTTTGCAGATGTATAACTTAGACAGTTAGTTGATGCACGAACGTTCTGCAGCCCTTTCTCCATGAGCGTACCAGCTTCCGACGAGGGCTACCATGATGGCGGCTGATTAAGATTTTGTCTCTGAGCTGTGAAAGCTGCTTCAATGTAAGAAGTCAAGCGCGAAAAGCGTCCCAATCTGTCGGATGCACTAGCATATCTTGGCATGTGGCACCGCGCAGTAGCTATTGCAACAAATTCGGCACTATGCCCATGGTAGACTACTCTCTAACGCTTCCTGGAAGCGTCTATTGCTTGGCAACCCTCTGCATCCCAAAAAGCCGAACGGCCTGACCTGCGTGATTGGTGCTGAGCTACTAACAAACAAGGTCTGGCGCTTGCTTGTGCAGATGTGACGTCAAGTCGCAGTCCGCATTCCAAGTCAGTTACACACCGTGTCACGTTTTCGCGATTGATAATTGACAGGGCGGCCACCCGTCCTTAGTCGATTCTGAATCCGCTACTCTACCTTCGATTCCGAAATGTCCTTCCTCGGCACTCCACGATTCTGCAATCTGTGCCATTTTCCTATTCAGGCCGGTGAACACATTCAATCAGGTACGCATGCTGTTTTGCGAAGTTGGCATTTTTGACTCATTGCGCGTAGTCACTCATCCTGCTAAGTCTCCGGAAGACAGCCCAACCGACGGCGTGATACCATCTCAATCATTCCAATTTCATCAGTTCTGTGTCGACATTTGTTCTGCCTTCGGGGAAGCTCGATCGCTGGGCGAGCTCGGCCAAGCTCTGAGGCCCGCTCTCCCAGTGGATGAGCCCCCTAGCCTGGAACATGCCCTCCGGATTCTCAAGCATTCTTGTTGCCCGCAAATCTTATCGTCGAAAGTTAAAAATCCCTGCAATAGCCAACAAAACTGCGACTGCTTGAAATGCATATTCAGGTATCTCTCTAAGTTGCCGCCAGAGGTGTTTACCGAGATCATTTTTATGGCTGAGCCAAGCAACATTCCAAGATTGCTCACGATCTTTGGCGAGACATCGAAACTCTTTTCGGAGCTCAAGAACAGACCGGCTCGCCATATTACTCTATCGTGCCAAGGCGATGTCTTCCAAACTTCCATCGAGTACGGCGACAAATCGTATGTCACTGGACTTTATGATCAGGAGGTCCCTCACTCGAAAAAGATCAAGTCAAGAGATACATTATGTGATCATCTGGCCGTATGGTCAGACAAAATCGGTGTCATCAAAGCTGAATTCCTGCGTTCCAAAGTCTCCACTTCTGGGCACGAAGTCAAATGGATCAAGGACGACCGGCCACCAATCGATCATACACCTATCAGATGCCGAAACTGTTTGAACTTGAACGTGAAGCATCCTCTCACTACACGATCGAAACGCGAGTGGGTATATACTATCGCTATCACCGAGGCTCGTGTGTGTCTAAGATCAAAGGTATTTGCTCATTTTAAAAAGTGGTGCACGCTTCTAACGATATTGTAGGGCGTTTTCGTCGAAAGAATTTCGTCCTCACTCCTTAGCCAGTGTCAAATTTTTTGGGATTGCTCAAAATCATCAATGCTGCTCCCTCGAAATTGTCAAGAGGAGGTTTCTCTTGCGACACCACACACAGATCTTCTTCTTCGATACGTTCCTCTGCAAAAAGCGTCTGCCATTTCGTTCGCATTCACTTCTGGAAGAATCATTGCCATGACGTCCCATCAACGCGAAAATCAACAAAGTTGCTTCTACGATGAAGCTGACAGCGACACTCTTTGCATGTATTGTCCGTTGTCAAATGCAGAGAAGATCGAAGCAATTTGGGTTGTCCGCCATAAGAACAAAACTATCGACATGGGAGTACGTTCACTAATCGTAAGTTGAAATTTGTTTTGTGGTGAAGTATCAGATTCATGAAAGAAGCAGGTGAAGACTCAAATGAAGAGTATCTGGCTGGGCCACTACATCTCACCCCAAATGCAATCTGGATTACAATTAGAGCTGATTGCAGATGAATCTGTAAGTGCACTCTACTACAGTGACCCTCGGTTACCTTGCTCTATTGTGGGCGCCCAGCCACATTATCATGCGGCGTCGTCGAACCATCTGATTCCGCCCCATTTTCCAGCCTATCGAACACCATTCCCTGGTTTTGTCACATATGTATACAATATGTATTACTCGGAAGCTCCTCTGGAAGGATTAGTTAAGGTCCAAGTGTGCATGAATGGCGGCTACTGTCTCGGCATTTTGCTCGACTACGGCAGTCACAGCAGGACAGTAGGCGAATACAGATACGACAGGGAAATATCGGATGCTTACGAACCCCATTGTATCGGACTGCTACAAGAAAAGCATGTATCAAATCCTCGAATTTGTCTCCGAGTTCTCGACGGAAAATCAGCTCAGAGTGAGACTAAGGACCCGAGTTTGCGGTTGACGCAGGGCATCATAGTTTGGTGGCACAGCAAAGATGTTTCTGTCGTTAGTGTTCTTCCTTTTGACACGGCTGTCCGTAGCGACGCAATATAACGTTTCATAAAGTCACGTGCGACATGAGATGTGAATGTTGCACATGCTACTTTTGATGACATAAATGCGGTCAATCTTGGTACGTATCAGGCCATCAATAAGTACAATCTTGAAATCGAATGGCACAGGCGCCTCAAGAATAATGATCCGTCCAAGTACCATTCTGATAGTATCTTTTCCTACCACTTCCGTCATTCACATCATACCAGCCATCAGGAGTGGCTGATGAGCTCGCGATTGGCTTGCTGATTGCCGCCTTTATTGCCGAGAACACATCACTCAACGCACCAGCTTGCGGCGAGTTGGCGTCAATATAACCCTGCGTGAGCGGAAAGTATCTGTTCTTCGCGGTGTACTGGAGGATTTGGGCTTTAGTCCCTACAATCGCAATCCCCCAAACGTCGTCTTTGGTGAATCTGGCGCACGCCTCACAAGCTTGTTGGAGCTGGCTTTCAACCTCGTCGACGGAACCTCTGGCTTTTTTGATCTCGCAGATGGCGATAATTTGTAGCTTTTGAAACTGATTGAAGACAGAGATATGGAAATCGACTCGTCTGAGAGCATCTTCGGCAAGTGGAGTCGGAGGGCTCTCTGTTGCAATGACAAAGTCATCTTCCGGGAAAAACTTCGTTCGTATAAGGTGTGTCCAAAATGTCTTGGAGTGATGCTCGTGGGCTCTCGGTTCCAGTATGTTGTTGTATAAATAGACAAGAGTAGGCGTAGTAAGAAGACTCATTGCGATGAGCAAGACCACTAAGTGGAACGGGGCAATTGTTTTGCTTGGCTTGCAAAGACAGAAGATTTGCAACGAGACTTGTACAGTGACTATTTAATCATAATCCAGACCCAGGAGGCACGAAATATTGGTCCTTCTACTGTCAGCACGGTGTCAGCACGGACCTACGCCGAGGGGCGCCAAAGGCCTCAAAGGATTACATCCAAGTCGCCTACAAACCGCCCCATCCCGAAGCTGAGCAATTCGTGGTACAGGCATTGGCTGAGCGATCTCCATCCGCTGTATCGACACCGAAGCAGCCACACTGCGGCCAGTGTGAGCACTGTTATGCGTCTGCCGGTTTCCCCGCAAGCGCCGGTGTGTAATTGGCTTGGAAAGCGGACTGCGACTTGACCTTGTTTGTTAGTAGCTCAGCACCAATCACGCAGGTCAGGCCGTTCGGCTTTTTGGGATGCAGAGGATTGCCAAGCAATAGACGCTTCCAGGAAGCGTTAGAGAGTAACCTCCCTCCCTAAGCGACGAACAACCCAGTGGCATAGTATAAGCATTCTGTTTTCCGTTATCTAATTACCCGGTCTGATGATCTGGTTGCTCAAGGATCGACTCTTCTAAGCGCCCATCCCACGCACTCGCTGCGCCACGCTCAATCCTTGCCGTTGTCGCTATCAGGTGTTTTGCGTTTCCGTGTAATCCTGCGTGGACCAAACGGAGGGATGCCGTGAACCTCAGTTGCATGGTTCCAGAACTCAGACTCTGAGGTTAACTCATCTTCACAGAGCGGGTGAGGGCATACTTTGGGAGCATTCTCTTGAGTCAAATGGCCCTTGATGTGTTCATGCAACGTAAAAACGTCGCCGAATTGCGCAAAGCGTACTGCCAGCGGCGCATTAGTCCCAAGGCAGAACATGCAGTGCGCAGCAACTACCACAACTCCACACTCTTTGATTAAACCGCAATAATCGTTTAGTGCTTTAAGGTGTTTGGTTTGTAGGTGTGCGTTCCACATCTGGTCAGAACGACACCATACGTCGTGCTCATAGCAATAGTGCATCTTCGTAAGTGTTGTCCACTCGTTGGGGACACGATGCTCCTCTGAGACGTGATATGCAAGGCCCTCGTAACTGTTGAACACCTCGTAACAGCCATCCCACAGGCATTGGTGTGACCTTGATTGCTGAAGGTGGTTGGTTACATGGAGAGAATATGACCCGCATGTCTTACTGTTGAAACGATAGTAGCAGTCGTTCCAGAGACACGTATGAATTAGCGAGAATTGTGCCGTCATATGTGCTCGCTCTTCTTTGATGCGCCGTTGGCGTGCGCACTGGAGCAAATGATGGTGAGCACGATCTAAGCGAAGCCTGAGAAACATAAGCAGGAGCTGTACGAAGCAGAGACATACATACGTGGTCAACTCCTTGTTGCAATCACCACAGCAGTTTTGCTCCGTTGGCTCTGCATTTTTGTATGCGTAGCGCTTCCTTTGAGATCTGGCCAGGCTAATCAGAGGCTTAAGAACTTCTGTGAGTGAAGTTACAGCCGCGAGCTTGTCAGTAGCGTCGTCATTGCGGAACATGAGATCCAGCACAGCCTTGCGCTCAGGTTCGAACTTGAGTAATGCTAGGAGGTAACGGGACGGTTCGCGGGATGGGATTGTAGATATGGTTGCCGTTGCCCTAACAACTTTGCCTTTCCCTTCGAGGTATTCAGAGCGGCCTTTCCAATACGCCTTCTCGCGTAATTGTCGTCGAAGTTTTTGTTCCTGTCTCGCAGAGAGCTGAATGGTTGATACCACTTCAGCATTTTCTTCTCCCTTCTCTTTCAATTTTTGCGTTGCTATCTCATGCGGTGGTTCTGTAAGTATTGATCCTGGTGGCTTAGGCGCAAGCAGATTTCGATTTGCCATCATAGAGCTAGACTCCTTGTACAAGTCAAGGCACTGCTCGCGTTCGTGGATAATCGATTGACTGTCAATGCCGATGAACCCTGATACGTAGTACTGGGCTGTATCTTCATATTTGTGCCCCATCAAGGTTCTTCGCTGTGTCGCAGTGGCTTGACCTAAGCACATATTAGCTTTGCTTCACAAATTTGCGTATTCAACTCGCCCTCAACAGCATGCGCAAAGGCGCGCCTGAAGCAATACGCGCTGAGGTTCTCCTGATAGCCGGCTCTTTGGCCAGTGCCTTTCAATGCTAAGTTGAAACAATCGTACGTCCATATCCTAGTCTCGGACATGGATTTATCAGCGCGCATGCCCCTCATGACAGGGCGCTCCAGAACTTCGCGCTTATACTTGGCCCTATAAAGGAGATTACCTGGGATAGGTCGCACAGCTTCCAGATCGTTAAAGCACTCCATATCCTGGAACACCCCATCTGCGAAGGCGAGTGACAGGAACCATGTCACGGGGCACATGTATCTCATGCGCGGCTCCTCATACAGCGTCATGACGGGTCTGTTCGGCATCAGTTCCATGTGGGAATAGATGATAGCAAAAAGGGGATGCGTACGCATGTTTCTTATACTCTCGATGCCCCTTTCGGTTTCTCAGTTTGACGTGAAGACACCACCCAGGATGGCTGTTGTTCCACGAGCGGACAAGCTCGATATCCTTGTAAAGCAGCCCTTCGTTAGTCTGATACCACGCGTCTGACTCAATGACTTCTCCTGGTCGGACGCCAACAAGAAGCATAAGTTGTATAGCAAAAGCCATCTGGTTACGTATGCGAGGGTGTAGGTGCTTGTATTCGTCGTTTGCGAAGAGGAATCTGATGATGTCTTTGGCTACTGCGACAGGAGCAAGTGGTTTGGGACGCGCGCATGTTGATACGAGACCTCGCGGGATAAGGTCCTTTGTGACGAAACTGATGATCTCCTGATTCTGCACTGTAGTGTATTGGTAACGCGTGTGGATCTTGATGGCACGCTTCAGACTGTTGAAGCGGTTAAGGAGGGTTGTATCGGTGATAGATTCTTCCAAGAGACCAGTACGTGTTTGAGCAAACCACTCGAGGAAGAGCTTGATCTGGTACGTCGTAGGTGCTTCTGTAAAACGTTGCTCAGCCATCGGCTTCTCTAGGACGTTTTCTGAGAAGCTTAGCATTTAGTCAGCAACCTCTTTGCTCATAGCGGTGCACTATGAGGCTTACTACGACCATTGCTCCATCGTGAACTTGTAGGAGTCATGACTAGATTTAATCAGGGCTCTCTTGATATCTTCAGAGCTGAGAGGTTGTGGCGCGATCTCTTGCCGAGCACGCTTCTTAAAATCCTCAAGATTAATAAGCCTGGCCGGTTTACGCATGTTTCTGGTCATGTCTGTGAAGGAAGAGGTGTTGCGTCTCTATTTGCACGTTGATCGTTGTGGAGAGGGCGCGGAGAGCAAGCGGTAGGGAACGTATGACCGCGGGAAGGTGAGCACCAGCGGAATATCATAGTCAACAACATGGCGTTGTCGGCGGTCGGCGTGCCGTCAAGGCCGCAGACCAGAATCCTGTCTCCAGTTTGTTGTTCATGCGACGAAGAGAGAGAGGGCAAATAGATCTAGATTAAGCCTAGCCCGGTAGAAGACGTGGTTACCGAAAACGGGAAGGCGCATAACGGCTTTCTCGAAATGGTCCCATGAGAAATGACGGGCCCCCCGGGAGAACTTGTTTTCAACGTCCTATGGTCGTATGTGATTATAGGTTAGCAAACATTGTATTTTATTGTGAAGCGTACGTGGGACATTGTCAAGAGAGAAACTCCAATAGGTTTAAGCAAGAGATATTGATGGCGTTGCATTCCAGAATTTTGTGCTGATCGTGAGTTTGATTGACGGACGTAGAGTATAACGGTTTTCATAACACTTTGTGCACACGTGATAGACCAGAGGAGAGCCTGTACACGTAAAAGCACTACACACCGACAAGCGCAATGCTTGCAAGCTTGCTAGTAGGTGAATTTAGTATAAAGATTCAACTCCTGCCGCTTTCAGGAGTTTAAGAGGGCTGTTGACATGTGCTAGGGAGGGTGAGCATGCTGGCGACTTGTCCGTGTTTGATGAGGGCACTAAATCTTAAGGTCTTAGCCTCTGTACGCAGGCAGTATGAGGGCTACATGTGGGTATCTTTGACCAGATATTCATACATATATTTTTCGATACAATGCTACCATTGCAGTATGACCAGAGACCATGAAGATTTAAGCTGCAAAGCCTCCGCACCGGTCAGGCCTGCATAGCCTCAAGGGCGTGCTGCAGGTGGCTCAGCCTCGTCCGATGCCATTCGACATGATAGAGCCACTTAACACTAATTCACCAGAAATACTGACCTCAACATCTTGTACGCACACTTATTGGGGCGGTCGAAACGATCAGGTAAAGTGGAGAGTCAAGCAGGCCCTGCGCAGTCTTGCGAACACACCCACGTCTCAGACACACAGAAACCAACAAGCTCAGCCGCCACCACAACAACAACACACAGTTGCACCTCAAACTGCGTGGGTGTCGGCTTCCGACTCGAACGACCTGGCATCCGCATCTCACGACTGCTCAGATGTGAGTCAATGTGGACTCGATGCCGAAGGGTCAACCGGCCAGGCCGCAAGCAAGCAGCCTGCAAGAGACGACTCAGTCCACCAGATTCCTTCGAACAGATCTGTAGAATCTTTCATTAGTATCATTGGCAACCAAAATTGCTGGAAAGCTGTTGGGCCTGCCCTTGACGCCTTCGATATGATTTCGCCAAAGATCAAGGCCTATCTTGAGAAGCACAGTGAGCCATCTCCTACCTATGTCCTTTGGGCTGTATATATGGTCGGTGCCTCTGAGGATACAGCACGTCCTACCGTCATTGTTTGCGGCAAAAGCAAAGTGCATCGAAAGGCGGTCTGGAAGACAATCAAAGACAGTGGCGTGCTAGTCGAATTCCCTGGAGTTCTGCTCGCACATCGACGATATGCTCCAGGGCATACTCACTGCTTGGTGCAAATAGTCTCCGATGTCGAGCATCGAGATCGTGAGTATATTAAGAATCTGACAGACACTCGTAATTGAAAATGAAGGGAAAGCGGTCGCTTCATCTTCGACAGAGCCCTCTTCCCCGACTCATGGACGAGCCGATGAGGCAGTGCCCCAGTCTTGGTCCCAGCCTGGCAAGACATCAGGACGAACAATGAGCGACAGTCCCAATTGTAGTAATCTTGGAGGGCTCGTATACTCTTCCTACCACGATTCACTTGCACCTGAGCTCGAGCATGCTATCATCTGGTCGAACAGTTGCACAGCTGTTCGTCCAAACCAAACACAAGCGCCAAAAATAACGTTTTCCACAATGTGGAGGCTTCCCAAAACAGATGCCGTCAATCGTTGGCGTGAGACGATTTTCCCGGCGTACACTTTACTCCATCTACTGGAGCTCATGAGCCGAAACAATCCGCTTTGGACAATGTTGACCCGAGGCCTGTCTTCATTCGAACCAACGACGACAGGTCTCCAGGAAGCCTACACCATGCATATCAACAGCCCCCCTGAGCTACACAGACCTGGCGATTGTGGGTCAACTGTATGGAAGGAGGGAGGAATTTGAATCGGACACATCATTGCAGGCTCAGAGGATGGGACAGCTTACAAAGTCCCGGCGCCTCAAGTTTTGGGCGACTTAGAAAAACACTGGAGGTCTTCAATATGGCCCCGTTTGCCCCAGCCTGTTTTACCTAGTTGGTTTTGCGAGACTGTTGGGTCGTCGCAACGTCGGTCGAGCGGTGACAGTGGCATTGGAAACTGAAGTAATAGGTGGTGATGGTCGTTGAGAGAGCGCGTCAGCGAACAGGCCTATCCAGTCGAACTTTCTTCATGCACAGGCTTCGCCAGTACATACTCTATCTTACTTTTGTTTGTACATATCAAATAATTGTCATCCTTCTCTACGATGAATATCTTTGCAGGACCTCTGCAACCTTCTCCCTGACACCCTGCTTACCCTCATACTTCTCCAACAAGCTCGCAAGAGCATCCTCAGCCTTCTTACCGCTCATCTCGCGCAAAATCTCCTCTTCCCTCGGCAGACCAATCCACGCGTGTGGGTACTCCTTGTAATCCGCGTCTGTAATCAAAGGAAGCTTCTCGCCGTTCTCCTTACCAACGAAAAACCCGTGAACATCCCTCTTCTTGACCTCATCAAGAGAGTTAGGCTGCCAGTTGGGGCGCTCCTTCTTCCTCTCGATCAACTTCGCAGTCACACCCTCAACGAAATCAGGGTGCGCCATGAACGCCGAGGCGATATCGTACTCCTTCTGGAAAGTCTGAGCAATGGACCATTGGCGACCGATGCGCATCTGCTCGAGGGTGACGGCGACAGAGATGGGGGAGCGGGTTTGGATGGTGTCGATGGTCTTCTTAGCCCAGGTTATCAGAGGCTTGGAGGAGCTCTCGTCGTTGGCAACTTCCTTGAGGGAGGCGAGGATGGCTTTGATGTTTGGCTGGTCGACGTGGAAGACACGGTCGATGACTTTGCGGAGTTCACCGGAGATGGCGGGCTTGTCGGCGGGGAGACCAGTGCTATATTCCTCAATGGTGGCGTTGATGATCTTGTGGCGCTCGTCGAGAGACATGTAGTCGGGAAATTGGAGTTCGGCAAGACGAGACTCGAGTTGTTGCAGAGTCGAGGAGTGGATGTAGTGAGTTGCGACGCCGTGGTAGAAGGCATCTACGCCCCTCAGCTGCTCGGAGGTGAGGGCCAGGTACGTTCCCAGGGCACCCTCCATGCGCGGCAGGAAGAAGGAAGCGCCAACATCGGGGAAGAAACCAATGGTAGTCTCGGGCATGGCGAAGAGGGTGTTCTCGGTTGCGATCCTGAAGGGGGCGTGAATGGACAGACCAACACCTCCACCCATTGTGATACCGTCCATGAACGCAACGTACGGCTTTGTGTATGTCGCGATCAGGTGGTCCAGCTTGTATTCGAGTCCAAAGTAGTCCGAGCTCCTCTGCTGTCCTTCAGCGCCTGTCTTGTTCCACTGAGCCAGCGCCGCGACATCTCCTCCGGCACAGAACGCACGCCCTGAGCCCTTGATGATGACTACGCCTGCCAGCTCTGACTTTGCCCACTCTTGCAGCCTGGGAATGATCTTGCGGGCCATGGAGCCGTTCAGCGAATTGAGCTTCTTCGGTCGGTTGAGCTCGATGCTGCGCACGCCGTAGTTGTTGGTGAAGATGACATCATCCGGGTCGTCGTCCTTTTGGGGCTTTGTAAGGTCCTCGGTCGGTGTTGAGTACTGCATGGTCTTAGCTATGAAGCCGTAGTGTAGGAACATCGAGGGGGCCTACCATCCTGGTGCCCGTCATCCAGGCGGGATTTGTGACCTTTGCGCGCAGAGGCATGGCGCCGACTATCCGTGTCCGCGAGGCCCAGCTCAGCGACGCTGGTGTTCTCCTTGCCAATGCGCAGAGAGACATGTGTGTGATTGGGAATGGGACTGGGAGCAGATGATGCAACTTTTCGAGCGCTCGATCGCCGACAGGAACCTCGGGTATCCGCAACGCGTCAAGAGGTGGAAGGCCGGGGGTAGGCGGGCGGTCTCGATGCACTCCAGACGAACAGCTAATGCAAAGGCGCGACGTACAGTACAGCCAATTGGAGTATACAAGCAATTGGAATCGCTTCTCCACAGTAAGTGTCGTCGCGATGGAAGCTCACGCGGCGAGCTTGCCCGACTAGGCCCAATACGGCAAGGTGCGCTAAAAGTCCATCGACATTTCCTCAGATGATAGCCACACCAACACTCCATCTCTGCCAATCGCCTCTCTTTCATTCTTCTTGTCTTATTACCGGCGTAATCGCTCTTTAATAGCACAATGTCGAGCTTCTCGAGAGTTTTCCAGCGCACTGCGCGTAGCGCCTTCCAGTACCAGCGCGGCGTCAACCCCGTCCAGAATGCTCTCGGAGCGCAGGGCACTGGCAGGTGGATGAACGGCGTTAGGAACTACGCTGCCTTCACCCGTGACAAGCCTCACGTCAACATCGGTAGGCATCCACCCTATCCATACTGAACATGTTTCTCTAATACAATGCAGGCACTATTGGCCACGTCGATCACGGAAAGGTAGAGCGCCTCCTTTGCCCCCGAGCACCTCCGCAACTAACACACTGACCACCCATAGACAACCCTCACAGCCGCCATCACCAAGCGTCAGGCCGAGAAGGGCTACGCCAAGTTCCTCGAGTACGGCGCCATCGACAAGGCGCCTGAGGAGCGCAAGCGTGGTATCACCATCTCCACGGCCCACATCGAGTACCAGACCGACAACCGCCACTATGCCCACGTCGACTGCCCTGGTCACGCCGATTACATCAAGAACATGATTACTGGTGCCGCCAACATGGATGGCGCCATCATCGTCGTCGCTGCCTCTGATGGTCAGATGCCCCAGACCCGTGAGCACTTGCTCCTCGCCCGTCAGGTCGGTGTCCAGAAGATCGTTGTCTTCGTCAACAAGGTCGATGCCGTCGAGGACCCTGAGATGTTGGAGCTCGTCGAGATGGAGATGCGCGAGCTCCTCTCCAGCTACGGCTTCGAGGGCGACGACACACCCATCATCATGGGTTCCGCTCTGTGCTCGCTCGAGGGCCGCAAGCCCGAGATTGGTGAGACCAAGATCGATGAGCTTCTCGAGGCTGTCGACACCTGGATCCCCACCCCCGTCCGTCAGACCGACAAGCCTTTCCTCATGGCCATTGAGGACGTCTTCTCCATTGCCGGCCGTGGTACCGTCGTTTCTGGACGTGTCGAGCGCGGTATCCTGAAGAGGGACCAGGAAGTCGAGCTCGTCGGCAAGGGTAACGCCCCCATCAAGACCAAGGTCACCGACATCGAGACTTTTAAGAAGTCCTGCGAGGAGTCGCGTGCCGGTGACAACTCCGGTCTCCTCCTCCGTGGTGTCAAGCGTGAGGATGTCCGCCGTGGTATGGTTGTCTCTGTTCCCGGACAGGTCAAGGCACACAAGAAGTTCCTCGTCTCCATATACGTCCTCAGCAAGGAGGAGGGTGGTCGCCACACTGGTTTCGGCGACAACTACAGGCCTCAGATGTTCATCCGAACCGCTGACGAGTCCTGCGCGCTCACATGGCCCGAGGGCACCGAGGACACCTCCAAGCTTGTCATGCCCGGTGACAACGTCGAGATGGTCTGCGAGCTTCACCAGCCCCACGTTCTCGAGCAGGGTCAGCGCTTCAACATGCGTGAGGGTGGCCGCACAGTCGCCACTGGTCTCGTTACCCGTGTCCTTGGTTAAGCATTTGGATTGAAGAGAGGCGAGACGAAAGAAGAAGCATAGCGAGGGATGACAATACCCAGTGTAGGATCTAGGGAGATTTCTTGTACATTATTTTGTGTAACTCCCGCTCTCCACTTCGATGCTTGTTATTCATCGTGTACTTTAGCACGGCAACGAATCTAGACGAGGGCGTTAGCATTGGCGAGGTTGGGAAAGAATGTTATGATATGTACAACACTCAATTTCGTCCCGCGCTTTCCTGAAAGTGAGACTCACGACCCCCCAAGATACCTTATCACTGACGAGCGAGCAGCACGTAGCGTAACATGGAGAGGAACTTCACTGATGCTAGAGTAATCTTGTCACGTTAGACTTACAATCTATTGCCACTAAAACCTTACTACTCGCTACAGCGTCCACTGCCCCAACACCCCCCAATCAGCACTCGTTCCATTCCCCTCCACCGCATTCCCACCCACAAGCCCTGCAAACTCCATGCCCTCAAACCCATCCAGCCCCGGCACCCCAAACAAATCCAACCCCATCTCGCCCTCAATACCCAAGTCTAGCCCGTCGCTATTCGTCGCCGTGACCTCGCTCTGCTTCGGATCAAGCACCTGATCGATCACACGCGTAAAGATCCTGCTCGCCTTCCGGCATAAGTTGTAGTTCGCTTCGCCCGCCCGGGCGCCGCTGTTCTCGAGGTGTGCGGACGCGTCGAGATGCGATATGAGGACCGAGAGCATGCGGACTATCTCTGCGCGCGAGATACCTGGCGGAAAGGGTTGGGACGTTTGCTGTTGTTGGCGCAGTGCGGTGGCTAATACACTCGCACTCGGAATACCGAAGAGTAAGATGCAGTTCAGCAAGTCGCGGTGCGCGTCGTATGTGCGATCGTGAATAGCACCTAGCGCGAGCACATTGGAGAGTATATCGACGCTGACGCGCAGCATCGCTGCGTTGGAGGTGAGAGGCGTGTAGTCCAGCAGTTTTTGGACCATGAACTCGTTGTACCAGTGCGTTAGGTGGATTACTACGAGCATGAGGCAGACAGAGGACGGGTACGATTCGTCCCAGCATGTTTTCCAGTAGCGCATGTGTGAAGGGATGGAGTCCCAGGATGTGCGGATGCGTGCGGAGATGTCAAGGAGGTCGCGTTCGACTTTTGCGTCTATCGTGGATAGTGAAAAGTCGAGAATCTCCTCTCGTAGGCGCGAGGCCATATGGCGCAGCCGGATCCAGGAAGCGCGCAAGTGTTGGCCTTTTGTGTTCCAGCCGTTGGCGTCGAGGCGTTGAATCGCTGCTTTGAGCTCGGTGGGGTCACCTGTTAATTCGTCGTCCCGTAGGTCCAAGGGGAGTTTGATGTCGGTGTGGCGCTTGCTTATGCGGATTGGGCGGCCGAGGAAGGTGGATATGGATTTGTCCTGGTTGTAGGATGAGCAGAAGATTCTTCGACGGGTTTCGGTGAGCCATATTGGGATGTCGATGGATGCGGACTCTTTGTGCATCCCTAGGGCGTAGATCTGGGTGGCTAAATGGTTGATGCGTCTCCACGACGGCGGACCTGGAGATAGTCAGTCTTGCAAAGCTGTGTATACGGAGCAGCGACGGCTTACCAGTGTATCCGCATACCATATTGGTGAATAGATAGTTTTCGTAGTACATCCAGACAGTGATGTCGTTCACTGTAGCAATTAATGGTGCTATTGTCAAGCACTTCGTGCTTGCACTCAGCAACTCATCCACGAATCGTGCCCTCATTCCCCGATTACCAGGGCCACTAAAGGTGTCCGGTGAGAGCCCAAAGGCCAGTGATCTCCCAGCGGTTGCTAGAAGAAAGCCAACCATCTCCAGACGCAGATTATCTCCAGAGCATGCTTTGTGCAGATCGCGTGGGTTGGTAATATGGGTGACACATAATGGCTTGCTTGTGTTCTCTAGGATCTGATCTACCAGCTGGGGCTTCGGAGGCGACCGTCGAAGATTGTGCTTCTCAACCCAAGGGCCAATCGCGTTGATGGCATCAATCTGAAGTTGCGCGGGGATCACACCAGCTTCATTGCTGGCGTTGTACCATAAAATCAACTCCTGAATTGCTGCATAGTGGCGGAATGCACTTAGGATACTGGTAGCCAGTTCACGTCTCATGGCCTTGTTGAGAAAGTACTGATGGGTCATCTCATACTCCGGACTCTCTGATGCTGCAGAGGATTCGCGTCTCGGAGGCGCTTCGGTCCCGTCATCTTGAGGAAGAAGCAACGCATAAGAGCCAGGCCCAAGGTATCCAGGACTGTAGGTATCAGCCGCAACAGCATCGGCTAGCTTCTCCTCGACTGGCGTTGTAGGTGAAAATGCTCCATCTCGGCCTGAACCGGACAGTTTTTGTGTTGAGAGGCGTCTGGATGTCTTAGTGTGTGGTTATTTGGATCAAGCTGTGCTCGTACTTTCGCTTCAGTGGACGAGATTCACCTGACTGTGCCTCAGTCTGTGGCTCATCCGGATGTTCATTGCGGGGCTTGGTGAGCGGTGCTGGGTGATAGAAGCAGCGATCTTCGATGCCTCTTTGACGACAACGGTCACACTTCGGATATGTGTGGTCACACTTGGTTTTATTCAACCTGCATGGCTCGCACGACGCCGGCTTCCCATTCCGCCTGCTGGCATTCGCGTTCCTGGTGATTTGTCAGTCTGGCAGCAGAGTGGTGTTCATGCCATGTACATGGTGGAGCTCGAGTGTAGACATGTATTCACGCCAAGGCTGCTAAAGTGAAACAAACACTTGATGCAGGTCAGAAGGCGGCCCCGGTATGCACGAGCCTTGAATCACAGTGTGGGGAAGACAGAGGTCAGATTAGACAGGCGCGTCATAGTCGTGATGGGGAAGAAAGCGGGAAGGCTGAACCCTCCACCAATCACGACGCGTTGACTCTGAACGCGCTATCCATCACTGCAGCTGTCCCCATCGCGCCCGCATCTGGCAGATCGCAAAGGGTTCATGCCTCTTTCACCCAATCTTCAGACGCATTGCTTGTTTATAGGAATATACAACTCACTTCCGCGATCCTGACGCACTATGCGATACGCCACGTCGATATCTTCAATATGCCTCTTCTCGAATCCGATGTCCTGAGGCCGATAGACCCCTCGCTGAGCGAGGACGACTGGACTGAATTTGTTCTGAGCGATGCATCAGTCGTTTACAAGAGCAACGGAAAGCCTGCGAACTTACTGTTGGCCTATGCGGACACGCCTCTCAAGGTGCTGGGCCGGCTCGAGGCACCTTCTCGCGAACATTCACATCACCGTACGTCTGGCATACAAGGAGTCCTCCAGATTCCGACCGCTGACGACGTTATAGTACTCAAGAAACCCTACAAGCCCACCGACATCGTAGTACGCGATGTTACACGCTATTCCTACGCTCAAATGGCCGACGGTACCTATATGATCTGGGCGTTAGGCGAAGCAGGATGGTTTGAGATCCAGCCTGCAGCGAACTACCAGGCCACATTCGACGACATGTTACAAGCTGTGCAACTGCTATACTTCATCACCGACATCTACAACGAGCCGAGGAAGAGGGGAGGTGGACCAAGCGCTTCGTTAATATACCAGGAAGTGAGTGGGCATGGCCTCTGGAACGGCCATTCGATCCAGCTCTTGGTCGCCTTGTACTGACCATACGTAGTACGCCGAGGACGAAAGATTCCCATGCAGTGATGTGACTGAGGCTGAACGGATATTCCACAAGCACCGTGAGTTCCTACTGATGTGCTTCCTGAAGCGGACACACGGCATCGGCTGGAGCAACACTCCTCTATATCAGTCATTCAGACGGCAGTTTCCGGTAGGCCAGACTATTCAGAGAAAACGTAAGATACTGAAGTAACGTAGAAAGACTTCGAAAGATGCAAAGCACGGAGCGAAGGCCGCTTCGCAGACGTCAAGCTTGAGAGGATATCTCGCACATCACGAACATTTTCTGCGCCGACAGTCACAGTAAAACCATCATCGGGAAAGGCACAGACAAGCAAAGGTAAGACAGTCGTGACGAAAACAGTCGAACCTCCTAAGAAAGACGACAACTGGTGGGAGGCGGCTACGCTGTTTGAATTCATGCAGAAAGCTGTCAACCAGCGCGTAATACGATCAGGCCGCAACAGCATTACGGTCGGACGAGTCGCACAACTGATCGTCAAACGTTACGAAATCGAGGACGTAGAGACTGCGCGAAACGTAGTTCTAGTGCATGCGCAAAATCTGTGCTACATGATGGATCACCCACGACGGCAGAACATACGGTTTTTCACGGCTGAACCAATATACGGCGAACTTGCAGCAGGGCACAGCTTGTCGGCGACTGAGCAAAGAAAAGCAGAAGGCGTGGAGCTACGACCGCGGAAAGATCACGGTAGATTGCGAGGTGAAGACAGCGAATCATCGGACACATCAGATGAGGAAGATGAGGATGATGACGCGATTACAACACCAAAACGCCGGCTGTCAGGGAGAAGCAAGAAGGGCACACTGTCCGTGTTACGGCCCAAGAGCGGCAAGTTTTCCGGTGAGGGCAAGAGTGTGAGAAGAGGAGGCAAAGGCAAGACAAACCCACCAGTACCCGTCTCCGACTCAGAATCAGACTCAGCGAGCGACGAGGAGGATGCAATGGCCATCGACATACCAACACACGCCTTATCTCCTGGAACCTCAAAACGCAAGCTCGAAACATCGGACGAAACGACAGAAGAAGGCAAACGAAAACGCACACACAGCTCTCTCATACCTCCATCGTCACCACCCACATCTGCAGACGAGACCCCAGAACCCGGGACCGCTGATCCCCCCCTTCCACTACGTTACCGACCCGGTACGAACCAAACCGCTGCAAAATCAACACAGCCCGTACTTCTAGCGATAGTATCAACACCCCTGCCCACATACGAATCGAACGGGCCTCGCGACTCCTGGATATGTTCGTTTGACGGGTGTGCGCAACGGATATACGGATGCAGTAAAGAAATCGGGAGACAGTTGATCACGGAGCATTTGGAAGATCATACAAAGGGGAGAGAGAAGGTTGTTGGGATACTGTGGAGGGAGCAGGACAAGCTGCATTTGCCGGTCAAGTGAGTCCTCAATACGATACAGCCATTGATGTGATGTACTGACGACCCTTCAGCAACCTTATCAAAAAGATCCGCGAAATGAGCGAGGCAAAAACACCGCTGTTTCCGGCAATACCCGGCACGAGCGTACAGCCACAGCCCATACAACGGACTGTATAGCAAGACGTTTCGTCATGACTTTGGCTTTCGCATTGCGTTCGGCGCACCGCTTATTCTTTGGACTAGATGACCTTCATAGCGATCTTAACGACCCAGCGTTCTTATTGGGACACATAATAGCGCTCAGTATTACGGCAATTACACCCACTCTACCCTCCGGCTCTCCCCTTTTTCCGCGCACTCTGTTGTTCATGTAGATTGTCCCTTTCTCACTTCAACCCCGCTCTCCTAGCCCAATTGTCCCTATGCTTCACATACCTATTCCAATTTCGCTGCGCCTCATCCCAGATCCGCGCTTCCTCATCGCTCACATCATGCTCACGCTTTTTGCCCATCTCCACAGCGCCGGGCGAAATGGAATCATCGCCCTCGATGGGCTGCACGATCGACATGTCGCCAACGTCCTGCGGCTCAATTGACGGTCGGATATCTTCGTCGTCTGCACCGCCACCATCAAGTATGATGCCGATTTTCCACCATCGGAAGGGCAGGTGGGTGACTGGTATGCGGAGATCTGGTTTTGAGAAGCTAACGCTGCTGTACTGGTATTGGAATGCGTGTGGCCGAGTTCCGAAATGTGCGTGGGAACGATGTGATGATGGGGCGTGTGCTTCTGTCTGTTGCTTCTAGTATGACTGGCTACCCATAGGCTCTAGATGGTCGTGAAATTGTGTCTGCACGCGCCAGAATATGGAGATCTTCGGATTTGGTCTTCCGGCGGAAGTGTATTGCTGATGTTGGGTGTAGGGTTTTTGAATTGTGAGAGTGACGTTCGGTAGCGGGCGCATTTCTGTTGTTTGGGTAAGGATTGATGTTGGAGGTCAACATCTTGGCGCTGGGTGAAGGCTTATGCTCGGGCAGACATGATGAGACGCTGTAATTTTGTTTTCTGGACGCTATGAAACGGTCGCAGAAGGTTGAACATGGATAGTTTGGGGATGCCCTGAGACTTTTGTGAGCTGGCTATACATGAAGTGGGGTACTGGTTGTTAGTGCATTCGCCGCATCCGGAGTAAAGTGAAGTAACGTGATCACGCGTTCATCTGGAACTATCTTGGCGGAGTTTGAACTTTTTGCATTGCCATGCATGTCGCACGAGCTTTTTGCTGTTAAACGCTGATTGTCTTGAACACACTGCGTTGCGTTAGCTTTTATGCTTCGTCCTGATTGAGTCAATGCATACCCAAACCCTGACCCTCCTGTGGCCATGAGCGTTCCCGGAATCTGCGGGTGCCAGTGCGCCTCCTTGATCTGATCCATGTAGTGTACGAATAGCAGCTGCGGTGGCACGTCCTGCACGCCCGCTGTATCTCTGCTCTCCTCATCGTCCAACTCGACCGCCAGATCCCACAAAGTCAGTGTGTTGTCGCCCGCGCAAACAGCCACAATACTGTCGTCTGTAGGATGCCACTCCACCGACGTAATCTGCTCCTTGTGGAAGTTGAAGTTCGCGACTGGCGAGGGCTTGGAAGACGAGTCCATGGATGTGGACGGCTTCCACTGGCGCAGATCCCAGACTGCCCATTCGCCATCGTCGGCGCCGGAGGCAAGGAGGTGGGCTGTCTGATGCGACCACGAAAGGACGTTAACGTCTGTTTTGCTGACTTGCACGCTGACGGCTGCCTTGCGCGACTTTGATCGTGCGTCCCAGATCTTGACGCAGCCGTCGTTGGAGGCGGACGCAAAGACGTGCCTCTCGGTGGGCGACCATTGGAGCTCTTCGACTGTGCCTTTGTGGCCTGTGAAGGGGGTTGTGTCTGTCACGAAGCCGCCGCCCTGTGTGCGTGTTGTGGTGAAGATGTTGCCTGCAATGTCACCGGTGAGGAGCTTGCCCTCGGGAATCAGAGGTGACCAGTCGAGCGCATAGCCTTCGTTGGACTTGTGGGCGCGGATTGTGCAGACGGGCTTGTTTTGTGTGGGGGTGATGGTTGTGCCGGGGGTGTCGAAGGATGTGAGGTGCGGTGTTACGTCGTGGATGAGGACCTGGCCGGACTCCATCATGGCTGCTGTGAGTGTTGTCGGAGGTCGCGCAGACGTGGCTTGTGGCGACTGGTGTGCGCGAATGCGGTTTGTGCAGCTGTTCAGCGGTATCGACTTTGTCTCGAGGATAGGGTCTGATGCATCGTCGTCTTCCTCTTCTTCCTCGTCTTCCTCGTCCTCCTTCTCCATGCGCGACAGACTGCTCATCTTCATGACCATGATCTGGTTCTCCTTGTCTCTCCCCTGCGCTGCCTGTGTGCCTGCGACTGCGTAGATGGTAGCGGGGTATGTCTTGCGGTCCGAGCCTAGGCTGTCTGGGATGATGTCGCATGACAGACACGGCCATGGCGCCTCGAGTGTGTGGAGCATCTCATACGTAGACAGATCGGGCGCGAGTGTCTCGCCTGCCGAAAGCTTGTGGCGGCCGGGAATGAATGTGTCCTGGTCGACTTCCATAGCATCTGCACCAGTTAGTCTACGCAAATTGATATATATGGCAGCTTTTCACGTGCTCTGACGCTCCTCAGCCTCTCGCTCCTCGTCTGGCCGTCCATCTACACCTGCTTCCAGAATCTCGTCCTCACTCTCGAACTCATCCTCGAATTCATCTTCAAAGTCTAGTCCCTCGTCTTTCTGGTCGACTTCCATGGGACGGTCGCCATTCTTGATAGCCTCCACCTCTTGCTCCGAGTCGGCAGGTCGCTTGGCCATTTTGAATGTATCCTACAATTTTCTGTACAAGAAGTAGAAAAATATGGTGTTGAACGTCACTGTCGCAAAACGTTCGAAAAGTTCGGCGGGGTTCAACTTTTTTTTGGCCGTGCGCCTCGCATCTGGCAGGGCTCCACTCCTCGCAGGGCACCATCCCAGCCTAAGCGCCCACTTTGGCGTTAACCTCCTCGTTAACAGCTTCGCTCGACGTCAGCGCAGAGCCTCCTATCCTGCCGGTCTGCTGCACGGTCTCCCTCGCGTCCCCGTACGAGTCGCGCGCAAACAAGGAACGACAACATCCGCATACATAATAATACCACCGCGACGCGTGCAGCGTGTCACCTCCCCCCCCCTTCACGTAGACGCGGGGCTGATTCGCTCAGCGCGCACCACCGCCCTCGCCCTATTCGCCCAGCTTGAAACATCCCAGTCGGCTCGAGTCAACCACACAAACACCCACCCCCCAACACGCATCACTGTCGCCATGGACATCCCACCCGAACAGCAAGTCGCCGCCGAGGGCCAAGAGGTCCAGAAGCACAGCGAGCAGACCATGGACGTCGACAGCAGCAACAACACCATCACCGCCAACCCCGTCTCACCGCCGCCGCAGTTCCACCCTAGCAACCAGAGCAACAACGGCTACACTCCCGAACCGCCGCGCCCCTCTACTTCCTACTCAGACACCGGATATCAGTACCCGCACAATGGCTCGCGCTTCAACTCGTCAGACGCAGACACCCCGCCGCGGCACGGCTACTACGACAACAGCAAGGAGACACACATGGGCCAGTCGCACTCGCGGCCAAGCTCGCAGATGGGCCGCTACTCGACCTCAGAGGCCGGTGGACGGTCCAACTCATACCAAGAGCAGAACTCACGGAGTGCGCAGCCGCAGCAAGAGCCAGCCAAGAACTCCAGTGTTGTGATCAAGGTGGGCATGGTTGGGGACGCGCAGATCGGCAAGACCAGCCTGATGGTCAAGTACGTCGAGGGCAGCTGGGACGAAGACTACATTCAGACATTAGGTAGGTTGTTCGAGTGTTTGGTGTGGCGCATTGCTAATGCTGTCAGGTGTCAACTTCATGGAAAAGACCATCTCGATCAGGAACACAGAAATCACCTTCTCCATCTGGGATTTGGGAGGCCAGCGCGAGTTCGTCAACATGTTGCCCCTTGTGTGTAACGACGCTGTCGCCATACTCTTCATGTTTGACTTGACCCGCAAGAGCACACTCAACTCCATTAAGGAATGGTACAGGCAGGGGCGAGGCTTCAACAAGACTGCTATCCCTTTCCTGGTTGGCACGAAGTATGACCACTTTGTCAACTTCCCGCGCGAGGAGCAGGAGGAGATCTCAAACCAGGTATGTTGAAGCCCTACTGGATCCAAAATGCACCCACTCACACTGTGCAGGCCAAGCGCTTCGCACGGGCAATGAAGGCCAGTCTCATTTTCAGCAGCACAAGTCACAGCATCAACGTGCAGAAGGTATGCCACCAAACCTCTTGAATCGAGCTATGCAGGCTGACATTGTGCAGATCTTCAAGATCGTTCTGTCCAAGGCTTTCGACCTCAAGTGCACGATTCCCGAGATAGAGAACATCGGAGAGCCTCTTCTCCTCTACCAGGCCGTCTAGTCGCCGGAACGGAGTGTATCGCCAGAACGGAGAGTACGACCAAGGCTTGAGATAGACTGCACCATGGGCAGATCTAGAAGGATGGTGAGACCTCAAAGAAGCGCCAACGAAGAGGACCGTTTCCCTCAAGAGCACCGCTTTCCTTATCGGAATTTCTCCATGAGCGAACGATTTTGATGATTTTCTTGCGTGGGACTGCATAACACGGCGACTGGAGCAACGTGCTAATTGCAATGCTGGGGTTACAAAACGGCGTTCTACAGGCCTGGATTGAATATTCGATTCAGCGGGAGGGGTCTGGAACCATTGACAAACGGGAGCGTAGAGAGCTCCTTGTACCGCACCGCACGCTGCGGTTGCTTTTGTGCTGGCGCATGGGATATCTAGCATTGGTAACAACATACTGTAGTGTCTTATCAAAGTATCGGGATCCTGCAGATCACCGGTCCGTGCCGTGCATGACATGCTGATGGTAGGGTGCCGGTGTCTTGGGGGGCAGGTGTACGCGTGACGTAAGAATAGGCGAGTTAGCTCCGCGACAAAAAGTTCCGAGCTTGACATTGAAGCACCAGCGACACGGTCGACACCAATCCACCACGACACACACTGCCAGCGCTCACGCAAACCCTCCAAACACGGTCGCGAGAGAACACTGAAGCTACAAAAGCAACGACGAAATCCACGCTCGACGCCCCGCTACTACGCCAGCCCCACTTCCGTAATGGCCGTCCCCTCCATAGCCCTCCCAGGCCAACTGCTTGGCTCAGCAGACAAATACTTCCCCGGCCCCGGGACACACATCCACGAATCGCAAATCTATGCTTCGATAGCAGGTCCTGTCATCACATCACCCACACCAAAGAGCACACAAACAAAACCCTCCCCGCTTCTGTCAATACAACGCCCCTCCACATCCACAGACCCTGGTATTTTGGGCACCGGTTCAGGTGGCGGCGGCACCATCCTCCCAGAAGTCAACTCGGTCGTGCTAGCGCTCATCACACGTCTCGGCCCCCGCTTCGCAACATGCGAAATCCTCGTAATCAACAACATCGTCTGCCGCGAGTCATTCCAAGGGCAAATCCGACGAGAAGACATTCGCGCGACCGAAAAGGACAAGATCAAGATGGAGGAGAGCTTCAGGGTGGGTGATTTGGTCAGGGGCACAGTCATCAGTTTGGGAGACCAGAGTAATTACTACGTCAGTACGAGTGAGAATGAGTTTGGCGTTGTGATGGCGAGGAGCGAGGAGGGGAGACTGATGTATCCGGTTAGTTGGAAGGAGTTTAGGGATCCAGTTACAGGGAGGGCAGAGGCAAGGAAGGCTGCTAAGCCGTTCTGATGAGAAGGATGGAGAGATGTGGGATAGGATATACTCAACAGCATTACGCCGGGATGACGCAGAAAGACATCCTTGTGGAGTCAACAAACTGCACAATCTACGATTACACGTTGTATTTGATACTAACCTGATGGCCGCGATGCACGCCAAACGCTGACTACTCTCTGGACTAACGTAACCTCATCTCCATCATCCTTCCTCCATCCCAATCTGATATCTCTTCGCTCACAAGACTCCCCAAAACAAATCCGCTCTTTCCGTTTAAGATTGTCAGACAGTGCCAGGCGCATTATGCCTCCAACCCCTCGCTGCCTGCCCACTACTTCTTCCTCTTCCCCTTCTGCTTCGTCTCTTTGAACGTAACAGAGCACTCTTGCGGAGGCTCTCGCCTGCCATGTCCCGCATCCAGACGGCGTAAGCGCTTCTTCTGACCTTCCAAATATTCCTGTTTCTTAGCGTTTGCTGCTTTCCCTGCTCAATACCACGCTTTGACTCGTCAATCTCTTCGTTTCGAGCCGGATCAACCGCGCCTCTCGCTCCTCTGGAGTCTCGGCCTTCCGCTTATGGAGCTGCCGCTCAGCTTGACGTAGTTACTGCTCAAGCTGTTGTACCGTCACCGAACACACGACGCCCACATCTCGTGCTGTCAATATCATGACTCCCAACGAACAATTGACTGAAGCCGATCGGCTGGACATGATAGCTCAAAAGTGGAGAAGTGATTTTCAGCTGGCAGAGAGTGAGCTGGAGAAGCATGAGGATGCTCTCAGTGATACGAACGCCCAGATTGCAGTCGCTTTGGGGACCAAATCGTCAAAGATTTACCACAAAGGGCCTAGCTGTAGGCGAAACACTGACTCTACCTTAGCACCGTCAAACTCCCGCTCTGAAGACGACACAAACTCTTCAGCTGGCCTGAGTATCGATACCGTAGCAGGCGATGCTGCTGTCGAAGATCAAGCGGGAGAGCACCATGAGTGGAAACTGGCTGGTCGGCTTAGTAGTCGTCGACATACTTCACAACTGTCAAGTAAAACATAAACGATCATGCGCACCGTCTTTCAGGCCCACTGACGGGAAGAAGCCGTGCTGAAGCATTCCCGCCTCTCACATCACCATCACAACGCGCACGCCGGTGCACTGGACCAGCTTGGACGGCCAGGAGCCTGCGCCTCGTTTAGCTCTTATCTATGGGACGGGCTCTATTTCACCATGGGACCAGAGATTTGATCATGACAAATCTTCCCTAGTCGCGACTGAGGTACAGTCAAGAACAGGAACCGATATATAAGTAGCGTTCGCTCTTCGAGGAGCTCCCCTTTGCATAGCACGGGATCCAGATACAACGCAAGGTTGGACTATTGTATGGTTGACGCAAATTCTATTCATACTTGACATTTCACTCCATGCTGACACGACCGACCGCTCAAGCGTTTCAGTGACAATCATATGTGCGCTTCAACATCCCCCTCTCGCTGATACTTCCTCAAGCCCTATGTAGCAACCCCACTAGTCGGTCCTGAGGCACTTGCTAGCTTTCTTGCTAGCCGGAGCGGCATGGTAGACAGCAGTCACAACGCAATCCGGTGTGTTGGCCTTGAGGAACTCCTTGATCGTAACAGTTGCCTTTGTATCATGAGGGTTCTCATAGGTCTCTTCGCAGCCCTAGTTCCGAATGTCTGAAGTACATTGCATCCTGAGGTGATCAAGTAGCCCCCCTTGTCTGCAGAAACCTTTTGAGCTGTTTGCTAAGGTCGGGCGTCTGTTGTGAATGAGAAAAGCAGTTTTAGGATACTCACGTCTCATCGTTGTTGCCCCAGCCGTCCATGCCAATAGTGAAGTTCGTCCAGGTATCATGAATGGCGTAGTCGCACCAGTTATAGCCTGGGTATATAGTTAGCGTCTTTCTGGAAGATCTCGTGATACATGTTCGTACTGTAACGAGTCATGAGGGCTTTGGTCGTGGGCTCCTCGGTAGCACTATCTCCCGATAGAGGGACAGCAGCAACAAAGCCCGAGAATGGTAGGGGCACAAGAAAGGGAGAAGTCTTCATAATGGGGGCTTGATGTGTGTTTCTGGTGATGAGATGCTTGTAGGATATGGCGTTGCTGGCGGACATGCCCTTGGAAGCGCATGCAGGGCTTCTTTTACAGCTGAGCAGTCATCTAATGCATCGCAGCATGGACTATAACAGGCGACAGAAGAACTCTGCACCTCATGAACTGGCAGCTGACAGTATAGTCATGGTGAATACTCTTGACGAATGAATGTCTAGTTCCCAATGAACGTTTAGGCCTCTACAGCATTCTCTTTGGAAGCGATTCACTTCAACTCAGAACGCTTCCCAGCTTGATATTCACAGTTCTATCTGTCTTGTCGATGTGACTTCTTAAGTGCACATGAAACAATGTTACTGCCTTGTGCATTTGAAGTCTCAATGTATGTATTCAGGTGCTCTCTAATTTGAGGAACTGATGAGCTAGGTGAGGAGACAGTAGGATGACTCTGCTTCTGTTGGAGTTCAGTGAACTGTACGCAAAGGGAAGAAGTTAAAGATTATACTGAGGTTGTATTGAGTGAAGCTACGAACAGTATATATAGGTGAGTAGCTGTAAACAACGCTAGTGTGACATGGCAGTCACTCTCATGACAGGTGAGGTACGACAGGCAGGAGCACCCCAGACCGTGACAGCTTCAGAAGCCACAGGAGTAAATAACATACAGAATGCAGCGCGACATAGGACCTATATGAGATTAGGTTTATGGACCGTGGAGACAGTGCAGCCTCGTATTCTACCGCAGGACCCACTTAAGCTTGGACGCCGTACCTGGGAATGTGGCTGTTGACCACCTTACAAACAGCTGGAGCCCTCGTGTCTCTTCAAACATAATATATACTTGCATTTATGCCTGAGGAGCTCTGAGTCGTACGTAATCTCATGGACTGTGTGACCGGCTCTGCAGTCAAAGCAGATCTAGTAGCCAGCGCTTCCAATAGTCAGTACTACAGGCAGTAACCGTACCGTAGTATGGCTTAAGTAAGCAGTCAGTCCGTAGTGAAGGTGTGGGCCGTAAACGTAGTCGTACCGTAGTAACATAGGCAACCGTAGTACGGCCGTATTTGGCAGAGTCTTGGGATGGTTGCTGTGAAGTATCGAGTCGCTCAGATTCTCACTTCGTTCATAATGTTCTTTTGTTTGTTTTTACTATATGTTATAGTTGAACAGTTCATATCCCATATTACTATCTGTTATTATGGCTCTGTGGCATGAAGCAGTGTAATCCTCTCCTGTTGGTGCTGGAGTAGTTTGTGATGAATTGCTACCATAAATAGACGTATAACATGTACTATAGTGTTTTGCTTCAGGCTTGAACCTCTATAGTACCATTACTTTTGCTATTTTTAGTGTTCGGTGGCCAATCGTACCGTAGTACGGACTGTTGTACGCGCTGCTGGTAGCTGGAGAAGTCCACTGCGTTGACAGTGCTTGGATTCATCATGAGACTTTGGTAGCCAAATCGACAACTCTCTTCACGTGCCTGCAGCAGATTGCTTTCAACGCGGACAAGACTTATGCGTGCTCGCTCTTCATCATACAATAGAACTCGCGTCCACTTGCCACCCAACCCAAGTCTGCGACTGGTTGTGAGCGCCATCAATAGTGTCATAATGAACTTTCGTGGTCGTGGTCAATGAAATTCTAGTCTATGTTCTTGTTTGTTCTCGAATGACTCTTGCCATCTTCATCTTCACCTTCACCGCGCACGTGCGCCGATCCCGTCAGCTCTTTCCACTTCTGCCGATATCGTTAACGCGAACAACGACAAGTTATATTCCTTCTTACAATCATTGCAGCGCCTACCAGCGAAGTAACACGCGTACCCATTACCTGTACTTCATTCACTACTGTGGAGCAGATGAGTCTCGACCTCGGCAGTCTCTTCGACGAGGCCGCCACTGAGCCAGAACAAGCCAAAATCCCAGTGCCATTTCCTGCACCTACTGCTTCGATGGCTCACGCCACATCAAATGATAACGGGTTCGGTGGAGTAAGCCTTCCAGATGATGACTTTGTCGGTGGACCGGTGATCGACAGCGGCCTGCCATTCGGCATGCAGATTGACACCTACGCTGAAGACACTGTCAAGTCGCTATTGCGAGAGTGCGACCTATACAAAGCAGAAGCTGCTAAGCACAAGAAGTCTTACGAAGAGCTGGAGCGACGTGTGTACGAAAGGGCTATCGAGGATAAAAATCTTCCAGCGGAGGTGGTTCGTCGCATGAATCGATTGGAGAATGAGATTGAACGCTATCGAGTCGAGATCAAAGAGTTGAGAAAGAACCTCAAAGCTGCCGAGAGCGAGATGGCTACTTTCCAAGATAAGATTGCTGGCCAGAAGAACAAGTTGAAAGAGGCGGGGAAGAAGGTTCGCAACGCAAAGGACTTCGCAGGCAAACAAGAAGAGAAAGCAAAGAGTGTTGTGCATGACAAGCAGTTGCGGGCCTCTTCAGAGCGAAAGATGAGGCAGGAGCGTAACGAAGCCGTCGCTGAGGTAGCGTCACTCACCAGATTATGCGACGACCTCCAAGTAGCTCTGAAGGTAGAACGATACGGCCGTTGCAGTCATACCGATAGAGCTTACGATTAATCGCGCGCACTTTCTCCAAGCTGTCGACCGTCTTCGATTCCAACCAGATCAGCATCACTGAGCACATGCAGCGCTGGTATGGCGACTGGAAGAATCTGAAGGAACCAACCCGGCAAGTAACCGGCGTCAACTACATGAGTGGCAAGAGAAGTGACAGAGTGGCTGTCAAGCTGGATAAGCTATATGCGAACATGGTAGAGCTGGTCGATGGCCATCAGCAGACGGGTGCTGAGCATGATGGTCCACGCTCCAAGCACAGCCTCGAGACAATCTGTCGTAAGGCTGGAGAGCGGCCCAACGGTCAAATTTCAAGCGCTGAACTTCATGACCGGTTTGTTTCAAGTCGATGGGAGCGCAGCAGTGCGACTGGCTGAAGGTTTGGCACCTTGCGACGCTCATCTCGATTTCGACTCAGCGCGCTCTTGCTTTCGACAACCCTCGCGGTTTGTAACGTAACTGATACAGCGGATGCAAACTTGTTGCTGAAATTCGGGGAAGACGGACGGCTGAAGTGGTCAGCGCAGCCACGTGCGTACAAATGTTCAGCTAAATCGCCGTCAACCACCATGCGACTTGCGTGGCAGTTACTGAATGGTATACCTCCTCGCTATGTCAAGATAGTGGAAATTGCGTCTTTCTCCACGTCATGTATTCTGCAACTCCAAGGTTCTTAAACTCCCTGTCATCTCACTCGCTTAGCGCTCATCTCTATCACAACCAATCAGCATGTTAGACCTACTTCTCATCACGTCCAAGGCCACGAAGCGGCAGCCAGCTCAGACTCCCGGCAATCGCACATCTTTATAGTTGCCGATGCTTATCAATTGGCTGCTGTGTTACTTGACGAACCAGGCGCGACGATCCTGCGTACCTGCAGTTCGGACTTCGGGTAAGCCCTGTTTCAGTGCGAGCCGACTTCAGCCCCCAACCGTCCCCCCATCAGCAAGATCTCGCAAAATGGGTGGCTGACAGATTTGTATAAGATAAACGGGTGTGATGGCTCGGACTGTTGCTGTTGTTTCGGTATCCACTCACTCCTCCAGTCATTCTTTTTTCTGTTGTGAACTTGAAGTTTCACATCATCGCTGTGCGATCCTTATACTCTTTTGGATTGCACTATACCATACCTTCGGAAATCTTTGCCTCCCGCTGGTCCATAGAATACTCGTCAATATGCAACCCCTTATCTTGCTACTTTCTTCCGCACTCGTTGCCTCTGCGACACACCACAGGCATGAGAACTTCCACCATGCTCGCGACATCCACCTCACCCGAGGCGTCGACGATATCGTAGACTCGATCAAGAACAATACCAACGAGGTCGCAGGCAAGATCTCTGACGCCATCGACTCAGTCCTTGCCCGTGTAGAATCCTGGGTCATTCCCGCAACTTGCCCATGGAAGATCTCCTGGCCATTACCAGACACTCCCATGCCCACAGTCGACGACGTCGAAATCCCTCAGCTCTCCCTCTTCCCACGCCCAGACTCGACAGCCAACACGCTGACTATCTACAACTTCTGCGACTACGACCTCTTTTTCGAACCCCACATCGGCAATACCCTCGGTGAGATTGGTCACATCCCTGCCGGCGGCAAGCTCGACCGACCATTCGAAGCGGCACCTGAAGGCTCGGGTGTAAACCTCAAAGTCTCCAAGACCGAGGGCGACTATTCCAAGCCTGTGCAAATCGAATACGCTGTCTCAGCCGGCACGGTCTGGTACGACATCAGCCTGATCGACTGTCTGGGGCGCACCGAAGATGGACTGCGCAACGGCGATACTACAGCCTGTGCAGGGCATGAGGCTGGACTGCAGATGGGGCCTGCGAAGGATGCTTTGAGTTTTCAGTGTGGAGCTGGCGCTTGGTGTGATGACCAAGCGTATTTGTACGAGGTATGGGTTGCTACTGTCTGAGTGAAATGAGTGTAAGCTGACTTGTGCGACAGGAGAACCTTTGCAAGAAGAGCAATCCCAACTCGGCGTGTAGTGCGGATAAAGGGATGGCAGTTGAGTTTTGCGCGAGTAAACGGAACTATTGACTTATTTGTTGCTTGATGATGAAGGTGTTATGGAGTTTGAATACTGGGATAAAGGAATACACAACGAGGGCGGCGTTCTGGTTCTAACTTTGGCCCGGTGTGGCTTTTGATCCCTTTCAAGGTTTGTTTCGTAGCACACGACGTTTACGAAAGCCTTTTCTTCAAGAACCATCCCTCCTTACTCGCCTAGCTCTTTCATTCTTTCTGATTTGGTCGCAGCGAGGTTAGCATCCTTCGCAAGTTCTCGTTGCCGATTTCGGTGGGGGCCCGCCATGCCAGAGCGCGTCAGTCTCGACAGAAGCATCAAGGAAAGATGATCAAGCATGCTCGCTGCAATGCTTGGCCGTTTCTTGAAGAGTCTGTTCAGACGGTCCGAAGAGTTCGTTCGGGACTTTGTGATCGTTTCGGCAAAGCTCTAAGCTACAGCCACTCACAACAACCGGCACTGCAAGCATTCCCCGCTTCCCCACAGCCTTGAGATCGACGTTGCACCAAAAAGTTCTCATTTCGGTCTCTGCTTGTCCGATAGCCTTATACACCTCGGTACGTCAGTTCAAGATGGTGACTTTAATGCCGCACGAGCCGTCGATGGGTGTCAGCTATATAGCAGAGACATACCGGTCTATCCGGACTTGTAGCCTTCGATCAAGCATTGCAAGATGAAGCTCTTCTCCTTTCTATCCACAGCAGCGCTGGTTGCGCCTGCCATCGCCATACCATATGACGAATACATCCTGGCACCAAGATCACGAACCCTTCACCCAGTGTCCGTGCACAACACCAATGGCTCCGTCAGCAACCCTGAGAACCTTACCAGATCGAACGGCAGTACGACCTTCGATGGCAACGCAGCCACCTCCTACGACTTCGGCATCAACATCGCTGGCGTGGTTTCTCTTAACATAAACTCGGTTTCAGACTCTTTACAATACATCGGCGTCACATTCTCTGAGAGCTCATACTGGATCTCCAATGCTTCTTCTGATGCAACCGCCGATGCCGGAAAGGACGAGACGCTATGGTTCCATGTCACTGAGCCAGGTCGATACACTGCGCCGAGGAAGAAAGAGAGGGGTGGCTTCAGGTACATGACTTTGGTGCATAACTCGACCGGCACGGTTGAGGTCACGAGCGCCGAGGTGCACTATACTGCCATGCCACACTGGGAGGATGATGCGATTGCGAACTATACTGGGTACTTCCACTGTGATGGTATGTTAGCAGCCGCTGGACAATGCGAAGATGATTGCTAATTGTGTACAGATGAGTTGCTAAACCGCATCTGGTATGCTGGTGCATACACAAACCAGATCTGCACTATCGATCCTACTCATGGTGATTCACTGATTCACATTCGCGAGATTAATTCATCGGTCTCAGATGCGACCAACGTTACATGGTACTACAACACCACAATCACGAATGGTACCTCTACACTGGTCGATGGTGCCAAACGAGACAGACTTGTATGGGCAGGTGGTAAGTTTGAGATACCCTGATAAGTCAATGGTGGGATGGGAGCTGACCAATATTTAGATATGGCTATTGCTGTCCCCGGTGTCGTGGTATCAACCAATGATGTAATCTCAATCGAAAACTCTCTCAATTCACTCTTCGACATCCAGGCTGCAAACGGTCGCCTGCCCTACGCTGGACGACCATTCCCAAATTCCGTATCCTTCACGTACCATTTATACACGTTGATTGGTGTTGCCGACCACTACCTGTACACCGGAGACATCGACTATCTCCGGTCCCTCTGGGACCAATGGAAGCTCGGCCTCTCCTGGTCACTCAGCTACATCGACTCTTCGGGGCTTATGAACGTCACTTCTCCTGCCGACTGGCTGCGTTTCGGCATGGGTGGCCACAACGTCGAAGCCAATGCAATTCTCTACTACACCATCAACCACGGTGTCGAGCTTGCCGCTGCTCTCAACGATACATTGTCAACTTCCAACTGGACTACCATCGCCGAGCGCATCAAGACTTCCGCCAACGAACTCCTCTGGAACAATGAGGCGGGCATGTACATCGATAACGAAACCACAACGCTCATGCCTCAAGACGGCAACTCCTGGGCCGTTGTCGCAAACCTGACTGTCAACTCCACACAAGTGCAACGCATCTCCTCCGCGCTCGCAGACCGATGGACACCGTACGGTGCCCCCGCGCTCGAAGCCGCAGATGCCATCTCGCCCTTCATCTCCGGCTTCGAGCTGCAGGCACACTTCCTCGCCGAGAACACGACCGCCGGTCTCGAGCTTATGAGATTGCAATGGGGCTTCATGCTCGACGACCCACGTATGACGAACTCGACCTTCATCGAAGGATACTCGACGACCGGCGAGCTGCATTACGCGCCGTACCTCAATGATGCGCGAATCTCGCACGCGCACGGTTGGGCGACAGGGCCAACATCTTCGCTGACGTTCTACATTGCTGGTATCCAGCTCCTCAGCGCTGGAGGCAAGACGTGGCGCATTGCCCCTTCGCTGGGCGACTTGAAGATCGCCGATGCCGGCTTTAGCACAGATATCGGTTTCTTCTCAGCGAAGACCCAAGTTGGTGACGAAGGTGCGTGGGCGATGGAGTTCGAGGCGCCACAGGGGACGAGTGGTGAGGTGAAGCTGCCAAAGCTGGGTTGTGTGGGTAGAGTGGTGTTGGAAGAGCAGAGCGGTAATTATGAGGATATACTTGTTGAGGTGCAGGTTGCTGATGCTGGGCCGGTGACGGTTGATGGGCTGCCGGGTGGAAAGTGGAGTGCTAAATATGAGTGTTCGTCATCTTAGACGATATGTAGAAGCCCTTCTATGCTGATGATGTAACGAAACGATGTAAATGATTTATTCCCACTTATTGCTCTTGTTTGATGGAGTACTTTCCGCTCAGGATTACGAGCTGGTCGCTCAGATCAAAGTGAGCTGTTGCTCCTCCATTCAACCATCGCGCAGATCCTTGAAGTACGTGCCATAAGTTGAAGACACAGCCGGTCGCTGTTGGGCGTAGGGCGTGTAGCGAAGACGCTCCCATGAGTCCTACGATAAGGTCTCCCTCGAGCATACAATCAGGACCAACATCATAAGTCCCTTGTGCCGTTTTGAAGAACTTCCGGCGATTGCTACATAACTCAAGTAGAGAAAAATACCGTTCTCCTGATCCTGGGTTTTTGGTGCCGTGAGCGATTATGTTGTTGTTCCTGTCCTCAGGTAGACCGAGATAGTTGGGGGAGCACTGTAGCATTACTTCTGTGCACCAATAATTGATCTTGTTGGTGATCAGTAGCTTCCTCGTGATGCACCAACGGCGCAAAAACTCCAGTCGTGAATGTTCGCGCAATCTACAAGAGTTCCTCTGGGTGATCAACGCATGTTGATCGTATCGGTCGTGTGTGTCTCCAGCATTGTGAAAACATGACTTCCAATTCTGGGTCCAGCACAGATGAGACGCTGGTGATCAGTTCATGTTTTGTGGCGGCGTAGGCCGCTGTAGTACACTGATAGCTACGGTGAACGACAATGTAGGACTATCAAGTTGATGTAATGTTGCGCTGAGTTGCTATCTAGCTAGGAGGAGACGACTATATATCTGACCTGTAACACACTAGTCCAGGGTAGTGGTCAGGGGTATAGTCAGACACTGTACGGACCAACCGATACCGCAACAAATAAGAGTGACGCCCTGAGTCGCGAGCCAGCATGATCTCTTGAACGCATCATATGCGCTTGAACCAATCTGCCTTGAAAAACTCTCAAAGGCGCTCCAAACTATTTCAAGAGTAGCTTGTTCGGGTAGACTCCAAAAAGACAATTCCCGAACTCGTAGCCAGGACTGACGGGGTCTGGTTTCATCGCAAGATTTACCATGAATTCGAGGAATGCCATCAGATCAGCTTCGACTGCGACGGCCTCTTCAAGACTTGCTTCGCCGAGATAAATGACCGTGTTGGTAGCTTGCGAGAACACTCGACCCATGAGCGGTACATGAACGCTAATCTCCTTAAGGTCCATTTGATTCATACACAGAGTATCAGCCCAGATAGTTTTAGGATCCGTGGAGTTGCGTATCCTCCACAAGGCGTTTCGAAGATTTTTCGTAACATTGACGCTGAGTCCGCTGCATGTCACTACAGCCAGGTCGTTTGGTTCGCCCTTCGTAAGCGGGTGCGCTGGACACATCGTACTGACATAGCTCGAATCCTATGGGAGCATCAGCATCGTTTGAGGGCAAAATCGTGAGCAGTCGGACGTTGTTGTCGGGTAGTCGAGTAGGGTAGAGCATGCTAGATGTGTGTTATGGAACATTGGTGGACGAATGGCTCTCCTCCAGGGCCACGTCGAGCTTGTCTGTGCGTAGTAGAATGTCGGAGCCCATCGCGAAATGAAATCCAAAGTCTTCAGGTTGGGATTTTCGTGGATGCGATGACTAGTTGAGGCTGAGTTGCAGATCACGCGCCCAGATTTCTCATCACTGCGCAAGGCTGAGATCGTTGCTGATGCCGGTGGTCAGGCTGCACTTTCCTTGCGCGCCTTGCTCTACCTTGCCGTCCCAGCTTTGTACATCACCAGAAACCACGAGTGCAGTCACAGTACTCTTCTTGCCTTCAGAAGCTCGTGCTCAGAAGTCCAGCATGTGAAAGCCAAGCTGTGCGGTTCTGCGGCCGGAACACACCAGAAACACCCAAGACAGGCACGAACAACCAAGAGCTTCTTTCATCTGCGGCAGAAGACATGTGTCGAAACGAAGATCTGAAGCTGCTTGGCATATGTGGCGAGCGAGTCGAGACACGTCTCCGATACTGTTGATAGCTTTCTGGCGTCGCGAGGTCGGATCTTGAGACTCAGACAGCTCCCAGGCGACCTGTCAAACAAACCCATCGCGCAGCCAAGAACTCATGCTTGAGGGGAATTGGTCGCTGAGCGCTTAGAGTGCGTTGCACGCCTCTGAGTGACCGTTCGTCGCGAAAGCGCTCGTGATAACTTCATACTCACGAACTTGCCAGATTTGGAGACCTCGGCATCACTTGCCATGATGATCCTTCACTTCAACACCAAAGACAAGTTTCGTGAGGTCAATCCGATCTTTAGCACAAAGCTTGCGCAACACCACCCCACATTCACCCCCGCCCAGAACCGCCATGACCGCTGTGGAGCCCCCCGTCAAACATTCACAACACCAAACTTCCAGGAACCCACACTTGTCACACAGCTCTATGCCTTAGCTGCTCAGCCAGAGACATGCATTGGCGGTCAGGTTGTGCAGCCTGAGGCACGAGAGCACATGTGCCCGGCGCAGCGCTTCAGCAATCGACTCCCCCGGAGCAAAGGGAAGCTTATCTAGAAGGACCAATATTGCATCTTCGCAATGCGATCGAGTCGCGCAATTGCATATGACCCCTCATAAACCTGAATATCGACGAAAACAAGTCGCCGGCTCGGTCCGGAGACTTTTCCGCGAGCTGGACCTGACCTCGCGAGAGCATTGCCTGATTGCCCGAAACGGCAACGTTACAGGTGTGTGACGCCCCGCCTCGGTAACATGCTTGTGACTCTTCGAGCCTGTATAAGATCAACGGTTCCCGCTTCTAGTTGCTGCTTTGACAAACACAACCAAATCACTCCACCTCTCCATCTTTTCGAATCTCTTCGCCCATAGTCAATTGACTCACACCGGAATCTTGACATCCATACAACTGGGCAACTACACCACAACACCATACCACATCATCGCAATGCCTCCAGTCAGCCAATTTCCACCTGCGCGCGTCTTCCTCAAGGTGCCTGCTTCAAGACCATCGCCGCTTTCTACAAGCTCGATAAGATCACCTCTGGCATCGAGCCCGCCCACACCAAGATTCACCTCACATTCGGCTACCACACCACCATCAGTATCTCAATGTGCTGCGCAAAGATCGAATACGACTACATCTGATGCAAGCTCGAGAAGATAAGGTATGTGTAACTGAGACCCCTTTCCACATGCACCGAGTGCTAACAGTCTGCAGGCATCACGCGCCCACCTTCTTGAGTATGCAGTAGTAATGACAATCCGTCTTCTTCTACACAACCGGATGCCAATCCCAGTCTTTGTCTTACAACGACCATCATCAGCCTCAATGTTGCCTGTTTGGGTGTTTTCGGGCTATGTGTCATGGCGCAGGACGTCTTCGATGCAAGGCGGTGCGGATCCGCAACATCTACACCTTGATCGATAGTTCACAACATCAATTGCAACAACGTGTGCAGTTCGTATGCCAGTTTGGAATGCCCCAAATTGGCACGCGATCGTGGCGAAGGCCCAAAGTTTGTTTACAATTTGCGTAAACAAGGCGAAAGGATACCCAGTATTGTTTAGTCAATAAATGATGATACACTATACTCAAAACTCACTGAGAACCACTACTGCCAAAGCATTAAACCTCAATGCCATAACGCATATACTCAAACTAGCTCTTGCAGCTGACACACTCAGAATAGGCCGCTGTGCAAGTCCCTGCGCTTATGTGGGTCCGCCGGTGCAGTCTCACCACCAGTCAATAGACTTGTCGCATTACGAACGATAGCTGTCGTTTCCAAAATAGTCTGCAAGGTGATCGAGGCATTCTTCTTCGACCAGCCAAGTTCTTCCGGCAAGCGCTCGTTCTCTGTCAACATGTCAGCGAGCTTGTCTTAACAGCGCAGTCATGCATCAAAGACAACTTACCGAAGAAGTATACCATCAACTCCCTGGGTACAGTCCCAGCGGTCGTATCTCCAAACGCAATAATCGGCGCAGCAACCTCTCCTAAGCTAAACTCCTCCGTCGACGCACTGAACGTGTAGTTCTCATTCTCTGCCCTACTCACCAACTGCCTGAAGATCTTGCTATGCGCCAATTGCTTCGCCGTCACAACCTCATCAGTCCACCATGCCTTACTCGTATTAAACACCGTCTGATTGAAAACATGGTTATTACCAAACGCCGCATCAGTGCGCGATAAGCTGGCGTCGTGTTCTAGGACATTGTGCACGTTGAGCTGCTCGAGCGTGAAGAATGTGGCATTGGGCTCTGGGTTGGCGATGATTGCTTGGTCCCACATTATGCCGGCGAGTGTGGTGTCGAAATTTAAACCGTCACCCAAGCCTTTGATCACGTTGGCTTTGGTGAAGTTGCGCCCGTCGCGGGGGAGGAAGCCGTGGTTTGTGAGGGTATTGAGCATAGGGCATGGGCCACGGACTATTGTTTGTTAGTGGTGGTTGAGGATGTACCGGCGAGGACTTACAGTCATGAGGACCACCCGGAATCCATTCGTGTGGGTTTGGTGTGCCATATTGTGGCCTGCCGGATGCGAGCGAGGTCGTTGCTGCGAGGAGAAGAACGTTCTGCTTCATGATGTGGGGAATAGATTGTGGTAGAGGACTAGGACTGGATGAAGATAGAGTTGAGATAGAGTAGGACTGAGGAAAGATGTGATCGGAATGTCTTTCGAATACGAGGGACCTTTTTGCCTTCTTAAACCATCCTGACCTCAGTAGTCTGTACACGAAGCCGCTCCGCACTCATCCGTACACCATACGCGTAACATAGCCATCCCAGCCTCCGTGGGAACAAACTTTACTGTCTGTGCCTGGTAGTATGCATCGTTTCCCTGACATCCCAGAAGCATGCACGTTGAGCACTGCTGCAGCCACACCTTCTCGGAAGATATGATCGATCCGGCATATCGGTAGTCTCTAGCGCCTCTGTTTCACGCTCGAAGATAGCCAATGGAGACATCGCTATTGATGGTTGACGTATGAGCATTGGGCGCAGATGGGGTTAGTAGATTGCAGGTGCAACGCCAGAAGGAAAGTTGTAGCACTCGTCGTATATAGAAGATAGCCGAGTACGTATACGTGAGAGACGCTAGCTTGGTGCGGCTAGTGCAAAATGATGTAATCGCTTCTTGCGACTGTCGCTCTCGCACTCGTGAACTCTACACCTCAAATATCAACTTCGTGATTGGCTCTTGGGCGCATCGCTGTTCCATTCAAAGAGATAGAATGGAGACCTTATAGAACTTGGTGCATGCTGATTACGATGAGGACACGATTGGCCCGTCACAACGACTCTGTGACCCTTCTCTCCATTTAACACAACCTTAGCTATACGCGGATATAGAGAACCGATCCCTGACTTTGTCAAATGGCCCCCTGTTCAGATGGTACAGTAGCCATCTCTGACAATACCAACCAACTTCGCAGTAGATTGATATCCTCGCTCGTCATTAGTAAGTTGACCTTGCGCAAGCCCTCAGCTTCGCACCGTAATACTACAACGAGATTAGACCTGGAACTGCAAGGATCAAAGAAGCGAATGCCATCGCGGTGTTGCACCATCCGTATCTCATGGCTCTGTACATCTTCGGTACAAACAGCGAGAACAGAAAGGCAGTAAGACCTGCCAAGAACTACGTTGCAGCCCTTGCGCTGCTCGTATGGTCCGAACAAGTATCCATGATGTATGCCTGCCACGCCATTCCAGACATTTGAAAGCCAAACATGGCGATGAAGACACGGATTTCGACCGCAACCCAGTGGACTCGATGCTCTGCCGTCCAGCCGTAGATGAACAAACCCACTGGTGCAAGCAGTGCACTATAGAAGATGACGGGAAGTCTGTACTCCGGCGCCAGATCGCCATCCAGATGCTGTGCTTTCTTCCAACGATGGTAACGGTCTATCGTTGGTGCTCCGGGCAGGGCGCCTGCCAGCTCGCCAGGTGCAACCGCAATGTAGTGCAACCCGCTCATCCCGATTGAACCTGGTAATAATTAGTCCAGAGCTCGGCAAAGCTCGTCAGAGCAATGTAAAGTATGCCATAGTCGAAGGTCAAGTTGACACTGGCAATGATGATTATCGGATGGAAGAGAAGCAGTCGGAGTGGGCGGGTAAGCGCGTTGCTCAGGATCGAAAAGATCGACTTGTCGGCACTCAATCGCTCGTGTCAGGTGTAGTATCGATAATCTGCAGTCTCCATTCGCTGCTTTTTCGCGCTTTGAGCCAGGATGACAGGTGCATATGTTTCTTTGAATGCAGTGAACGACACTGCGATCATGACAGCCTGAAAGATCGAAGTCGAGCAGAACATCCAACGCCAGGTGGTTCGGCCGGCCATGAAGCCACCAATGATCGGCCCTATCGTCGTCAGTTCTTTTGGTTCCAGCGTTCGATCCAAGTCAACTTACCAACAGCGGCACCTAGCAGCGGTATAAGCAGGTAAACCCCCAAACTCCTACCCTTCTGCTCCGGTCTCCATGCGTCTTCCAAGACACCTCCAGCCAAGGCGTATATATTACTCGCACCAAACCCTGCCAAAAATCTCGCTGAAATAAGAACCTCTTTCGTCTTTGCAAACCCACACACCACATTTCACACCAAAAACCATACATTGCCCGCATGCAAGATCTCCTGTATACCAAACACCTCACTCAGTGGGCCGATGACTAAGGGATAAAGGCAGTAGTGAGACGGTAGATGGAAAGAGCCATGACAGATTCGATATACGACATGTGCAGTTCGATGGCGATGGTGGAGAGCGCGGATGCCATGATGGTGGACACCATGATCCCGTTGAAACCTGTGGCGCTGAGGACGTCGGTTACAGCCCATTTCAGGCGGTTGAACCAGTCTTTGGGGTTGGTGGGATCGGAGTTTGTGAGAGTTACGAAGAAGAGGTTGGAAAATTTGGAGGGTGGGTCTGAGGGTAGCGATTGTTGTGTTCCTGTTGGGAGGATGGCTAGTTCGATGTCCGGTGCAAGAGGTGTGGCCTTGTTAGACTTAACGTCTGCCTGATGGTTGGAAGACATGTTAGGAAGCGGGAGTACTACAATTCAGTGGTCAATCGCTTGACGAGGATTATGTGTTTGGGCGCAGTGATTTGCTAAAGTCATGGCGTAGAATGGGGGGTTTGTATCGATGCCTTAGCACGATCGCTGGTAATTTATATGGTCTGCAGACGAATGGAAGACACGAACTACGACAAGGTAACATTTTGATTATCCTGTTACGGAAAGTGCTGCTCGATGTAGCAAGTGCTTTATCAGATTGGATCGCTGTTATCAGATCCGAGCTGTGTCCGGACTCGGAGCTCCGGTACCGCCTTCGCAATTCTGATAGGCTCAACGACGCTTAATCTCTGCGCCTCATCAGCTTCAGCTCCGCCCTCAGCCTCGCAGGCGCCTAGAAAAAATGGCGGCTTCTCGAGTTCCGTTGGCGCAATGGCCTTTGATCTTTTCTTTGCACCGTCTGTTAATCACCGAGTACATTAACCATTGCAGGCCCAGAGAGATTCGAAGCCTAAGAGTGCGCAATCACCCAAGGTTCAAGAGGGGCTGATCAGACGCCGACTGTGCGCAGAGTGGAAGGATTCCAAAGGGTACTATACCTGTATTGGAGCTCACAATGTCTCTCAGTAGCAAAAAATCACCTTTCGACGATCGAACCAGACTCGCGCATGCCCTGGGGTTCAGGGATTACCCAACGAACACGACCGCCGTACCGTATCTAAACTACATCCTGAAGCAACACGCGGGTAGCGAAACAATAGAAGACTACGTAGAGCTTTTCATCGAAGTCATCGAACACTTTCGGCCGGGCGCTTCTACGAATAGAACACCAACGGACCCTACTATACAAACACTCGTAGATAGGTTTGCCTCATCAGGCTTTCGGGATGTATTTGCGGACACTGTTGCGGGAGATCACAGGCGGAGAGAACATGTCGAAGACAAGGTCATGTGTATCATTGGGACATGGACCACAATGTTGAGCTCTTTCCAATATAAGAACCGATCTCGCAAGGTCGTGGCAGCATATAGCATCTTCGCAGATGCAACGACACCGCAGGCTGCAGCGCCAACTGCATCACCTGCTACGACGCCTACGCTACCCATTGTAACTATGGCGCCTTACGACAACTCCATTGCTAGTCTCATCGCAAGCAGTGGTCTTCTCCCTGGCGGACAGTGGGATCACAGGATGAGCTTCGAGGGCGATGCGACAATGAAACTGATAGCACTGATGTTGAACACTCCAAATGCTCTAAATCGAACTTCATTGCAGAATCTGCTTGCTCACACTCCCGGGCGAGCCCCGCCCAACAGTACGTCATTCCCTTAATATTCAACGGAGTGATAAGCTGACTCTCGACTCAGTAATATCGCCATACGCACTGTTGGAAGATCCCAATGCTCAAGAATCGCTGTCCATCAAGACAACACGGCTTAACGCATTTACACTGAATGTGCTCAGCGCTGTGGATATCTCGTGGACCCCTAATGTCTCTCGGCATATGCTTCTCACTAAGGTCGGCGGACGGTACGTTCTGGAACTGTTCTCGTTGCCATGTGCGTTTGATGCCATCACCTCTCCCACAGTTGCGATACCGGTAGTACTTACCCAGGAGATTAAAGAGTCGTATGCTGTTTTGTTCAATGCCTGGTTCGATGCACCTTTGCATGCGAAGTTCGGCTCATTTGTTGGTATTCGGAAAGTGTGCTGGTGCTGGTCATGTTCCGCTTATCGCTATCGGCAGCAATGCATCACTGCCTGCAAGACACGCGCCCTGGCAAGCCCACGGCAGAAGAGGAATGTAGCCTCTAATCTAAGCCAGAGCGACTTCGACCCAACCCTGGAGACCTTGATGACGAAACAGTCGGCAAGTAATTGGACACCAGACGATTTCCCTACCCTCTGGCCGCGCATCGCTCGGCTTGAGCAACATCTCCAGACTTCGAGGCCATGGAGTCTTTGGGTGCTTTTTCGCGATCGTAGGGACACGATGCAGTTCTGGACATTCCTGTACGTTTAAAATACTTTTTGCTGACGCGAGCTGACAAGATCTAGGTTTGCCACGGTTGTTGTATTTTTGACTGTCGTGCAGGTTTTATTGGGGGTTGCACAGGTGGTGGGCTCCTTCAAGTAATATCTGTATTCCAACATCTGCATTTTTAAAGGTAAACCCAAAGAACGTTCAGCCAATGCCCTACAAGATACTGTACTCTCTGCGAAGTTCGTCGGGCACTTGAAATGCGCCGTAGAACGCTACTCTCCCTTCTCTCAACCTTTGCTCCAGATGTGGACCCTCTGGCAAATTGAAGTTCTGGGTGTGGCCACTTCTTTGTACGAAGCTTTGAAAGCCTATAATACCGGATCCTTGAGTCCCATCTTCCCTTACGCCATCCGCATATAACGCAATGCCACTGTATCCGTTAGGTGGGTTGAAGTCAGGGTTCACGCGGTATAGCACAGCTCGTGAGACAAATTTGTTCCATGTCGAAACATCATGGCTCTTCGCAGGTTTGGCACCAGCAGCTGCGGTTTGATTGAGGAATATGCCTTCGCCCACGATGATGGCCTCGGAGGTAGTGTTGCATTTGATGCATTTTGCCTTCCGATCGGTTTCTGTTGGCCCAAGGATCTTGACGGCTGAAGGTTGCTGGCGGAGTGATGACCAGGCATCTCGGCAAAGCCAGCCAAGGTCACCTATCGGAGATTCGATATCTGCAACAGAAGCCGTCGTACTAGGCCGTATCAACGTGACATCGTGATTGAATCCTGTAGGGTAATACTCTGCGGCATAGTCAAAACTTTTCTCGATCGTACCGATCTGCCGACAAATTAGTCAAATTATGAAGAAATCAAAGGCTCCTTGGCTATGGTACACACCTTCGTGTTTCCCGCCCAAATTTCAGCGTTTTTGTTCCAATCCTCTTGGAGTCGCTTCATCGGATCACGATTCAACCCGAAGAAAGATTTGCTAAGGATCGCCTCAGTAATGACGTGAGAAGACATCACCAAGTAAGGTTGGCCTGCTTTTGACACCTTCAACCCAATTCTACCCGCATATTTCTCTCGAGATGTCGATGATACTCGAGCTTCGACAAAGTCATTGAGCTGAAGTGACTGAGTCGATCGAGATTGTCTGGTCGCACTCGACAAGCGAGAAGTTTGCGTTTGTATTGACAAGCCTGCCCGAGGGGCGGTTGCCACACTAGATTGGAGCATAGAAGGCTCCATTGTATTCGTGATATAGCAGACCTTTAGGCCACCGTACTTGTGAGGCAAATGTGAAGAGGCCCAAGTAGTGTCGAAGGTATCAGAAACGATGATCTGTAGTAGGCCACTTATGAGAACGTAGAAGCCCATACTACCTTCAAAGGTAAGGAAGAGATCCCGTATAGTATCCATGGGCAGTTCGGTCCGACAGTCTATCAGTGCTGAAGGCCTGGGGTCTGGGGGAGGATTGACTCCACCGATTGGCGGCCATTGATGCTCGACAGGGAGCACAACAGGAGCTTCAGCTATTGTGAGTGGGATCTGCTCGGGCTCGCTACCCTGCAAAGGTGTACATGTCCAACAACCAGTGTCATTCCCACCCGCACCACGTGTGGTGACATATTCGATGTCCCATTTGTAGGAATCGGGAAGACAGTCCTGGACCTCCTCCCAAGAAGAAGGTACTTTCTCCGCAAGTTCGCTCATGACATGCCTTCCGGTAGAGCCTGCACAAGCTCCCGTGTCTGACAGGCAATGAAAGACTGTCTCGGTGCCCATACAGTCTGAACCAAGAGTTTCGTTAAGATCTATGTGGTCTTCCTTCCCTTCTGAAAGTGAATCAGTCGCCTTTAAAAGGGAAAGGTCGTTCTCCACGTTTGAACTGTCTGAAGGACCAGTATCGACTTGAATGTGTGTATGAGAGCTTTCAAACCCCTCTGGAACTCTGTTGTCCTCTTTTTGTCTCAAGGAAATGTACAGCTCTTTCCACTGCTGTCGCACACCGACAATGCCTCTTCTTCGCAGCCGTCGAGGCTCTGTGCAACCAACTCCATGGCACTGACCGAACACTTCGGGATTCAGGATGTCTTGTGCGCACTCGACACAGTACTTGATGAATATGCCATGGCGACGAAGCAAATGGATGCGAATCTGGGACATGCTTCCAGCTTGTATTTTGGGGCATGTGCTCGGGAGCCCCATGTCACTTTCTACCGCTGAGAGTGGGCAATCAATGACGCAGTTAGCGCCGCGTTTGCCATCTTTGCTGCTTATCTCCTTGACTCTTTCTAGCTCTCGTGCATCGAAGACGTCCGAAGCCTCAGCTACAACAGAGTTTGGCTCCAGCTCAGTTGCATCCCCCTTGCTTAGTATAGAGCCCAAGGCCCACCACTCTTGATCGTTGTAAATAGTGGGTTCTGTGTATACAGATTCACTCCTTTTCCTCTCATGATGCCCTACAGAGCTCTCTGTGCCTAAAGTGCGCGCTCGACGTTTAGATATGTATTCGGTACTGCTTGAATGGACTGAGAAGACCACATTTGCTGGCCTTTTCGACGACGGACTCTTTGGCTCTACGATCCTTGGTGCGCAATGCACACATCGATGTTCGTCCATGTAATCTTTAGCAGACTCGTAGTAGCAAGCTATGTGTTGCCAAGTACCACATTTGAGACATGCAATGACGAATCTTTGATCTAAAGAGCTTTTGCAGATGCAGTTGATATTCACCGGTTCATCAGCATCCTGATACACCAAGACTTCGGGATCGATCTGTTCGGTGACCTCTGTGATTTGACCACCTTCTACTGAAGCCGTAGTGTGAGATTTAGGCTGAGGCGGAGCCAGGGAACCAGATTGAGCGGCGAAATTGTTATGGTCTGTCTGCGGATGGGCGTTTGCTCTTTTCTCGAGGTCGGTCAGCCTGGCTCTTAGTCTCTTGCGGTAGTGCCTTTGCGCTATGCGATTCTGAAGGCGTCTTCTTTCTTCGGTATCCGACATGCTGGTCCAGTCGTCATCGAGAGTTTCAGTGAGCCCAGCAGGTTCGGCGGTGTTAAGTTGTGATGAAGCAATGATTTTAGCCGTGACGCTATGCACCGTGCGGGGCTGAGTTCACTACCCATGCACGTTGTCGCTAAGCACCAGCCTTGCGTGGCCAGGTCACCTCATCTCTGCTTCGGAACCCATCCTGGACATTAACGAGACACATCTGTAATGTACAGACCATCAGTGCTGGGAGAAATGGGCTCTTTGTTCACGTTAGCACAGATGGTGCCGATCATGACACTCTCTTTTAGCATCACAAGCACCGCTGAGATTCTTTGCAAAAGTTGTGTGCTTCTGGAAAACGAAGTATTACTGCCGGTTGGCCTTACCAGAATTCCGCGCCATGCTACTTCACAATCTTTGAACGATTGCAATCCCATCAAGCCCCGTCGAAGGTCTCTCCATGCTTTCTGGACCTTAAGCTGGTAAGAATTACTGTTCCTTTCAACATCGTATGTTGTGTTGAGAGTAGACCTACCATCGACGATCAACGAATCACAAGCGTCTTAACAACGTTGGTATCGATGTCATGCAACTCAATCGGAAATTTGCATGTTTCCGCGAAAATGCAAGACTTTGCGCCCTTGGGAACCTTTGTCCTGCCAGGTGGAGCAGGACAACGGTGACCAAAGATGCACTTGACATCCTGGCAACCACTGCCATTCTGACAAGGCGACATGCGTGCAACGAGGCGGAGAGTAGCGATCTCGCCGCGGCTCGGCTGGTAAGTATGCTTGTGAGTACACTGCATATCGTACGGGCACTCTTGCCTCAGGAAGTGTACGTTGCACAACTTGAGCTTCTTGACGCGGTCAACTTCGGTCTTATCGTAGTCTTTGCAAGGCGGATCGATGCGTTGTCCAGCTCGGTTGCGTGCAATGACCTCGTTACGGTCAGCTGGCTCGTATGCTGGCAAAGCGGATGCTGGAGGCGGTGGAGCAGCTGCCTTTGCTGCCCAGCTGTTCATGGGTGGAGTAGCCTTGGTGGTAATGAACCCATCAGATGCTATCGTGGATGTGGAAGGTGTGCGTGGCAAGCCCACGGCGGTGGCCCTAGCTGGGATGGGACTATCCATCACTTGTGGTGGGGGCGCTGGGAAGCGACTGGGGAGCCCAGTTGAGATGTCGTAGACCTTTTGAGCTGGGGATCCTGCGCCGGATACATGGCGCGGCTGACCAGGAACAAAAGTGTTGTGACCCCAGGCTACGAGTTTGGAGTCTCGAAAAATGTTCGGAAACTTCTTTGTGCCGTAGGGGAGCGGTAGCAACTCTTTCTCGAAAGGCACACCTTCGAGCAAGATGACCTTGCTTACAATCTCCGGTTTGTCTGAGCACTCTTCCAATACTCGTGCGTAGCCGTTGCCGTGCGAGCAGCCGAAGAGGAGTCGGCGGCAGTGGTAGTCCTGTGAAAATATCTTGAAGTTATCTGATATCCATGTCAGTTTCATGTCGCTCGACTCGAGGACGCCGGTACCTACCGATGGTCTTCTCGTCCGCGCGATCTTTCCCAGCGCCGACATCGATAAAGTCGAACATAGTCTTTGCTCGAGTGAATCCTCGCACAAAGTCCTCGAAGTCTTCAATTTCTTTGATTGTGCCAGTCCTTACCAATACGTCTCCAAGGCCGCGGACGTTGGCATAGATTCGGCAGATCACGCGGGAGGTAAGGGGTACGTCCTTTGCCTCGATCTCGATCCAGTCGCGCACGGCGGTGTCAAGCTGCGACGCAGCACGGCGACCGCCCGCTTCTCCCATGCGAATGTTCTCATCGCAGAACTGGTGGCGTTAGTGTTGTGAGACCTTTGTGGAAAGAGGAGTTGCTTACGACCATGCCGTCCCCATCGATCAGGACCATGACGAAAGGGTTCTCGGACTGATGAGGTCAGCAAAGCTGCTCCCACGCGATATGACCGAGCTCCCATAACCACTTACTAGAGCTCGCTGATACTGTTGGACCATTCTCTCGTACATGGGCTTCTCCGCCTGCCAGGCGGCTTCACCTTCGACATCGCGCCTACTCTGAGAGGCCAAAGCTTGATATTGCTGGCTTAGGTACTCGTAGCGCGTAAGCAGTTCCTGCAATGGTCAGTCATGAAGCGGATCATGCTCCTGTCGCACTGACACCTATGAAGTCGTTTTTGTCCTTGTCGTACTGTTGGAGCAGTTCGTAGCGCTGATACAAGGTCGAATGCTCAGGGTCTACCGTGCTGGGGCGGGTCACGGCATTGGAAGCAGGGGCAGGGGTGTGACCGAGGCCAGCAAGGAATGGAGCTGGCACCATCTTTGAAGTGATTATAAATGGCTCGGAGGCTCTCAAATGTTCGAACGAGTGTGGTTGTGGTTGTGAGTACTGTCGTCTGCGCCGCCTGTTGGGTCGAAGGTGAGTAGGAAGAAACGTGGGAAAGAGCGCGTATTTATGTCAGTGGCCGACAGCTGTTTCCAGAAATGAAGTGACAGGAGACGAGAAACAGAATCAGGAAGACGGAGACGGGAACCAAGAGGATTCCAGAAACAGAAAGCGGAAAACGGTCATCTGTGGAAGTGAATGTGAGCTCGCAATTTTTTGTTAGTGGCCATGAGAAGGGTCTGCCTCAAACGGAGCGACCATGCAGCACACACGAGCTTCAGTATTGGCGGTGAAGGCTGTTATTGACAGCAAACGGACACGCATCTTTCTGCAGCCTGCCGCGGTGGCTGATAACGCTCCTCTTCCGTGTGCCGTGAACAGAAGACAGGACGCAGTTCACGGTGCACAAGAACCTCGCGTCAGAAACGACGAGTAGTTGCGTGTTGGATGCGCGCTAGAGCTCAGAGCTGATTGGCCCTGCCAAACGGTGTGGGGAAGGCGCTCGCTTCCAAAGACTAGGGAGCTCCCTGCCGTTGCCAAGGTGGGAGCTGCGCTCTGACGTTCGTAGAAGCCACGTTCGAATTGCTGTGCTCCCCTCCACCCTCTTCTCCCCTGCGCATTCATCTCGTCGACCGTTTGCTGTATCCATCATGGTTGCCTGGAAGCTCTCATCTCTGCTCTTGCTCTCGTTGAGGGCGCTCAATGCCTTCGCGATCGAGGTGAGTGCCCGCGTGCTATACGCTGCATGACATCTGTTCACTGACCCCCGCGTGCTCAGGTTCAGGACGTCAAGGAAGTACCCGAGGCCCAGACACCGAACCTGAACGTCAAGATCTCAGCCTCGTTCCCCCAGTCTGAGATCTTCGGCGTCAAGCTCATCAACGGTCATGCCACTGAAGCTCGTCTGTCCATCTCCAACAACGAGCCCAAGCCCATTGGCGTAAGCATCGTCGGTGGCTCGCTGCTCCAGGAGGCCAATGGCCAGTCTCAGATCGTGCGCAACCTTACTGCGCAGAAGTACTCCATTGAGATCCCCGCTGGCGCAGAGGAGACCGTGCCCTACACTTTCTCCACCGAGCTGCACCCCCAGGACCTCCGCCTTCAGCTCGTTGCTGTCTTGAGGAACTCTGAGAATGCCATCTTCACTGTCGCCGCCTACAACGAGACTGTCTCCATCGTCGAGAGGCCCACCAGCCTCTTTGACCCTCAGATGTAGGTTCTTCCCAAGCGCTGCGCGCCTCAACCGACCATTTCAGCGGCTAGAAGCTAATGTGTATATGTAGCATCTTCCTCTACCTCGTTCTCCTCGGCGCCTTCGCTGGAACCGTCTACTTCATCTACAACACCTGGGTCACCACCTTCTTCCCCCAGAAGAAGGGTCGCGGCAAGGGTGGAGAGCGCGCTAAGAAGTCCTCCCAGGGCTCCAAGAAGGTCGACCCCGCTGAGCAGGTCGCTGTTGTTGGCGCTGACGGTCCCGCTGTCACCACTGGCGCGAAGTACGACGAGAGCTGGATTCCTGCCTCTCACTTGCAGCGCCCGGAGGCCAAGCGCGTCCGAAGCGGCACCCCCAAGGTCAAGCCTAGGGCTTAGAAAGACACGGGTGCGTGGCATGACATTTGTATGCCAGGCTATTGTTGGGAGGGTGCCCTGCTGGAGACGTGCATCTCCCAGTTGGGCAGGGCACGATTGAACATCCAGCAACGGATGGCTTGCACCAGCATGCTGAAAGGCACAGTGGGCAGCAATCACAAATTGACGAAACGATGTACCATATAACGACACCAAAAGTTGGCTAGTCTTGTATGCTATGACGACTATCAAAGAACCGTGTCGGGTATCACATAAACCTGCCTGTTGCATCTCTTAGCTTGTTTCCTTGCTCTCAGTCCCACCGCATCATTCCTTCCTCCACACCTCAAACTCCTCTTCTAAATGCCCCTTCAACTTCGCAAACTTATTCTTGTAGTTCTCCCCACACCTCCAACACTTCATATCCCAACTCGGCCAGTCCCCCGGATGAAATCTCTCACTCCCCTCCTCAAGCGGGAACTCATCCACATCCACAAAGAAACTCGAGTTGAAACTCAAATAATGCTTCTTATGCCTCAGACACAGTGAATGCATCTCCCGACTCATGATGTGGATGTGCATGTGGTTCATGCTTGGGTGTGTATGCACGCCTACTTTGATTTCAGAGAGCCAGTCACGGCCGGGTGGGAGGAGAGCGTCGCGCTCTGATGCTGGTGGGGGGTTGGGTGAGCTCATTAGGTCTGAGAGGGCGGACTGGTAGGGGACATCTGTGGCACTGTGGCGGCCGTATCTGCGGCGCAGTTCTGAGGCTGCGAGCTGCTTGAGGCGGTCGACGCAGCGACGTACTTCGGCGAGGAAAGCGGGATTGCTGGAGAGGAGATGCAGGGGGTGTTGGTTGTAGTATTCTGGCTTGCGGGGGATTAAGAGAAGATGCACACTATGAATTATCAGTCCAGGGCTGCTTTGGAAAAGCAATGAGGAGGCATACCTTGCTTTTGGGAACTTGTCGTTGATCACTACGAAGTCGTCGTCGTACTCTACGACAAGGCCCTCGGGGTTCTTCTCAGGATGTTCGATGTATAGACCTAGACCGTTGCGTGCGTCGAAGCCTCGCATTACGGGCTTCGCTGGTATTTCGGCTGGTTCAGCGGCGGGTTTAGGCTTCTTTGCAGACATGAGTTCTGTGACTGCGCTGCGAGTTTAGGTCTTGCTTTTATGGTGCCATTTGTCGAACATACATGCATTTGCTCGCTTTGAGGCGAATAATAAGTGCGATGCTTGGGGTTTCAAAGCTCCTTCTATCTCCTCTGCGACTATTGGATCTTGGTGTTTCTCTGTAATATTACTGCTCTTGCCTTTGGAAGCTTCCGCCATGATGTGGGAGCCCTGGTGGAAAGTACGTTTGCCGTTGAGTTGACAGGACTGCGAGTACCGTAATGGTTCTCTCGAGAGTTTGAACATCTACCTTTTGGAATTTTCGGCACAAATCAACTTTCCCTGAGTAATCCGAATGCTGCGACTGTAAAATGCAGGTGCTGGTAGCTCAAGCTTCACGATGACGTGGGGCAACTCTAGCCGCGGCAAGGGTCCTGCTAGCTCGGAATTTTAGATTCATTGAGGACCGCCCCTCCGTACGTGTTGATCGATTAAGAAAAGATGGCTACACGACCGAACGACTGTTCTCTTAGAGTGAAAGGCGGTTGCAGCGAGGTCATACCTTTCATATCGAACGGCAGAGCCCTTATTTTTAGCGTGCGCTCCCTTGTATAACTTATACGACTCCTCGTCTTACCGCTCCACATCCATCTGGCCCACTCATTGCCCATGGAGCTTGGAAACATCGTTACAGTGCTATACTAGACTTGTGATCATGCCGAAGAACGCACATCCGCCCCGCGGCAAGCCTGCGGAGAAGGTACCTCCGCACGAGGAAGACACCAGTTACATCGTTTTCGGTGACGGAAAGCCAAAGAAGAAGAAGGGCGGGAGCTCCGCTCAGAGTGACGACAAGGGCAAGGGGAAGGGTGCTGCTGGACAGGCTGAGGATGGACCTAAGAAGCCTGACACAAGGACCCTGATCGCAGGAGCATCGTGGACGGGCAAGCTACCAGTCAACCTGTTCTCAGAGCACCTTCAGAAACAGCAGTGGGGGAAGCCAGACTACAGAATAGTAGGGCTTCCTTATGATAGCAGACGAAATCAATGGCTAACCCTTTCCAGCGCAAAGATGGTGACAAGCACTTCGCATACGCTGTCGTCTTGTCAAAGAAGAACCCCAAGACACAAGAAGTCACGACTCTGCCTCCGATCAAGATTCCCGCCGAACTCGAAAAGCCCGCCCATCAGCCCACCGCTGTAGAAGCCCGCAACTTCGCCGCCGCTTACGCTCTCTTCCGCGTCGCGAGTGCGAAGAACCTGCATATGATGCTGCCTCCCGTATACAAGGACTTGTGGAAGGGAACGTTCCAAGAGCTCAAGAAGAGAGACGAAAAAGAGGGTAAGGCTTGGATGTACGAGGCAGATCCCTTCTTCGGCTTTGCGGAACGAGAAAAGGCCAAAGCAACTGCTGCGAAAGAGCGAGAGAAGAAGCAGAAGCAGCGAGATGAGGCGCAGAAAGCGCACAACCTCAAGCCTGGTATGTCTATGCCGAATGCTGAAGGCTCGTGGACGGGCCCCGCGAAGAACTTGATGAGAGGCTGGGAGCGGGTGCCGAAGATTGAGCTTGGGAAGAGGACACGGCAGCAGGTCGAGCGCCTTATCCGGCGTGATGCACTCTGGAACCCCAATGGCATTCACATGGACTTGAACACCAGAATACGGCTCGAGGACGAGATCACAGATCTTGGGTTCCGTCGAAGCCACGTTGAGGAAGCTGCCGACATATGCAAAGACCGAGAAGAGATTCTCGAATGGCTTCTAATCCATGTTCCTGAAGACGACCTGCCCTCTTGGAGTTTGCCTGAAGGCTACGTTGCCGGCGTGAGCATGGCGAGTTCCAATCTGAAGCGAGAGGGCGCAGTCAAGCGCTTGGCAGCGGCAGGCTATTCGACCGAGCTCTGCGAAGAGGCTTATGACAGTCAGGGTGGAGACGAGAGGAGAGCTGCTGCATTGCTTCAAGCTCGCCTGTTGCGCCCAGATGATGACGACAAAGACATTTCGCAGGAACTGGCAGACGTTGCCATCGCAGAGGAGCCAGAGGAGCTGCTGGAAGACGACCCTTGGGAGACCGAAATGTCTTCCTTGGAAGCCATCTACGACAGGCTGTTCTCCCGACCATCACCTACAATGTGCCGCGTTGAACTTGACATCAAGCAACAAGGGAAACGCCTTATCTTGCAGGCTAGAAAACCGTACGGTCCTTACCCTGGTGTCACTCCCATCATCACTTTCGAGGCAGCTATTCCTGCCTACATCCGTCTCAGCATCATTAGGAAGGCGCTTCTAAATGCCGAGGAGAACTTCATCGGAATGCCGATGATCTACGACATCATAGACTGGGTGCAGCAGAATGCAGGCGAAATCTTCAAGAACCCTGGCCGATTAGCCGATGTGTCGTCTGGCCTTGCTGCAGCAGATCACTCGGTAGAGCCGCAGAATCAAGCGAAGAAGAGGAGAGATAGAGGTCGCCGGCCGATCGACTGGAAGCCAGCCACACCTGCCAGTCAGCACGTTCTTGCCGACTGGCAAGCCCGGCAAGAAACATCGGCTCAGCAGAAGATGATGAGTGCTCGACAGTCACTCCCAGCCTGGAAGCTGAGAGACGATATTGTTCGAACAGTCAACAGGTGCAGCGTCACCATCATCTCAGGTGAAACTGGTTCCGGTAAATCGACACAGTCTGTGCAATTTGTATTGGACGACCTAATCCAAAGGCAGCTAGGTGCTGTTGCAAACATCATCTGCACGCAACCGCGAAGGATTTCCGCCCTTGGTCTTGCTGATCGTGTAGCCGACGAAAGATGTGCTCGAGTCGGCGATGAGATCGGTTACACCATTCGTGGCGAGTCAAAACAGAAACCTGGTGTAACCAAGATCACCTTCGTCACAACCGGTGTTCTTCTACGACGCCTTCAAACATCTGGCGGAGGCGCTGACGATGTTGTCGCTGCCCTTGCTGATGTCAGTCACGTCGTCGTTGATGAAGTGCACGAGCGCAGCCTTGACACCGACTTCCTCCTTGTCCTTCTCCGACAGATACTGCGCACCAGGAAAGACCTGAAGGTCATCCTGATGAGTGCGACACTGGACGCTGATGTATTTGAAGCTTACTTCAAGGATGTAGGGCCTGTAGGCCGTGTCGAGATCGCTGGTCGGACACACCCTGTAACAGACTACTACATCGACGATGTCATGCACTTCACGGGTTTCAGGGGCTACGTTGGCGAAGATGATGAGCCGCAAGACAAGTCTTTCTCTGCAAATCTCCGCAGCATTGGCTTCGGCATCAACTATGATCTCATTGCTGAAACCGTTCGCCACATTGATCACCAGCTCGGAGACAAAGATGGCGGCATCTTGATTTTCCTGCCCGGTACGATGGAGATTGACCGAACAATACAAGCTCTGAGCAGCTTCTCGAATCTTTATGCTCTACCACTTCATGCTTCACTTCTGCCAGCCGAACAAAAGCGCGTCTTCCCGCTGCCTCCAGCTGGCAAGAGAAAGGTCATTGCAGCGACCAATGTGGCAGAGACCTCAATCACGATTGAGGATATTGTCGCGGTCATCGACACTGGTCGCGTCAAGGAGACGAGCTATGACCCACAGAATAATATGGTTCGACTTGCAGAGACGTGGGCGTCGAGAGCGGCATGCAAGCAGCGTCGTGGTCGAGCAGGTCGTGTGCGGGCTGGCGACTGCTATAAGCTGTATACACGCAACGCTGAGGCCAAGATGCTGGAACGTCCCGACCCTGAGATCAGGCGCGTTCCTCTAGAGCAAATGTGTCTCTCCATCAAGGCTATGGGTGTGCAGGACGTCTCAGGCTTCCTCGCATCGGCTCTTACGCCACCCGAAAGCACCGCAGTCGAAGGTGCGGTCAAACTGCTGTCACAGATGGGAGCAATTACCGACAATGAGCTCACTGCTCTCGGCCGTCATATGTCTATGATCCCTGCTGATCTACGTTTGAGCAAGCTGCTCGTCTACGGCGCAACATTCGGCTGTCTCGAGGCGGCACTCACCATTGCATCAGTATTGACTGCTCGCAGCCCCTTCATCTCGCCCCGCGAAAGGGATCAGGATACTAGGAACGAGTTCAACCGCATCCGCGCATCCTTCTCGGACAATCAAGGAGATCTCCTCGTTGACTTACGTGCCTACGAACAATGGTCCGCTTTCCGCAGCAAAGGCGTCTCTGCCCGCGACCTCAAATTCTGGTGCCAGGACAACAAGCTCAATCTCCAAACCTTGTTCGACATACAATCCAACCGCTCGCAGTACCTCTCATCCCTTAAAGAAATCTCCTTCATACCGTACAACTACACCTCAAACAATACCTCAACCCATGGCACGTATAACGCGCAAAACGGCAACGACGCCCTCTTGCGCGCCCTCGTCGCCGGCTCCTTCAACCCACAAATTGCACGCATCCAGCTCCCGGATAAAAAGTTCGCTGCCGGTATTGCCGGTGCCGTTGAGCTTGATCCCGAGGCTAGGGAGATCAAGTACTTCAACCAAGATAACGGACGCGTCTTCGTTCATCCCTCCTCCACACTCTTCTCGAGCCAGACCTTCCCGTCAAACGCCAGTTTTGTAGCCTACTTCAACAAGATGGCGACGAGCAAGGTGTTCATCAGAGATATCACGCCGTTCAATGCGTATAGTTTGCTTATGTTTGCGGGACAGATTCAGGTCGATACGCTGGGCCGCGGTCTTGTGATAGACGAGTGGATACGTTTGAGAGGTTGGGCCAGGATTGGTGTGTTGATTTCGAGATTGAGGGGGATGTTGGATCAGGTTCTCGAGAGGATGGTGAAGGAGCCTGGGAAGGGTATGGGGGATAGGGAGGCGGATGTTGTGCAAGCAGTGCGGAGGCTAGTCGAAAGAGACGGGTTGGACGCTTAGACCGAATGCAAGTATTGCATGTGCTGGAGTTCACCTCGTAATTCCACAATATCGTCAGCCCTTTGTTCGAGAAGTCGCGATGAGCTTCTTCGACTCTCCTTTTGTCTTTACTGTGCCTTTCAGCGTCACTGTTGGTCGCTTCTTTCACAGCAAGAAAACAATGCCATTCTCTACCACTACGAAATGCAGTATCCTCCCTGAGCAATCTACACCAGCTATATACTGACTCAAATTCTTCACTTGCTGCAGTGAACCAGCGATTCTGAAAGCACCGCGCTCTGTGCTCGGAAGCCATGTCTCATGGCAGATACTCAAACACAACCCGCAGCGCCCTCGAACATACCGTCAACAACAACAACAACAACATCCACCACCACGGCTCCATCAGCGAACGAACACGCTCACAGGTCCGGCAACGAAACATTCCTCGGGATGATCAAGAAGCAGTACTGCGCAGGATCAGACCACGAAACGGCGATTTTACAAGGACGCGACGGATTACACGCACTGCCCAGTCCCGCGCAGAACACCGCCTTCGGAGATCGAGGGTCAGGTTGCGAAGATATCTGACGAGCGACCGCTGGCGCAGAGACGATGACTTTGGCGACTTGAGAGAGCCAACACGACACCAGATTGAACAGCTTGGCTCCCTCGACGCCTCTGGCGCCATCCAATCCCTCCTTCGCGCCAGACCCGGATAATGGACTTCCGACCTGCGCATGATCTCGCGACAAACACGGACGCGCCCTACGCCGAGCAGCTTGTGCGAAGTAGAATTAAACTACTTGGAGCAAGAGCTGGATGAGGAGTTTGGCGTGCTGCTGGGCGAGGCGTTTGGCAAGGAGAAGGATTTAGATGCTGAAATGGATGGTTTGGATGGGTTGACGGAGGATGGGAGGGTGGAGGCGGGTTTGTGGGATGGGGTGAGGGCGAAGGGTGTTTAGAAGGATGTTGTGTGGGGGAAATATGAGTAGTGAGGGGGTTTGCGCTGTTGCAAGGTGGGTGGCTATGAGTGGAAGAGCGTGGGAAAGGAGAGTTATGGATCGAGGGTATGTGGAAGTGGTTAGGAAGGTGTGGAATTGAAGAATGTGTGATTGGTGGAAGGTGCCTTGATGGCGAGTGTCTAGCTTTATAGTGCGTAATGATGGAATAGTCGTTGTCGAGGTCCGCATTAGTCGTATTACTACTCATCCCGGCCTAGTCAATGAGCTCTGCATGATCGAAGTCGTATATAGCACCGCGATGGCGATTACACCCGCCATTCGCCTCCTCGCACCTCCGCCTCACTCCACTTTCTCCCATGCACATACGCTTCCTCAGGCTTACTCAGTTTCAAGCTCACCCTCTGCAGCTCTTTGGTCACGAGGATGCTCCTCAAGCTTTGACCCTCCTGAACATGACTGAGCCCGTCACTTCCTCTTGAGCTTCCTCGGCTTCCTGGGTCCTTGACCATTTCCTTGCAACTCTTCCTCTCGTAACGGCGGAGGCATATTGCGATCAAGGGTACGCAGAGGAGGAGGATCATGACCGAGGCGACGATGCCGATGATTGCGAGTGGACTCCAGCCGTCGCTATTGGAGGAGCGAGGCGACGCTGAGGGAGCAGCGGGGATAGTTGTCGCTGTGGACATAATGATGGCCGTTGTGATGGAGATCCGTGCTGTTGAATTGGATGTAGCGTACTGTAATGTATCGTCTATGTCGAATAATGACTTCGTTGCGTTGTAAGACCGAAGCGAATGGAAGGGTAAACGCTCAATTATGAAAAGAACACGTAGAGACCAATGGCAGTAATGACTGTGATGCTTCAAGTTACGAAGCTCGCGAGAGTGTGGAACACAGCAAATGCGAGGAATGGAAAACTGCAAGACGAGGATGTGTGGTCGAGAAATAGCGTGAAAGATGAGGGGTAAATAATGCTTTGTCTTAAGGACCTCTTCGAACAATGAACACCATCCCACTTTCCTATTACGGCTCTGAACCTTTGCGAAGGGAGACCTGAAGTCTCCTAGCGTAGTCGTGAACCTTTGATGTCGCACAGAGAGTGGTTGGTGCTAAAATAGTGGTCGTTTATGGCTGACCAACCAGAGCGCCAGACGGCCAATGCTCGCTTCTTCTTACGCCACCCTCGTATGGTTCGAGAAGTGACCTTTCTGGAATTCGAGGAAGCTGACCAATCGTATAGACGTGTTCCTGAATTTTGAGGAGTGTCCCTTTGAGGCTCTTTATGGTGTGCGTGGTTGCGGAAACGTCCGTTGGACCGGACCTGACCGAACCGAACTGTTGATCGAAGCCAAGCGAGACTGGCGACAGCCTCTTGTTGCTGAATCTGACCGCTTTTTGTACATTACGGTAGAAACATCCCATTCGACTGCTGATATTCAAAATTAGTCCTGTATTGACTGCTGTCATGCGAAATTGCTGATGATCGATGACATGTTCGAGATGTCGAAGTATCGATACCCTCGAGAACTGGCTGTGAACGGCAGAACACTATCTGTACTGACGTCGGAGTATTTTGCAGCTTCGTCGTAGCTTGTTCGCTGTGTCGAGTTTGAACGTTGTACGGTACTGCGGCGCCAATCCGGGTGCTCGCGTAAGATCAACGTACTGATAGCTAAATTCCGAGCCCACGCGGCTACACTCGACGTGCTTATGGCCAAGATTTTGCCTGGCAAGCTTCGACAACTCATAGGCGCTGATAGAGATGCAACTGCATCCGCATGTTCTCCAACTCAATTGGATACTCCAACCGATCATCAAGCCTAAACCACCTACTATCATCCTCTTGCACCTTCTCCCACAACCGGACCTCCTCTTTCGCCTTTCCGCCAGAAGTATCTACCAATAACGTATGATCCAACAGCCACTGCATCGGATAAGTCTTGTCGGCTCCGTTGAGACTGACTGTTGAGTAACTTCCTGGACTATCGACGACTAGCAGCATCGCCCCAGGCTCCAGGCTCTCGGTCATACGCAACAAGAATTGCTGGGTTAGGGATATTGAGGCTGAGTAGAGCTCGTTGAGCGTGAACATCAGAGTGACTAGGTTCACGCTCTCAAGAGCCGCTGCGAGTGTCTTGGGGTCCATAGTCAGAACGTCGTGTTGGTGGAAGGTCGTCCTGAACGCGGTCGGGTCGGCAAGTGGGCGGTTTGCGGCCTTGACAGCAGCGGATGCGTATTTCGATAATGGAGGTGGTGCAGTGATGTGCTGCGTAAGCTGGTCGACTACTTTGGTCCAGTCTGCACTGTCGATGGCAACGACCTCCATACTCCTTGGTTGGCCGTCTCCTCGCTCTTTGTGCTCATCTGACAGCAACCTGTGTAATCCGCCTAGAGTTCCTATTTCAGCACCAGCACCGCCGCCGAGACAGACAACTTTCCAGCTCTTTCGTGAACTACCTTCAGCCTCACTGGACTCGTCTTCTGTGGTTTGCATAAGGTTCAAAGACTCCCTCATGCGCCACAACACACCCAGATACCCCAGTGCTCGACTCGGACTCCATCGCGCCGCATACGCTTCAAGGTAATCCTCTCTCCCGAAAGCCTCCTTGAAATTGCGATCAAACAGGTGACCCTTAACTTCCTGTAGCAGGGGCTGGATATCGCTTTCCAAACGTTCCTTGAACGAGTTTCTGAAGATGTTGAGAATCAGTTGCTGCGTCTCCGGTGGTATTCTCGTTTCCAAGCTCTTTTCTTCGATGACTTTGGGCTGTTGCTCTTTGGCTAGCCTGGACTTGCCCGGCTTGCCTTTGGCGTTTTTTATGCCTGTCACCCTGGACTTTTGTGGCGCTGGCATTGTTTTCTGCGATTTGAGTGGTTGGGCGGAGAGAAGGCCGCAGTGAAGATTTGACAGCTTGAGATGAAGGGTTTAGCGAGGTGTTGTGATTGGTTGGGAAGCTAGTGTGGGTGCTGCTGCTAAGGAATAGTTCCGTCTACAACGCTGATGATGAGATAGTCAACACTGCTTAAGAGCCACGATCTAGGTTTTCTATAGTCTCCAAAGTGCTCTCCAGAATATCTCACACTCTTAGTGACGAAATCTGTTCACTACCGTCACCATGCGTCTTCCATACATCCCGAACCCACCAGAATTCATTGAGGAGGCGGACAAGGCCGTGCTCGAGCGCATCAAGCAACGTCGAGGAGAAAAAGGGTTGATTGCACTTGACCGAACATTGCTTCATTCCCCTCCGGTCGCTGATGGATGGTGAGTGTACTAACATTCCCGACATCTCTTTCTTTCCCTGCTCGATTCGCTGGTGGACTCTCATCACATACGTACCACAACTCAACCCATAGTATGAAGTATGAGAGCTACTTGGATCTTTGAGCAACCATCAATGATCAACCCCCAAACACTCCAGACCTCCCTCTCTAACACATCCTAGGAACTCCTTCCTCGGCGCAATCCGCACACGCACCTCCCTCCCACCCTCGATCCGCGAAACAGCAATCGCCCGCGTCGCCGTACTAAACAAAGCATGGTACGAGTGGGAGTCTCACAGCCCCATCTTGCGTGCTGCTGAAGGTTTGCATCCCTCTTTATCCAAAAAGTCCTAAAAGCCTCAATATCCCCTCCCTCCCACTTTTCGAATTTACAATCTCCGGGAAGACTGACGTTGTCTAGGAATCTCGTCAGAGCACATTAATGCAGTTCTCAACTCAACGCCGCGGACTGTGGGCAAGGGGATTCAAGATGAAAGGCATGCGGCGGTGTTGTCGTATACGGATGCCATGACGCTGGATATCAGTGTACCAGATGAGGTATTTGCAGAGCTGAAGAAGCACTTCAGTGAACAGGAGGTTGTCGAAATTACTGCGACGGTTGCGGCATATAATTGCGTGAGCAGGTTTCTGGTGGCGCTGGATGTGGGCGAGACGAATGGGCAGAAGGGGCCGGAGAAGGATTGGGAGCTTTAAGTTAGACAAAGGTTTGAATGGCAGTCTTACGTTTTATGAAGGCGATGTTAATGAGCAGAAGGTGGTTTCTGCTTCGAGATTATCTGAGATTTGCGTTCAAGTATATATAATAGTATTTTACATGCGCTCCAAGCGCCTTCTTCGCCGTCTACTTCTTCGCTGCACCTTTGTTCTGGCGTTCCATCGCCTGCTTATACTTCGTCAACCGCATCTTCTTCATAATCCGATCCTCCCTCGCCTTATCATACCCCTGGCCACCGCCGGCTAGTCACGCCTGCCTCTGCACCCTTCTCCTCTGCTTCAACATATGCGAAAACAGCACATAACTCCCCGGCACATAGATCGCCAGAATCGCCCACAACGCATATGGAATCCTCTCATCAACCAGCTTCGCAGCAGGGATGGCTTGGTACACGAGCCAGCACTCGGACGCAATGCCGAGAGGGTAGAGAAGGGTGAATGTATTGTAGCGCAGGAAGGAGAGGAGCGAGGGCACGCCGAGACCACTGAGGGTGAAGACGAAGTAGCTATAGCGGATGACTTCAGTGATGGACCATGCGAGTAGCATGGTGCTGTATGCGGGCGAGTGTTGGGTGGTGGCGGGGAAGTTGTAGGCGATGCCCCAGACGAGGAGGAAGCGGGATGCTACTTGCATGAGGGTTGTGAGGAGGGGCGCGCGGACGATACCTATACAGCGTGTTAGAAGGCTACTTTTTATTTTCCCCTGACATCTCCTGTCCCTCAGGCTTCTCTTGAGAATCGATAAGAGTATAACGTACCGACCAGACTATGCAACACCTCCAACCCCGCCAAACTCTGCACCAATCTTGTATACTCTTCCAACTCTCCAAACACTTTACCACTAGCTAACCCAGCAGCCGCGCTCTGCAAGTCGTTACGGCCGAAGAAGCTTCCAGCCTTGCGCGCGCTCTGAATCTCATGGGCTCCAATCGTGACAGACTTATACAGCACACTGGCCCACAGCGCAGCAGACACCGCATTATAGGCGAGCAGGTACGTGTTCTTCACGGGCGAGGAAGCAGCACGGGATGTTGAGGGGCGCTGGTCCCGTGGAGAGCTTGGGGTGGCTTGTTTGGGCGGCATTGTGGCTCTTGTTGGGGTCGAGGGAACAGAAGTAGACGGCGATGGAGATTTGTTGTTGCAGTTGGGATGCCTGAGGTTTGAGGGACAGATTTGTTGATGGCCGAGGCTGTTCCTGCGTAAGAATGGGAAAGTTTTAGCGAGAGGAAGGTGCAAGCGAAGGGTTGTATTGCCGGTAAGTCCGAATGATGTAAGAAGGGGTTGATGAGATCACAGGCTTGCAAAAGTCTGAAGATTTGAGTCGATGCAGATTCTGATAAGGACAGGATTGCAGAGGGAGGCTGCATCTAGCAGACCATTCGTGGTGCTGCGGTCGAAAGATTCTCAAGAGGATGAGTTCTGTGTTAATCCCATACCAGTATATACACATACATATCTATCAGATCATTACGTTGTCCGCATGGACATGCTTGGCCCTATGCTCCCTTGAGAACATGAAAAAGAATCATGAACGCCCTTCCGATGCTGTGGTAACCGTGTCGAGCCAGAAAGCAACTGATTAAACACCATGCTATGCAAAATGCAACAACCCCCAAAAGCCAGGTGGTATATACGAGAGGTAAGAGAGTCGTTAGAGTGAAGGAGAAAAAGAGATGCCGTATCGTTTACAGCATGAAGAGCTGGAACATGGCCTTCGGGCTCGAGACCTTCTTACCGCAACCCTCGACCACACACTCTTTCAAGGGCCGCGTCTTGGGTGCGGCCTGCTTCTCTTTACCCTTTGCACTGCGTTTGACTAATCGATTGGCTGTGCATTCGCCGCAATAGATCTGCCACATACATTAGTTTTGCTTCCCCCAACACAGCGGTTGTGTGTAGAACTTACATGACCACACTGCTTGGCGATCCACACCTGCTTCTTGACATCGTCATCACCCTTGCACAGCTCGCTATCGCAGTTCGGACACACCAGCACGTCGTTCTCCTCCGGACTCCTCGTGAAGCCCTCCGGTGCCGGCGCAGGTGCTTCGTACGTTGGCGGTGCCGGCTCTGCTCGGTTCCCGCCATATCCCATGTCGAACCCAACCATTCCGAAGTTCAGGTTTGGTGCAACAAATATTCCGGCTCCGGCTCCTGCCACGCCCATTCGAATGTGATTTCCGCGACGAAGGCGAGGCGGGGGTTGAGGCTGAGGTCCACCGTGACGCATATGCTCGGCTAGATGGTGGATGTGGGCATTGGCGCGATCGATTTCTCCTCGTAGGTGGGCGAAGCTGTATCGGTCATGCCGATGATTTCCAAGCACTGCTATTACTCGGTCCAGCTCTGCGTGTCGTGCTGCGTGTTGGCGTGCTCTCCTCTCGTTTTCTGATAGTGGTCGCTCCTCCACGAACTGAACGTCATCCCCATCTGAGTCGTTTCGGCGCGGCGGGGGTGCTAGGCGGTTAGGTGGGTCGAGACGTCGTGCTGATACGAACTGGATGTCCGGCGAGGATGGCTCGAGAATGACTGGATCGTCATCTACTGCCCAGGCTTCTTCCCCGTTGTCCAGATTGATGATGCCAGCCATGCCTCGTGGCAAACGGGCAGCATCATTATTAAGAGAGCGTCCTGCACCTGTCGGTTGGGATCGCGCTCTATTATTGTTGTGTGCTTGTCGGTCGTTCTGTGGTAGCCGGGCGTACCCTGGAGTATCGTCCTCTGTCAGGTCGACAACTTCCTCTTGATCATGCTCGCCCGCCTCCGCCTGAGCATGGTATGCCGCAATATCGTCCCCATCCTCGTGCACAACAATAGGCTCATCATCCTCGCCATCACTAATCTCAACCGGATGTCGCTCTTCAGCCCTGCCATGCCCCTCACCTCTGCTCTGCCAGCCCACAGGTCTCCTCATATCGAATCCGTCGCCCTCAAACCGCGGTACTTGCCCGTACTCCATGTTCTGTGCAGGTCGTTCTATATGTGGAAGGTGCCTTCCTACGCTTGGGTTGGCGGTGCCAGCTGAGGCTGGTCGGTCGTTTGGTTGCGCTGTAGGTTCTCTCGAGGCAGAGTATTGGGCTCGCATGGCGGCGTCAGGCGTTCTTGCTCGGTGCCCAGAGGCGGCGTAGTAGTTGGGCTGTGACGAGGACCCGCGGCGGTTTGCGTGAAAGGGTTCTTGGGGTTGTGGTAGCGAGTGCTCGCGGGGAACACCAAGGCGGGTGAAAGGCGTGAGGTTTTCGAGGCTCCAGGCTGACCCTGCGTTGCCCTCCATCTGGTCATGCGAGCGCTGCGAGTCTTTGTTAGCCCAAAATCGCTGCGTGCATTGCCGCCCGCTCCACTTTGTTACACACCTTCTGTCTGTGCGTATACCCAAAGGGCAGATGGTTATCCATGACCTATGACGCAGTTGGTCTACAAAAGTTGGGTGGTGTCGCGGTGATGACAACGGAGGTGCGCCGTTGGGCGTGCCGAGCCTGAAGAGCGTCTGGTGGGTGAAGTGAAGTGGGTGAGCGTGTGATTGACGTCTGAGAGGTTGCGGTGATGCCACTCGGCAAACGCCACTTCACGGTCACCACCGATCTCAAGACAGCATGCAACACCCAGGACCTTTCAAATCGCCGCCTAGAAATCGTCTACACTTTTCATGCCTTTCTTGTTCTTTCTTGCAACACGAAGTGCATATTAATGGACAATGATCTCACTCACCTAGTAATCGAAGCGTGATAATGCAAGTGAAGTATTCCAAGGATGTGTTGCCCAACTATACTCAGAAGGGTCACTTGTGTTACATTACTCCAGGCGCCTCTGCACCTCCTGTGATCCTATCTGAAATGATATGCCAAATCTGAACGCAAGTCATTCCGCGCTTTTGGGCTCTATGCCATCCAGAATCCATCTTACATCATCCCTTCCAAGTCGTCCCCAATCGCCGCGCTTGTTCCTGATGGGCCTTCTCCTGTGACTTGCACGATACGTCTTCTCGTTCAACGCTACCGTTGTTGTCTCCCTCATGCTGAGCTCAAGACGCTCAATCCACCCTCTGATGTCAGTGCGATTAAGCTGCCTGCATTCGCACCCCAAGCAACGTCCTTCGCTGGTACGGCCTTGCGTACTGGCTCTGACCAGCTCTTTGATGCCTTAGTGTATTGTTGTACTGACATGCTGCCCGAGCCAGCTGCTGCAAGGAACTGGCCAGTGTAGTCCCACTTGACGTTCTCAACAGGGCTGCCAGCATCGAGGACCTTGATAACATTCTGCTTCCTGATATCCCAGATGGAAACCTGACTCGACCCCTTCTGGGCGACTGCGAACCAAGTACCGTTCTCGGAGAAGGCAATGGCAGTAACAGGCGCGCCAGTATCAAGCTCGGCCATGGGGGCGCCAGTCTTGACATCGAAGATGCGGATCTTGCCGTCCGAGCTACCGACGAAGAAAAGGAGACCGTCTACGTGGAAGGAGCATGCTGTGATGTCGGCTTCGGTGTAAATCTGCGAAACAGTCCTGAATGTCGAGAGGTCGTAGTATGCGACGCGCTTGTCCGCAGCTCCGGAAGCCAGGATAGATCCACTGGGGTGTAGAGAGAGCGATGTGATGGCACCAGCGTGCGAGCCGAGTTGCGCAATCTCGTTGCCGTTCTCGAAGATCTTCACTGTACCAGCAGCAGTCGCAACGACTGCGCGCGATCCCCACCATGTGGTAGCGGTGACCGGGCTGCCAGCCTTGAGCACCTGCATGACTTTCTGCTGCGATATCGAGTAGACGCCTGCCACACCATCTGCACCGCCGAATAGTGCCAAATCGCCCGACTCGTCGACGGAGACTGCACTGCTTCCAGGGTAAAGAGGCTCGCTCGAGGAAGTAACGTCGAATGCGGAGATGTCCTCGCCGGTAGCCCAACCCTCAGGCACGGGTCGCTTTCGGCGCGTCGCAAAGAGTCTGTGTGTCATTAGCGGTAGTTTTTCTGACGTAGCATCCGTGAACTTACTGTTGCTGTGTCTCGTCAACCTTGGCGACAAGCTCCTCAGGCAGCGCCTGGCCGTCAACCTGCATAGCATCACCGTTGCTGCCACCACCGCTGATGGTGACGTTCGACAGTGCCTCACGTGCCTCGTCCCTCTCGCGTGTCAATCGCGCAACTACGCGAGTCGCCGCATCGTTCTGGTACAGCGCTGTGCTGAGCTCCTGTCGTGTCTGCGCCAGTTGCTGCTTGAGGCTATGTGTTTCCAAGACAATGGCATCCCACTCGTTCTGGAAGGCGCTGAGGAGCGCGGGGATAGATGTGAGGTTCGGTGGTCGGGGCGCCACGACTTGCGGCGACTTGAGCTCGATAAGGTCCTCGATTGAGAGGTCTTCGCCTGTGACGGGATCGGTGTGGTGTTCGGCGATGTGTGCCTCGATCAGGCGCTTTTCGAAAACATTGCCGCTCTTACGCGACGCAACGGCTTCCCGTGGAGCTTCTCCGGATATAGCGCAAAGCATCGTGGTGGATGTGGGGGTATTGTCGCGATTAGTGATGCTCTGAGCCTTGAAGTTGTCGCGAATTCTTAGCAGAAACGCGCTAGTGGACGGATTGAGTAAGGCGCTCTTTCCACGCTCCAGGTGAGGTCACTTCTGACTTCTACATCAATCAAACAACACCTTCAGTCCATTCGATACCCAAGAATGCTGGACACAATGATGACCGTGATACTTGAAGTACTACAGAGCTCATGTCCAATTCATGCCCTGTTACACCAACTAATTATCAACGTATTTTCAACCGTGTACATGCTCTTACAAGAGCATCCCAGTTGACGAGCTCGAGCTTGAAGATAGTCAAAAACTTGAGCAGCCTCCTCCAGGAAGCTCAAGAGAAAGCAGTTCGAGTTCCCGAACACACAGCTGGCCAAATTGCTGAAGCAGGTAGGTGGTATCGTCGTCAGCCCAGTAACTTGCGAAGATGCAGATGCACGGAAAACCGGTTCACGAAATCCCTTCCCGTTCAGCCTCCATCTCTGTCTCATCAACAATCTTCCCCAGTGCCATCGTAACTTCCTGTCCGCTCTTACTGCTTCTTGGAAACAACACGGTTGAACGTGGGTAGGCGAGCTCATCTCGGACCGGGGTCAGGCGAATCACCGTTCTTCACGGTCCGAGATACATCCAATTGACAACCACAGTACCAAGAGGTGCGGTATAAAACGTACAAGATCCCCGTCAATGATGGAGAATTCACACCTTTGAGCTGCTCTTGAGCAACATCAATATGATTAGCAAAGGTCTCATCCTCCTCGGGTCAGCTCTGCCTGCTTTAGCCACTTCGTTGGCTAAGAGGCAGAGCTCTTCTTTGGAAAGCTGTCCTGGGTACACTGCTAGCAATGTTCAAAATGATGGTGCTAGAGTCACCGCGGATCTTGCTCTTGCTGGCACGGCATGCAATATCTACGGTGATGATCTGACGGACTTGAGGCTGGAGGTGGAATACCAGACTGGTACATTGATTGTCAATACCGCCTCTTGGATTTACTAACAAACTGCGCAGAAAGCCGACTACACGTCAAGATCTACGATGTCGCCGAGCAGGTTTTCCAGATCCAGGAATCCGTCTGGCCGAGACCTCAAGGGGATGATGGCTTTGATCCTGCAACCTCAGCTCTGGTCTTCTCTCACACAGAGAACCCGTTCTCCTTTGCTATTACCCGCAGAGACACCAATGAGACTCTTTTCGACACTTCAGCTGCGAACTTGGTCTTTGAGACACAGTACCTTCGCCTCAGGACGAGCCTGCCCAAGTCTCCCAATCTGTACGGCCTGGGAGAATCTACGGATGACTTCCACTTGAACGCAACCAACTATACCCGAACTGTAAGCTACTCATCCAACAAATACTGCAGAAGCACAGTATACTGACATGAGTAGCTGTGGAATCGTGATGCTTATGGTACTCCCCCAGGAACCAACCTTTACGGATCCCATCCAGTGTACTTCGACCACCGTGGTAAGAACGGCACTCATGGCGTGTTCCTTGCTAGCTCTCAGGGTATGGACATCAAGATCGATGACTCGGATGGCCAGTTCCTGGAGTACAATGCCCTCGGTGGTGTCGTCGATCTGTACTTCTTGGCCGGTCCTACGCCCAAGGAGGTGGCTGTTCAGTACTCTGCGTTGTCTGGAACCGCCGCAATGATGCCTTACTGGGGTTTTGGATTCCATCAATGCAAGTACGGTTACCGTGATGTCTGGGAGGTCGCGGAAGTCGTGGCAAACTATACTCAAGCCAACATACCATTGGAGGTCATGTGGACCGATATTGACTACATGGAGCTCCGACGCTTATTTACACTGGATCCTGAACGCTACCCATTGGAGTTGGTACGCGCTCTGGTTAACTACCTTCACGTACACCAGCAACATTACATCGTCATGGTCAACTCCGCTATCTGGGCGGGCGACAGTGACGTTTACAACGAAGGTGTTGAGCAAAATGTGTGGCAGATAAGAGAAAATGGATCGGAATACAGAGGCGCGGTCTGGCCTGGCCCAACTGTCTTCCCTGATTGGTTCCACCCCAATACTCAGGACTACTGGAACAGCCAGTTCGAGCAATTCTTCGACCCCGCTACAGGTGTTGACATCGACGGACTCTGGAACGATATGAACGAGCCTGCCAACTTCTGCCCATACCCTTGCCCTGACCCTGTGGCCTACTCCGAAGAATCCAAGAACCCTCCTGAGCCTCCACCAGTCCGTCCTGGTGGACCTGGTCGCGTCATCCCTGGCTTCCCTGCTGCCCTTCAGCCTGGATCCAGCACCAACGCTACCAAGCGTTCGCTTCAGTCTCGTCAGTTCAACTCCAAATTGTCGATGCCTAAGCGTTCCCTCAATGCTCGTCAGTCTAACCAGACTACACCGCGTCTCGGTCTGCCCGGTCGCGATCTCATCAACCCCGGGTACGAGATCCAAAACGCTGCCGGATCGATTAGCAACAAGACCATGGACACTGACATCCGCAACTACGATGGCTCTTACCACTACGATACCCACAACTTCTGGGGCTCGCTCATGTCCATCGCATCGAGAGAGTCTATGTTGCAACGCCGCCCTGAGCGCCGTCCCTTCCTGATCACACGCTCCACAGTAAGATGACTACCTCCTATGCGCGTACTTCGCTGACTTGTTGTTCAGTTCGTCGGTCTCGGCAAGTACGTAGGCAAGTGGCTCGGTGACAACGTCAGCACTTGGGAGCAGTACCGCTTCAGTATCGCTGGCGTTCTGAACTTCGCCTCCATCTTCCAGATCCCTATGGTCGGACCTGATATTTGCGGTTTCGCCGGCAACACCACTGAGACCCTCTGCGCGCGCTGGGCCACCCTCGGAGCTTTCTACCCCTTCATGCGCAACCACGCAGGCGACACCTCCATCTCCCAAGAATTCTACCGCTGGCCTCTGACCCGCGCCGCAGCTAGCAACGCCATCGCCGTCCGCTACCGCCTGCTCGATTACATCTACACAGCCTTCCACCGCCAGACCGAAACCGGTCTTCCCCTCCTAAACCCGCTATTTTTTCACTACCCAGAGGACGCCAACACTTTCAACATCGAGTACCAATTCTTCTACGGCGACGACATCCTCGTCTCGCCCGTGCTCGAGGAGAACAGCACGTCCGTCAGCATCTACCTCCCCAACGGGACCTTCTACGACTGGTGGACTCTCGAGCAGATTCAAGGCACAGGGTCCTACATCAACATAACTGACGTGGGCTTCGACTCGATTCCGCTGCACATCCGCGGCGGCGCCATCCTGCCCCTGCGCGCTGAGAGCGCAAACACGACCACCGAGCTGCGCAAGCAGGATTTCGTTATCTGGATTGCGCCGAATAGCACGGGCCAGGCTTATGGCACACTGTATCTGGACGATGGAGATAGCATTGAGCAGGATGGCACAAGCGAGATCGTGTTCACGTATGATAATGGTGAGTTTAGTATGACAGGTGATTTTGGATACGAGACGGATGTTCAGGTTAAGAACATCACGCTCCTTGGTACAAATGGACAGCAGACACTGCAGGGTCCTGTGCCGTTAACAGGCGAGTACAGTGTTACTTTCAACACTTCCGGTGGGAATTACACTGGTGGTGGCAGCCCGCCGCAGTTCGAGGGAGCTGCGACAAGGAACAGCGTCGGTGCGCTGGTTGGCGCCATTGCCGGTGCCGCATGGCTGGCTTTGTAGGCGACGAAGCTGGGAATAGTTGAAGGACGAGCATCGGTGCTTAGGAAGCGGGGTGTTAATGTTGGAAGTGGGCCGAGAGTCTAGTTCGAGGCTCGGATATCAAATTTTCCCACCCCCTGACCGCTTTTTGCCCACGACCCGTATTTCCACAACCATCATTTCCAAACCTCCTTCCGTCTGAAATCAAGGTTGACAATATTAATTTACCAAACATATATCTTTTCATCAACCAATCAGCATCCGCCCTCTTGGCTTAGTGGTAAAGCGTATCACTAGTATACCAACGTTCACACCGAACGATCTGGCTTGCAAATGATAAGATCGCTAGTTCGATTCTGGCAGAGGGCATTCAGCTGCTTCCTAGTCTGAGCAGTTGTTTCAAACCGTTTCTTCGGCGTTGTGGCGGAGTGGTTATCGCGCAAGACTAGAAATCTTGTTCCTTCGGGAGCGTAGGTTCGAATCCTGCCAACGTCGTCTTTTTTGCTGTCCTCACCTCCTTGAGGAAAGAAGAGCAAGCGAAGAGGTAACAATAGTTGAGAGTGGTTGGGAGTTCAGTTTGGACCTGAAGGTCTGGCCAGCGCTGTGTTTTTGGTCTCGAGGGTCATATGCTTGCTACGTAAGGGAGACTGAATGGGTGGACAATGTAAGATACGTTGTATTGATGTGTATAATGCTATGGGTTGATGCTTGTGACACTTAGATGAGGCTTACCCTTCGCTCCAGAGCAACCACGAATGCCTCGATCAGTCTGGATCATCTTGGCCAAAGTCAGACTGCTCTCGCACACCCATTGGACGTCCCTACCGCCTGCGCCCGTGTTTCGCGATCAGGCTTCTCGACTCGCCGCATAGCCATATATGCGGACCAGCCTCTCCATCCTCAAGACCGTGTTGGTTGATCGCGTATTCGATCTGGCGGGCTCGCGCACGATTCGAGCTCAGCGTGGTGATACCCTCAGCCCAACCATAGAAGAATATAGAGGCGTTCAACCGACTCATCTCGTCTTGGAGTTTGCGTGCAGCGGCAGGTAGCCGTGTGGCGACCGTGTCGATATTACTCGGTATAACGCGGATAGGAAGTGTGAAGCCGGCTGGAACTGGGTGATCGGACATGGAGGCCCACTCTGCGACAAGATCCTCGGACGGGCGTCCCTGGCAGTCCCCTTGTGCAATCAGCAACTGAGCTCTCCGCTTTTCCTCGTCAGTGGCAAGCGTGTCCACGATCAGATTCATCTGATCCGCGGCTTCCTGTGTGCAGACCATGGAGTGCGAGCCGATCGCAGGATATAGATGGGTCGGCAACAGGTTCTCGCCAGCTTCTTCCTTTATCTGAGTTTGGACCTCGTCAGGATACCAATCGAGAATCGGACAGGGCTTGTGTGAGATGTCGGAGATGAGAGCGAGCAGAATGGTGCAGTCGATGTTTAGTATCTCGGAGAGTGCGCGGGTTTGGTCCACCAGTAGATTGTTCAGAACCGCCTGTAGAGGCTGCGTGGGTGGTATATCCTCAGAACATTGCACGATCGCACTAGTCGCCCGGATCTTTGCAATGATGCCGTCCACTTCTTTTGTCTTCCCAGCCACGATACGTGTAAGCACGAAGCGCACTTTTGGTGGTCGCCCTCGTACGGGATTGGCTCGCGCAGCTCGCGCAAGCTCGCGTGCATTCCTTACAACGTCGACCTGGTCCTCGTCATCTTCATCCTCCCAATCGCTTGGTCGCGCCTGAGGCATGTCGTCGTCTGAGTCTGAGTCGTTAACCCACCCCAGCTTCGCGAGGTCAAAGATGATCCGTTTCTCGGATACGGTCGACACGCGGATCCACTCTCTGCCTTCATCCGCAACGATGTCGACCAGAGCTGCAGTCTTCCATTTGCCTACGCCTCCCTTTCCAAGACTAAGGCCTTGAAGCGTGCGTTTTCCAGCTGGCGCTTTGTGTCGGTCCCAGAAGTAGTATTTGCGAAAAGCTTGCAAGCCGCATGATCGTTTGGCGGCGCCCCATAGTGCCTCATAGTAGGTCAGGTTCGAAGAAACGATATAGTGACGAATCTTCTGCTCGGCCATGGGCGTGTTTGCAATCTTCTTGAGAAATGCGAGTTCATTTTTGAAGTCGTTGCGCAAGTTGCGGTACTCAACTGGATGCTGGACCCTGGTAATCTTCTGTCGTTCAATGACTGCTTCGACATAAGCTTCCACCTCCTTATATAGCGTTTTGCAGCGATCAATGAGGACTTGAACGGTAGCATCGAGATCTTCGCTGTTGTTACTGGCTAAACCAAGGTTGCTGATGCCTGATGCATCGGTCTTAAGGTCGAGGTTATTGAACTCTTTCGATATTGATTCGGTCATGGTGGGGCGTAGTGACTGAAGATCGCGTGCTCAAAAAAAAAAGTGAAATGATGGTCGAAGTGACAGCTACAAGAAAGTGTCCGATGCTTAAGGGAAATTATTATTGTGAAGCAAGTAAAGACTTCGATTTGCAAGAGCCATTGGGTTGTTCGAGTCACACCTGATTGGAAGGTTCGATGACGTTCTTCCTTCACCCACGGTCCGCTGGTGCCTGCTGTAACTGAACCCAGCCCTGGTGTCAATCCAGTGTTCAACGAAGCACAAGAGAGATGTTTGTAATTGCTGGAGCGTCGCGTGCACATTACAGCTTCGGGGTTGATCATCGAATACCTCTACGGGCCGACATTCATCCCGGCGAATCTTGGCGACCGACCCCGCCAAAAGTTGCCGCGAATTACCCACCACAACTCGCAGCGCCGAACCCCAGAGCACCCCACACTGTACAATGCCGTACCTCAAGACCAGTACCGAGTGGTACGAGCAGTCATCGCTACTACTGAAAGCCAGACCGACAAGTGTACGCTTACAATTGCCATTGCCAAAAGTCACAAGAGCTGACTTCGATGTAGACACGAATCACATCCAAATACACCGTCCTGAAACCCTCAGCTTCGAAGATAAAGAAGCGCGAAAAGTATGCCGCCAAGCAAGCAGCAAAGCCCGCAGACAAATCACGCACATCGTCACCGCCGCCGCAATCGAACCCTGAAGAAGTCACAGCGACCTTCGTTTTGAAGACGTACGATCCTGTATCAGGAACATGTCTGCAGTATGAGACAACAAAAGCAGCGGAAGTAGGGCGATTAGTTAGCAGTCTGGGGAGGCTAGGGAGGGAAATGGCGGCGCTGCCAGAAGCAATTGAGGACTTGAGTGCGCCTCAGGATGCTGGTGTTGCGACACCGAAGGTCGATGAGCAAGGGGATGTGAAGATGGGTGGGGTACCGGTACCCGCGGCCACAGGGACAGGAGGCGGAAAGAAGAAGAAGAAGGGCAAGAAATGAGCGTCAATCAGCGACCGAGCAAAAGACATCAAGATCCCAGGACACAACGAGCAGCAAGCGCGCGTGGGCGACCACGTGGCCTGACAGCAGACCCCTATCGGCCAGGACGGAGAGCGTCGAGGATGGAACAATCTTGTCGAAAGTGTAGGGCACGGCGAACGGGGAGAGTGGAAGCGCCGCGCGGCTGGAAGATACCTGGGTCCACTCAAGCCAACAAAGACAATATGACACCCAAAACTTTCATTGTCTCTATTTTGACGATCCCTCTTCGTACCTCACCTTTCTGCTGAAGTTCTGGCAACCGATCAGAGCTGGGCCCTCATATCATACCATGATTCCTGATTTCGCTGCCAACTAAAGCGCCTCCTCCAATATCCACAACCTCCTTCTTTACTTAACGAACACCCAATCCTCCTTCTCACCCTTCGTTCCCTCACCGTCCTTCATACACACCCAGTCATCATCCTTGATCTTGACGTTAGCCTCGTTGGCGCGGCGCAGGAAGTCCTCGATCTGAGACGGCTTCTTCTTGTGCTTTGTGCCGGTCTTACGAGGTATGCCGCTGACTGTAGGACGGTCTTAACAGTTCTTTGGTAGGGGAGGTAGCTTTCGGATTTGTTCCTGGAGTGGTAGAGACGACGGCATTGTGGCGGCGGTGGGGATGTTGTTCGTGCTTGTGGGACGGGTGGTGTTGCGCGCAAGGTGTGTGTTTGTGGCCGACACGGTGGTGTGAGTGGAAGGATGGTGGAAGAAGCGGAGGAGGAGTGCGAGAATTGATATGCGTGTGCGGTGGATGCGGAAGTGATGGGTAGATGCAGGTGGAGTCAGTGCGTCAGCAAAAGAGCGTGATTTTGAAGTGAAGTAAGGTATTCTTCTTATCACAGACAGTAGATATACTGTGAAATCGGCCTTTTCTCTAATTTTGTTGGTTGCCATACAGAAGTACGGGTCGTGTTTCAATACAAATACAGGCTGATATGCTGGGTCCTTCACTGACCCATGTATATTATATGTATTTGGAAAGTACGCAATACAAGTGACTTCCTGTAGGGTTTCAAAAGGATGAGTAAGGGGATTTCATAGTGTGTTGCAGTGTCTGTGTTGAATCGTGCCTGTTTTGCGTTGTTCAAATTTTTTGAAGTATTCTGGTGTACTACTGGACGGGTGAGAAAATGAGAAAGGACTGGCAACGCTATCCATATGCGCACAGGTTCATTCAAGGACCAACATCGAATGGGGAGGTAGTAAAAAAGAGCAGGGTGATACTCTACGTTTACTTCTTCGAATAGAACTGACCTAGCTGGTTGACCATACAATTGTAGTCTTGCAATAGTGGCACACATCGTAACATGTACTATCTGACAGGCAAATGCGCAGAGCATAAATCAATTCAACAATCACGAGTGCGCAATGGCTCGCGTCGATAACATAGCTATTACAAAGAGGGCACTTCCTTCATCAAATGCCTCTTGGACTGCCAAAGTAGTAATTATGGCTTATCGAGATGCTCAACCATTCAAGGTCATAGCCTTGAGACACCATGGCTTCATTGAAATATCCCATTTGAACCCTGCTCGAAGATAGAGAGTCAATCAGTTGACTCCGTTGAGCATAGTTTGTCTTGCCTCTGCTGGTTGTACGTTCAATCGTGAAGTGCCTGACAACCTCCGGATGCCCAGAAGTAATCAGAGCTTGGCGATGTAGCAGTCTCGAGAGTCGAAAAGGATTGGCGTTGCTTAAGTTGACGCTCAAAAACATTTAATGCTGCAACATGGAGTGGTTTCATTGTAAACTTGGGACTGCAACATCCGTGATCTAGGTCGTGCTGCGCCTTACAGGATGATGGTGTGGCGTAGCTCCAGGCACGTGTGGCGATGGAATCCAACAGGCATGCCGATAATTGCAGTAGTCTAGAGCACCTGGGACGGTCTAAGATCTTGCGTGAAGGGTGTCATGTCAACAACAAGGCTGCTGACGTGCATCGAACTTGCAGAAACCCTTCAGACGGGTGCCTAGGTGTAGCGTGATGGTAGATCAGCACTGCTCGTTCAAGACCCTTACTCTCCCGCAGGATGCCCACATGATCACCAAGAGCGGCAGATCTGAAGGCAGGGATAACCAGAAATTGAGAGTGAACACCCGAGTGATGATTCCCGGTTGTGGGGTACAGGACGAGCTCCTGCTTTCACGTAGGTGTTGTCTTCATATCGTGAACACGTGGTGAGCAACGCGGCATCTGCCGAACGCACTGTGCTTCGGTAGCGAATCGAAATGCCTTGTCGTAGTGCCCAAACCGCAAGACAGACGTCATCTCGATGATGCGCTACGGGACGCTACTGTCGTCGGCACGTTAGCCTGGCGCTTGAAAGGCTTGGCATCCCAAAAGTGTGGCTGGTACGCGTCCCCACGTTAACAGTTCGCGGTGCTTTGACAGACGCAAACATTCTCCGGCAACCTGCGGCATCAGTAGTACTGTCGCAGCGCTACGAGCTGTAGTATGCTGTACTGCGCATAGTGCTTTGCAGAGATTTATAGTTTGACACGATTCTGCGGGAGCATAATGGCATTCTTGCGAGCACAATGGAATTGTGGCTAAAAACATGGAAAATGAGCAACACGTCATGGATCTTCATACATCCTGGCCACCGATCGCCCGCCATCCAGACCAGGGACGCGCCCTCTTTTGGGCCTGGGGTGTCTCGTGTTGGTCATGGACAGCACAAAGTGGAAACCGCCGACTCATTATGAGAGAATTGGGCGATGGCTCTTTTGCCCAATGGGTCCATCTTGTGCACGCTGTGTGATTCTGGTGATGTTTTGAAGTGGCAGGTCTGCGTACAGCATGGTCGGAGCTCTACACAGAAGTCTCATGATGCTCACCCACGAGCTCCACAACACATTGCAAGTTGTTCACGTTCGTTTCCAGGAAAACTGAACGAATCAGGTGGGGCCAGCGCTTCCTCTTTGATGCCCCGCGGCTGGACCGTAAATCAATGGTGCGCCCAGGCCAATCGCACTTGCCTTGGTCACTGTACAGAGGTGACGGCTGATGACGTATGGGAAAGACCCAAACAGAAGACGCTCGTGTCACGCCAAACAATAAAGTCGCTTTCCTCCTCTCTCGCCTCATCCTCATTACACCACAACAGATACCCCAAACAACCGCGCAACTCTATCAACCCCTTCCATTGTTTCAATCGCAATTGTTTATTTGATACCCACCTTGATACCCCAGAAAGCAGCACACCATGTCTACAGGAAAGGCGGTCAACCGTAAGTAACCCTGCAGAACTTCAGGGGAGGCTGGTAGCACGTGAGCGCGCATCAAGCACGACTGCGACGGCCTCTACTGCGCATCGAGTGAGCACAGACTGACACTCCATAGGACCGGTCGACGTAAAGCAGAAGGAGGCCGATGTTAACAACAAGCTCCAGCTTTACGGGATCTTCCAGGGTACGTAGCCATACACATTATCTCACAATGCAAGGGCAATTGCGCTGACCACTATCAGCGTTCGCCAACGGCAAGGTTCCTTCCAACAAGCAGATCGATATTGCCCTGAACTCGGCGCTTGCATCGAAACCTCTCAGCTCACCATCCAAGAAGCTTTCGACAGAGGGCCAACAGCTTGTTGGCGACCTGAGGAAGGTCATTGAGCAAGCCAAGATCTTGCTCCTCACCAAGAACGAGGGCAACCTTCTCCAGGATTTCATCTGGAATGCTGAGCAGATCTCTGGTGGAAACCAGACGCTTCCCGGCGCACCCATTGACAAAGACACCGCTAAACAGCACGGTAACGAGGCTCTTGACGGCCTCCGAACATTGGGCACACTATTAATCTCCAACGGTCAATTCAGGAAGCTCCTTTCAGATGCTACCACCCTGCTCCGCGACATCGCTGGTGATGCCGCCCAGAACACCGCCAACAAGGTCAAGCCCTCTGAGGAGGCGCTCAACCAGATGGACAAGCCCGCTGAGGATAACACCTGGCACGAGAACCCCGACATGTCCAGGGGTAACCTCAAAGAGACGCTGAGACAGAAGGTGCCTGTGGGCAAGCAGGACGTCAAGCAGGCCGCTGGTGACGTCAACCAGGCCACTCATCCCGATGGTTCTCGCGATCCCCGTGACACTGCCCGTCTCGGTGCCCACGAGGGTCAGACTGGCAACAACACAGGCATGAACGCGCAGGCCGGACTTGAGCAGGGCAAGCAGCAGCTGTCTGCCAAGATCCCCGACGAGGATAAGGATAAAGTTCGCGCCCGCCGCGACCAGCTGAACAACTACCTCAAGGGCAAGATGCCTCAGGAGCGTCGCGAGCAGACCATCTGGCGTCTGAAGAAGATGGTCGTCGAGGTCCAGGGCCACCAGGACTACCAACGTGCAATCGAGACACTCCTCAGCCTTGCTGAGCGTTACGCTGGCCACGGCAAGAACCTCGGACAGCAGAGTGTTGGAACTGTGCAAGGTGCGCATCAAGAGGATGATGCTCTCACCCGTGCTGAAGCTGACATCAAGGTGCGTACTCTAGGTTTCAAGAATGAAAACAAGCATTGGCTGACAAACATCAAGACCCTTCTCGAGCGCTTCGCCAACAGCACCTCTGCTGACGACCTCATCGACTCCATCAACCAGATCTACAAGGATGCCGACAACGACCCCGAGCTCAAGGGCTGGTTCAGGCACCTGAACCAATACATCCACAAGTGCCTGCAGCAGCAGGGTTACATCCTGGAGGACCGCTCCACTGAGGAGTGGAACCAGATCTACGACCAGGGTCACGAGCTCCTGCGCGGTCGCTACCGTGGTCACACCGACCGCATTGCCGATGAGTTCAAATTCATCGGCCAGCAGTTCGATGCCGACGAGCAGAATAGGCAGTTCGCTCAGTCTGTCAACAAGCTCTTCCTCGACCTCGGCAACGACGAGAACGGCAAGACTACATTCAAGCCTCACCTCGTCAAGGATTTGACTGACGTCATCCTGCCTGGCCTCTTTGAGAGTGTGCAGTATGTCCCTATCCCTCGTATCGAGTACAGCGACCCCATGGTCGATGCCATCGTCGAGAACCTGGTCATCGAGAGTGACAACCTTGCTCCCAACGTCATGGAGTTCGGCTCCGACAATTACTGGCGCTGGGGACGCAAATCGATCACCAACAAGAACAAGAACAAGGTCATGCTCTCTGTCTCCGGTGTGCAGATGGACCTTCGCGATGTCTCCTACTACCTGAAGAAGAAGCAGGGCTTCCCCTCCATCACCGACAAGGGTGTCATGGACATCTTTATGGGAGGTTCTGGTTTCAGCTTCAAGGTCGAGCTTGAGACTGCCGACAAGGCTCGTGAGCACGCTCAGACTCATTTCTTCAAGGTCACCAAGGTGGAGACCGACATCCAGAACTTGGCCGTTAAGCTCAAGAAGAGCAATCACAAGCTGCTCTTCAACATGTTCAAGCCTCTGTTGTTGAAGGTCATGCGCCCTGTCATCCAGAAGGTTCTCGAGAAGCAGATCAAGGACTCTGTCAACCAGCTTGACGGCATGCTCTACGACGTCAAGAAGGAGGCCGACCGCGCTGAGGCTGAGGCCAAACGCAACCCCGATCCTGAGAACCTCCAGAATATGTATCAGCGCTACGCTTCTGCCGCCCAGAACCGCGTCATGCAGGGCAAGCAGAAGAAGGAGCAGATGAAGGAAAGGACCAAGGATACTCAGGTCAACGTTGCTGTCACTCAACACGACTCTATCTTCAAGAACATCTCCCTGCCCGGTGGTATCTCGACCAAGGCTACCGAGTACAAGGAGTTGGCTGCAAAGGGTGACAAGTGGGAAAGCCCCATCTTTTCCATTGGCTCTGCTCGCGAGACCTCAAGCCTGCCCCAGGTCGCTAAGGTCACCCGCAAGCCTCACGGACGTGCTGGCGGCTACGGCTCCACCACCACCCACACCGGCACTGGCTCAGGTCTTGGCTCCTCTGGACGTGATCAGTACGATGGTGCTGGTGCCGGCTACGGCAACCAGGGCTACGGCAACCAGGGTCTCGGCTCTAACACTGGTTACGGCAATCAGGGTCTGTCTTCTGGTCAGGGCCTTGGTGCTGGCGCTGGCCTCGCTGCTGGATCCGGTCTTGCTGCCAGCCAGGGACTGCCCGACCGCTCAGGTCTTGGCCACCAGTCTGGTCAGATCGGCTCCGGACCTGGTAACTCTGGCCTTGCCCATGGACACCACCTCGGTGGACAGTCGGGCGACTACCCTCAGGGACTGAACCAGCAGCAGCTGGGTGGCACTGGTGAGGGTCTCTACAACACCTCTCACTCCTCCACTCACCCCACCTCCACGGCTGGTCAGTTCGCCAACCAGGTCGACAACGCCTTTGACAGCGCTACTGGTCACGGTCACGGCGGCGGTGTTGCCTCAACCACCGGCCCTGGCGCTGCCGTTCAGGGTGATAGCCAGTTCCACACCACCTTTGGCGACCAGAACCCCGTGTTCCAGGGCCGTACTTAAGTATGCTTCATAGCGATACTCCGGTGCGTCACTTTGGCTGCTTGATGCGTAGCAAGGCAAATTACGATAACGATTCTCTCTGGATGATACCACGATTGCGCAGAGCGCATAGCACATGGAGACGGGCTTTGGTTTCTGAGTTGTCTGCGCTTACAAAATTTCCTATTGGCAGTAATAATTAATACATTGGTTCAGTTTACATCTTCGTTCTGCGTTTGTGAGTGATGTGTGTTATACCGAAGGATCTCTCTGGCGCGCTATTCTCAACGAAACAATCTGCTCTTCGCACAAATGCTCCATGGTTCCATTCTTCATCCTAATAGTACTTATGCTAGTGGACTAGACACGGTTGTGATGCTCTTTAGTGATCCCTTCCGCCATAAAGGCGTGGCCTCGGAGCAGGAACATGGCGAGCGTAAGGATGTGGAGCGTCATTGTACCAGTCGTCGTTATCATCGCCATCCCACCTGTCCCTCCTGTCATCTCTTCTACGCCTCGTCCGATCTCGTGTAGACTGGTGGTTTCTGCGGCTCTTCTTTGTCCACTCGTATTGTGGCAGTAGTACGCTGTGCTCTTCTTGGATACGCCCCAGGGGCCGTATTGTCGTATACTGTTCGTCAAACCTCGAGGTACCTGGTCGCCTGAGTAAAGGAGGTGGTGAGTAGCGTCGTGGAGGTGGAGGAGGTGAGTTGCGACGTTGGGCACGGTGACTCTCTACTGTGATAGGTTCGTTGTAGGTTTGCGCGTCGGGATAGGTCTCGTCCATGTCGTAAGCCGCATTGTGGATGGTTGGCCTAGTGCTATCATCCACTCTGGTTGTGTTGTAGATTGTTACGTTGGGGCGGGTGTAAGTCGATGTGTGCAATCCTGTGCGAAGTTCAGGTACAAGTGGGTTCGCAGCAGTGACATACGGCTCCCACTGCATTGTCGGTGGCTTAATAGTGTATTGACGATGTGGAGGTCGGGACACATCTGTCCGTGCATGGTTATAGTAGCCGTCCGGTCGTGGATTAGCGAATTCTGCTTCGTCTGCGAGACTGCTAAAATCTAGGATACTGTTCGAGTCCGTTGCCGATGTGCGGGCGAGCTTGCGTTGAGCTACGCTAATGCCTCGTGCGCCGATGCTACGGTCCTGTTTGCCAGTCATCGTGCGGTACAAAGAACCGAATGTATCACGCAGATCGTCGCCGTTGTAGCCAATGTACAGAACCGAACCCATGGTGACTGCTGTAAGCGGAATTGCGATTGCCCAGAATAGCGTCGAAGAGCTGCCCATGTCCCTGATGTCTGTCGTATTCATGCCGAGAAACGAAGTGACAAATGATAGCGGAAGGAATATGATCGTGACGACGGTGAATACCTGTCAATGTAAGCACGTCGGTTGTAAACCTAGGGGTTCTTCACACTTACAAGAATTGCTTTCCCGTGGTCTTCTTCGTTGATCTCAAGGCTCTGTTTCGTGCTGTCTGAGAGAGGGCCACAGCGGGCGAGTAAGTAGCGGTACTCTTGGTCCGTCATCTTCAGGCTGTCCTGGCAGGACTCGAGCAACATACGCTCGTAGGGGAACATGGCGCGGCGGCTGGCAACGTCTTTCTCGTACGTTGCATCATCAAGAACGCTCGTGTAGTTCGATATAAGCTTGCTCTGCTGGGTGTTGACTTCTTGGAGAGCCGCGATCTCCTCTTGAAGGAGGTTGATGGAGTGCAACAGGCGCTTCCCTGGACGATGGTTGACTTGGAATTGCTATCGCTTGTCAGTGTGAACAACCTTCAGGTTTGAAGCCGGTGCGCTTACAATGGTTGACAGGTATTCCCTGTACATGTCACTGACGGTCATACTCTTCTCGAGCGGCTTGACTATCAGTCTCCGCATGAACCAGCTACAGACGTACTCTGGGCTGAGTGAAAGTCGACTGGAAATGTCCGTAGATCCTGCTGATTTGACCATAGAGCAGAGCTCATTGCGTGCTGATGCCAGCGCCTGCTGTACCCCGTTGCTGAACGCCTCGATAACCTGCAAACCACCAGACGAAAATGGTAACGTTGTCATATACTCAGTCCCTTCGAAGGCATTTCTCTCTTCCTTGAATGAGTCCTCTGTATAGAACATAGCTCGCTCGATTGCAAAGTAGAAGATGAGTAGTTGGCGAAAGGCACTGAGAAGTGGACGAGAAAATGTGTAGAGGTCGGACATCCGCCCGTCTTCATTGCGCACACCGTCCGAGAGCTCTTGGGCTTGATTGAATAGCTGCTGCGCTGTCTGGCACGCTCTCGTAAGTATAGCGACAATCCCTTCGTTCCACACTTCCATCTTCATCTGGGTGTAATTGATGACCCATTGCTCAGGAAGTATTGAGTCAGATTCAGAGGCATCTAGATGCTTGAGGTGCTTCTGTAAGTGCAACAACGCCGCTTGTGAAGTGCTGTACATCTCAGTTGTACTGCATTTCCTGCATCGTTCAAACGTTCGCTTGAGCTTTTTGAGTGGCGCTGATGTGACTTCAGTGCTGATATCTGGACGAACGAACCACCCTCGTTGAGTCGCGGAGCGACGAGCTTGTTTAGGATCTGACTGCTCGTTTGCATCCGGACTCAGAGGCTCCCGCCTCCAAGTCGTAATTGCGATATCGCAAATACTCTTCATAGCAGCCCATGACTTGCGTAATATCGTACCTTTGTCCACGTCGGCAACGAAGAGCGCTAAGGTCTTATGCATGCATTCGTACAGCTCAAACGTCTTCTGGGCGATTGTGTCGTGCTGGCGAGTGACCAGAGTCTGGTACAATATGATGCCAGTTTTTTGCGAATCTTTCAGCTTTCTGTCCGTTGCTGGAAGTGATTTAAAGCTCGACTTGACCTGTTCCGCGGTATTTTCAGGAAGATTGCGGTAATATACAGTAGAGGTGAAAGTCCTTTCAACCGCACCGTAAGAACCGTAATTGCTCAGTACCTCCGACATCATAGCCTTTTCGACGTGTTCCAAGCACTGAATCGATCGCTTGATCTCGTCGGAAATGAGACCATCTGTCTTAACCTCATTTGCGCCTGTTGTCTGAGGCCAATGAAAAAAGGGATTCGGCGAAAACACAGTTGATGACGGAAGCTGTGCTGCAACATCGTCTTTATCATTCCGCTTTGTGTCATTCGGCAGATCGAGATCGATGAAGAGAGCGTTCTTCTGTTTAAGGATGCCTGCCCAGAGTCCAGGCGTGACCGCCACGCAGCCGTTTGACGTCTGCCATGAAAGCTGCAGGCTTTTCTCGTATCGAGAGCGGCTGCTGCACCAACGCAATTCTCTGAGCTTTTGTTCCATCTGGAAGTATGATCGACATTCCCCCACACTGTAAAGCAGCTTGCGGCCATCCCAGTCAGTCAATCTAATATTGGTGGTTTGATTTTCTTCATCCTCCGTGTGACTGCGACTAGCTTCAACAACCTCGATAGATTGCACAAAGCCCTTGGACAATGCTTGGTGAGCACATGTGGCCACTATGTTGGAGCCTATGTTGACCATCCACATGTTTGGGACATGAACAAGAGCATCGCGCTGCTCGTTGCCAAACTTTCTGTACGCCTGTTCTGCATCTCTATCTTGCACTGGCTCGTAAGGGTAGTAAGATTGCATAAGTGTCCGAGGCGGGAAATGAAACGCTTGGCCAGTGGTTGGCATTGTTTTGGCTTGTGTCTGCAAATCGAAGTAGGGTATACAGCTAAAGGTGACGCTCTGTGGGTCTGACCGGTGGCTATCGTCGACTCTCAGCACCGTACCAGGCTCGATGAACATGCCGCCCAGGAAGACTTTGAGTTTGTCCTTTTCAACTCTGTCAAAGAGCTTTTTCACCAATTTCTGAAGGCGTTCAGAGAGTCCGGTAATACACAGACAGGTCTCCTTGAAGCTAACAAGATCTAGTCTCTCGGAGTGTAGGTGAAACCATCGTATGCTGATATCAAGTTGCATAAAGGTAGTTCTAGGTCCTTGTAGAACATGTATCTGTAACGAAGTCCTACCATCAGCCTGAATCGAAACTGCCTTGGCAATGCTGAGGTACTCTGCATTTCCGATTGACTGTTGAGGTTCACGCTTATTGGAAAGATCATTGGCGTTTGCTGTAGCCCGATCCGGAGGTCCAAGGAAAGCGGTGTTGACCTGAAAAGTGAGGCTGTTACCATCGACATCCGTTGGTGTCAACACTGGGCGAGCGACTTCAACCGAAACCTCTGTAGGAGCTGGACTTTCAGATGTCTCACTCCCACTGCTATCGCTCTTCATGTCTAAGTCTTCATCGCTTCCAGTGCTATCGTCTTTATCATCCTCAATACTGACTTCGGCATCCTCTGTCTGCTGATGTATTGCACCATCGTTGGAGTGTACCACCGATGGACTTCGAGGCCGATATGTTGGTCTGACCTCATCCTCGTATGGATAGTACGAAGCAATATCTGGGTCGAGGATTTCCGATGGTAGGCGGATTTGCACTATTGCAGATGGCTCGACGACTTGCTGCCAGAGGGAAGGTAAGATGATGTCTCCATTCTCAGTCAACATACTGAATTTTGCATCTTTGACCGCTTCTGCGAATTTCTCATGATGTCGAAGCCTGTATATCTCCTCGATCTGAAGCTTCATCGTCTACATAGAAGTCAGTGTAATAATGTATGATCCAACTTGGCGAACTTGCATCCCATGGGAGGTATGGTAGGACGTATCCATCGCCGTCGTGTGTCTTCAGAACAACGGTGGTCTTGCTTGTTGGTTTATGTAGAGAGGTTCGTGAGGGCTCAGGAGCGGTATTAGTGTCGTGTCCATCTCCTCGTCTAATTGTTGTCGCGCCCAGATCTGTCTCTGCGACATCTTCGTCTTCGACCCCTCGCGGCATTGTCCCTCCAGTATCCTTTCTTTATCTGGTCAAGGTAAGATGGACGTCCAAAACTCGTATCACTCGAGGTGGCGTGATGCGAGCAGCGAAAGGCCAAGGTGAGAACATGATCTTCGATCACTCCGAAGATGCGAGGTGATGCTAGGATCCAGATTCAAGATCAGCTTCCAGCCACCTCCCGTTTAGCGCTGACACCTTGCCATTTCTGGCCATACCCGCATGCTGACAGCAGCTGTCCCCTGCACTCTTTTTTCTCGCATTTTCGACGACGGTGGTGCCTGCATCTTGGTTCAAGGAGAATATTGCCCTTGAGAAAGGTGTTGAAGGTAGGGGGTATGACTGCAAGACCCTGGGAAGTAGGGACAAATTAGCGCATGGCGCTAGCGCAGCGCGTCGCGTCGAACAGATTTGCTTTTGTTCTTCCATGAGCGCGCATTCTAAACATCCACTTCACGACACTACACTAGCGACCCAATAATGTTGTCAGTCTGTTACAATCTGGCGAAACACAGTGCACTGGTAGCGAATCATCATGTTCACTAGACTTGACCAGAAAACCGGCTTCCTCCAAAGTTGAATTCGCGCGCAGGAGTGCAGGTACGAGTCAGCACAGGGTAGTCATTGCGCCCATCGAATGCGATAACTTACCGCGTACATAACCTTCAGGACTGCATCTCCATATATGTCCATGTCCATCGATCCCCTGCTGTGAATATTTCCATACACAATCCCGTTGCCCGCATCAGCAAAGCCCGGGTCCTCCTTCTGGAAAGCAACCATTGCATCTCCGATCGCAAGTCGAACATTTGGAAGATGAACTAGGAAAGAGTCGTAGGAGTCAGTGATTTGGTATTTGGGGCTCAAACGTAGGGAGAAAGCCTTTTCATATACCTTGCTCTTTCTAAAGTCGAAGCATGTCGGCACCTGCCACAGTGCAATCTGCTCGCCCAGCGAGACCTCTCCAACCATTCGCTGTGGTCAAAGACTATTCGAAATATGTCGCATTGACCATCAGACATATTGGACAAGGTTACTGGCCCTGTACGGCTACGAAGTCGACCGCGTCAAGCTATCGTTGCAATGTATCCAACCTTCAGTCACTGCACACTGCCACTGGACGGGCGCAATAGGTCACGGTACTTTCGAATTGGTTCGTGGCCTGGGACGCTGCAAATTTAGACCCCAGCGGCTTCATGCAAGCTGTCGCCGCCTACTCGAGATCATTCACCGCATCATGGTACGGACCCTACAATCGCGTCAACCGCCTGGATGGGACAGTTGAAAGTTGGGCTACAGAGATGCGCAAATGCTGCAAAAGCGGTGCGACTATCGATTCGCATCTTCGTGCATTTCATCTGAAGTAGCCTGAAAGCACACTGAGAACTCTATACGCCGTTTTAAGGAGACTAGACCGCAAAGTGCTCTTTAGGGCTCAACAAGGGCGCTTTGGTATGGCTTCACAGTACATAGGGGCGGACGACCGCGTTACCTTGTTTTCAAGTTGCAGACTTCTCATGGTTGTTCGACCTGACGGCTCTGATTGGAAGCTCGTAGCTCCCGCCTACGTATGTAGGACTATGAAGGGAGAGCTGTAGAATGACAACACAGAGTTGCGGCCGTTCACCTTCATGTAGCTCTAAGCGTCGCCCACTTATCTCATACATTCGGAGATGCATCCTTGTTGGGTCGTTGCCAAGAAAGCCTCATGCAAGCCAGTAATGCAAACGCGGTGCACGTGGCTGTTGTTCCTCGGCTTCAATTTTGGTGATCATGCACTTCCTTCACAGACCGAATCAAGACTCCAAGAACTGCATGCTATCCAACTCTCACAAGCAATGACAGAAACGATTCGCGACGTTCTGCAGGCCATGGACAATATTGCGAACGTACCGGCCTTGCTCTCCGCGCGACTCCTTCAACCTGCTCCAGTTCCGCGATATACGCAAAGCGCATCCGATCTAACGCCACCGAAAGTTGTGAGACGGAAAAGACAGCTTACACTACCGCTTGATACACCTGCGCCTGATACTGCCCGCTTAGCGAAGTGGTTGGGCAGAGCGAACCAGCAGCGTACGTGCGATCAATCGCAGAGCGCGCTGATGCGTTTGCCAGCAGAACTTCGTGAGCAGATCTGGAAGGACGTGATATTGGGCACAGATGACGGTGTGATAGAGCTGGGCTGGAGAAGTACTGGTCGAGGACGCGGCCGAGCAAGTGCTTACAAAGTTACGTTCGAGAAACCAAGAGACGAATGGGGAACAGGAGTTTTAGGCATGCTTTGCTCGTGTCGTGTCATGTAAGTGTTCATTCACTTAAGCACTACTTGTTCCAGGCTCATGGTAATCGTCCAGTTACTCTGAGGCAATCGGCCTTCTTTACAGCTTGCCAACCTTCTCCTTCCGGTTCCAAAACATCGGAACCTTTCTCGCATTTGTCTGCGCTATTCCTCCACACCGGCGAGAGCAAATCAAGTATCTTGATCTATGCTGGCTCAACCAGCCCAAAGCGCCGAGTGGTGTCCCCCAGGGAGCAGCGCATCGAATAAACCCGTTATGGTCGTACAAACGGATCTGCAACGTCAAAGCGCTGTCGGAATTGCCCAGACCGGAAATAGGAGGAACCGACTTTGTCCATGCAGAGTGGGTGGTCAAAGAGATACTCAAAGGGATGAAAGGCCTCGAGAAGGGAGGTATAAGATGGGGAAGCCTATCAACAGGCTGTTTAGCGCAAGAGCGAGCTGTCTTTGATTCCTCTATCTGAGGACTGATTGCATGTTGCATACACAGTGCACATCGCCTGAATGCCCGTAACCTCATTCATTCGCAAGATCATTTGTCTTTTCGTCGTGATCTCTTACTTGAGATCCAAGAACACCTTTCTCATCTTGTTGTAATCAGGTGTACCGACACCAGTGACAGGATCCCATCCTGGACTGGCCGGGAAGCCCTCAGTACCGCATCCTGGGTTACCACCAACAGTCACATCGTTGAACATCTCAGGATGCTTGTAGATGATGGGGTTCAAGAATCCAATCGGTCCCTTGCCCTTCTCCAGTCTCTCTTCGTTCAGCAAGTTGATGATACTCGCGAAGATCGGGGCGGATGCTGATGTGCCACCAATGCCGTAGGTTTTGTTGAGCCACACGGTCGCGAGCTTGAGACCGAGCGCTGAGACGTCGGGGTATGCGCGGCCGGAGGAGTTGAAAACAGACTCGCCGTACTTGGGCGCATACTTGTCGAGATACTTGGAGACTGCCTTGGACTGCCAAGATGGGCGCGGGAAGACGCTGGAGAAGCCACCACCCGAGTAGTATGACAGGGGACCGTTGGGTGAAGCAACGGCCTTCTCACCTCCGTAGATGGAGGAGTTGAGAAGAGTTGTAGCACCGACAGAGGTGATCTATTAAAAATCAGTATACGGCAAGCTTTGGCTAATCGAGCCGTGAAGGGCACTTACGTAGGGGCAGTTCGCGGGGAACGAAGGCGAAAATCGCGTTCCATTCTCCTCGACGTAGCCGAATTCGGAGTTGAGACAGCTGTTGTTGTATCCAGAGTTGTACCTGTTGGCAACACCAGAGTCACCGGACGCGAAGATGACACTAACACCTTGCAACGCCAACTTCATCCATTCGCGACATTGGCGTTCCTGGTAGAACTGGGGAAGAGCACCCTCGATCTGGCCGTATGAAACTGAGATAACATTGCTGACTGGGGCTCCACCACATTGCAGTGGACCAGTGTAGGCTCCCGGCGCGTCGTTGGGGTCAGGATAAGCAGGATCAACGTACGGCTGGTCTCCACCCTGGTACGTGCAGTAGGAAGCATCCTGAGAAGGTCAGTGTTTGCGCGTGTACCTCAAGATAAGTCAGACTTACCAGTGCATCCAGGAAGATGTTGAATGTGCCCACAGAGTCAACGTTGACCGAGTCACCGTTCTGGTACAGACGTGTCTGCTGTGGCCAGATGATGGAGTAAGCAGTCTGGAAGTCCAGAGCACTCTCAACGACCTTCTCCTCTTGAGCCAACGAGAGGTTAGAAGGCTTTCCGCCATCAATCGAGATAAACTCCGGTACCACATCGGATGGAATTTTGGGGTTGGTGAAGTTCTCGAAAAATGTCTTGAGGTCGGGTAGGTAGAGATAGTCCGCCCACTCCGCAATACCAAGCTGGTTGCCGGTGTGATTGTACTTGCCAACGGGAAGGTTGTAAATGGCTCTCAAGCAGTCAATGGTAATCAGACTGGAGCAGTTGGTAGTACCAAAAAGACCGGTAATGTTAATAGGAGCCTGGATTGTAGCCTTGGATTGAGCCACAGGTTGCAGACCATCAAGCTGAATGGTGGGCATCACGAAGTCGACATGCTTGCCGACCCGCTGTGGTAGTCCGTATTCATCGCACGCGATACGAAACCCGCCAGATGCTTTATGCTGGTAGTAGTGGTACTCTGTCTTGAGCAAAGCTTCGAGTTCCTCAACGGTGGCTGAGAATTCGACCCAATTGCGTCCTGCCTGGTATTAGTATAGCCACTAGAAGCGGCTTGGAGAATCTTCACACTTACCGGCCGAATGCTTGACCCGCTTCAAATCAACGCCTGAGTTCTGGAGCCATTCAAGGGTTGCCTTTGATGCCTCTGGATGCGGTGCAAACGTGTTCGCGACCTGTTCTGCAGTCCAGTGCTTGCCTGTAGTCTCCGGTCAATACAAGAAATAATGGGAAGGAAACGCAGCGTTTTACCGAAGTTCGGCGAGTCTGGATCCGAGATGTCGTCGAGGAAACGGTCTGAGTGCTCAAGGTTGCGTTGTGTCAACCCAATCCTGACAGGCAGAACCGTGTCCTTCGGTGCACGCGAATGCTTTGTCCATGCGACCGGCAATGTGTGTCTCCTCTCGTGCACGACATGTGAATCAAGCGGTGAGCTTACACTCAGGCCACTGAGGCTGAGCAAAAGCAATTTTGAAACACGCATCTTCGTAGAGTAATCCTCGAAATTGGACGTACTTAGAGAGCCTCTCGTAGAGGCGGCCAGCGGCATTTTGTAGACGAGGCGCTGCTGACTGGCATGACGCCACCATCACTGTAGTTACTCAACTTTTCTCGCCAGATAACAGCACAATTGGTGAAGCTATCGTATTGATACTGCAGGCACACATTGTCCTGCCTCTTGAAGCCTAGTCGACGCTGTCTGTCGACAACTATGCCGCTCGTTCTTCGTGCGAGAGCACCTGCATTGCTCAGTCTGCCAATCGCATTGCATTGACCCCCTGTGACAGTACCCACACGTGAACCGTCGAAGAACCGAAGCTTGATTGCCTTGGGTCAAAAGCTTGGTTGTGTGGAGAAAAGCTTATGTCTTGTGATGAAAGAGGAAGGTGGTTGATAACACGGCCGAGGAAGTGGAGATGGTGGAGTGTCCACGGATCGCTCTAACCGACCAGAAATAACGGAATTAAAAAACAGCATGCGCTTGTCATCTTTGGCCTCTGCAACATCAACCTCTCATTTTTCAACACCGTGCATTAACTGTTCACAAGTAGTTCACCCAGAGACGACAACTAGATGCCGTGCTGTCACATCGGTGCTGCTGGCTACCACGCACATGGCGACGAAAGGATGATATTTTTCCTTAAAAGAGTTAGTGCAGTAGTTATTTGGTGAAGCGCACATCACAGGGTAATACATAATGTGTAAGGTCCTGCCGCACCTGTCTGTAGCGCTCAGTCTTGCTTCTCACCACTAGATGAGTCGCTCCATAGCTATTGACAGTCAGAGACTGTCATTCCTTTACTCTCTTAGACCGATCTGGCACCGATCATGCACGGCTTCTTCACTAGGTAGCGCCCGCACTTCCTGGCATCCACGGATCTGCTATGGTAAACCAAGCATACTGCTGTCTGTTTTACGATGCTCAAGCAGCCTTTTGTTGGTCAATGCTGCGTATCTCACCTACACTTTTTAATGTTCCACCACTCCTATCGGACTTGGCCAAGCATTGTGCAGGATGCATTGTGGCTGTGCGCGCCACGACTGCGCACGGCTGCTTGAGCAATGTAATATGCTGTGCCTTGTTTGCGATGAATGAATGCGAATGCACTTTGGGCATTGTTATGTGTGCGGCCTGCGCCCAGCCTAACACTTAAAGAACTTTGCAACATTAGACCTTCCCTCGAGTCCGCATCTATCGAATATTGCATTGACTGGACCCTCGACAGCCAAAACCGTAAATGATTCCATTGTGTCAAACGCTAGCCCTGTAAACTACTGTGGATAAATCAATCATTTGGAGAGACTAGATTTCAGATGATGAGCTACCAGAGCTGGAGCAGCTCCCACGAAACCTCTACAGGCACACGCCCTTACCGGTTGCGTCAACCTCCCTAACAATTCGGATCCTCAAGTTGTACCCATAACATTGCTGTGCAACCTCCCACTTTAGGATGCAACAAGTAGCAAACGTTAAAAAAGCGTTTTGCAGATACTGTGAATCTGACACGAAAGCGTGCGCACGAAGCGAAGCAAGAGAGGTTGGAGAGAGAGTTGCATAAAAAAACGACCCAGACATTGTTGTGTCTCGGAACCCCGGTTCCACCTGGAAGAACTACGAGGCTGTGTTCTATGCCTGGGGCTCTACTGAACTCACCAAACGAGTAGTCTGTGGCACAGCAACAATGTGTCGGAGGAGAAGGATCCACCGATAGCTATCACGTGATACTAGTGTCTATAGGATATATCGAGCTTCTGCTCACCTGCAATACGATATGACAACCACCCAGTCTTGACACAATGCTTATACACAAAGTTGTTATGATGCTCTTATGGTATTGCGACCTAGTTGCAAACTGCCATCGAAGTCTTCTAACGTGAGCGGAACCAAGCGGCAAAAGTGCAACACAACACCCCGGAGTCTATGGGTCGATGCTATCTGCATTGATCAGACCTCGATCAGTGAGCGCAATCAATAAGTTGAGCTCATGCCGGAGGTATGTATGAAAGCAAAGCGGGCCTTGCTTTGGCCAGGCCGTGGTCAACATCAAAGAGGGCATATCGAGTCATTCCTGCAAAGAGTGGAAAACAATACCATCAACTACAGAGATCACGTTCCAGGTGCATATCTAGAGGTGTCCGGTTCACCATACGAATACAAGCATTCCGCAACCTGTCTAAACAACCTTACTTTGACCGCATATGGCCAGTCCAAGAAATCGCGCTTGCTGGGTCATGTCGCGTAGTTCTCAGTCGAAGCATGGATCAGACGACCTACTTGGACTTTGACCGGTTGATATCCCCTTTCAGGAAGTTATCTGGGCCAAGCTTTCGGGAGTACGCTGCCTCTGAAGCGGATTACGTGGAACGATTGCAACCACATCAACAGAGGAGAACGTATATGCGGCAAACATTCAATCAAAAAGTTCGTGATGATAGCACAGGATCCAGGATGTCGGCTTTAGTTATGGGCGCGCGTCACCTGCAATCTGAAGAGCCACGCGATAAGATCTACGCTTTGCATGGTATCTTCAAGCTACTACATTTGGAGATCAGTCCGCCCGATTACACTAAAGACGTTAGGGACGTATATACAGAAGCCATCACAGCTGCCTTCCGCCATGATCGAAGCTTCGAGCTGCTAGGCGGTTTAACCGGCATGTCCAGATATCCCAAACTGCCTTCTTGGGTCTCTGACTGCTCCAAAAGCAATGCCATCAGCAAACTCGCAAGTTGAACGGAGCAAAAAGCCAACAGACATAGCAAGCCTATCGGCCTTGTACCGACAAAGTCACAAGAACCTCGCCTGCACGGTCTAAAGATCGACCGTATCGCCTCAGTACGTACTATTTATGGCAGATATTCAAAGTATGCACCTACGACGCTTGATCAACTACGCGACCAGCTGCAACATCAGGTGGATCCTAAACCTCAGTACATAGATCTACTTACCTCGACGATCTGTCATCTCTGAAAACTCTCTGAACGCACATACCCAAGCCTCCGCGGCATCATTCGCTGAATGGAGGTTTGTGGCCCCTGTCTGTATTCAGGCCGACGGCATTATGCAAGGAGCACTGTCGAAAGATGATATGGAACTACAAGACTATACATTCGGGTGAGCAACAAGGCACACTTCTGAGCCTGTACTCGGGCCGAGGACGACCAGCAGATTGTCAATAATGTATTTACACCAGATGGTGCAGTACTGTTACATCTCTATTACTTGTAGTCGTCCAAGTGCGCCTCTTCATTGCAGCATACAACGCCGAAGCGCACGATACACATATATGTACAACCCACGTTACCGTCCTTCCTTGATCTTAACAGCATCAGCCAGCTGCGGGAAACTCCCCCTGAAACTCGGTCCTAGTGACCAGTTGTTCAGATTCCTCAGATGAGTTTCAAACGCTGGATTGATCAGCCACTGATCATCCTCCTTCGGCAGCGTGTTCATGCTCAACGGCAGGCTGACCGGCGTACCAGCAGCTTGCGGTGTATGCGGTCCAGCTGGACTGCCGGCGTTGACGTGCGTCGAGAAGGGAGATGATGCATGAACCGAAGAAGAGCTAGTGGATAGGGTGTTGGAATGGACCTTCGAGGCGGGCAGGAGGACGTCTCGTGCTTCATAAGACCAGTTAAGAGACACGGTGGTGGTGAAGGGAATGAAGAATGTGTCGAAGGATATAAATGGTTGATGGGCGCAGAGCCTGTCACGGAGGCGCGGCCTGGATGATGTCAGCCTATGTATGACATGTTGAAGTGGTCGCTCTTACCAAGGTAGGTGGTCAAACCAGCATGGATGGGCGGTGAACAACTGACTAGCACGTGGTGTCACCCAGTGAGGTAGTCTGTCGTAGTTCTCTTGCGTAGGCTCAATCTGCCAGCGCATAACGAGGAACATGATGTACACAATGGCTACCTGCTCAGGCCAGCCACAGATGTCGGGGAATGTTCGCAAGATGTCGGTGAACAGCTTTGATAGCGGATGTGCATCGATAACGCGATCTGGGTAGACCAGCAATGTGAAGTTCGGGTACAGCGGACCAACCAGCGCCTTTACAGGTACGCCCTCCGCTGCTCGTGCTTGCCGGTCCTGCAGAAACTCCAACAGGATGGCGTCTAATGTACATGTGGGAGCTATGTTCCGTGGCAGTGTGAGGTATGGCACCAGATTTGGCGCATACTGCCCCTGTCCGTTACTGCATACATTGCTTGGCTGTATCTGCTGGGGAGGTGGCAGACTGGGATCTACAGGTCTTTGCTGGTTGTGATCGAGCAAGAAGTCGACGCCCATACGCTCATCGTAGGATTCTTGTATATGAGGAGGTGGCCGCTGGTGCTCGAAGGCCGGACTGTCGTGGGAGTACCCGCGCATTTGGCTGGTAGGCGCATCGCTGGTGTATGGCCATTGCCGTGAGGCGTCTGTATCAGCTGGCGAGTGTGTACCGTGCTGCGGTGAGGCTGCAGCGATGTCGTGAAGGCTGGCATGGAACTGGCGAGGGCCGGCCGGTGGTGCTGGCACTTCGCCGTGCTGGTGGTGTGGGGGTATAGGAAGCGGCGAGCGCTCTGCTGCTGCGGCGAGTTCTGCTACCGTTAGCACTCAATTGCAATGATACATGACGAGACTGACCATTCAGACCACCAGTCACGCGCAGGATGGGCTGGATGATGCTCAGTACGCTCCCCAGGCGCTTCCTGATCTCGGCATTCTCGGCCTGGACCGCCTCCTTCTCACGGAGCACAATCTGCAGGTCATGGTACGGCTGCTGGTTCTCAAGGTCCCGAATACGCTGATTCAAGCGGTCAATCTGCGTCTTGGTGCGCTCTCTAATCGCGCGCTGGGCCTCGCGGTCATTTGCGCGCTTCCGTGCGAGCTGCTCGGGGGTAAGATTTGCGACGCCACGCGAGGTGGTGGCCGTGCGGCGCTTCTTCGCTGCTGGTTGGCCCGCATCGGCCTGGCTGTCATCTTCTCGCGGGACAGATGAAGGGGAATTGGCTTCGCTCGGGGGAAGAGCCGCCATAGCGACTGGGGGAGCACCTGCAGCACACGGGTGCGACTCGCGTTTTTGCTGAAGGAGGCAGCCTGCAATACAGAACGAGTCATGATATCGCAGTGTGGGGCCGGACCCTGCTTTGAGGTTTAGTTGATTGGTCAATGTGGTCGAGCGTCAAATGCGGGGGCGCTCCTGCCGCTGGGGTCTGCCGCTGGGGTCTGCCGGAAGGAATGACCGTCTCTATCAACAATGCTTGGAGAGAGAACCTTGGAACATCGAGGAGACACTAAAGACCGTCTTACAAGACCATTTTACGCATCTTGCGGATAGCACGGCCACTAGTTCCATTCATCAGGTCCTTCACCCCTTGTGTGTACCGCCTACCGGCATAATGAATATGGATCCTTCCGGGTCGTCTCGAGTACGAATGTGGGGACCCCGCTCCGCTGACATGCATCAAACAAGTCAGCATGTATCGGCAGGGTGTTACAGCTCATCTTGAGCTTCATCGAGTTCTTTCAAACTTCACCATCACGTAACTACACATGATCATGGCAGACCAACCTCCAAATGAGCCTCCAAATGGAGCCCCTTCCAAGTTCGTTCACCAAGATGTCAGCAAACTCGGCATTGCTTCAGCAGTGCTGAAAGCTAGTAAGTTCACCATCCATCAGTCTCCAGTCTCACCTAACAATATCTAGTCGTTGCCGCCACAGGCCGCGCCTTCGTCTCCCCCTTTAAAGGCCCCAACGGCGCAAACACCTACTTCAAAGACGTCGCCCTCGCCGCCTTCCGCACACAGCTCGGCAACCTCAACCTCGCCCAAGACCGTTACGTAACCAGCACCACATGCACTCCCGTCTACCATCAATACTGCATCAGTCACAAAATCACGCCAGATTCCATCACCCTACCCAGCGGCACACAAGCACACTGGCTCGGCAGTAAGGATGCTCAGAAGGTGCTGATATATTTTCATGGAGGAGGCTACGTGCTACCTTGCACATCAGGGCACCTTCTCTGGCTGGACGATCTGTGTCAGAATCTGGGACAAGAAGTGAGCGTGTTAATACTGGCATACGATCTGGCGCCTGAGTCCGCATACCCAACGCAACTGCGTCAAGCCGTCGAGCTATTGCGATATCTAACCGAGACCGAGGGCCGGAATCCCGCAGACATCATAGTAGGCGGAGACTCAGCAGGCGGTAATCTCACGCTCGGTCTGCTCTCACATCTGGCACACCCACACCCCGAGATCGCGGAGTTGAAGTTGAATGGCAGGATTCATGCAGCGATGCTTATCTCGCCTTGGTGTAGCTTGACGCAGAACCATACTCCGGCACACGTGAGAAACGCAGAAAGGGACATGTTCGACTCCCGCACACTTTCACGCTGGGCTGCTGCTTTCCTCAACTCCACATCTCCCTTTGCCGGTGACCCTTACTCCGAGCCCGTGCTTGCAACCCCAGAGTGGTGGGAGCCTGTTGCTGACGTCGTAGAGGAAGTGTTGATATGGGGCGGCGAGAATGAGATCTTGATTGATGGGATTGAGGCGTTTGCGAAGAAGTTTAGTCAGGGCTTCAGAAGGAGGGGAGGACATGTGGATGTTATTGTTACCAAGGGTGCGCTGCATATAGAGATGATCATTGAGAGAGGTTTGGGGTACAAGGGGGATTCCGGGACGGGGAGTAAGCAGGTAGTTGAGGAATGGGTCAAAGCAATGCTGTGAGAAGGCATTTAATGGGGTGTAAGTTCTACATACGGGCCATGTCTTGCGGCTACCTTACCCAGCTATCAGAAGCGAACACAATTTTGAGAGCACAGAGATTTACTAATCAAGTTCCAACCCTCAATAGGCTTGCGGCTTGCTAACAACGCTTCAAAGGTATATCTCAACAGTCATAAACTCATCAGTGCTTTCGCCTCGCCAAAGCTCAAGTGCACCAAGTCCTCAAGCCCAGCTACCAGCGTTCCAGCATCTACCATCCCGAGCAAGCAACGAAGTTGTTGCCGCTTGCACCAGTGTGCGTAATCTCACCAGCACGCGCACCGCTGCCGTTAATCACAACACGGTCAGCACCAGGGGAGCCTGTTGACATCAGTACACAAACACTGTCAGTGGGATCCAACAATGTGGGCTTACCTCCAGTGTAAACACCGCTCGTCTTGAGAGGAAACTCATAGTAAGTGCCGCTGACCAAGAAATCGAAGCCCTCGTAGTTGTTGTACTTGTGGGGGTAGGTCGAGCTACCAGCCGTGCTGCCCTGCTTGACATAGTTGTAGGCCGCGCTGCGGGCGGAGGAGACTTGTGCGCTGGTGTAGCAGGTCGAACCGCACTTGACGTAGCAAGACTGGCGGGCCTCGAGAGCAGCATCTTCGACAGGTGCCTCAGTGATGACAGAGGTGGGAAGTGCGAAGGCGACGGGTGCGATCAAGGCGAGGATGGAAAGGAACTTCATGGTGCCGGTTGTGGAGGTGGTGCTGTAGCGGAAGGCAGCGATGGTAGACTAGTGATGGAGGTGGAGCGAAAGACTGAGCTGGCTGGACTGGCTTCTCTTCTTCCATCGAGACATCGTCGTCTCTTATGCTGTTGACCACCGCGGACGTCTCCGATCCATAATTGCTAGACCCATGCTGATCAGTTACCAGATTGATTGACTATAGCGCCAGCCTTCCCGAAGTACTCTCTTGCTCCGCGCAGCAGCAGTAGCCGCAGGGACGAGTTTCTTCTCCAGGAACCTCGTCCTATCAGCACCTCCTCGTTACGGCCCGCATCCTGCAACGCCCATCTACACAACTTCGAGTCTGGCGCACCTTCTCACGTTGCTGTCAGTGATTGGATGTGTGCGGTATGCAGGACATACGGACACACCAAGGATATTATGATCACCATGCACCGGTCCTGGCGGCACGCTTACGCTTTGTGCTGATCGGGAAGGTACAGATGCTTATTCGTAGGTGGTTGCGCAGTACAAGCGTCTACTAACGGTAGTAGTTTCATCTGCCTTATCGTCGGGATTAACGTGTTACGGCACATGTGCCTATCTGATAGGTCATTTGTCGTTGGTGATCTACCAGGGACGGGCCAGAAGCTAAGTGCATTGGGAAGGAGGTCGGAGCGTCTAGTGGGAATAGTGTAAGATTGGATGGAGGTGCCCGACAACTTCATATTATCTGCGGTGAGACTTTGATGAGTTGATCCGGAGTCGCTGGGGTGTGCGTAGCGGTTTCGATCTTCTGCAGCCGTGGAGAACGGTTTCTATGAGCCCACGTGTGCGGTGAAGTTGAACGTGCCAATATAATAGGCTAACACCGTGTTAGTAACATGGACCTTAAGGCGACAGTAAGTTCAACAGGAATTCAGTACTCTTACAATGATCTCTGCTCACTAACAGCAGACTCTAGCATTCGTTCAATCTCTTCGATGACTTTGTGCTTTGCAAAGGCTCAATCACCTCCTTGTCGTCGAGCGTGATAAGCAGTGATGGCCTCTTAGCATACCTGGGTAGGTGTTGGGTAGACTGTCCGCGCAGCAGGCGCTCTCGGTTCTGCGCGTTACAGCAGCAACAATCTCGATCTCGCGACGCCTATCAGCCCACAGTCAATGTATCGATGCCCTGGACTCTGCTTGACTATAGGGTAAAGCTGCCATACCTCTTGAGAGGCTTCTCGAGGAAGACTACCTTCGTACTTTTAAAGTAGTGTAAATGGCGAATTGAATTACAACTTCAAGAATATTCCTTCGCTGAGTGTTGCGTTTTTTTTCTTCGGTTTGGTTTTTTCTTGTAGTCCATCAGAGAAAACGGAAATCCGGATGGTCATGACTGAGGGTGGTTCTGCGGCAAGGCTTGCAGTTGACAGCACCGGAACTCAACCTACAAACTAGAGGGCGCGCTCTTGTGACCGTGAGAGCTTCTTTTGACAGTAATCAGCCACCAAGTTCAAAAATACACTCTGTGAAGTAACAGTTGGTAGACAGAGGGTGGTCGATGATGAATCGTAAGCACTTGTGTCTATTTTTTTTATACGGTATCATTCATACATGAAGTTCGGTCGTACCGTCGCAGTAATGGTGCTGACACCGTCCGCTGTACCAGCATCCTCAGTCTGTCTTGCTGCACATTCACGCAGTCTTCCTCCACGCATCGGCCAGCAACGCACCACCAGCGATCGTCCCAAAGATGCCCACCTGTAATTCACTCAAAACCCCCTCTTCTATCGACCAGTGCAGCGTCATGGGTGCATACGCGATGTTGCTGATCAGATCTTTCCACCACGTGAACCTCGCGTTGTACGAGTCTTTCTTCTCTTGCTCTAGCCTCAGCTTATCCTCCTTCTCACCATCCCCTGCCATTTCAACACGCGGCTCACGGTACGCTCGCTCGATAAGCAGCCTCAGTATCTCACAGCCCACGTACGCAGCCCAAAACCTCGAGCTCCAGACCCACCACCAAGTCTCGCGCTTCTTTCCCGCATCGCCGGTCCATGCCTCACTTGTGAGCATTCCCTTGGACGCTGCGTATGCGCCGTTCTCAAGGACCTGAAAGAGCACACACGATGCAATGGCCGCCCACGTCGTCCCTCTCAACAGCTTCTCTTTCCGAGTCGCCTCTTTTGGCAGCGGGGAAAGGTATGTATCCCTTGCCCACGTATACAGGCCTAGCATACCCCACATACGCACGAAGATTCTGTAGTCCGCTATCACATCTGCAATCGCTTTCGACGACCCGACCGTCTGTGCCAGAAGTTTTATGCCTGCCGATGCAGGGAGTTCAGCGATTAACGTCTCGCCCGGGAGCATCACATCGGCCGCTTTGTCTGCAAAGTCTGTTGCCACGGCAGCGAGTTGCTTCTCGAGGACCTGTTGGCCCAGTGCGTACACGAGGGTGAGCGTGTAGCCGGTCGTACATAAGACTACGTCGATGCCATTGGGTGTCGAGAGAAGAGCGGAGAGGCGGAGAAGACTACGGTCCACGGACTGTGCGGTGTTTCTCAATCTTCGTGTGAGGATGTAGCGGAGCTTCTGGAGGAGTGTGGGTCTTGGTGGGGGACGCGGTGTGGCTGTCTTTGGTGCTGTAGGTGCGACAGGGGCGCTGTCGGCGCTGGGTATTGTCGTACTGTCAGGATGCGAGTCACCCATCGTGACCTATGGAGGATGTGAAAGGCTGGGCGGCATCCAACAGAGTTCCAGGGCCGCGTGTAGTTTCATAGCGGTGACGGAAAGCTCGACGTTGACGCTGGACGCGCCGAACCCGAGGTTCCGAATAGGTTCCGAACGCGCAACTTTTCCGCATGTGATGGACCCTGAACGTAAATCTCACACGTCGGAGTCGACTGAAGCAACAACTTGAACGACTATGTATGTCGTAATGTTCTACGATTATTATTTGTGATCGTGTTTAGTTATCACATGTCCAATCGATCCTCTTCGCTTTCCCTGGCTGAAACAGGCCGATCCTTGCCAATCCCAACCGTAAACTCCACAGTGACACCCCAGATGTCCCCACTCATGTGTTTTTCCACTCATCTCTATTCTCAACTTTCCAGTTCCTCCCACATCTGCTCCAAAGTCTCCCATGGTGTCGACTTCACCAAATGGGGCACGTTCTAGACAGCCATAAGTAGCATCTGAGTAGACAACAGGATACTACTTCCAGCACATCAAACAACTGCCTGGCACTCATTGAAAGCCCCAAAAGGCATCGCTATCTGAGCAAACACCAGAAAGAGAAGGGCTTTAGGGCACCACTACAGTGCCATCATGTCGACCACCCCCGACCCCTCCATTCCACCTTCAAGGATCCCAACCTACCCTCTGGCACACTCCTTCCGCCAAAAGCCCCGGCGTCTCCCACTCGTCCTGCGCTTCGCAAAAGGCTCCATCCACAGCGCAATCTACATTCCCGTGGTCCTGCACTCTCTCTTCACCGCGCTCGTTGTCTACCTGGACACTTACCCTCACATACACATCAGCATCCCCGCAACCATCATCCCCTCGCTCTCCATCGTCGTGGGTTTGATGCTGGTCTTCCGGAACTCGACGTCTTATGATAGATTCTGGACGGGCCGGAACTGCGTGACCGCCGTTGGAACCAGCGTGCGGAACCTCGCGCGCATATTCCTCGTCAACTCGCAGGACCAACACGGCAAGAGTACGCCGGAGGAGAGGAAGGACACCGAGCGCACAGTCCGCGTCCTCATCGCCGTACTCTACGCGATCAAGCACAATCTCCGTGCTGAGTTCAACATCCCACCCGCCAGCCTCTTAAACACGTCTGCGCAGTTCAGTTTCTCGGGCGTAAGAGGTGCGAGTTCGAGACCAATTTCACGGCCACTGAGTAGGAGACCGAGTTATGTTGATCGCGCCTTCAGTTTACCCGCGACACCTACACTGGACAAAGCTACACAGCACACGCCGCTGCTCAGTCAGTCGGCTGCTACGCTTGACAGTGTTCTGGAGAGTGAGGGCAGCATGGCGACGAAGAAGGACGATTATGTGAGCTTGTTGCCGGATGGGCTGATGGGGTATGAGGACCGCGGACTGGGGCTGCCGCTGCAGTTGAGTGTATTGTTGGAGAGTTATATTACGAGGGCGTATAATCGGGGCTGGATCAACGCGCCGCTGAGTAGCCAGATGACGGTGCAGGTTAACAATTTGGTGGATGCGTACGGGAAGATGGAAACTGTAAGTTCCCCGCTCCCCGCTCCCCGCTCCCACCCTTCTTCGTCGAACCCAACCCGCGCCGCTCCACCCCACTCCCTCCCCGACTCTCCCCCATACTAATCTCAATTCCCAGATACGAACCACCCCCCTCCCCATCGCGCACCTAATCCACTCCGCCCAAGTCCTCCTCCTCTACATCTCCATCCTACCCTTCACCATGGTCTCCTCTTACGGATGGTACTCGATCCCTATAGTAGCGATCGTCGCCTTCACGCTGTATGGTATCGAGGGCATAGGCGTGCAGCTCGAGGACCCGTTTGGGTATGACCGGAACGATATCAAGATGGATGGCATTGTCGAGGACGCGAGGGCGGAGGTGGGTGTTTTGCTGGAGGAGTGGGTGAATAAGGGGGAGGGGAGGGGGTATGGAGGGATGTTTTAGGGGTTGATGGAGTGGGGTGCTGGGGTGAGTGTGGGTGCTGGGTGGATGGATAGGATAGAGCGGTGTACGAGTGTTGGCCGAGAGTGCTATGTCGGGAGTGCTGGGGATGTGAGGATGTCTGGCGATTTTGCGACGGGTTTGCAGTGTTTTGATGACAAAGTATACCCAACATGCTGCAGGTTTTTTGGTATCAGAATGAAGGCAATAGATAGAAATGTCGGGTTTCATTGAAATTGTTGTCGTCGTCAAACATACCTGACTCTACCCATGCCCGCTCTTCGCTCGCACGACTTGGCCGCGCCCATAATAAGAATAGTAAACAACATGTTGATCCACCAACGCCCGGACCCCAAGTGAACGCTGGGTCCTCCAAATACATACAGACGGAATACATTACTTCCGTCGCTACGCCTCTTCACGATAAATATGCAGATGCTCACTCCCCCGCGCTGTTAATATATTGATGGCCGCCTACAAAGGTGGCAGTCGAATGGGCGTGCATTCAAGCGCTGGCCATGTACACAAGTCGCATTTGGGCTCGATAGCGGACTCAACCCCTAGTCGAATCGTACGGGAGGTATGGAAGGCGCGTCTGTTTCCCCAGAACCGGGCGATTCGTCCCTCAGTCGACTTCCCCCGGCTCGTCCAGCACTACCATCCAGAACGAACGGACCGGCGTCGTTGCGTGGGGTCATCGGTCCATCGTGTGCGCGGTCGGGTGCTAGTCCGTCGTGAGCGGCCAGATGCAGCGGTGACAGGCCATCAAATCCATCTGCGCCGCGATCAATAGATACAGGCTGGGTGACGGATGCTGTCATAGGTTCTATGGGGCGAAATGGCGTTTGCGGATTCGTAATCGATTCGTTGATGCTGAAGTTTGTGATCGCTTGTTGTAAATCAGAGAGATCGGTGTGGCCAGCTTCTGCTGTCGCTGACCCGTTCAAAGGGACTGCTGAAGCCCGGGGTGTGACGTGACGGTCTTCAGGTGGATGTTCCGGGTTTGGAGCTGCGTCGCCATTCGCTTGCGCCTCCTCTTCCCAGTCTTCGAACTCGCCGGGATCCTCAACATCGGCCTCCAGATCAGCTACCGCTCTACAATTAGGGCAGAGGAAGTTGGGCCATGTGGGTCCATTCAGGATGGGCCTTATGCACTTGTAGTGCCAGACGTGCGAACAAGGTGCGACAAACAGAGATTGGCAAGGCTGTAAACATGAATAAGTAAGCAGCAACGCTGAGCAGCACACGAACACCTACCGCTATGGACATCAAACAGATGGCGCACTCAGACGTATGTGTGGATGCGCTGTCACCCTCTTTCTTAGCCTTGGTGAGGTTGCGCAGTCGCTGGTGTGTTTGTTTGCTTCGAAGAAATTAGCACTGCATAGGAAACGAGGCAAACCATGCTCACTTGAACGTGTTGAGCCCCTGCTGCCAACCGCGATTGCACTCAACACGGATCTTGACACATCTGAAGATCATCTCTTCACCACCGCGGAAGTCGATTCCAAGCTGGATGATGTCACCATCCTTTATCCTGAAAGGCTTGGACTCGACGTTCGGCTGGCTCAGCCTGATGTGGTTGAGAAAGGTTCCTGAGGAGCTCTTGACATCCTTGATGTACCAGTTGCCATCCTTACACCACAGCTCGCAGTGTTTCCGGCTTACCACTTTGCTCTTGAATCCAATCGCGGCGGCTGAGGGCGTGTTTGCTGGAATCTCGGGGACGTTGTCGCGCTCTGAGTAGCGCCCTACTCGCACCACAGCCGACTCGTCTGGCAGCGTGCGGGTAATGGTAGGGAACTGGAGCGACGGGCGACCGGCTCGGGGGTCCTGGTGAGGGATGAAGCGAATGGAGGGCAGGTGCTTCTGCGGCGTCGAGCCCTCTGCAGCGTTGTCGCTGGCGCTGTCGTGGTCGGACGGACGGGGTATCGACGCCGGCGTAGGTCCGGCGCTGTTGCGCACGGTAAGCTGGGGCGCCGCTGTCTCTGCACGCGTCCTAGTCATGTTGAGGGCTGGCGACGCGGGCGGGGAGTCGGTGGAGGGCGAATTCTGCCGGGGCCCAGCGGGGCTGAGGGGCGCTGTCTGTCGTCTGGACGGAGGAGAGGGACGAGCAGCGGCGCTCTGAGACGCCGCGGTCGCAGCGAAGGGCGAGACAGGCGGGGTGTGGGTTGCGGCGCGTGGGCGAGTTCTGGGAGTGCGGGCGTCCTCACGTGGGCCTTCCGCGGCGTCGGCAGAGTGCAGGTGCAGGCCGTGGGTGTAGTTGCGCAGGAACGAGATGCCTCGCTGCAGGCCCGTCGAGCGCGGCGAGGGTGAGACGGGCGATATGGCTGTCGCAGAAACGGTGGGGGCGGCTGGTGCTGGCGCAGTGAACATGGCAACGCCGCAGAGGTCGGGTTCAGAAACAGGAGGCCTCGTGGAGCGGCTGGGTTCCAAGTGAATGCCTGACGGTGCAAGTGACAGCGTTTGATGGACAGCACCCTCACGCCGTTTACAGGTGCACGAGTGTGAAAGACCGGCGCATCGACTGGGCACGAGGGCGAGGGCGAGGTCTGGTGTGGCCAAGCAAACAGATGAGGAGTCGGCGGCGCATGCAGTTCGAGCACTTCGACTCAGGTCCAGAACGTGAGGCAGTTGCAGCGCAGGACGTCAACAGAGGAATCTGAGCACGGCGAGCGCACTAGCAGACAATTTTGTGTGTTCAAAAGACAGGAAGATGCTGGGCGCTGCCGTGCGCATAGCCAATCTCGTTTTTCTATCCTCGTCTTCTCATCTGAACCCAGCTGGGATGAGGTGACGTCTACTGCGGAGACCTGAGCCAGACTGCAGGCATGATCATGGCAATGCCCCAGCTGCTGTATCGCGCAGTATGGCGCAACACTCGCCCTCTGCTGCCCGGTCTGCGGCCGTGTAGCGCCGCCTACAGCAGTTCTCCTCGCCGCTGAGCAAGGCTGATTCAACGTGATGCACGGCTGAGGAAGCGTGCCTTTTGGTGGAGCCGCCTTTCCGACCGCCTGGATCCATGCATCTGATAATCGCGCACGTGACACTGCATCGCCTCGAATTTTTGGGACGCGCATCGTTCCGCGCCGGCGACTCATCACCACAGTCGACATGTTACGGCCCCGGACAGTACGACGGATTACGCGCGGGTTATCTCCGGCCTCGTCACAGCTCGCGCGTTCAGCAACCTGCGCCCGTAGACGAGGGCTGGCAACAGCAGTCGCAGAGGAGAAGGACCCCGTCGAGCTGGACCAGATCACCACCCTCCCCAATGGCATCCGCGTTGCGACCGAGGCCCTGCCAGGCCACTTCTCCGGTATCGGCGTCTATGTCGACGCTGGATCAAGATACGAGAACGATGCGCTGCGAGGCGTAAGCCACATCATCGACCGGCTTGCGTTCAAGTCGACGCGCAACACCAGCGGAGACCAAATGGCAGAGAAGATGGAGTCGTTGGGCGGAAACATACAGTGCGCCTCGTCGCGAGAGTCGCTCATGTACCAGTCGGCGACGTTCAACTCAGCAGTCGAGAGTACAGTTGGCGTGCTGGCCGAGACAATACGCGACCCGCTCATCACTGAGGACGAGGTGCAGCAGCAGCTCGAGACGGCCGACTACGAGATTGGCGAAATCTGGAGCAAGCCGGAGCTCATCCTGCCGGAGCTGGTGCACATGGCCGCCTACAAGGACAACACCCTGGGCAACCCCCTGCTCTGCCCCAAGGAGCGTCTACCCCACATCAACCGCGACGTAGTCGAAGCATACCGCAAAGAGTTCTACAAGCCGGACAGGATAGTGGTGGCATTCGCCGGCGTAGACCACAACCAGGCTGTCAAGCTGACAGAGCAATACTTCGGTGACATGGCCACGGGCCAGGGACCGTCCCTCATCGGCGTCGGCGACCACAGCTCGATACCCAGCCAAAACCCCGAACAACAGATCTTCACAGCCGACCACCCCACACCCATCGGCGCACCACCACAACAATCAAAGCTCCTCTCCAAGATCCCCTTCCTCAAGAACTTCTCCACATCCGCCACAGACTCCGCCTCCCTCACCACATCCTTCGACCTCAACTTCCCTCCCATCGACACAACAACACCATCCCACTACACCGGCGGCTTCCTCACTCTCCCGCCGATCCCACCACCGCTAAACCCCATGCTCCGCCGCCTGTCACACATCCACCTCGCCTTCGAAGCCCTCCCCATCTCGTCGCCAGACATCTACGCCCTCGCAACCATGCAGACTCTCCTCGGCGGCGGCGGCTCATTCAGCGCCGGCGGGCCGGGCAAGGGCATGTACTCGCGCCTCTACACGAATGTTCTGAACCAGCACTTCTGGGTCGAGTCGTGCGTGGCGTTCAACCACAGCTACACCGACAGCGGGCTCTTCGGCATCTCTGCATCCTGTGCGCCGAGCCATGTAGCGCAGATGCTCGAAGTCATGTGCCGCGAGCTGAAGAGCCTTGGTGATGAGACGGGCTATGCGGCGCTGAAGGAGGGCGAGGTGCAGCGCGCGAAGAACCAGCTAAGGTCGAGTCTGCTTATGAATCTCGAGAGCCGTATGGTGGAGCTGGAGGATCTGGGCAGACAGGTGCAGGTCCACGGCCGCAAGGTTGGGGTTAAGGAGATGTGTGCGAAGATCGAGGCTGTCACTGTTGAGGACATGCGTCGTGTTGCGCGACAAGTGTTCGGTGGTGAGGTCAAGAATGTGGGTGGTGGATCTGGAGCGCCTACTGTTGTGCTGCAGGAGGGTGAGCAGGAAGGGCTGAAGAGGAGGGATTTCACGTGGGATGATATCCAGACGAGGATTGCGCGCTGGAAGTTGGGCAGGAGATAGTGGGAGTTGCGAGAGGGGAAAGATGTATGATCATGTTGTGACGATGATTGCTTGTATTATATTGCACGAAAAGGTGCATATCTGGACGCAACGTTCGGCGAATCATCTCAATGAAACCCTGTCAGCCCTGCTCGGGAACTCCGCTGCCGTCGGGAGCTTCGTGTAAAGCAAAAACCACATTGTTGGATGTATTCCCCAGCACGGACGACCAGATCTTTTCGAATCGCGCAGGCGATCTGTATCTCCTTGAAGGGACAGCGAGGAAGCGCCTTGATGGGTGACGCCCTTCCCCCACCCAAACCTCCAGTGTTAAGTTGCTCTTTCATTGTTCTCTTCACTCTTTTTATCTCCTTGAGTGAACTTACGGAGTCTAACACAGTACCTAAAGTTGTCCAGTCAGAGCCAGGCGTCTCAACTCTTCCTACCCTTGGAGCGACTGGTTCTGGGCTGAATCTCGTCGCTGGAACCTGTGCGGCGCGTAATTTTTCATCAACTTCAGTCGGGCTGCCAGGGCTTCGGGCAGATCCTCGAACCTAGCCCAAGCCAGCTTTATCAGAGCATGTTCGCCAATATGAAAGACCACTGAGTACGAGTTGCCGTCCCACAATGGGTGCGGTGGTTGGCCATTCTAATGCTCAACCCGGACTTGCAATTGGTTGAAACCTCCGGCGTTCATGCCTTGGATGTATCCATTTTGGCAGAGCAGTGCAAAGTTCTCTGTACTGCTATCAGCTCAGTTCCAAATGCCAATGCTCCAGACAATCACATCGTACCGCAGATATACGCCAGCTCAGCACATTGACGCATCCCGACTCTTTCGAGTACGTTGTATAGTTTACCCGCATAATTCAAAATGCCGTTATTGTAAGACCTCATCATGGGCCATTTATCGGAAGCCGGCGTTGAAAGGTAACTTATGGTGCTCTCAAAAACTGACGGCTGCCTTTGTGTTGGTTGCCCAAGCTGCGTGAAGGCTCGGTCGGCAGGTGCTGGCTGCCTAAGCTGCGTAATGACCCGGTCTATAATATAGTTGCGACGGGCTTCACTCATGGGTGGGTCATTCGGGGTTTCGAAGGCAGATGTTGGGGCAGATGCTGGAAATCGTGGAGGCGGCAAGCTACCTTCGGAAGAAGGAGTACCGGTGGTTGTTGCGGAGCCAAATATTGGAAGCTGAGTTTCTGTTGGTTGGCGCGGTGGTGGGAAGTTCGAGTCTTCGGAGGCAGGTGTTGACCACTGTGCCGGTGGTAAAGTAGCTTGGGATCTGTCCATTTGGCTATTCCTGTGAATGTAAAGATGAAGTGAAGGATGAACAAGTCGACAATAATATCAGTGTGGTACTTAAGATTCAGGAGCTAGCAGAGCTAAGAGACCGCAAACTGTGGGTTTTACGAACCGTGGAAACCGCGAACGTATTGTGCGGAGTACGACGAAGAGGAAGGAGAGGGTTGGGTAGATCCGCTGGGAAGGAACCGAGAAATCCATCGGGAAAGAGAAGGCGTTCCGGAGCGCAAAAAAGAGGAAGTGACTAGGGAACAAGGTGTACTGCGACGAATACCATTTCACAGTCTGTTACAAGACTAGCTAAGCTTGCCTTCGGTACCGTTTCGCACCTTATGTTTACCAAGGCAGCCAATGAACGCGTCCCAACTCACTCAAGTTTGTGTGTCTTTCAAAAATACAGATCTTCAGAAGTGGAGTGGTTGCGACTCGGCTTCATTGTGCCCAACCCAACACAAGTTAGATAAACATATCTAGCCCGACCAGACCTTGGGCCCAGGCGGCGTGTAAGTCGTGCTCTTATCTGCATAAGTGTTGACTGTAATGCCAGGATCACTCTGGGCGGCATATCCGGGGATATTGGCGAGGTAGTCACCACTGGGCTGCGCAGTGCCTGAGCCGGTGACTTGGATTTGAGCGCACTCGGCGTAGAACTGAGGGTTCAAGGCCTGGTGCAAAGCGAGAAGCTCGTGACGGACAAGGTAGTTACCTGGTGCGAGCGACTTGGGGACGGTGGACTCCCAGTACAGTTGCTTGAGGACTTTGGCTGTGCCCCAAGATGTTCCGCTGAGAGGTGGTGCGGTCATACCCTCCTGATCAATCTACGAGTACGTCAGCCCTGTATAGAGGAGTGTGCATGGAGGATGACTGACCTTGAACCACTGCTTTCCACTACCATCGCAGTTCGCGAAGTCGCCAGCACACTTGTACAGCCAGACCATGACTGGGCCTTGCTCGTGGGTCCACTGGGCCCAGATAGCTCTGATCTTTCCACCAGCAGCGACCTTGGCTGACAGGTCTGCGGAAGTGCCACCATTGCACATGACCTTCTTGTCGGTTACGGTCAAAGTGGGGTTGTAATCAGGCCATTGGCGCTGGATGGTCTTTGGCGACGTAGCTGGAGAGAAGCCAGTGTAGCTGAAGAGATTATTAGCTACTGATGGGATGGACACTAGACGACGGGATGCTTACCCTGGATAAGTGACACCGTCGATGACATAGCTCGTCACCGCGCCATGGGCGGCAGCCTGAGCCACAAAGAGCGCAGCTGCGGCATAGACGGTCGAGAAGAGCATGGTGAGCTGATTTGAGAAGCTTGTAATCTGTTGAACTGCTGCTCTGGGTCAGTGGCTTCCTTAAGTAGCATGCTGATGCTGCCACCTCCGGTCAGTGCTGCAATCAGGGTATAGTTTCTCATGACTACTGAGCTACGAGACTTCCCGTCTTGCCGGTGCCAGATGAGGGCGATAGTGTTCGCAGATTGAGCGACGATCTAAGGGCGTGCTGATGGCAGACCGGTTAAATGCAGCACAACGTCAGCCACTATGAGCTTGTCGCAAGTAGGGAGCGCCATAGTAGCGTCAGCAAATATAATGAGACCATCATAAGATACTGTTCGATCCCGTGCACCGAAATCTGAGCTAGATTGCGATCACCTGTGTGCTGGAAGATGGGATAAAACTAACACTTGACAGGCGCTCGATCACGATCATTGAAGCGTCGCATAGGCAGATATGCTGTTCGCCTTGGAATGCTGCGAGACGCTTCTTCTCCAACAGACGTACGAAATCTGCATGAATTGCGGCAATGACTACGACTTCACGCTCAATCACAATGACAGCTGCAAGTACCATCCAGGTTGGTATTGCAATCTTCGCCAACACTTGAAGTTATTGACCAAGACTGCTGGAGAGATGAAAATTGACGAGAACTGGGAGGGTTGGAGGGGCTTAATTGAGTCGTGTGAGGTCACCCCGTGGTACGACAAGGATTGGCGTAATGAGAAGGAACAGTTGATAAGAGACCATCCCGATGGGTTTATCTATTCGTGCTGTGGCGAGCGTCAGAATGGGCCTTGCATGGCTGGTGGACACGTGAAGAAGAGGAGCTAGTACATGACTATGGGGGACTCTGATAGGGGAGAGTACTGGGTGCCGTTGTGAGATGCTTGATACACGAACACCGTGGCTAAGCCTCCTGTGCATGAAAGAGACGAGGTTCAGATACTCACAGTTGTCGATTAAGGCATGGCACACGCCTTTAATGCCAGACCAGCTTACCGAATGTCGTACGTCCACCCAGTCTAGCCCTTCACCGTCTTCGCCTTCCCATCAGTCCTATACTTCCTGTGACAGCACCCCGCACTATTGCCCATCCTACTACAGTACTGGAAACGAGAGCCTTAGGATACTTCTCGCGATTTATAGGTGTACCTTGAAGCCCTTCAACAGGGTTGTATGTTTTCCAGCCCTTTCAAGCGTCATCGTGGTATGGCTCCTCTGCCTTCGATCAGCTGGACGAACAAAAAAATTGGCAATGAAAACTTGAGAGCCTTACCGGTATGGTCAGTGCAGCTCATAGGCCCTTTCTTCTCAGAGCTGAAAGACTTGTTGCGCTTAGTACAGGTAAGAAAGCGAGAGCTGTTGGCCTCGTCTGCTTTTCGCTTTGCTGGGGCTTTCGCCTTCGTCGCTGGCGCATTCGCTTGTGGTGCGGGTGGATCTGCCATCGCTGTTGCCAGACTAGCTTGATATGCCGACTTATGACCCTGCAGTAACGATGAGACCGGCGGTGATGCTGCAGGCCCTGCCTGGTATTGTGCATTTGCATTATGGGAATCCAGTCCATAAGCACGGGCCTGAAGTGCGATTTGTGGTGCCAATGCTTGAGTCTGCGGGGGAAGTAGCCCGGTTCGCGGTGGCTGTAATTGTGCCTGTGGTGTCTGTGGTGCCTGTGGTGTGGGAATTTGCTGCGGTGCCAAACCCTATTATGGTGACGGGCGCTGCTGTGGTTGCTGTAGTTGCTGTCGTGCAGGCGCTTGACTCTGCGGTACTGGAATCTTGCGCTTTGGTCCCGGGCGTTCGCAATCTCTTACAGTTTGAAGGACGTGCTCGCCCGCCCCTATGTTGTAGGCCTGAATTACTCCTGTAACAACATTTGCAGGCATGTTTTCCACTGCAGGGTCGTAATCGATGTCGAGGAATGCCGCTGCTTTCCGATTATGGTAAAAGCCAACCGGAGTCGTCAACTCCTTCCATGCCATTGACGCGGCAGCAGGGAGTTGTGCGCGTATCTTGGCGAATAGAAGGTGAAGATGCTTATGGCTTATACTCTTGTTGAGTAGGTGCACAAGCGGATCTGGAAGCGGCCGTAACGGAGCCTCTTTGTCATTGAGCTTGAGTGTGTCCGGAAGTTTCTTCCAAGCTATTTGAACATTAGGTCTCTTGTGTCTCTGTAAGCCATGTGGGAGATAGCATGAGGGATCTTGGGTCGCGTTGCGGAGATGACAAGGTCGCTTGTCGCGTACCAAAACGAGACAGGCTAGGCTTGCCATGTAGTGCGTTTTCTATACAAGACTCAGGATCTTGATTTTTTTTAGTAGGAGTGCTTCAGATGCCTTGAAAAGATGTGTGATGGTATGTTCGGTAGCGAGGTTTGCGTACGAGAGCATCGCTAGCAGAGGCGTACAAGGCTGTGGACTTGAATTGCTTGCGCCAATGCCCTTCTGCTCATACAAGACCTAGAACATTTGGACTGACATGGTATGAAAACAGTTCTCATTCGAAGGCGACAGCTCAGTCAAGAGCCTTCATCAACTCGAACGCGTTTTCGAACTCAGTATAGTCCCACTCCTCCTCATCCGGTGCAAATCGCGAGCCGGCATACTCTTCCCTTGAGATGATGCCTGGAGGAGGCACAAGCTCCAAATGCAGGCAGTCGCGCAGTCGTTCGTCCGTGAGTGGAGACCTCTCCAGCATCCATTCCGCCGCAAGTTCGATACGCCGCTCAGCAGTCTTGCCGCCCACAGCGAAGAACGCAGGTCGCCACGCTGATGATTCGACCCCTGGTATCATTGGGACGGTGAGACTTTCGACGTTCGGAAACTGCGCAAGCATCTTTCCTCCGCTGTCCAAGATGCTTGGCCAGAAGCGGTGTTTCCATCCATGACTAACTGCATCGAGATCCCTGGGGCCGAAGATACGATGAGTTGCCTCAGTCGTGAACGTTACGTGGCGCACGAGCTGGCAGTAAGCGAGTGCTAGGTTCGTCTTGTTGAGAAACCATATGCGGAAGGTGTTGTCACCGTAGAGAACAGGGGCAGCTTCAGCGTGCAGCTGTCGGCAAGTCTGCAATAATCCTGTAGAGATCCACTTGTACACACTTTGAGGCTCTACCACACCGGCATTCTTGTGGCGGACAATTTTGGATCTGAGTTTACGCTCAGGCTGGTAAGGGTCCTTAGTGTAAACGAATATTGCGCCAGCGACGTGAAATGTGTAGCTGTAAATAAGATCGCGTAGCTCACGAGGAAGGTCCAGGAAGCTGAAACGGTGTGCGTCTTCCTTGTACGACTTGCTCCATGCTGTGGAGAGCACTGGTTCTGCATCCATCTGAGTAGTGACTTCGGCAAAGTAGGTACAAGAAAAGTGGCAGAAAGAAGGTTGTGCAGCGGAGGTGTTGAGTAATCTGGGGTCAAGATTGTCTAACTACTTTTAGCGCGCAAGGCGGGAACGAATGACAACCTTCGTCCACTTCAGTCGCTACTCGAGCATACCGGAATCTTCGACTACACTTGCTTTGAAGTAAATCTCGACATTCTGGCACCTGGGCTCATCATCTCTTTGTCATATAAAAAGATGTGAAGCAAGCAAAAATTGCGCCAGTGAAGGCCCACGAGGGGCCCTCAGACAAAACCAGTCCCGCATTGTACTATGCAGCTGATCTATGCCGGTCGCGCGACTTCTGGTGCTCGCGGACCCTGATCCGGTAAGTTTTGGAGAACCAGAAGAAGGGCGACGGGCGAGGGCTTTATACTTGCTATGGAAATGAGGCAGAACGGTGCACGTGAATGCACGTGAGTGTGAAGCCTAAAAGGCTACACGTGCAACATGTTGCCTAGTCTCATGAGTGCAGGATAGTGGAGCGAGGGGCAAAGAATGGCAGACAGGCAGACCTGGGCTGAGCCTCAGATTTGCAATAGTCATTTGTAGCAACATATGTTATCTCTTCCATCAGTCCAGGCGCACCATGTTGCTCTCAGCACCCTGAATTGTCAGTCCCTTCTGACAACCAACTTAGCCTCCAAAATCCGCACTGGCCTTCCAAAGCTCGTCAATGCAACATCAGAGGATATTTCGCCTTTGCATGCCTCGCAACCTATTCTACGCCCGGAAGAACCAGCCTGTTTGTCGCATCATGGAACTGACCGATGAAATCTGCTCGGTCGCTGGTGAAGCGCCTATAGGGATATGGAAAGGCGGGCGCCGAAGCGCCTGCATGGCGCAATGTCATCAGACAAATATCGTTCTGCCAAAATCTTGCAATCGTCGGTTCCTAACGACGAACTCTCAGCCAGTCGTTTGTATCCGTCCAGAGTGTCTTGTTCTGTTGAGATATGTTGCTCCCTGAAGCCTTGACGCCAGCATATACGGCATCCCAGAGAGCGAATGCTGTATGGAGATCGTGATCAAAGTCTATCGACTGTGGGAAGTAACGAGTGGATACGGTCTCGATGACTCGTGCTTTCGACTCAGCAGAAGTGGGGTCCGAGTCGTTTGTGAGTTCGTCAAGGTATGATTTGACACCTATACCAAGCGCACAGTTATTGGGGAGAAGGAATGGGAGTCTGTCCATATGTTAGCACACTACCGATACTACGAGAGGATTCGTCTTACTTCGTTATCAAGCTCGAGAGATCGGTCTTCCTTTCGCAGCACCCGGTCAGGAACATATTTGTGGCAGTAGCTTCGATGAGATCGCGCAGTGTTTGGCGAACAAGATTCACGATCGATCCGTACCCGAGTAAATGTTGGCTTAGGGGGCCTGTGAAGCCAATCGGTTTATGCTGTAGCGTACCGAGTCCAGCGACGCGCGAGATCAGCATGTTGGCATGTTGGTCCTTGGCTAGAATGTTGTTAGTTGCTGTCGACATAGATGAGCGCTGTTGTACTGACCATTGCCGCGCATAGGTGCCCCCTTGTACGGAAACATGGTGATGTCGCCGTTTAAATCTTCGAGACGTAGCAGTTCTACGGCGAGCACAGCACTTTCTTCAAGCTCTGCGTTGCCATCCAACGAAGCGATTGTCTGTGCCAGCACGTAGCCCCAAGTAGTCAAGTTGTGCTTGGCATCGACGTACTCACGCACAGACAGGAACCGCCATATTGAGTTGTACAGGATCTCATCTGGTGTTGAAAGAAGCTGCTCCATGTCAGTGTGAACTCGTACATACTCAAGACGCGACTTACGTTGTTGGTGTCCTTCTTTGCGACAGTTTTGGCGACGAACTCGTCACTCGTCAGGGCCAGGATGGCAGACCCGAGCGGCCCACTGCCCTCGTTACTTGATACAACATCCTTGAACGCAGCCTCTTTTACATTCCATGTTTCAGCGATAGATTGATATTCGGGCAAGTCTTTCATAGAGATCTCTTTCTTCTGTGGCTTCCCGGTTGCAGCGTCCGGGAACCAACATGTCAGCTCCAGCCCCTTTACCCTATACCAGTGATGGAGAGGTGACGACAGCAAGTTGATTGCTGTCGTCCGTAATGGTGTAAGCTTGGAGGTGACAAGCTTCTGGTACTCCGCCGACATGCCTCCATCTATTGGTGGCTGTTCGTATATCTCGCAGGATGTGCGCCACTGCAGAAGGCGCGAGGCGATGATGCCGTGGGTTTGCAGATAGTGAAGCTCGTCCGATAGTCGCTGCCCCAAGAATTGGTTTGCGTCGGACGACATCTGGCTTGCATTCAAGGGCTCGACCTTGCCCTGTGTGGTGAGGATAGGGTGGTTCCTCACTGCCAATCGTGCCTTGCAGTACCTGTCGACATAGTTTCCAAATCGCGGGTCGTCCTTGTTGTTGATCACAACCGAGTATCCAGTTCTGCCATTACTCATGATCATCTTGATTGCGCCATGTGGCTTGAGAAGCTCAGTTCTGTTGGGCGAGCTCAAGTTGGGCAAGGTCGGTAGGAACGGGGTCCCGGCGAGTAATAGCGCATCAACGAAGACTTCCTCGGTGACTCTCCCGCTGCCGGCGAACCTCTCCAGATCGGCGATGCACTTCGCTCGCTTCGTCCAACTGAAGGTCTTGTCTTCGAGGTTCCACGACGTTACGACCTTATCGCACTCGAACAAGAGGACTTCGGATGCGCCTGATATTGCGTGTACGAGGGTTTCCTTCTCGAGGTATGCCAGCTGCGTAGTGTCAGTAGCCTGTTCTGTCAAACCTCGAGTGATTGTACCTGAGCCCAGGCGCTGTAAGGCGCGATCTGGAAGTGAACTTTGCGCTCGATCAAAATCGACTGCAGGAAACGGAACAGGTCCTCGGGCGTAACGTATGTTGACTCTCCGAACTTGGCGACAGACGCCTCAGCCTTGTTGCTATCGTACAAGCTCCAGGCCATTGTGTTCACTCCAGCCTCACGCTGCTTCTGCTGGAACGGGTCGTCCGGTTTTGTGATGTCCAAACCACTGAATACGAACCATGGTTCGATTTGTAGGCTCTCGAATGTCGTCAGGTCTTCTTCGATGTACTGCTTCATGCCAAGTGGCAGACCGCCGAGGGCAGGTACGAGTGGTTCTCTTGCGCGGGGATGGCTCAGGATGCGGTGCTGTAGGTAGTGAGCAGCCTCGATAGCCACGCGGCAGCCACTGAGCTCCTGCAGCTCGCTGAGCTCGCCGATGTTGGCGTTCCATGCTTCGAAGTCGCGAATCATCGTGGTCGGCGCGTGCGTTGTTTATCTGGGGTCGGGACTACAATTGGCGGCAGCGACGAACGTTGTCTCGTGTGACTGGAGACCGTGAAGTTCGGTCGGGTTGTATAGGAGTCCGGACGCAGAGGCACTCAGAGTTGATTCGCACGGTGACAATTGCGGGGTGTTGATGGTCAAGGTGATTTTGGAGGTCCCAGCACGAGAGCTCCCGCCCGCTTGCCATGAACCCTGTCGAGACACTTGTCTGCTTTCGTCCCTAGTCCGTCTTTAGTCTCAGGGACATCCGTGACTGAAGGCGCGATAAGACAAATGTGAACTTCAAAATCACGAAGTCTGACTGCATTGAAGCTTAGGACCGCTCTTGAGATAAAGCGGAAAGGCCAGGGCGAGCGAACTGATTGCTTCCGTCGGCAGCAACGTTACAGTTGCTTGAGCCCCTCCAAGGCAAACAGCTTGCATTAGGACTCTTCCTCCAACATCCAACATGGCCCACTCAGAGGTCGAAAACACTGCGATACCAGTTATCGACATCTCTAAACCCAGTGATGAAGTAGCTCGGCAAGTTCTGGAAGCTGCTTCCACACATGGTTTTCTCTTCATCCAGAACGATGGTGTGACCATCCCACCAAAAGACATAAATGACATGTTCAAGCTTGTCAGTTCGAGAACTCGATGAATCCAAATCTATACTAACGAGAGATAGTCCGAAAAGTTCTTCAGTTCATCAGACGAGCAAAAAGCTGCATACGCAATCCACTCAGACAAAGCTGGCGGCACCAACCGCGGCTGGGTCAAGATGGCCGGCGAATCTCTTGACCCAGAAGGACAGAAGGTAACTCCAAATCCACAGGCCACAAGCAAACAACAAACTAACCTCATCACAGCAAGGCGACCCTAAAGAAGCTTTCAATATCGGTCCTCCACAGCCGCACCTCCAACCCCTCCCCTCTCCTCTCTCAACCTCCTCATCTCTAATCCTGCGCTTCCAAAACTCATGCCACGCGCTCTGCACCTCGATCCTCTCGCTTCTCGGCACCGCACTCGAGACCCCAGATCCGTCTTACTTCGCCTCGCGGCACGACCAAACCCTCGGCCCCTCAGGCACGATCTTCAGGATGCTGTACTACCCTTCCGCCTCCACTGCTACCAAGGAGGACGACAGGAGCATCCGCGCAGGCGCACACTCCGACTACGGCTCCCTCACCCTCCTCTTCCGGGTCCCCGGCCAACCTGGTCTGGAACTCTTCTCCCCCAAAAACCAAACCTGGGTCCCTGTGCCCGTCAACCCCTCTCCCTCAACGCTCTCACACCCGCCTATTCTCGTGAACATAGGCGATTTGCTGAGCTTCTGGACCGGCGGGATGCTGAAGAGTACTGTGCACCGTGTGACATTTAGTGGGGGCGGGGAGAGGTATAGTATGGCTTATTTCTGCCATCCGCTTGATGATGCAAAGTTGGAGAGAGTGGAGAGTAGGGTGTTGGCGCAGGCGGATGGGAAGATGGGGAGGGAGGAGTTGAGGAGTCAACGGAAGAGATTGGGATTGAAGGAAGACGATGAAGAGGTGCTGACGGCGAAGGAGCATTTGGATCGGAGGTTGAGGGTCACTTATGGGCTTTGATGGAAATAATTGGAAGAGAATTGGGTTGAGAAGAGACGATTTGATTGTTTTTGGGAATCATGTGGTATACCCCAACGCCGTTTGTATGCGGGGAAATGTAGAGTACTCCGCGCTATGCTCATTATGCTTGAAATCCAAGTCGTGCATACATACACCTCGTACACCTACTCATGCATTGCCACGCCATCCTCAGAAGCCAGGTCTTCTTTTCCTCCCCGCTCTACTGGTCATTCCACTTTCACTCGGACCATCCATCGCACCACCGATGGCTTTCACGGGCACGCTCTTTTCCTTCAAAGTGCCACCCAGCTTCTTGATCATCGCTTCTCTTGCCTTGGCCGCGCCAGGACTGTCCCAGCCTAGCTCTTGACTTGGTTGGTATTCATTCATTACAATCGTCTCATCGTCTTCGTCTCCACCATCCAGACCCAGGTTGCCTGAGCTGGCGCCTCCTGTAGAGCCTATCGAGCGTGTAGATGTTGCACGGCCTAATTGGCGACGTCGACGACGCTTCTCGTCAGCTTGGTCTTCGGGAGTAGGCACATCTTTGCGGCTTGCCCGTAGTTTGGTCAAGAGATCAGAGTAGTCTTTCTCTTCTTCAGGTTCCTTTGCTGGAGGTTGTGGCTCTGGTACTGGCACTGATACTAATGGCTCAGAAGGCGCCGGTATTACAGAGTCAGGGGTTGGTTCTCGAACCGGTTCCGAGATACGTGGTGCAGGCAAAGCTCGGATTAAGGACTCAGCGGATGAGCTTCTCTGCCTAGTCTGTAATTTGCCATTGGTGGCTGAACCTGTCGAACATGTCGACAGACGTCGTGGTGAGTTCGCCTCGATGTCTTGTAATGACATAGATGCATTGCCATCAACACCTCCGAAAGCATCATCATTGTCAAAGGCTCGAGAGTCACGAGTGCTATCTGCTGGTAGGGTAAGCGGGTCAGTCGTAGAGACAGATGTTGCATCCGCTGAAGCAAGATCAAGAGCTCGAGGTTTCAGTGGTCCTCGAGCGCGAGAGTGTTGTGGCTTTGTCACCATTTTTGGTGCGTCCGCTCTCTTTTGTTTCACTTGAGGCTTAAAGGCTTCCTCTTTCGAGGGGGCAACTGCAGGCTTCTCAGAGAGCTGAGGCTCCGGTCTTGTCTTCTGAGGCTGACGCGGTGCGAGCGTGTTGAGCAGATGATTACTGAACGGCTGCAATGCGCCAGTGCGGAGACACTCCCAAAGCCATTCTGCGTGCACAGCTGGAATGCGTCTATCTGTGGCGAACTTGAGTTTTTGTGGGGATGGTTTTTGGCTATTACAGACGATGACCGAGGTTTTGGCGTGCAATTGTTCGTCATAGTTCGCACCTGTCAAATTTGTCAATTCAGCATCAACCAACAATCAAGCAAAGGAACTTATTCCCGTACCCATAAGCGTGACAGCTTTCGTCACATGCAGGAGCTCAATTCCAGAAAATCCCGTGGAGTTCACAGTTAACGCAGAGAACCCTTGCAGACGTCAGCATTACCGAACTTGAGATTTGCACAGGGACTAAGAGCTTACCGTTGATGCTAAGCTTATCGAAAGGTCGACTCAAGACGTCGTCTGTGGGGTCGACTAGACGCTTTCCATACAAACAACGCTCAACCCACCAGTTAGTAACAAGGTTCGTTATGGATCCGGCGCGTTCCGGAAGCGATCCAGACGTAACATCGGCCTCAACATCATGCGGTATCACGAGATATCCACGTCTGAGTTCTTCTGGAGAGATTTTATCCAAGTCATTGCTGCTTAGAACACGGGCGCCGTTCTTCTCTAGATGGTCTTGTAGGATATAGGTCTGTGGAGACATTAGCTTGGCGAAGCAACTTCAATATTGTAACGTGCCTTGTCTTGGTCGAAGCCATGTGTGGCGACGATGCGGCCTTGGAAGATGCCTTCGCCTTGATCTAATTCTGGTAAACGTAGTGGAGCTGCTGCAGCGGGTGTGGGTGCGGTAGTCTCCTCGGGCTCGATTGGATGAGCAACTTCGTCGTTTCGATGTGTTGCAGGTAAATCTTCCTGTGGTGTGGTCTGCTTGGACAGATTGTCCTCTTTCCACTCATCGTCCTCATCCTTGCCCTGATCGAAACTCGGTGTGGTAATCTCAGCCCACAGAGCGTCGCCTTGTATCCCTAGCTTGGTGCTTGCAGCACGACGCAGCTTCCTTCGATTGGGATTCAATGGCTGAGGTTGTTCAGCATCCCGCGTCCGCTTGCCGAGTGCTAGCGAAGGGTTCTCAATGCGAATCCATGCATCCTTCCCGCGCTCTTCCGTCGGCAGTGTGGGGTTGTAAAGGGTCTCTTCCAAGACCATGCCCCGTTCAAGGCTGTGCTCAAACCACTCCAGTGAGACAATCTTCATCCGCCAGTTGAGCGCATGTTCGTACTTCTTGCCGGTTGGCGCGGCTGCGATGAGGTGGGTAACGTTCTTGGTGAGATCGCCATGATACTCAGCCCCGTTCTGATCGACCGTCTCTTGGATGTGCTTCCGCTGTTCTGCTGTGCCTTGTCAGCCTATAGTCACATGGCTTCCATTCGCAGGGATGCCGTACGATTGTCGAAGCCAGTGAGGCAGATTTTGAGTCCATAGAAGGTAGGCAGACGGTACTGCTTCTCTAAGCCTGCCACGTCCATGTCATCCTCGCCCTCCATCCAGACATCACGCAGCGCCTCCAGCCACGATGGTGACAAGACCTTGACGTCTTCTCGAAGCTTGGCAACATAGCGGTATTTGGCACTGTCCGTGTTGCCGGCGACAAGGTGCGTTACGTCTGATGTGAGGTCGAGCTTGATGGTCGCACCCATCTGCGCGCCGATGGCCGAGAGCTGCGCCTGTCAGGACATATCAGTTTCCTCTGCATGGTAAATGTAAGGTCCACCTACACGCTGCTCATGCGGCAAGGCGGTGCAGCACAGGATGGCGCCCGCAAGGGGCAACTGGCCAGTCCCTACATGGTGTTGTAAGTGCATGCTCATGTATACTATGTTGACAGACTCACCATAATGCCCATCTGTCGCGTCCATGTCAGTGTTGCCACATGGGGCAGTCGCGGTGTCGTGTGCTGCCAAACCACCGAGACGGAAGTCGCGTCTGGCGTCGAGCTAAGCCCTGTGGACGCGTCGAATCTGCGGGGTATCACGTGCACCTCTTTTTCACAGCCCTGCCCAGCTTTTCCTGTCTGCCAGATGCGCGCAGATCTTGCTGCGCTTCCGCCTGCGATCCGAAGCAGCGCCACGAAAAGTCTTCCCTACCGATCATCCACCGCGGCGTGTGCCCCCCCTTGATGACGACGCATCACCGAGCTGACCGACAACGTGCGCCGATCTCACTGATTTCTCCAGCGTCTCCAGATCCAGAACCCCAATCGTTGATCTTTCCATGTTTGGGTCGCTTTTGTTTTGCTGTGCATCCCAAACTGGGCTGTAACCTGCAAGATGCTGACACCCGGCCAATCCTGCCAATCCTGCCAACCAAAATTGATGAAACATAGACTCGCCTCACCGGGCAGCATGCACGTTGCAAGGCACGAGATGCCCAAGAATCAAGAAACCTCGCCCTCCTGCATGTGCGAGTGTGCCAACAACACATTGACTCTGCATTCGACTTGGCTGCTTCTGGACCTCTCTCATCATTACTCTACGTGAATGATCGCCTAGTCAAACCTAGTTGTGGGTTTGTCTTTCTCAGCAGTAGCTCAGCGCGCACGCATACTTCCGATGCTCGGCATAGCGTCGTCTACAGCTGAAGGAACTGAGTCTGTTTGCGCGCTTAGAGGGGGTCATACGAGGCTTGAAGCCGCGAATATTGCCCTGCCGAGCAAGCCGTGATAGGATCGCTAGGATTTGTAGCAAGGCCTGGCCACTAGAGCCCTGCAGCGCGTCAATCTTGATCGAGTCTTGGTGCTCCAGCTGATGTCATGGCCGTCCGAGCCCTCCGCAGTGATCAGTGCACCATCCTTCATCTGTGCTTGCATTTGAGAGATTGACATGTCCGTGGTGCGGATTAACGCCGAAAATGCTCCCTTGAAGCTTGCCTGCCACTGCGTCAAGAGCGCACAATCTTTACGAATATCTATTCGCCGACTCGCTGCGAGATTATTCACCGCAGATTTTCGCTCAGTCACTTCCGTCGAACCTCCGCTGCTGCGACCCCGCCGACTGTGCTCGAGTAGGTCCGCGTCATCTGCCAGAGTGACCACACTACTACCAGACCATTATTCCCTGGCGCAATACAGACGGCACGCCCAGCATCCGCGCCCTGAATTTGTAAAGGCACTACCAGACCACTCTCCATCCTGAACGTCAACGCAGCCCAAAACCCCTGCGGTCCCTGTGGTATCTTCCGTCTGTCGTCCTGACGAAAGTTCACTCTGCCCGTCTCGACGCGCCAACGCATCTCTCCAGAACAGGGAATACCCGACACATCCGCCGCATCGGCACTCTTACCGCTCCACAAGTCATTGCTGGCTGCACTTGCTGATCCCTTCTAAACACTTGCCATGCAACCAGACGTACAGTAATAAACTTCTTAGACGTGTGAGTGCCTGTCCCTGTCTCATTTCCCCTTTCACCGCGTTCGGGCGCTTTGTTCCGCAAAGCCTGAACCTGTGTTGTCCCTTCCCAAAGCGTCGACATGAGCCCTGTTATGTTACCTTGACCTGCCTTGACCGGGTATTCCTTTGTAACACGCTCTTGATTCTCCTGAGTTACACACACCCGTTCCGTGTCTTGATTCAGGCTTTTGCTTCTACATAAACTCCTGTGCACCCTGCATGTCGCTGCAAGACACTGTCGTTACGTCCACCAGCAATTGGCGTCACTAACGCCGCCCTCGCCATGACAGAATACCGTCACGTTTACTCAGACCGTGGACGTCTGCGCTATATACCCGAACACCTACCAGAACCCTCACGACTTCGACGTGGTCTCTTCCAAGGACGCCCTCGCCGACCGCACCGCATCCACATCGCACACGTCGCACCCGACCCAACACTCACTCGCCGCCTAAAGCGAGAAACGACTAGCAAGTCGTACTTCACAGAAAAGCTGGCGGGCCCTCGTGAGAACGCTAAACGCTATCTGCGTAACCTACTCGACAAGCAATTCGCTACGCCCTCAGAACCTACAGACGTCGTTCTGCCGGCGTCGTCTACCAACAGCAATCGCACTTCAATTGCCTCTTTCCCCGAGAGCAGGCTCTCCACAGCACCCAGCGACATGCGTTCCACACAAAGAGCTTCAGGCGCAGTTGGCTCGTTTGGGCAAATGTCGACACAAGCACACATCGACATGTCTCGACCGTCGTTATCAGACTCACACTTCTCGTCTGGAAGATCTTCGGCGAAAAGTGCGATCAGCAGCATAACAAAGCTGCCAGAAGAGAAGCCAGTGGCATCAGGAGGTGGTGTGAGCGTCAATATTGCGCTCACAGAACCTGTTCTGTTCCTCCAAGGTTTCGAACAAGCTGAGCACGCCGAGCGAAGCACTGCAATGCTTCGTGGATCTTTGATTCTGAAAGTCACCAAGCCCACAAAGCTCAAGGCTATCACACTGAAATTCAGAGGGAAGGCTATCACGAAGTGGCCCGAAGGCATTCCTCCCAAGAAGGTCGATTTCGAGGAAGTTGACATCCTCATGAACCACACCTGGCCATTCTTCAACGCCCAGTTCCCTACCGCAGAGAGCGGCACTGGCGCAGACCGTGTCGAGCTCTATAAGAGCGGTGGCGGTCTTGGTTCTTCACCAAATGCCTCCTCTACAAACCTCACAACGAAAGAGGCGAAGAGACTATCTCTCCAGGTGAACCACTCACGCAGCTTTGGCAAGGGCGAGTCCCCATCAGGTGGAGCATCTGTAGCACAGAAAGGATACAGGACGTTCAATGCTGGTGAGTATATGTACAACTTCGAGCTCCCACTCGACAGCCATCTCCCAGAGACCATCGACGTCGACCTTGGCTCCGTCAAGTACGAGATGGAGGCTACAGTCGAGCGAGCTGGAGCATTCCGCACCAACCTGCTTGGCACCAAGGAGGTCGTCCTCGTCCGCACACCATCAGAAGGCTCGCTGGAACAAGTTGAGCCGATCGCCATCAGCCGAAGTTGGGAAGACCAGCTGCACTACGACATTGTCATCTCTGGAAAGTCGTTCCCATTGGGTGCTCAAGTTCCCATTGCATTCAAGCTCACACCGCTAGCGAAGGTGCAATGCCATCGAATCAAGGTTTTTGTCACGGAAAACGTCGAGTACTTCTGCAACCAGAAGCGAGTGCACCGCATGGAGCCTGTACGAAAAGTGCAGCTATTCGAGAAGCGAGCCGACGGACCACCCACAAGCACATTCCCCGGTAGCACAATGCGGATAGTATCAGGCGGCGGTGTGCCATACGATCAAAGAGCTGCGGCTGCACGAGGCGAAGACGTGCAAGTACAAGATCCGGGGAACCTACTTGGTGACCTTAACGGGGAAGGTAACATTGGACCCACAGAGATGGAATTTAACGTACAACTGCCAAGCTGTCACAACATGCGGGAGAAGGACAAGCAATCTCGGCTACACTTTGATACCACATACCAGAACATCCAGGTACACCACTGGATAAAGTTGGTCATGCGCCTCTCAAAACCCGACAAGGCGGACCCAACGAAGAGACGGCACTTCGAGATCTCAATCGACTCGCCCTTCCACATCCTCTCTTGTCAGGCTACACAGGCAAACACAGCACTACCAGCATACTCATCACCTGAGCCAATAATTAGTAACGCACGGGTACCCGAGTGCGGCTGTCCAAATGCTCCCACCCGACGCACGTCTCCGACTGGCCGGGTTCCAACATTAAGCTCAATAAATCGTTCGAGAGGCAACTCGAATGCAACTATATCAACACCCATGCCCACCCTCGCACGACCACAAGCAGCACACATTGGCGGTCCAGCCGACAATGCTGTACAACGACCCATCCACCTCCTTCGCGTACCATCTTTCGCACCACCAGAGTTCTCGGAAGAAGAGCCACCGCCACCTCTCGAGACACCACCACCGCTATACGAATCCATCGCATCGCCAACAAGCGGACTCGCAGACTACTTCGCACGTCTGTCAGACGCGTACGATGACGACAGCGAGGGCGAGCACGCGGACCACCGCCGTGTTGAGATCCCTCTGACCCCCGGTGGACGCACAGCCAGAAGCATGGACGAGAGGAGAATGTGGCTTCCCGTCGGACACTAGTCTCTACCACAAAAACAACAAGAGCACGAACCACGCATGATTACGATGACGACATGAGATATGGATTTGGCCTGCATGTACCGGCTGATTTTCAGGCGTTATTTGAACCGGAAAGGGGATCATAGGGCTCGTAATTTCTTATGTTTATTTTCTTTTGTCAAATCTTTCAACCAGTCACATCTATCTATCTAGGCATCTGGGTCTTCCTGGTGGCATTTATCTACTGTTCTAATTTTCGGTGTATATGGGGATCGAAGGGAGTGGCGGGGCACAAACAGAAGCATGGCATACTATACAATGACCACATAGCTATCAGGCACGCGATACGATACCAATGTACATATGAACCTCAACCATGATTCGCACGTTTTGAAGTTCGGCTTTACTACTGACTCGCACGCAGTGTTTGGACGTTGCTTTTGGTAGCAGGGATATGCCTCATTCCTACACCGCCACACTACCACCCCCCTGCCACGCATTAGGCTAACGATCTCGAATCTGGGATCTACCAAGCAGCCGTTGCGCTATCAGAGATGAACCGTTGGGTCGCAAGGCACGAAGGTGAAACTTATCGACATCTGGCAGTGCTGATCTCTGGCAGTGATCTTGACGCCCAACCCAACGGCCGGTGAACATGTACAGGGTTTTTCGGTCCTGCAGTAATTCAGCCTCATTTTTGGTACCTGGTTTGGTGGTGTTGATGTGGGGTTTATTTGTTTTGGTGGGCTGTTATTGGTGATCTTCTGCGTTTTGGGATTTTTGTTGTGAGTGGAGTTGGCGATGGCGGTGATGCTGTAAAGTCTAGACAACCTCACGATTGGCGAGCTGCAGGAGTGTAGTTCAGCCTCATTATTTAGGCCACGGCCTTTTGACGTGATACGCGAAGTGGACGTTGTTGCATGAGTAGTAATCATTCGCATTTGTGGATGTTTGTTTGTCTTCCAAAAATGATCGCGGGTGGTTAATTTGAAATGGAAACTCGAGTTTAGTCGATAAAGCAGAAGTCTGTTCCTCGAACTTGCCGGCGAGACAAAGTTGTGTCTCAAAAAGGTCTTGTTATTGTACACAGCACAAGTGTCGCAAGCGCTGTCGCAACTGCTGTCATTATGCACACCAACACATTTCCCCCTGCATTCGATAGCGCCGCAACACTCCGCCAACTCATACTGCCATTCAGTGTGTTCGTGGACAGCTTTATGATACGGATTGAGCTCGTCCAGCTAGTCAGGATGCCGTTCTCAGTCTGCGCCAGCCCAATATCCAGCTGAAACTGCGTAACATTGAACGCACTCCTGTTGGCTGCAATACTCTCAAGATGCCCGGGATCAACCTGGAGCTACGTGACATTAAACCCTCTCCTATCACTTGGCGCAATGCTTTCGAAGTCCTCTGCAGTCCCGTTGAAGCCCGCAACCTGCGGATAGATGTCGATGATATGTTCCTGACGACACCAATTGTGTTGATTGGCATGGCATGGGTCAATGTATAGTGCCTCGGCTTCAGAGGAGATGTTGAGCGGTATTGAATCTTCAGAGGTAAGGACGCCGACGTCGGTGAGTGTTCTGGATAGGTCGCCCGCGAGTGTCACATTAGTGACGAGCCAGCGAAGGTATGTTGCATTGACACCTTCGGCTAGACTTTGCTGCATTATGATCATGATGGCAGAAGTCGGCGTGAACGAAGGGTCGCAGAGCCATGTGTGTGTGCTTATGGATGGTGGTGACGAGACGTATGTGATGAAATCCAAGGTCATGGAGATTTACCAATGACTTGCTGAACTTGACTGATTGTGGTATTGTCGAATGTGAGCCCGCCATACTTAGCAACAAGAGTGGTGTTAAACGATGCAGCATAGTAGGTTGGGATTTGTGCACAGGTAAGACTCGCAATCGAGACACTGATCAAGAACCAGTCGAGAAGCGTGGCCGTTCAGCGGCTTTACTTCTCTGGGTAGTAATAAAAGCAGTGTGCTCTGCGCCATGCAGATGCAGAGGCAATTTCACTTAAACCAAACTTCTCGGCTGTGACGTACCGAGCACCTTTAGAAATGTGTATATGGGACATTGAACGACAAGAGAATCAGTAGGGCTTAGAGCTAGCTATACACTCCAGCTTCCCACCACAGCCACGACCTTCTTGAATGGTCACATGCATATGTAGATGTCTCACGGCACCAGCGCATGTATGAAGAGCTTGAAATATTGACCAAGGATACGAATTTGTAGATTTTCTAGTCGTGGTGGTTTCCTTGATAAGGGATCTGTTGAGAGTCGGCTGTGGTCGAAGTCACAACACACTGCTTTGCCTTATGGCACTACCCTCAAATCTGAGACCGTCTTGTCAGAGTCTAAGGAGATGTTGTGGAAGGCTGTGCGAGGCTGAGACCCTGGTGCTGGTGAGTTGTTGAGCATGTAAGGCTGAGGACCTTCGCGAATCCCATGACGTCACGCGCGCCTTTGGTACCTGCCTTCGAAAGCGCCATGAGAATTTACATCTCCGTGGGCTCTTTTATGGGATGATTCGCCGATTTGCGATCGATCTCGTGGTCGTTTTGTGCTATGAATATTTACATGATGTTCAAAAGCAATTTTGCACCGGAGATGTATCTCAAGGACACAACTTGAGATCTGGATCTTTTGACTCGATCTCCCATCCAGTCAACCGTGTATGAGCATGCAAAGATAAACCTGTATGCAACTGTTTCCATGTCCTTAGCATGGCAGTCAGAGAACTTGTGACAATATTGTTTCCTTGAGAGCGTACCAAACGCAAGAATGACTATTCACAACGCTCTCTTTATAGCAAGAAACAAAAGTGAAATTGCCCTAAAGATGGAAATAGATTTTTGTAACTTTGCAAGAAAGGGTCTGTCCAACTACGGAAAGTAGGAGTGTAGAGGGTGAGTACTGTGACGCTTCATTCAGCTGTTGCAGTGCAGCTGTGTCCTCGCAAATATTCGAAGGATGAGTACGAGGTCCGCCATATGCTCGTCCTTGCGCCTCAACGCCTGAGGGCTTTGCTTCGGCATTGCGGTCAAGGCATGATGCACGAAAGCTACGAAGTGGAGATGTTTCCTCCACGGAGATCTTGTGGTTCAGGAAGCGAGGAACGAAATCTTCAGTCTTTGAAACGGCAACGTGAGCGGCTTCCCCACGTTCGCAGCAACAAAGCCGAACCAAGGAACAGCCGTTTAGATGGTGCAATGTACGGCTTGCGCGATTCAGCGGGCGTCCAATCGGCGTCATCTGGTTTCCGCCCGCTGTGTTTCCGATGTCACTGAGACCCAACGCTTGTAACCTTCAACACGGAAGTTGCTCGAGCATTATTTGGGTTGATATTTCTTCGAATTGTGAATTTGATACCGCGGACGATGGGCGTTGAAGATAATACAGTGGCGCCTATAGGCCGATTTTATGCGATTTCCAGCTTGGAGCGGACTGTATAATTGCGTCACGCCGCTCTTGGCGTGGGAAGGCCAAGGGCTTAGCAACGATAATCCTGCACTAGAGATCAACAGCCGGAGAAACACTCCCTGTTATGTGCGCTCTTTCAACCTTTGTTGGCAACAGTAACAATATTGCAGAAGTGCTGCAAAGTGAAGTGCAGTGCCATTGAACCCAGAAACGTGGTGTGGTTCAGTCAATACGAATCTTGGTCGACCACTGCAAGCGACCACGGACATCTGCGCGTGTTGCGCTTCTCGGTCCTAAGCTTCAACGAACTTTGCGCCCAGCTGAGCTTTGCGTGTTAGTAAGCCTCTCAGACTCTTCTCTCCACAGTCTTGGGATTTCTTGTCTTCTTTTCCCTCCAGCATCACTGACGCGTTACTGCAGGCACGAACGCGCTGTCCCCCACAACCCCACTCGTCTCTGCCTGCGATACTTCTAGACGTCACTGCCACTCGGGCAACTTTTGGAGCGGCGACTGGGCGCACCCACATATACATGCATTCGACCCGAGCCTCGCACTTTCCTCTTACCGGCCGTCTACAACAGTACGGCCCCGGCCCTTCGAATACTGCTCCTTGACCGTGATCGCGTTTACGACACCCTCTCTTGTTCAGCAGTGCGACTCCAAGATTTCGCATAAGGCCGAGGAGCTTCTGGGCATTACCCACCACAAATCCACCACAATCCGGCTAAGCGGCACCGCGAAGGAATCCTGCGAACACCATGGCGTGGGACCACCTCTCCATCAACAAGCCGCACTTGGTGTACATCATCTTGGGCGGGTTCACCACTCTGTTCATGTTATGCTCCTCAGTAATCAAAGAGCGCTTGTACATTGGTGAAGCTACAGTTGCAACACTCTGTGGTATCATCTTCGGCCCGCACGCTGCGAACTTGATCGACCCAGGAACGTGGGGCAACGTTGACTTCATTACCCTGGAGTTCTCAAGAATCGTACTGGTTGTGCAATGTTTCGCTGTTGGTGTCGAATTGCCAAAGGCATACATGGAGAAACACTGGAAATCTGTCACTTTGCTGCTCATTCCGGTCATGACTTTTGGCTGGCTGATCACAAGTCTGTTCATCTGGGGCCTCTTCAGCTCTCATGTGAATTGGCTCGACAGCCTGTGCATTGCTGCTTGCGTTACGGCCACTGATCCTGTCCTGGCTTCGTCCGTTGTCGGAAAGGGCAAGTTCGCGAAGCGTGTTCCTAAGCATTTGCGAGACTTGCTTTCGGCCGAATCAGGCTGTAACGATGGCATGGCCTTCCCGTTCATCTATCTGGCTATCTACTTGATTCGCTACCGTCCGGATGCCAACAAGGTCGCCTTCCACTGGATTTGCTACAGCATCCTCTACGAATGTCTGTTCGGTGCCGTATATGGCGTCATCATCGGTTATGTCGCTCGCCGTCTGATTCGGTATGCTCACGAAAAAGACCTGATTGATCGAGAGAGTTTCCTCGTGTTTTACTTCGTTCTAGCTCTGTGGTGCGCCGGTTCGGGTGCATTATTAGGCTTGGATGATCTACTCGTAGGCTTCGCCTGTGGAGTCGGGTTCTCGAACGATGGATGGTTTCTTGAGAAGACGGAAGAGTCGCACGTTTCCAACGTTATCGATTTGCTCATCAACTTAGCCTTCTTCGTGTACTTCGGCACGATCATTCCTTGGGCACAGTTCAACCAGCCAGAACTCCTCGGTCTCACTCCATGGCGTCTGGTTGTCTTAGGGTTACTGGTGCTCTTTTTCCGCCGAATTCCCATCATGCTCATGCTCAAACCTATCATTCCGGACATCAAGACATGGCGAGAGGCTTCATTCGCTGGTCACTTTGGACCTATTGGTGTTGGTGGTCTCTTCGTTGCTATCCTCGCAAGGGCTGAGTTGGAGACCGAGTCCACAACCCCTCTAGCCGTACTTCCGGAAGAGGGATTCGAACACCTCAACATTATTGAGCTTATCTGGCCTATTACATGTTTCCTGGTCATTGTTAGTATCATCGTCCACGGAAGTTCCATCGCCGTTTTTACTCTGGGCAAGCGCATCAACACACTCACGATCTCTATGTCCTACACACAAGCCAACGAAGATGGGCCAAGCTGGATGGATCGTCTCCCACGCATTCAGTCTCGATCGAAATCACAGATGTCTGGTCGTCGATTTTCAGAGTCGTCCATGGAGGAAAAGACTGGAGACTCTGGTGAGACAGGACCGGGTCTACTTCCGCCTCCAGGATATGCCGGCAACTTCTTGCGTCGACAGAAGGAGGAGGAAAACCCAAGCCGATCAGGATCTGTCCGACCAACAGCTCGGCAACGAAAATCGAAATGGGATGCTGGTCTTGGTCCAGGCGGCCCCATCTCACAGTCCGCCATTCACCCGAACAGGCGTGACGAGGAGAAGGCCGAAGCCATATCTCCAGAAGACGATACTGACACGTTCGACGACAAGATGGCCGTCTCGAGTGACAGCTCATCGAACGGCAAGAGCAAGGCGAAGGATATCCAGCCTGAAGAAGAGATCTACCAAGAAGGCGAAGAAACTGTTATTGAGGATAAGGAGGGTAATGTTCTTGGTGTCAGAGACAGTCATGGCGAGCATGGGGCGCAACGACAAGAATCAGATATCAAGGAGGCACACAGGCTTATGAAAGAAGAACGTGTCGAGCATGGCGTTTCAAGGAAGGAGCACGAGGGCAAGGCGGAACAAGCGCCAGCGAAAGCAATGGAGGCTGCTAAGCACCCTCAAAAGACATGGCGGAAGCGGATGCAGAGCTTCTCTGGACATCATCATGACGATAACGGAGATGTAATCGAAAAGCCTAAAGCAAAGAAGCCTGAGCGCCAGCGAGGCCCAGCCCTGGCTTACCAGTTCGGTAACACCATCATTGTTGAAGACGAAGATGGAGAAGTACTGAAGAAATACGACATTCCCTCCAAGTCCAAGGAGCCAAAAGAGCAGCGACCAGGAGCAACACGTGGATCTTCAATGATCGTGACGTCTGGCCGTGCCATGCAAAGCTTGAAAAGAATGGGTACTCACATGGGCCTTCCGACTCACCATGAGGCAGGACCTTCTGATGCTCAAGTTGCTGAGGCGAAGGCAGGTACTGTCGATGGAAAAAAGAAGAAGAAACAGAAGGATACTGATGCGGACGACGACAACCTTCGTTTCACTCTCACTGCTGGTGGACACAGGATGAGCAAGACAGAATTCATCCAGCAGATGAGTCAACTGAACCCCAAGGAACGGGCAAAGATGCTGCAAGAGAGTAACGTCCCCGAGTCTGTCAAGCGCGAGGCCCACCAAGATGCAAGGGACCACCATCGACGGACACAAGCTGCATTTGAGACAAACATCCCTCCCGTCATTGGCGAAGAAGGCGAGGCTGAGTTACACAAGATCGAGTCTCCTGTGGCGCAAAAGGAAGGACAACCTCGTGGCCCTGAAGGTCTGACTTTGGTCGACAGCAACGAAGAGCACGTCCCCTTCCACCCTGTTCGTCAGACTCTGGTGGACCGCTCACGGGAGCAGGAGAAAGAGACTGCAGCACAACGGCGACGTCGTCTTGCCACTGAGCAGTCTAAGGCGAGCCCACAAGCAGTAAGCGACGAGGAAGGAGACAGCGATGATGAGACTCCTGCGGAACGTCGTCGTCGTCTCGCTGCGCTGACAGGATCTACATCTCCAGCCAGCCAAGCTCGTCGTCCGATGTCGCCTAGCCAGCAGCCATCAGCTTCCATTGGCGGCTTCGAAGGCGAAACGGCGGCCGAGCGTAGGCGCCGTCTCGGTGCATTGGGAGTCGGTGGAGAGGACTCTCCAGACTCCGACTCTGAAGGCGAGCCCGAAACTGGTGATCCAATGGAGACCGGTCGCGGCACGCATTCACAGGCAACGAAGCAGAACCTCGCACCCCCTCGGGCGCCGGGTATTCGATTCGCTGATCAACCTCGTATTCCTACCAAGGACGAGCGTGCCGCCGAAGACGCAAGACAGAAAGAGGAGGCTGAGACCGCGAAGAAGAGTAAGCTTAGCGGTTTCCCCTGGGGCAGGAAGTAGACTGCGAAGTAATAGTGGAGCATCTGCCACGTCGGAAAATTTAAGTTTGGCATCTAATCTGAAGTTGTGCTAGTTACACGACACAGCTTGAAGGCGTTGGTGGATGGTTTCGATCTTTATGAACATGTTGTTTGCATTTCAGCGCGCATATTTGTCAACGTCATTACGCTACATAGAGATGACCCTGATACATTCCGTATATCTAGAGGCTCCAAGCTCAGTCCCGTAAATCTAATAGACTGCAATATCATCCAGTTTCAAGGGTCTTCAAAACTTTTCAAGCACATGCTCGTACTTGGCACCATTGTTCAATGCTCAGTGACATCACAAGCTCAATTCATTCCGCTCGGCCCGTGCTTTCTCGTATCGCCAACACCAGCGTCCTCGGTTCCACTCCTCAAAACGGCAGTTACATATACACGACAACTTGGCGCCCAGCTTCAGTTGTGGGAATCTTTATCAATCTGATAAGATGATCACATAATCCCGAGCCTACTGCAGCCTCCAAGCCAATCGCAGTGCTCACCACGCAGTACGAGGTGTGGGTGAATCATGTGCATGCGCGTTTCTGGGTTGGATCGTGTCGGTCGCACACTTAACACGTCTTGGACCGGCTGATGATGGAAGGGAGGGCATGTACGAACTATGGGCAGTGTGAGGGGATATATGTGTGTTGCGTCCACCAAACTCTCTAATACCTAAGTCTTCCCTCCACCACATACCCTTCTGCACCCTGCCGTTACCATGGGCTCAACCGAACAACAACCTCCTGAGACGCTACTCAGCGTAGCTGCTAAGATCACAGAATATGCACAACAACTTACAAAGGAGCTGGAAGCAGGCAAGGTCACACCAGTCACACTGGAAGCAGACAGCCCGATCAAGTATGAGTCGCTGCCAGGGAACTCGTTCTTCATCAGACAACAACTCGAAGACGCACTCAAAGATATGTACATTCTCAGCCAGGGACCAAGTGAGAGTACCTTCAACTACTGCCACACTGCAAGTTAGCTCACGTCATAACGAAACGTCAGCGCTGAATGATTGCAGGCTGTGCCAGATATCGCGACCCTGAACGTACTAAATCAATTCGATTTCTGGAACGCTGTACCCTTGGATGGAACAGCAACACACGAGCAAGTCGCAAAGCACACCAACCTCCCGGTCGAAGTCGTGCAGCGCACCCTCGACCATGCAGTCACAATGCGCTACTTTGCGCGCCCGGAACCCACATCTACATCTGTAAAGCACACATCTCGTTCTGCAGCCCTTGCCAAGGACTCCGGACTCAAGGCACTTGTGCAAATGGTTCTCGATGAGACATCTCCACCAATGATGCTATTGCCAGAAGCTCTGCGCCAGTTCGCTGTTGGCAAAACCGAAACCAGCAGGAGCCAGAAGGAGACAGCTTTCCGATTGTGCCATTCTGGAGGTATCTGGGGCAATTACGACAATACGTGGGAGTTCATCGAGAATGACGGTGAAGGCGAGAAGAGGGGATGGCGGCAGAGGAACTTCATCAAGTTCATGGCGTACATCAAGGATCTGTTCAAGACTGAAAGCATCGTTCTCGATGCCATCGACTGGAAGGCCGCGGGCGAGGCGACTGTTGTCGATGTAAGCTCACTTACCTTCACCTTTTCACACAGGATGCTAATGACCTGCAGCTCGGCGGCTCAGCAGGTCACGACGACATCTCGCTTGCGAAAGCCTACCCGAATCTGAAGATCGTGGTCCAGGACCTACCTCAAGTTGCCCCTGTATTCGAGAAAGAGTTCCCCGCAGACTTGAAGTCTCGTGTCTCCTTCCGCACTCACAACCTCTTCGATCCTCAGCCCATCTCAGCCGACATCTACATCCTGAAATGGATCCTACACGACTGGCCCGACGTTGAATCTACCGCTATCCTCAAGGCACTTGTTCCTGCTCTCAAGCCCGGTGCGCGTGTAGTCTTCATTGACTATGTTGGCAAGAACGATCCAAATGAGGATGCGTCGCTGCCGCACAGTATGCGCGCGTTTGGTACGGCGACGGATATGCGTATGATGGCGCTGTTCAATGCGAAGGAGAGGCCAATTAGTGCGTGGAAGGATATCTTCAAGCAGGCGGATGAGCGGTATGAGGTTAGCAGTGTTAAGGCGGATCCGTTGACGTTTATGTGTGTATTGGAGGCTACCTGGAGGGGTTAGATCTTATCATAGGTAGTAGTGCATGCGAAACAACGTGTTTTGATGTTGAACATGAAGTATGCGCAATAGTGATCTTGCGTGTTCGCAGACCAGGTTCCCTGGAGTTAGCGCCTTGGCCGTGCGGGGCTAGGGCTGATACGTCGCTCTTGCATCTCACCCGCTCTCTACACTTACTACTCTGTTCATAAAAGCGTCTGATATTATACTCACAGCGCTTACTGTTATCGGAACGTTTGACAGTCCTACAATGCAGAATTCAGCTCGGGACAATGGCCGGGAATCACCGCAACTGCTCACACTTTCACACTTGCTGGCATAGTTGTCAACACCAAATCAAGTCGAACCTTCTCTTCACGCGCTGGGCCTGAGCCCTCACCATCCCTTGTACCTCCATTGACCTCACTCACATGTAACTAAATCTTTGCATTACCAGAGGGGCTACTGCTGCTCTCGTCTTCCATAGTCTTAGACTCAGATAGGACGTTAAACCAATCAATCACTCTCTTCACGCGCTTACCCAAGACAGTAGGAGTTAAGCCTATACAAGTAACTGCTAGGCTCGAACAGGTAATCAATCAAGTCAAGCTGAGCTCTCTGAAGCCCACTTAATTGATTGTTGACAACTATGCTTGCTGGGTGTATGTGTGCTGGTAAGGCTGGCACATTCAATATGGAAGGATCATAGGATTCGACTCACCAGCAACTGAGGATTCAGGATTGGCGCATGCGGCTCGGTCATCCCGCTGGAATGGGTTGCGCATTTGTGTGGCTGCACAGCCATGTTTTACACCCCAGGCAACGCCTAGCTACAAGAGCTGTCCGATTCGCTACTTGACCTTGCATCAAGATTTGTAACATGCAGGACATTCTGAACATGGTGGAAAATCTCACAGATCGCAACCTAAGGGCCCTGAGGACCTTTATGTTGTATGATCCCGAGCGCGCTTGGCTGGACCACAAAAAATGTTTGGTGCGGAAGATGGGCGTGAACATCTTGGCTAAGATTTGGATTCGTTCGAAACGGCTTCGAGCACTCAAAAGTAAGATTCACTACCTCTACGAAGGCCTTCCAGGACTTCTATTTTCATATAGGTTAACAGGACGATAGCGTCGTATCTCCGAAGGAATCTCATGCCAACAGCCGAAAAGTATAGACGATCACTTCGCAGAGGAGAAATTTGGTTGCTGCACATCAAACCAGGCTATGCAATAAGCACGATTGAGTGTGAATTCTCATACATGGAATTGCAGGACAGAGAAGACTACACAGCTCTCTCATACACGTGGGGTCAGGCGGCCCCCTCGATCTCTATACTGGTCAACGGAACCGTCACTACGATCACAGATATCTCTACTTCGCGCTATTACACCTTCGCAAGAGAGAAGTCACGAAAGTCTGGGTAGATGCTCTTTGCATCAATCAAGATGATTTGGCTGAACACTCGTCCCAGGCCAGCCAGATGGATCAAGTATACCGGAGCGCACACATAGTCTATGTGTGGCTAGGGGAAAGTAATAAGCTGACGGAGCGAGCTTTGGCGAACTCTACGGTATGGCTCACCAGATCGGTTGGGATAATACAATACCGGCTGTGCATTTCAACACCAATATTCTGCACCCGAAGTGGAGGGCCAGAAGCGAGGTTTTCTATCGTCCATGGTTTCGCCGCGTGTGGGTTATTCAAGAACTCTTGTGCGCTCGCTACGATTTGTTTGTCTGCGGGAAAGATTTTCTCGAGGCGACGATCTTCCTGACGATCCTCAGCTCCATGAGCGACGCGAACGCCCTGGAGCGTGTCATGTCTTTCCATCCCAACAAATCAGAGCTGGTGGATGGGCCTATGAAGGATGCTCTGCGACAACTGGAATTTCTTGTACAAGCTCGGAACAAATCGGTCAAATCTCTTACAACGAAGGACTTCAGAGGTAATCTTTTGGATTACATAGCGGAGACACAATGGGCTGAGGCCACAGACCGGCGGGACAAGATTTAGGCATACTTAGTTTGGCGAAGGATGCTCCAAAGCTGGGTTGGTTTGAAGAGACGACGGAAACCCGAAAGTCCAAACGGTATCAAAGATGGTCCCATCCCCGATCATGGCTACCATTCACAGTAGACTATACCTTGACTCCAGCGCGGGTCTTCATCAACGTCACCAGGGCTATCATGTATAAGACACGGTCCTTCGAGATCTTCAAGTTCGTTGAATACAAGTCAACTCGCTCTACTGAGCTTCCTTCGTGGGTACCAGACCGATGTGGCGTCAAAGAGAACAGGACAAACTGAACGACAGCAGTAATTATATCACTGAATTGTGTCAACCGGAATTCTCCTTCGGACTAGATGATGTTTTGATGATTGAAGGGCTCGAGTTCGACACGATAACTGCCGTATCTGAGCATACACACCCATCAGTGATTGAAGCGGCGGCGGAGCCTGAGCTTGGAAAGCTGCACGCAATACGAGACTACTTCGAACGCCTGACACTCTGGATAGAAGAGTGTGTGCAGCTTACCACAGGCTGTGGACCACATCCGATCCACCAAGACCTATGGACAGTTTTCAAGAGAATGCTGTATCCGGAAGCCATCTATGATGACACTTCAACACCGGACAGCTTTGAACGCCTCTTGGCCGACTTGAGTAAAGTCCTGTCATCTTTGGCAACACAGGAAAGGTATATTGACCTTGGGGATGATGAACCTCTTCGAGACATCCTGGGAACTGCAAATTTTTTACAATGCGAGTCATGTATATCTCGGCTTCCAACGAAGAACCCATTGCTCTGGTCGCAAAAACTTGCCACCACAGCAAAAAAATTCATGGGCCTGGTGCCAGAAGGCACAATGGTTGGCGACCTTGTCTGCGTCATCTATGGCTCCGAACTGCCGTTCATCCTACGGCGTCGTGGGAGGAGGCGATTTACGTTCATCAGGTACGGTAGGTTTGAGAGACTTGATTTTGATGACGCGGTCATAGAGAAGACGTTTACACTGCATAACCGAGGGAAGAAACCTGAACACGAAGTTTGCTTCGTGACACAGGGTTCCCGTGGCCGCGAGGTGTGCACAGTACTCAAGAAGACCACGACGTTTTGTCTTAAGTAACATGTCGTAACAAGAGCATTTTTGGGTTTCATTCCTACTTGAGAGTTAGATAGTCGTCACATTGCTGGACAGTTTATAACGAGGGATCACATATTTTTGATCGGGAACCCATCACTGCCTAGTACGTATTTTCTACAAAAAGTCCTCCACTCCGCTGAATGGTTCCAGCCTGACCCGTCTCGAACATTTAGGTTGAAGGTGCAGAATCGCCACGCAACTGCCTTATTTATCTCAACAACTCATCCTCACCCCCTCCTCGTCGTTGTTTTTATCAATGTATTCTTCCACAGGCACCCTCGACCGCGCCTCACACATGACCCTGCGACTGTCTGGACACGTGTTAGAGCTACCAACAGCCGAGCCATTGACCCACAACCCCAAGCACTCCGCGTGAAAATAATGCTGGCGAGCTGTAACCACGGTTCCGTCACCAACCTCGACGGTGGTGACGGCCGTGCCGCAGATCGTGCAAGTCTCATCTCGAAGGATGGAGAGCGGGGGAATGGACTGGCAGAACGCATCGAGCGGGACCCGTGGGCCGACGGGTACGTATTCGTCTTCCCTGATCTAGGGCTCTCCGTCCTCATCATCTAGGCTCCATGACCATCGGCTCTCTTTCCGCGTCAGTGAAAGCGTGATCAATGTCGTGTAGACACACCGTACACTTTGTGCCTGGTTCAACAGGAAGCGTGAGCTGGCAGAACGCATACATTGGTATCCGAGGACCGGTCGGTTTCTTGGCTTCTTCACTTGGTGTGTACTCGATTTCGGCGTCGTCTTCATTTGCGAGATAGGAGCGGAAATCGACAGGCTACTGTGCGGTAGCGGACATCGTCTTTGGAGCGATGAGTTGAGACTTAGGTTCCATACGTACCGTTTGAGCGAAGCCTTGAACAAAGTCTTGAAACGGTGGGAACGACCAGCGCTGCTTAAACAGTGGCGAGACCGATTCAACGAGCCCGCCAAGGAACGTGCTCGTGATGATTCAGGTTTGGTTGTAGGCGGTCTCCATCCGCTGTGGTGTTGTGTAGGGACATACGCCGCGTCGCAGGATTTCCCAATCTGGCAGCTCAGGTTGGTCTTCCAAGCCTGTTGCCACATGAGAGAGTATCTCTCCAAGAATTAACGGCTCGACATTGATGTCTGCATACCACTCTGACATATCTGCGTGCATTTGGTTGATGAAGGGGTTTAGATCCTCCATGGGCGGACATGGGTACAGAAAGATGGTTGCTGCTGTCGCACAGTTCTAGCTTGATGCGAAGAGTCGGCCGACTGAATGTGCAGGTTGTTCGAGCTGCGCGGCATCAGGATTGATAATTTCTGCCGAAAGCTAAAGAGTGGGCAGGTCAGGGAGAGTTCCGTCTTCTGCATCGGCCGCAAAGCGACCGGTTTCCCAGGCCCGGCAGAGCAGGTGTGGGAGACGGGCTGGAAAGTGTTCGCAGTGTGTGAAGAGCATGTCGGTTGGTTACTTTGCAAATGGGGTTTGATTCGTCAATGATGAGAGGACATCGTTCACTCATATGGATGGCCTCAGTGCGTGTTGCGTAGACCAATGCAGTGCTATTGGAGAAAACAGAGCATAACAGGAGTGGCCATGCTGAACAGTGAAGTGGCCATGGTGTGATCGGGGTCTGCACAATGCCCCGTTGTTCACCGCCCAAGTTTTGACTGAACGAGGGGTGACAACAGACATCGACCCTGGGTAGGTCGCGGTCCAAAGTAGAGCGTCCATAATACGTTGACTCTGTGTGGTGGCATCCCCTATTTGACTGGACAGCAACCCGTGGACGTCTGGCAGCCGTTCTTGACGATGACGTAGACGAAGCCAAGTGTCATGACCTGTCTGACACGCAGGGGCCCTGACAAACATGTCAATCGCAGCCGTCCAGGAACGCGAAACAGACGACAGCAGCGCGAAGGTGCAGCGACAAGTGCCGTGTCGGCCAATGACAATGACTCGCGTGATGTATGTTTCAGCTCCAGGGTTTCTTGGAGTGTCGATCCTATACGAGCAGATGACGGCTGTCAAACTTGCGATGAAAGTGACTCTGGGAAAGGGACACAGACAGCCTTGGAGCACTCCAACAATGCCACGTGAGTGAGCCATTATTGGTGGTCACGGTGAAGACAGCTTGTAGAGAAGGGCCGAGCCGCAAATCCTTTTGCTGTGCGAGATGGTGATGTGCCCAGGCTGACAGGCACAACCAAGCGCTAAGTTTCAGCTGTTGCAGGGGGATGGTGTTCAGAGAGAGCGTCCTAAAATATAGCGGCCAGCCAGCCCAAACACAATCTTGGAACGACCCCTTCGTAGCACGACGACGACGCACAGCACTCGCCGACGACTGCTGCTGCCCTGATCGTCGCTCGAAGCTGCACTGCATTGTTACTCATCCCCGCCAGCCGTAGCTCTCTGTCCGTAGTGCCACAGCAACGAGCCGTGCTCGCGCTTGAAACGTCCGCTCCGCACTCCGCACCCTCTACCAACCTCCAGCCGCGCCTTCTCCCTCGACGTTCGAACATCCACCGCATGCGCTCCGCCTGATACTCGCCGAACAGCCCACGCTCATTACTGCACGCATATTCATACAGCGACGCCTACGTAGACGCCTACCACCGTCGCCGCCGTCGCCGCCGTCTCGCGCTGGCCGTTCCTCGCATTGATTGCGCCGCACCCCAGCCTCTTGGCAGTCTCTCGACGACGACGAATATCACGACACTCGAATGCACGACTGGAAATGAGCTAGGATGACGCGACCACAAATAATACGAGCAGGTACGGCAGTGCCCAGTCCACGGCGACTGCATGAGCGCATACTGACGTCTTGGCGCAGACACCATTGACCTGCAGGACAAATCGTCTCCAACCGCACAAGACCACTCGAACCAGCCAGAGCACCCTGCGCCGCTGGGCATTGGGCCCGCTGCACCCCATCAGCAAGCCTCTCTACAATCGGTCGAAGATGAGCGCACCGCTGAGGAGACGCGCCTGCAGAATGCCTGGAACAATGCCGGGAACTCGCTGAGCGAAGACCCAGCGTCTGACGATGAACGCACAACAACGAACAACGCGAACGGCCAGGAACCACAGCAGAATGGCGGTGTGCACGCCGACAACGACGACGACATGCAGGACGCCGACGTGGAGGAGGATATGGACGATGACATGCTCGACAAGATCTCGAGTTCACCTTCGATTGACGATGGTGGGTATTCTTTACCTTCTTATCCCTTGGTATGGCCGACGCGAAGGGACTCTTTGACTCCACAATCGTCACCGATCATACCAAGTTCCGCTTCTTCGTCCCCTTTCACAACCACACCTGTGCATTTCCCTATCCCTGTCGCCAGCGCCGGTCGACCTCTCAGTGTCCCAGCGCATGGCACAGACGATCTTCCAATCACCTCACGTCATCCTTTCACAACACCTCCCATATTTCAATTCTTTCAGCAGCCCTCAACATCACAGTCAACGGAGCATCATCACGGTGAGTATACCTGGACAAGGACCACCGTCGGCTCGCACATCGATACCACGGCCATACAGGACGAAGATCTGAGCCCTAGGACGAGGCAGCTGAGGCTCGTGGAATGTAGGCTGCAGCTCATGAGGGAAGACTCGCAGGGATCACTGATGTCCGAGCTAGACGAGGAGCACGCTAGGAAGATGTTGCAGTCTGTTCGGCCGCCATCGATTGGTCTATCAGACGACCCCTTCGTCGAAACCATCGCACCTGCTCCACGGAGTACTAGCGGCACCCCGCCTCCACTCAAGCACTTTGACGATGAAGACGACTCCTGGACGACCGACAGCGACGCCGACTCCTGGGATGAGGAACTGGATAACGATGATGATGATGATGATGACGATGATAATGATGATGCATCCAATGACGTTTCCTTCTCTGATGATCCTAGATTTGTCGACTCAGGGTGGGGAGGCGAATGCTTACGAGAAACAGAGGATATCGACTTCGAATTCGTCTACGCCCTGCACACTTTCGTCGCGACTGTAGAAGGCCAAGCAAATGCCACAAAGGGCGACACGATGGTGCTGCTCGATGATAGCAACAGCTACTGGTGGCTTGTCCGTGTTGTCAAAGATAGTAGCATTGGTAGGCATATCTACGGCTACTGACATACATTTGCTAAACAACGTCCCAGGATATTTACCTGCAGAGCACATCGAAACGCCAACAGAGCGTCTAGCGCGCCTGAACAAGCACAGAAACATTGATCTGTCGGCAACAATGCTTGGTGACACTGCAGAGAAGACAAAGAACCCGTTGAAGAAGGCTATGCGACGACGAAACGCGAAGACCGTACAGTTCGGGGCGCCTACCTACGTCGAAGCATCTGACTACGACTACTCCTCCGATGAGGAGGGCGGTGAACTATTTGGTGGACCAGAGCCTAAGCAGGTCCAACAACAACAACAGCAGCAGCAGCAGCAGCAGCAGCAGGACCAAACTGCGCAGAAGTCTGAAGCCGAGCAGGATGACTCTATGCAAGTGCAGCCGCTGAAGCTTGGCGGTGTGAAGAAAGTCTCTTCTGATGAGTCGCGGACATCGAGTGAAGAGGCCGGCAAAGACGATGAGAAGTCGAGGACTAGCGACGAGATGTTTGATCGACCACTGGACCAGAAAGTGTCACGAAACGGCACGCTCCGCAACACCGACTCCTTCTTCAAGGACGAGAACACAGAGACTCGGAAGATCACCCTTACGCCCAATCTGTTACGAGACGACTCAAGTACCTCCACTACAGGCTCTCGTGAGCGCGGACCAAGTCTTGAAAGCCTGGAGAAGAATGGATTCGCCGACAAGGTCAAAGACGATAAGAAGAAGAAAGACAAGAAGTCCGGTATGCTCAGTGGCCTCTTCAAGCGCAAGGACAAGAAAGACAAGGACTCGAAGGGGGATGTTGATTCGGTGGAGGCCGACCTGAAGAGGGCAATCGAGAGGCCAGATCAAACTTCACCACAAGCAACCCAGGCGAAACCGGCAGAAGTCTCACCCGAGCGTCATTCGGAAGAGCAAGTTGGACAAACACCGTCCAGGCAATCAAGCAAGGGCAAATTGCAGAAGCAACAGCGCGCCAGGACCGACTCGCCCATCAAGACCAAAAGTATTCTGAAGACGGACAGCCCTATGGAAGCCACAGTAAATCCAGAAGAGGATACTGGTACAAACGGGAACGGAGCTGTTGGGCAACAAACCACATCTACCATGCGCATAGTCTCCCCGGACCAAGATGAAGGACCACAAGCACAGCCATCGGTACAAGAACGCGTGAAATCACCCGAGAGTCAGTCAGTCGTGGCTGCCATCAGCTCCAAGAACCCTTTCAGGTCGAACACTACAACTGACAGCGCACCAAAGCCAGCGAAGGTCCGCAGGGCGAAGGAGCGAGTGGCGCTGGACGACTTCGATTCTAGCGCAGACGAGAGCGACGATCCGTTCGCAGACCCCGATGCGCAAGACAGGACAAGAGAACAAACAGCTACTGAGCCAGTTGGACGTCTCTCGGAATCGCCTGTTCATGTTTCTGCCACAGATGCACAGCCAACAGTCAGAGAGGTTGCACCAGCTAGGGACCAGGAGTCGGACGCCCAGCACCCACCAGGCCTCACAGGCGACAACTCTAGCGCTGATACTAGCTCGCGCGTCTCGACACCCGATCTCGATGCTGCGAGCCCAGACACCATTGTACCGGACAAGCTCAACGTCGCCGCGCCACGAACCGGAATATCGCCGTCGCCCACGCTCCTTTCACCTAACGCGAACCTCATTCCACCACCGTCCCGCGCTGCTCCTGTGCCGCTGAACGTCAACACCTCGCCTTCAGTGTCATCAGCACCGGTCTCGTCAGAGAGTACAACGCTGCCAGCCTGGTCCGATGCCAGCCTTCGTTCTTACCTCGACGACGGCAGCGAGATCCGCGACCTTCTTCTCATGATCAACGACACCACTGGCGTCGTACCTGTTGGCAAAGATCACCCACTTATGAGCGGACTATTCGTGGAGGAAACAAAGGCCGCGCAAAGCCTCAGCAGTGAGCTCGACAGACTGCTCAATGGCCTAATGGACAATCGCATGAAGCGTGCAGGGAGTGGCGCGAGTAAGAAGAGCCAACTCAGTCAGATGAGCAGGGCAAGTACTGCTGGTGGAAGGTAGCGATAGCACAGCTACAAATCTGAGGGCGCCATGGAAGAGGAAGGAGTTTCTTTTGATAATACCCTAGGGATACGGCGTTCTGCATGGTCTGTTTTTTTTTTGGGAGGAAATGTGTCATGTGGTACGAAATTTGGGACGTCTTTGGGCGGCACGTTTGTCGCATTTGCGCGTTTCTTTGAGTCAGCTGGGCCTGTCTCGTCACGGTGGCAGTCTGTTATTTACCTTGCCATTTGGCGAGCTTTCTCTGCGGTCAGCCTCGCGGCAGATCGTACCCTTTTCGACTTCGCACCTTCTCTAATACCCTACCATGACCGGTTGGTGTTCATTCTTCATCTCGCTGAGATATATTAGATTCCTGCGGGGTAGCTAGCATCACGTATACCACTTCTTCTTCGCTTCGCACAAAACACTGCTGGTTACTCAAAGACGCAAACACCAGCAGACCATATCTCCACGCGTTATGGCCTTGAGAGCCTTATTGTGCCATAGTAAAGCTTTGGCTCCCCCGTTGGAGGGTTAGAAATCTACAACACCGTTGGTCCTCCATCTGATCCAACTCCGCCTCCTCCTTCTCTCCTACCACCGTTCCGCCAGACTCCGTGTCATCAAGACAAGCGAGCCATCTTCTCGACAGGGCGTTTCGTGACTGTCCTGGGGTGACGACAGGCAAACGAAGACGATGACGTGATCAAGGCACACGACTGGAGGAGAAGCTTCGTCTTCCGTAGTCTTGGACTCACATAGGGCGTTGAGCCAGATCAATCAAGACGAGGACGCGAGCAGTGCGTCGAGCACGGATTCAAGTGGATTCTTGCACGAATTCAAGTAGATTCTTGCTACAGCAGTGCGAACAGACCAAGGCCGGCTTGCCAGTGGGCGGTATTACAAAGACACTACAAACAGTACAAACAGCTACTATACAGCAACATAGAAAATGGGCTATCCAACAGAAGGAGACACTACACCGAGGCCGCGGCCCATCGAGGGGCGCCAGAGTAGTGATCGTGATTCGTACGTCGTACAACGGACGCGAGGGAAGCCGCTGGTCGCGATACCAGAGGTGACAAAGGAGATGCTATGTACAAGCCAATAGAGCTTTTCAGTCTGGCGGTCTGACATGTGGGCGATGTCGGTGAACCGCGCGACTCCGGTGGTCACTTGATGGCCATCGGCTGCATCGTCGGCACCGTCACGTTCAGCTCCGCTGTCGAGACCCGCTTCTGCTGAGGGGTCGGAGCTTGAGGTACGGTGGGCGTAGCCGCCGTTGTCGTCAGAGCTGGCGTTTGCACTTGCGCCTGTGCAGCCCTCTTCCCTTCGCCCTCCCTCCTCCTTACGAGCAGGCTCTTGAACGCACCCAGCCACTTGGCCAACTCGTTCTCGCTCTTTGCGCAGAATCGGAAATTCTTCTCCTCGGAGATGACCTGCATGCAGTACTGCTTGCTCCTGCTGACGCTGTCGATGTCGACCGCATCGATGATGCTCGCGAATGGAATGATCAAGTTGGCCGAGTACTCCTCGGCGTTCTTGTAGAAGCCGAGACATTTGGGGCGGAGGACGACCCAGACCTTCCTCCACTGCCGCACGCCGCCCTTCGATTTGAGGACGTACAGCCATCCGTGGTAGACGACGCGGTCGGGGTCCGAGTCGGAGGTGGAGGGAGGGACGTTGAGGCTGGAGATCTGGCTGACGTTGCGATTGCGTGGGAGCGGATTGCGGGTGTCTGATTTCGAGTAGGGGAGGGAGGTCGAGGATCTCGCGTTCGGCGCTGCAGAGTCGGAGAAGTCGAAGTCGGAGACGGAGCCGTGTTCGTTGCCGGAGTAGTTTAGGGCTTGCGAGGGGCGGCGTGCGCTGTGCATGGCTATCGACTGCGAGTCTCGCGGCAGGGCGCTGGGGGGCAGGGCGCCGGGGGGCAGGGAGGAGGGCTCGGGGTCAGAAGAGGAGGAGAGGGTGTTGGAGTGCGCTCGGTGCGATCGGTCGACGGCGGTGGTGGAGGAGGTCTGGGTGCCGGTCCTGGTGCCGGTCCTGGTGCCGGTCTTGGTGCCGGTGGGACTGAGCAGGATCAGCTCGCCTTCCTCCTCGTCAATGCGGGCTTCTGCGCGGATGAGATCGACCCAGGCCTGTGCCTCTCTGTCGGTGGGTGCGCCGAGGTGGTAGTTGCGTGCGGGCGAGAAGATGCCGAAGACGTGGTCCGTCTTCTTCTTCGAGTCCTTCTGGCGGGCAACGGCGGTGATTTCGGACAGGTTGATCTGGTGACGCAGCTTGGTCTCGGCCTCGTCCTTGTACATGGACAGGCGGTTGGGGCGCAGGACGATGTAGATCGGCTTCCATTGCTGAGGCGGTTAGTACAGACTTTGCTCGCGTGGTGTGCTGCCGCGTGCTGCGGTGTGGAGTGCGCGCACCTTGGTCTTGCGGGTGCGCTTCAGGACTGAGCCAGCCTTGATGATGCGGTCGAACTCGAAGCAGCCGTTCTGGCTGACGGGCGACATGACGCCTGCGCTGTGTGCCTGGGCCTGGGCCTGGATGCTGGACAGGCGTGGTTGCGCGGGCGTGCTCAGCTTCATGCCGGCCATGGCAGCAGGGGAGCGAGTGACGGGGACCGGTTTGGCAAGCGTTTGCTGTGCGCCTTCCGCCATGGCTGCGGCCAGTCTGCATCAACCGGCAGGCGGCCGTCTGTTGCGTGGCAGCGGTCCGGGGCAGTCGCCGAGCGCGCTGAGGGAATGTTGTTCGGGGGGGGGGGGGGATACTATGGTTCCGCTGCTGTGAGGGAAGTGATGCGGATCGACACACGCGAGCGACAGGGGGAATGCATGGGCGCGCGGGCAGACAGTCGCAGCACCATGGCCAGCGGCAGCAGCGGGGGGGCACCGCTATATCTGCGACATCTGCGACATCTGCGACATCTGCGGCACGCGCCCCGGGAGGAGTGGTGAGGCCAGGCGGAGTCCCGCCGGCGATGCAGCGGTCGCGCAGCCGCCGCGGGCCTGTGGCAGCGGGCGGGAGGCGTGTCTGCGCTGCGAACGTCTCGCTGTGACGTCTGCGAGCGAATGGTGGGGCTCGCGCGCTGACTTTCTCAAACCGCATCCCCCAAACCCAACGGGCCCGTTTCACGCAACCACTTCTGCTACACCACCGCGGCCTGCCACCCTAGACCGCGCCCTGCCGTCCTACACCGCGCCTGCGCCGCATCTAGTCCCCTACGAAACACGAAACACGCGCACGTCGGCTCCCCGGAGCGAGCAGCGCCCATCGCCCCATCGCCCCATAGCCCGCCATGCCGACCATTCCCTCCGACCAGCTCGTCAAGCTGCAGCAGGAGGCCGAGGGCATCAGAAATGTCAGCACCCGCTCACGGTGGTGACTGCTGTTGCAGTGTGCTCACGATCCCCCCCAGATATGCATCCTCGCCCACGTCGACCATGGCAAGACGTCCCTCACCGACGCTCTCATCGCCACCAACGGCATCATCTCCCCCAAGCTCGCCGGCAAGATCAGGTACCTCGACTCGAGGCCGGATGAGCAGCTCCGCGGCATCACCATGGAGTCGTCTGCCATCTCGCTGTACTTCTCGCTGCTGCGCCGGTCCGTGCCCGAGGCACAGGCCGAGAAGAAGGAGTTCCTCGTCAACTTGATCGACTCACCCGGACACATCGACTTCAGTTACGAGGTCTCGACGGCCTCGCGTCTGTGTGACGGCGCCATCGTGCTCGTCGACGCCGTGGAGGGCGTGTGCAGTCAGACCGTCACCGTGCTGCGCCAAACGTGGATAGAGAAGCTCAAGCCTCTGCTCGTGATCAACAAGATGGACAGACTAATCACAGAATGGAAGATGAGCCCAGCTGACGCACACACGCACTTGAACAAGCTCGTAGAACAGGTGAATGCCGTCATGGGCAGCTTCTACCAGGGCGAGCGCATGGAGGACGACCTCCGCTGGCGCGAGAAGATGGAAGAGAAGCTCAACGCTGCAGCTGCCGAGAAGACTAACACTACATCGTCCGCAGCAGTATCAGATAACGGGGACAGTGTAGACACGACGAACACACCTGCCGAGTACGAGGAAAAGGACGACGAAGACATCTACTTTGCTCCTGAGAAGAACAATGTCATCTTCGCCAGTGCCATCGATGGCTGGGCATTCACAGTGAAGCAGTTCGCCAGTCTCTACGAGCGCAAGCTCGGCATCAAGCGCTCAGTACTGGAGAAGGTACTCTGGGGCGACTACTTCCTAAACCCAAAGACCAAGCGCGTGCTCAGTTCCAAGCATCTCAAAGGCCGCCACCTGAAGCCCATGTTCGTTCAACTGGTGCTCGAGAATATATGGGCCGTCTACGACGCCACGACGGGAGGTAACAACGGGAAGGGGTGCGTGGATTTCCTTTTCTCCATCGTCATTCTTCTTGCTTGTTCTGTACATACTCTAGCCAATATACTTATTTGCTGCACATCAGAGATCCCGCCATGGTCGAAAAGATTACAAAGTCTCTCCACCTCAGCCTCCCACCACACGTCTTGCGGTCACGCGACCCTCGTGCTGTCTTGACCGCACTCTTCGCCGCCTGGCTACCCCTGTCGACCGCGCTGCTGGTCTCCGTCATCGAGTACCTGCCTTCGCCTACCAAGGCCCAAGCAGAGAGGATGCCAGAGATTATCGACACTTCGGTCGGTGCTGATCATGTCGCACCAGAAGTTCGAAAGGCGATCACCGACTTCGATACGTCCAAAGACGCGCCTGTCGTGGCCTACGTCAGCAAGATGTTTTCCGTCCCCGAAAGCGAACTGCCACAGCACAAGCGGAGGACTGGCGCACTGAGCGCAGAAGAGGCGCGAGACCTGGGGCGCAAGAAGCGGGCAGAGCTTGCCCGGCAACAAGCCATTGCCAATGGCGAGAGTCCAGATGTCGGTAGTATCACCGACGCACTCAGCTCGGCCGCTATTGGCCATGACGAAGCACACGCGGAAGGGGCAGCACCGTCCGATGAAAAGGCTGAGCATCTGATCGGTTTCGCTCGCATCTACTCCGGCACGCTCAGCGTGGGTGACGAGGTGTATGTCCTGGGCCCGAAGTTCTCACCAGCAAACCCGCATGCAGCGCCGGAACCGAAGAAGGTCAAGGTTACTGCGCTGTACCTCATGATGGGACGTGGCTTAGAGTCGTTGACTTCTGTACCCGCTGGTGTTGTGTTCGGCATCGGTGGTCTCGAGGGACATATGCTCAAGTCGGGAACACTCTGCTCGCAGCTGCCAGGTTCACTCAACCTGGCTGGTGTGACCATGGGCTCTGAGCCCATCGTACGCGTCGCCCTGGAGCCTGAGAACCCTTATGATCTCGACAAGATGATCAACGGCTTAAAGCTCTTGGTACAGTCCGACCCATGCGCCGAATACGAGCAACTGCCCAGTGGAGAGCACGTTGTCTTGACAGCCGGCGAGCTGCATCTTGAACGATGTTTGAAGGACCTCGAAGAGCGCTTTGCCAAGTGCAAAATTCAAGCTGGCGAGCCCATTGTTCCCTACCGAGAATCGACCGTCGCCGCAGCCGAGATGAATCCTCCCAAGAACCCAGAGCTAGGCCGTGGTGTCGTCGTTAGCGCGACAGCCAGCAAGCAGGTCTCTGTCCGCCTGCAGGTCCGCCCACTACCCCCAAGTGTCACAGAGTTCCTGAGCAAGAACTCCGGTTCCATCAAGAGGTTGAACTCCGAGCGTAAGGCGCAGGAGACTCAGCACTCCGATGAGCAGGTGGCTGCTGAGGTCCAAGGAGCCGAGCAGGACGGCATGCAAGAAGCTGAGCAGCGCGAGAGTGGGCAGAGCCTCAGCCCTGCGGAGTTTAAGAAGCAGCTCAAAGCTGCTTTCGCTGAAGCCAAGAAAGAAAAGGACATCTGGACTGATGATGTGATTGACAAGATCACTGCGTTTGGTCCGCGCAACCGAGGGCCGAACATTCTGATCGACAGTGCTGGTATATGTACCAAAGCGTAAGTCCTTGCTGTCGTCACGGGCTTCATAATCTAATACTTCATAGTCTCGCAGACACCACAGAGGACGACGACACGTCCGACCGTGCCTCAAGCACCCGCTCCTTCGCCTCGACAATAATCTACGCCTTCCAGCTCGCCACGGCCCAAGGTCCCTGCTGTGCGGAGCCGGTCCAGGGCATCGCTGTGTTCTTGCAGGACGTGAGCCTTGATGAATCAACGGCAGAGACTGATCACCACCGCCTCACAGGTGAGGTCATTAAGGCTGTCCGTGCGGGCGTCCACAATGGTATGCTCGACTGGTCGCCCCGCATGCTGCTCGCCATGTACTCCTGCGAAATCCAGGCCTCGACCGACGTGCTCGGGCGCGTCTACGCCGTGCTCACCCGCAGGCGAGGACAGATTTTGAGCGAGACGATGAGTAGCTCTGCCGCGTCTACAACAGGAAATCAAACATTCACTATTTCCGCCCTCCTCCCCGTCGCGGAATCTTTCGGCTTCTCAGACGAGATCCGCAAACGCTCGTCCGGCTCTGCGTCCCCGCAGTTGCGCTTCGCAGGCTTTGAGATGCTGGATGAAGACCCCTTCTGGGTTCCGTTTACCGAGGACGAACTCGAGGATCTGGGCGAGTTGGCCGATAGGGAGAATGTCGCGAAGAGGTACGTGGATCGTGTGAGGAGGAGGAAGGGGTTGTTGGTCAAAGAGGTTAGGGTGGAGGCGGAGAAACAGAAGACACTGAAGCGGTGAATTGGGGGTTGCAGGGGAGGGGCGTTCTGGGTGCAGGGCTGGAAGGAGAGGGGGAGGGTGCGGTGGTGGGATGGGGAGACGGAGTGAGCACGTGTCCTACCACAGGATTGAGGAAAATACGATGGCCATGTGGTTGAGGAGTGAACATATGGTATAAAAGCAGTTACTTTCTACAACGACGTCCACCTCTTCAACATCCACTTTCTTCTTTGCAAACTAATGTCAAGCACGTTCGCTCAACGCCTGTCTCTCTTTTGCTCCAAAGTCTAATCTGGTAGGCGCCATGTCCTGCCGCCGTGTCTAGGCATACACGCGGACACGTTCAAAAACACCTTTCTCCCCTCCACCATTCCCTGATGGACACTCTCTGCCTCTCAAAATTTAAAAAAAAAAAAAAAAAAAACATCAAACACCTTGCGCATATCGCCGGCCTGCCTGCCGCCACACGCAACCTAAAAGCAGAATCAGCGGAATTCTGCTTGCTCGATGCTCTACTCTTTTCTCTTCAGAAATCCACAGAAACGACGTGAGACCGTCATGTTGCGTCATGCTCGTTGCTCGCCTTTCTCTTGTCATCACCAGGATCAGTCTAGGGGCCCCAAAATGTGGGTCGGAAAGCTAATGCGTTCTCTGCATTATATTGTCCTCGCTCAACGCCGGTGGCTCCCGGAGGAAGATATAAAACAAACGCACGATGGGCCCATGTGCTCTTCTAGTCCGAAGCCGACCTATAAGAGGTGTCTGTGTATTGAGCTCGTTTTGCTCTCTGCCCACTCCTTACTTTGCTTGAAAATCAAAATAATCAAACTTGGTATGGATGTTCTGTCTCTCAGCCCTACACTTCATGTGCTGAAGGTGTTGGCCCATCCAGATGCATAAAGACGGATTGTTTTCAGATACAAATATTCTCTCCTATCATTTCGTCGTACAGTTCAAGACTCTAAAAGACAACCTGAAACACACCATTTCTGCGTTTCTCCCTGTCCAGCAACTGATGGGAACACCCTTCTTGCACCCGCATATTCTGCGCTCTTCTTTCTCCAAGCATCACTACGTGGAAAGCCATGCTCTGGTCCCGTCGGTGCCTCCTCACACCAGCATACTCATGCTAAGAATAGCATGTCTCTGCCTTTCTGGAAGCCTTTGAAACAAAAGGCTCAGCATTAGAAGCACGGTTACAAGTCTTAAAAGGAACAAAACGCCAGGCTATGCCCGGCCTGTCCACGACTTCCCGCTGCCACTAAACTTGAAAATCGCCTTTGATGAACGACCTATCTTTTGCATGTCTCCCTCTGGCTCATAACTAGAAGGAAGCGGTGCGATGGTATATGTCGTTGCCTGCTTTTCCCTTACAATAAAGATTGGATTGTGAATTCCTCCATGCTGTGGCGGTCTTCGGGATATGGTGTTCACGCAGAAGCCTCAGGTGACATTCACTCCAGGATTCAAGCGCAGGTTGAGCCCGCGACTTGTGCTGCCGGAGTCTCAATCGAACTGTTACTTCTTGTTTGGAGACTTCCGAAGGTTGCTCCACGTAGGAATGTGGCGGCGTGTGCCGCTGTAGAATACTGATAGCTACGATAAACGATAATGCAGGACTATCGGGTCGATGGAATACTGCGCTGAATTGCAATGAAGCTGGAACATCAACGTTGAAGCTGGGGTTCCCGATGCTCCGCCTAAACTTCCTCTACAGCTTTATCTTGTTTCCTTGTTCAGATTTCCACGTCGACTTCCTCAATTTATTAACCCTTAGAGATTTTCCGCAGAGCCTTACTCCAACATTAAGCGCTGCTGCAGCATTTGGTGCCCACACCAGGCAATGGAGATTAGGGCCCCGGTGTCAATGGGAGATCGTGAGCAGAACTGTGATGTATTCAGAGCTGCCTACATGGTGTTTTTCTACACGGCAGGGAGCTGTGGGCGCTAGCCGGAACTGGGAAGGCGCGGAGCCTATAGAGAAGAGCCGCAGTGAAGGTGTGGGCTGACGACACTCGTGATTAAATCGCCATGAAATTGCTCTTTGGGATTCATACCATGTGTAGGCCCTTGTGAGGCCCTTCAAGGGTTCATAGGCTTTGCCTCGTAATCATGCACCCCATTAACACCTATGCAACTGGCGGCTTCAATTGAGAACACAGAGTTTACTGGAGCCCAAACAGCTGATGGTGTCTTCTCTGGAAACTCTGCAAGCAAATGTCCTTGCATGCTTGAACATACCTCATTAGTGAAGTATCCGGCTGCATACGCAAGCCCGCGAGGTGTGTGGCGCAGGTCAAGAGCTGTGCTGCAGCCGCAGTCACAGAGATCGCAAGCCAGCCCTAGAGCTCTTCACCCCTGTCTCTTGACACGGCAAGTATGACGTCAGCGGAACGGCTCAGCCGACACCTTACAGAACAATATACATAACTGATCTGATGTGCAACGGCTATTTTGTGTTTCATCTCTCGCATCTCTGGTCTTGTCGTGTGATGTTAAACTTTTGACCCTCGTCACCTCGACTGTCACCTTGACCGGCATTGCACGATTGCACTACACTAAAGGGCCCACTTCAGTACCACACTCACGCTTTTCTCCAATATGGGCATACCCTACTCCCGCGAAATTAATGCAGCCTTCGAGCAAGTCACTCCGCTTGTAGCCGCCGGTTTCAAAGTCCTGCGCACCACAAAGAACATCTCCATCGTTCTCGCCATCATCCAAGTGCTCACCGTCTTGTTTCTCGGGCTGATTTTGCTCGCGCTAATCACGCTGATATACACCGTGAACCCAGATCTAGAAGTATGTCGACCATGCTGAAGAAGACACGATGACTCATCTACTGACGACCGAGCAGGAAGAAAGGCAACAGCTCATAACCCCCTGGCTGAAGTACTACGCGCACATCACACTCTTCGGCATCATCAAAACCATCATCACCTCCTCGCTGGTGATTGGCGCAGTCGGCTTTGCAGCATGGCGCGCGTTCTTGTTCGAACAGTGGGTCGAAGATGTAGAGTACGAGGCAAATATTGATGCGAACAAGGCGCTTGAGGATCTTGAGGAAGATGAGGCGGCTAAGAAGAAAGGGAAGAAAAATGGAAAGAAGGGGAAGGCGAAGGCGAAGAGCGAGGCCGATAAGATTTTGGAAGAGGAGGGCAAGAAATAAGGCTGTGAAGATGCTCAAATCACATGTACGGCTATTGGAGAAGAGTAACATGAGCCAAATAGCATAGTCCTAAACGATACTTGCCCATTCAGTTGAGTTGGACACTTTACAATCTTCCCGACTTTCCCTGTTCCAACAGCAACAGACTGAACAAACCCCCAACAGCCGGCCTAGCCTTGAACTCCAATCCCGGCGGGAAACTTCCATCACTCGTCTGATACAGATCCGTAAACGGCCTACTTGTCGGCGTTTCATTGACCCACCTCGCCAAATCATTGATAAACATGTCCCTTGTCTTCTCACTAGCAATAGCCGCGCAGAATAACTCCCAGTCAGACTTGGTGTAGTACCTGTTCCGCGTATCGAGCGGAACACCATAGTTCTCTTTGACGGTAGGGTAGAAGCCGCTTTGTATGTTGTAGACGGACTGAGGTACGAGGTTGGTGTTCAAAAGCTTGTCGTTGTAGAGATTGTATAGGAGGCCCCAGGTCGAGGTGTTGCCATAGTTGAGCACAGCGTGGGGAGGGTCGTCCGCCGTATTGAGACCCAGAGTCTGCCACTTTGTGATGTAGTCATGTGCAATTTTTGTGTAGTTTTGCGCATTAGAGGCCTTGTTGATAAGGGAAGAAAGCTGCGACATCGCTTCGATGGCAATAATGCCTTTGAGAGCGAGATTTGTCTGGTTCGCAAGATGCCCAGCAAAGTCATCGGTTGAGAGTTGCTCGGCTGGGAAGAGACTATCTTCGACGAGGTACTCCGCCCACTGCCTGAGGATAGTGTAGTGCTGTTTGATGTAGTCGGTGTCGCCGGAGCGCTGGACGTAGGCTAGGACCATGATAATGTTATTGCTACACTCTTCCAAGGGCATGGGTTCATCGTCGCCTGTCGGATGGCCAGTAGCGTTTGGGTAGTGTTTTCCAAGGTCATGGGTAGCCCATTTATTGGGATAGTGACCGCTCTCCTGGTTCTCAAAATGTGGATCGAGGAGTAACTTTATCAGATCCGGGTTCGTGTAGAAGAAGATAGGAGACGCTGGATAAATCACGTCTACGGTCTGAGTGTTGCCATTCGAAGATATTTCTTTCAAGAAGAGGTAGTGCTTGTCTCCGGTACCGACCAGTTGAGTCGCTGCAAAGGCCTGACGGGCAGCCAGGGTTGTCAAAATCGCGTAGTCTTGCCCGGCAGCGGCGATAGAATCCTTCGAGATTCGGTCATCCAAATCCGATGAAAGCTTGCTTGACTCCGGATAGTCCTTGTGAAAGAAGGTGAGAGCTGCAAGATCATCCGCGAAATAGCTCTTCCACAACGACGGAAGGATAGCCAGTCCGTCTGCTCCCAGGAATTGGATCGCTTCGTCCTGACACAAGCCCAGCGAGAACAACGTGGATACTGGCGAAGCCCCAACGGATCCAAGACTGATTCCGTAACCGAAGACTGGCCATCTGTCATTGATAGCACGGAAGTTAGTATCATTCGAGCTCGGCAGCTTTCCATCGGTTACAAAGGCACCACGAACGTCGTCATCAGCGCCTGATTGGTACGTGACACCATTTTGCGCCGTAGTAGCGTAGTACTAGAGAGCATCAGTAACGATGACAATGAGGATACTCTAAAGAACTTACAAAGTTGCCCCACTCGGCTCTGTCGTTGAATTCCGAGAACTTTTGCTGGTTTTGTCTCGATAGCTTATGATAGACCACGTCATTCATTAGGCCGAAATCCCATTGCGCGGTCACATCAACATCGCCAGAAACCCACTCTGTCGATATATTAGTAGTCAGGTTGTGCAGATACTCGTGAGACGTCAACCTTACCAGCACTAATATCAGTGTAGATCTGCACACTGTGTTCTGCGCCGTCTAGAGACAGGACTTCGACGTTCATATACGAGAAAGTCAAAGACTGGCGCTTGAGATCCTTCGGAGTGAGCGGCGAGAGAAAGGTCACCTTCAGTGATACCTTCTTATTGGCCTCGATGGTGAAGATGCTCTTGCTGGAGGTATACTCGTAAGATTTCTGATTCGCTAATGGGATTCCTTTTGGTGCGCCCATCCATGTGAAGGTCTCGTTGTCAACGCGGACCAAGCCTGTCCAGCCAAGCACCTGTCCACTGTCTAGAATCAGTATGTTTCATTCGGGTTCTGGAGGAGCATACTGACGTGTAGAACCGCGGCCATTGTCCGGGAAGGTACCCTCCGTTGCCTCCATCGCTACCAGCCGGGAACCATGTGCTCAAGTACGGACTCTTCACAGCAAGCGGTAAGGACGGTGGACGAGCAGGAGTGAAAATGGATTGCGCGGACGTGACTGAGAGTAGATAGCCCAAGGTTGCTAAGAATGATATGTGCATTGTCGATGGTGAGAATGTACGCGAGATTAGTAGACAATCGTGTAAACTGGAGGCCTATATACCTGTTCCGCAGTTATCCTAATATCATCTCACATCAAGCATCCCCTCAGCCGAGTCTGGGATGATGTGCAGGGGTAAGTCGATGAAGGCGTCCCATGATGACGGACAAGCTTTCAGGCGTTTGCTTTTGTTTAGTGCCCATTTGGTTTGGGAAGGTGCTTAGGAAAGGTGGCAGATGTGTCAACAACGTGGACCACTTGCACCAACCGTACTCCTGGTGACTTGAAGGCGTGGTGCTGTTGCTGTGATACCTCAGCATCTTGGCCGTTGTGTACCATGGAGCGCATGACTACTTGAAGTAGACTCACATGGCGAGCGGGTGGCTTCAGTCCAAGCACTACCAACGATGCGGGGAGCGTAGCGTCAACTTATGCGGAGATGGCTGATGACGCGGGCCGTTGGGGGCCTGCTCCGTTTGAAATTGCTCCTGTGCAGATATGGCGGATGATCTGTTCGCGCTGTGAGTGACCTTGGCGGCTTGTCAGTATCGCAGCCAATCCAGTCTCTCGGCGTGCATGTGGAAATAAGTGAAATGCAACTGCATCGAATCATAAGTGATGTCTTGCTGTGAGTTGCATTGAACTAAACATATACGATGGGCAAGCCCAGTGGCACGCCTTGCCAGCGATCGTAATTGCAATGAGGCTGTGTGCTGGGTGCCCGTAGGGGGGCCTCTTGACATGTGCAGTTGTCGTTGCAGATTAAGATACTTGTATCAATACATACAGGGCTCGCGAGACTGCAGGCGAGTGACTGTTTCCGGCTATGCAAGTATCACAAAATGTAGTGGATGAGTGGAAGAAGGTGTAGACACGCGAGGGTACACGAGGCTAGGCTGCGGGGAAGGCGCACAATCCCTGCAACTCGTCACTTGGAAATATTCCGGACGAGTGGTCATAGATGCACATCAACCACGGGACCAGCAATTGATCGATAAGTGTGCATGATTGTTTGTAATAGGCTTGAGCAAGGATTTGACATTCTAGTGTTAGGAGCTGCTTTTGGACATAGAGAGTAGTGCTGCTGTTCGCTATGTTCTAGTACAAACAACGCTATCAAACGCTCGTACTTCTAGCGCGTAAAACCAGCCAGGTCACTCTCAAACGCCAACAATAGAGTAACGCCCAACAACTGAATGGGATGACTGAAGCAGGGTATCCATGAGAAAAGCAAACAAAATCGCCAACTGGAAAAAAGCGATATCGAATGAGGATGAAAAATGAGAGAGGGGTATCGTATCCAGAAACGTCATCTATCCGGTCGTCGTGTATCGTGGGATGGCTCTCCCTTTTCAATCTTTGGGCGCCCAAGAGCGCGACACTCCCTCGTACTGCTCGGCACAGTCGCGCAGAAAGGCGCTCTCGAGAATGTCGGAGACGGTCCAGCGTTGCTCGACATCCATTTCGAGACAGCCCTTCAACAGAGTCAACGCGTCCTCTGCGCCTCCGTCCTGCAACGCCTCTGCAGTGCGCACAATCTCCTGGTTCCATTCGCCCTTTAAAATCTTTGCGGTCGTCTTCGCATCGAGGCCTTCATTGAAGGGTAAGGTTGCAGTGAGCAGCGCATAGAGTACGATGCCGAAAGCCCAAATGTCAGCCGCCGGTGAGAACATAACAGCACCAGAAGCGCTGAACAGTTCGGGTGCTGCATATTGCAGACTGCCCTGGACCGACGTACTAGTGTCGGCAGGACCAATGTTCTGATTTTCTCCAATGGAATGTGGGTCCGGGCCTTCGCGGTCGTCCCGAACGATAAAATCTGCCATGCCGAAGTCACACAAAAGTATATCGCCTCCTTCGGTCTCGGCCTTGGGCACAGTCATGTCGAGGAGGCAATTTTCGAGCTTGATGTCGCGGTGGACAACGTACACATCGTTGTGCAGGTAGCGCATCGCTGAAGCCAACTGGTATGCGTAGCGCTTCACCAGGTGCTTTGACAGTCCGACCTTGTGCTTTCGCCGTGTATCACGTATCAAGTCAAACAAAGTGCCGCCTTTGTTCAACTTTGTGATGCAGAACGTAGCATAATCGGTGGTGTAGACCTTGATGAGTGGCAGAATGTACGGATGTCGCAGAAAGCGCCACATTTCTACCTCGTGGTCGAATTGGCTCTGGAGCGCCTCGTTCTCAAATTCAGATCTGTTGCTCTGCTGCTTGCGTACAATCTTGACCGCGTCGATCACCGGCTTGCCATTCTCCATGCTCGTCACCTCCTTGACAACACTGAAACCACCATAGCCAATTTGCTTGCCAATGACATACTCGTTGTCGTACCCGAGACCCTGGCCCTCGTCGTCTGGCTGGGGTTCTTTCAACGGTGCCTCTGAAGCCTTGTAGCGCGCAAGAAAAGAAGCAGCGGGTGACATGGACGACAAAGAGCGGCCAGAACGATTGGACGACCGCCGGCTGGCCCGCCTCAGACTGCCATCTTCGCTGATCTCGGTTCGAAAGCTCCTGTTCCTGGTCGGTCCACGGTTCAAGGGCGAGAAGAGGGGAAAGTCCAACGGCGAACCTGCGACCGGCAGCGGCGAAAGCATGTACTCGTTTGGTGTCTCGATCGGGGTGCGCGCTTCTTCTAGGGGCGAGGCGGTGGCTTCAGACGTAAGGGATGCGACCTGATCATTGTACTCCGGGTCGTTTGCCATATCGTCTACGGTCGACTGGAGGAGCGGGTACCTTCCTTGGCTATTGCTGGTCTGGCGCGAAAGGGCTCTGCGATGGTTGAAGGGCATTTCGAGGTATTCACCCTCAGAGTAGCTGCCATCTTCAGGTGTGTAGGACGGCGAGTGACGCGTGATTGGCTTTGGTACGGGGGCCTCGAGACCAACGCGGTCGCCCGTGTCGAGTTGAACCTCGTTGTCGAAGCTGATCGACGTCTTTCGCCGCCGGAAAAGCTCCTCCATAGTCTTCTCATTGCTGACGGTGCGCCCCAGCGAGACGCCTACGCCGCCATCGTAGGCGCCGATGTGCCCGTGAGAGGCATTGTGATGGCGCGTCTTGAACGGACCATCGGTAATCTTGTGCCCCTCGACATGGTCAACGTCGTCCTGCGACTGCGCATGGCCATGTTGCGCAGAGTCAGGTCGCGGGATCGAGTCAAAAGTCGATGCAACCCGTTTGTGGGGCGCCGAGGTATCGAGCTTGAGCTTCTGGAAAATGTGTGAGGATGGCTGCGGGGCCATTAAATCGGTTTACTGTGGTGGATGCAAACCTCGAAATTCAGCTGCGACGCCCTGTGTATTAATATTCAGAGCCGTGGGGTCGCGCTGAAGGACAGTAACGGGAGAACACGGAGGGCGAGTGGAGGGATTGTCAATATGAATGTGTCCAAGAGCAGCGGATGCCTGTTTGTGGTAGCGTGCTGGGATTTGCGCTGGACAGCCACAACGAACACAACGGTAGGTTTGCAGGGGTTTGCGGCAGATTGATGGCAATCACTGCGCGTTGAAGGCGACTGTATTCATGAACTGGCAATTGGTACATGGAGGTGGCTGGTATGATGTTATTACACCTAGGGCAGGCTACCTCTTTAACTTGTACTCCACCCCCAGCATCCCACGCGCCGTTCGCTTCGGCGTGCGCCGGAGAGGGGAAGGCTGCCGGGTAGCATAGCGCCACCCAAGATCACCCAGAGCTCTGGCAAATGGGACGAGCGCCTGGGGTAAGCTGCTGCATTTACGCACAGTGACTGGGCGCAGCGCTGAGGCAGCCTTGGAGAGCACGGCGCGTTGACGTACGAGTGCGCCGGCGGCCATGCAGATGCGAGTGAGGTTTCGAGCAGTCATGGTAACTGCAGGTAAGCCAGGATGCAGCAGCAATTCTCCGCGCTGAGGCTGCTGAGGCTCTGGTAGGCCCAACTGAAGCTCGCGGGGATACAGAGTACTGTGTAAGCTATGTAAGCGTGGGGTCGCCCATCGGATGCTAGACGAGATGCAGTTCATGCAGGGCGCTGTCGACGCCGGCACGCACTATCTGCGGGACGAAAGGCGACAAAACAAACACTATCAGCGTTCAAGGGCGCGCTCGCACAGCAGCCGGGATGTACGGCGGCGCATGATGCTGTTGCCCTGGCGGCGCGCTGTGGACATGCCGGAGGGTGTGCACGCGCACCGTGCCGCCTCCAACCTCCAAGGGCAACACGCAACACCGTCTTCATAGACATAGATCTATAGCTGTGGTTTATTTCCTGACTGCTAGCTCGAGAACCTTTGCGCTTTGTTTACCCGCACCAAGCGTAGCAGCGGATCCAGCGCACCCACTTTTTCCATGTGATAATCTAACGTATCGGACGAGCTTTCCCAGCGCGCCCAACTGGCCGTGCACAGTGGAGAGCTGCGTTGCACACGGCCCAGCCTGCACGGGCGACACTTCACACTGGGCGCTCAACACCACATCCATCGCCGCGAGAGAGCCCATCGCACGACGCAGCGCGCCTCTCGAGCTGCCCGTCCCCATATTCGTCTGGTCTGCGATTCTCGTCGCTGCCCATCCCCGCCCCTCTACAACCCCCGGGCAGGCCTCCGAGGCCCTTGAACCTTGTTGGCAGACGGCATCATGGGCGTCTCCCAGTTCTTCTCCAAGCTCTGCGGCTCCTGCTGCGGCGGTATGCATCTCGCCCACCCACCGCCCATCGCCCAACTTGACTAACACGGCGCTGCACAGGACGCTCCAAGGACAGCATCTACGACCCTGTGCTGGCCGACAGCGAGCGTGAAGCTGTCGCCGATCTCCTGGGCTTCCTCGAAAATGTACCTCCACCCGCCGTCTCTGCGCTGCACGGCTGTATACTGACCCCCTCCAGCGCGCCGAGACCGACTTCTTCTCCGGCGAGCCCCTCCGCGCATTATCTACCCTAGTATACTCAGACAATATCGATTTGCAAAGGTCGGCAAGCTTGACCTTCGCCGAAATCACAGAGAGAGGTACCTGGTCCTGCATGTCTTAGCGGCCCGCCATGGCTAACCACCGCTGCACGCAGATGTCCGGGAAGTCGACCGTGACACGCTGGAGCCCATCCTCTTCCTGCTCCAGAACCCCGACCTTGAAGTCCAGCGTGCTGCCAGCGCCGCCCTGGGCAATCTAGCGGTGAACAGTACGTCACAGCTCACCACATCCAGCACCCATCGCTAATGCCCCGCAGCCGAAAACAAGGTCGCCATCGTCGCACTGGGTGGCCTTGCGCCCCTCATCAAGCAGATGAACTCGCCCAACGTCGAGGTGCAGTGCAATGCCGTCGGGTGTATCACCAACCTGGCTACGCACGAGGACAACAAGGCCAAGATTGCACGCTCGGGAGCCCTGCAGCCCCTCACGCGTCTGGCCAAATCCAGGGACATGCGCGTGCAAAGGAACGCCACCGGCGCGCTGCTGAACATGACACATTCAGGTATGGCTGCCGTGTGTTGTGGTGTAGAGGGGTAGCTTACTAACGTTTGTTCAGACGACAACCGCCAACAGCTTGTCAACGCCGGCGCAATCCCCGTCCTCGTCCAGCTCCTCTCTTCCACAGACGTCGATGTCCAGTACTACTGCACAACAGCACTCAGCAACATCGCTGTCGATGCCAGCAACCGCGCGAAACTGGCACAGACCGAAGGGCGTCTGGTGCAGTCGTTGGTCCACCTGATGGAGTCCTCATCGCCTAAGGTGCAGTGTCAAGCTGCACTCGCCTTGCGCAACCTGGCTTCAGATGAACGCTACCAGCTCGACATTGTGCGTGCACGTGGCCTGCCGTCTCTTCTCCGCCTTCTGCAATCGTCTTACCTCCCCCTTATCCTCTCCGCTGTTGCATGTATACGAAACATCTCCATCCACCCCGCAAACGAGTCGCCGATCATCGAAGCCGGTTTCCTTCGTCCTCTTGTCGATCTCCTTGGCTCGACCGAGAACGATGAGATCCAATGTCATGCCATCTCGACCCTTCGCAACCTCGCTGCAAGCTCGGACAAGAATAAGCAGCTAGTGTTGGACGCTGGTGCAGTGCAAAAGTGCAAGCAGCTGGTTCTGAACGTACGATTGCCCGTGCAGTCTGAGATGACTGCGGCGATCGCCGTTCTTGCATTGAGCGAGGAGTTGAAACCTCATCTACTCAACCTCGGTGTGTTCGATGTTCTCATCCCACTCACAGAGTCAGAGAGCATTGAGGTTCAGGGCAACAGTGCCGCGGCCCTTGGCAACCTGTCTTCGAAGGGTAAGTCACTCGAACGTGTTCTGCATAATCCAAGCTAACTTGTGCAGTGGGCGACTACACCATCTTCATCCAGAACTGGACGGAGCCCGCAGGTGGTATTCACGGCTACCTCCGCCGCTTCTTAGCCAGCGGAGACCCTACATTCCAGCACATCGCCATCTGGACACTGCTGCAGCTTCTCGAGTCCGAGGATGCCCGACTGTCAGAGCGCATTTCCAAGTCAGACGAGATCATTCACATGGTCATCGAAATCGCGGAGCGCAACATCGAATCCGATGACGAAGATAACGAAGACGGCGAAGGCGAGGTTGTCACACTTGCCCGCAGATGTCTTGAGCTGTTGGGCAACAACCCCAAGACTCTCGTCGAGGGATAAAACTGCTGGACGCATCTTCGATCCGGCTTCATTGATCACATCTTTGCCTCTCTTTAATCTCATCGTTTGTTTTTGTTAATGCGTTCATGTTGAATGCTGCTCGGTATGGCATGCTCATGCAAAATGTTTTCACGGCTGGCGTTTCCGGGAGCAGACTATTTCCAACATTTCTAGCGAGCATGGGAGGAGCATGACGTTTACTTATTGGCATACCATCTTTGTTAGCACCGCTGCTTGACCAGGAATAGCCTGTTGCTCGAGAGACACTGTAATTGTTAGGGTTGGATGAGGAGCAGAGCATGGCGCTCTTTACGTATATTGTGGACGAATCAAAATGAGGGGTAGCTTTCGAATTGGTGAAAATTCTTCTGCCGTGTTCACTCGGCGCTTTTAACGTTGAAGAGCAACGCGCCCCTCATGTGACGTCGCGTTGGAGCTTGTCGTTCGTTACTTATCGATAAGAAGCCAATCCGAAATGTTTTGCGAAGTGCTGCCGAGTCACTCATACAACCGCGACAACAGCGCTTCCAGCCATCAATGCCACCGAAACCACGAGGAAGAGGAAGCACACGTGCGCGCGCAGGTGGGAGGGGAGGGGCTGCTGCAGGCCGGGCTACAGGCAGCACCAGCGAAGCCACCGAGACCACAACCCCACAGACGTTCGATACCCCAGCAGCAAGTGAAGCAGCAGAGGTTATAGTACCCAAGGAAGAGGGCGATGCCGATGCGAAACCACCGACAACCGTAGAGAACGAATCCACGCCAAATGATACCTCCTCTGCAGCTGCAACCCCACAAGATGGCGCCGAAGCCTCAACTCGTCCTCCCGTGCAGCGCCTCGGTGGACTGAAGAGCGCAGAGCCGTCTTCAAGATCTGCGTCACCCTCCGTCAAGCGCGGCACTACGAAAACAGGCAAGAAGGCGATGCCCAAACCCATGTTTACTGGTCGTCGAAGCAAGGAAGAGCGAGCAGCGCTCGAGAAGGAACAACTTGAACGCGAGAAGATCAGGAACAGAGATCAAGAGAAGGAGGCTGCTTTCCAGGCCAGGAGGAAGGAGAGAGAAGCGGCGAAGGAGGCCAGTAGGGCTACCAGGGGACGTGGTGGCTATAGTGGTGCAATGAGCGGGCCGTTCTCGCTTGGTAGCTCGAAAGAGGGTAGGCAAGGTTAGACGTCCGTGTTGGACACTGCTAATGTTTGCAACAGATCGGAAAGCGAACCACCGGAACTTCTCAGGATTCGGCGCTGGATCAGGATCCCGAGCGGTGCGCGTCAAGAATGAGGGCGACGAGAGCGGCCCAAGCAGATCAGGCGGGTACGGTGGAGGCGGTGGAGGCGGCGGTGGTGCCAGCTCATCAATCAAGAGAGAAGATGGTGGCGTTGTCGAGTCCTCTGAGGATGAAGACGACCAGGAGTTCCCTCGGAGAGACATCGACCTCATCGAGATCTCTGACGACGAAGACGGTGTAGATGGCAACGAACGACCCTCAAGATCCGTGCTACCTATACGAATCACACGGAAAGAACATCAGGAGAAGGCTTTCGCACTTAATACAGACGCTAGCGCCGAGACAGCACCCAAAGACACAGCAGAGGCCACCGGGACAACTGGTCGCAAGTCTACGGGTGAGCGATCTGGCCAATCATCACGTAAGGGCAAGGGCAAGGCGAGCGACGTGGAAATTACAGGCGTGCGCAAACCTTTCAAGGGCGTGTGGCAGGACACCGACGACTCAGACGTTCAAGTCAAGACCGAACCCACCAGTGATGGCGAGCAAATGCCGGATGCAGAACAAGTCGGCTTAGACGCCGACCAGACAGAAGCACCACAAAAAGAAGAACCCCAATCGCCGATCACGGAACGAAAGGCCAAAGGTCGTGCCAAGAGCATAGCAGAGCCCGTCCTCCAAACAGATGAAGACCGCGCAGAATGGTCCCGCTTCCTGGACAACCGCAAACACATCCGCGCCGAATTGGGTCCTGACGAAACGCCTGCTGTCGACGCAGCAGGTGACACAACTATGGCAGATGGCGCAGCCCCAGCACCGAAAACTACGGTGCGAGACAACAACGTGTATCTCTTCCAGATCCCACCCCTCATGCCAGAACTCCTCGAACCGGGCGTCAAGAAGGAGACTTCAGATGTCGCGGAAGCATCAGTACCCGCAACATCTGTCAAGAGAGAAGCAGTCAAAGTCAAGGTCGAAGAAGGCTTCTCTGATCCCGCAGCCAAACCTGCACAAGGCCCACGGTTTGCAAGTGGATTGGTAGGTAAGCTAAGGGTGAGGCAGTCGGGGCGCACGACGCTGGATTGGGGAGGCACAAGTTACGAGCTTGCGCCGGGCAACAAAGCGAGTTTCTTGCAGGAGGTGGTGAGTATACACGTCGTACCTGAGAAGGATCGTGTGGTTCCTGAAGATGCGGGTGAGGCTGTTTCGTTTGGACGAGTCAAAGGCAAGTTTGTCGTTACGCCTGACTGGGGGGAGATGCTTGGATGAAAATAAAGCATTCACAAGGATCGTTGGACAGCATGGATCAGGCGTTTGGTGCTGCACTTACTGGCGCTAAGACAGGAATCAGGTAGGGCAGAATGTCGCCTAGGTGCCCAAAGATCAATCTTGACGCTCATGACGCCAACAGGCCACCGATCGATCTTCCAACAAACATCGGTGTTTCTCCGTGAACAAGGTCGCAGCATCATCAAAACAACCTCCCTTGTTGACAGCTTCTAGCACCGTTCTAGAAACATCACAAGCTAGCGCCAACCCCGGATCTCCACTCCCGATTTGCTCCATCGCTGCCCCTCCCCCCCGCAAAGCTTAGCTTTTCCTCCACTCACATACCAGCCTCTAAGCCCGGCCGTGCGGACCTGCCAGTCCTGTTTTAGACCGCACAGATCCGACCTCACGATGTCCCAACAACAGGAAGAACCCGTGCTGCCGCGCTGGGCTGACGCTTACGCTGACGCCGGGGGCTGAGGGCTCCGTGTTTGCGTGATGGCTTAAGATGTACTTCGCCCTGCATTAAGACTGATGGATGATCATCCATCAATCACTTTGTTACAAACACTTTGCTCCTAGCCCACTTGCTCTCTGTGAGTCCATCGTGTCGGACCGTGACCGTGTGTATCAACAAGAGGAGAGGTCGTTTACCAGACCACAAGAGAAGAACAAATGTCTGCCATGATCGAATGCGCGTTCATCAACAGTGTGATCACCACCGATAGCAATCGCGATACTACCTCAAGGGTCCGAAACGCAGATATTGTACAAACATGCACGCAGCAAGACACTATGGAAAAGAGAATACCAGCATTGAGGATGATGTGGCTGAGGCCAAGCGCGGCGCAGGACAAGTCCGAGTACGCTCCCTACCTTTCTGCCGTCCATCCACATCACACAGATGAATCGCAAGCTGACATAGTGGACAGGTCGCACCGGCGTACGTAGGAATTTGCGGCACCGACCTGTACGAATACCTTGGCGGCTCAACCTCCGCGCCCACGAAACCGCATCCATGCACCCACGATACAATCCCCATCACACTGGGCCACGAGCTTTCAGGCGTAATAACGGAACTTGGGTCCGACATGGCCGGCTTCACCGTCGGTCAGCAGTACGTCGTCCAACCCACCATCGCCTGCGGCACATGCCACGCCTGTCTCGCCGGCATTGAAAACGTGTGCTGCAATGGCGGCTTCATCGGCCTATCTGGCGGCGGAGACGGGCTGAGCGAGAGCGTCGTTGTGGCCGAGAAAGCGATCATCCCTCTCCCATCAAACATCCCGCTCGGTGTCGGTGCTCTGGTTGAGCCGCTCAGTGTAGCCTGGCATGCTGTATTTGCCGTGCCCCTGACCACGGATTCCGTTGCGCTAATTCCAGGCGGTGGACCGATGGGTCTCGCAGTTGTCCACTGTTTGCGCACAAAAGACGTGCGCAAAATCATCATGAGCGAAGTATCTTCCTCGCGGCAGCGGTTCACGCGAGTTCGGCGCACATCACGTCCTGGACCCGAAAACCCACGACACCGTCAAGGTCAGCAGAGAGCTGAGTGGTGCAGATGGGCCCAATGTCATGTTCGATTGCGCGGGTGTGCTGGCGAGTATTGAGACGGCGTGTACAGCAGTAGGTGCTCGGGGCACTGTGGTGAACGTGGCGATCTGGGAGAAGGCGGTGCCATTCAATCCGAATATGCTGGTGTTTGAGAGACGAAGTATACGGCGGTGTTGGGGTATCAGAGGAGGAATTTTGAGGCTTTTGTTGAGCAGTTGGCTACAGATGAGTTGCTGTATGAGTGAAATGGCGGGATATTTGCTGATATGATAAAGGGAATCTGAAGCCGTGTCAGATAATCATGAGTAAGATTCAGATGGACGATCTGGTTGAAGGTGGAATTAAGGCGCTTATTCATGATAAGGAGAGTCGCGTTAGATTCTTGGTAGAGGTTGGTGGGTTTATTTGTATTGATTCAGCGGTGCATTAATTGAATTATGTGGCTCAAGGCGGCGAGCAATCTCCGGTAGCTCCCTATGAGGTCCTAAGGTTAGAGCGCCGGTGTTAGCAGTAGATGTCCAACAAACAACTAAAAAATCAAAGTAGATTTACAAAAGTACTGGAGGTATTGTCTGGGCAAAGTCACGTACAAGAGATCGATGACACAAGCTGTTGTTGTATTGGTGAAGGTATATCGGAAGCGGCGATGTGGTGCACTGGTTCCGAAGAGTGAAGGTGCGATGACATCCGCAATAACAACGGTGCGCCTATCAACGGTAGTATGTTATCTTCACATGTCATGAGAACTGGGACGACATGCTAACCAGGCAGCAGCAGCAAGTTCCGTGGCTGTGCTTGAGACTGAGGCACTGTTCAGCCTAGATTCTCTATCCTCCTACACGCGCTTCATCAAATTCGACCCTAATCTCCTCATGATACTTTCCAGCGCGGCCAACAGTACGTAGTACGGGTAGTAGTGGAGTGGTTGGGGCACGCTGCGGATGACCTGATAGTGGACTAGTGAGCAATTAGGAGTTCCTTGGATCTCAAAGGCTGGGGGGTCAGCACATTTCTTTAACCATTGATAAGGCTTAGGGCAGGAATTATATTTGACGAGAGATACGAAGCAGCAGAGTTATTGCACTGCGCTGTTGAGGAGTCGCTTTTGTGGTGTGAGATAGTATCATAGTCCATATTCAGCCCAAAGCTTTGCCTTACATTGCATTTCTATTTGCCTGAAATAGTAATTTGCTATAACGATATATCTTCAAGCTTGGTCATGATTTGCGAGATGTATGCCGAGCCAACAACAATGCCGTCTTGGTCATCCAGAAGCCCACCTTCCTCTTCATTTTTTAACCCTTCTAAACAGGAGATCACCACGTCTCGGTATTTGTTCCCGAAGACTCGCGGCACCTGAGACCTTGCAATTTCGAGGTATCTAGCTTGAAGAACTTCCGGTGTACGCAGCACCTGTCCACCTTCACGCTTTTCCCAAAGATACTTGCCGATTCCGGTCTCCTTATTTGTGAACGTATCCCAAAGCGAAATTTCGAGAAGTACTACACCGAGGCTGTATATGTCGTGGCGCATGGTAAATTCGTCGCCTTGTGCCATTCGGTGCCGGTCAGGGTGAAGGTAGATGTTCTTTCTCCATTCTTCGACCCGGATCATGCTGGATGCAGCTGCAGCTTTGCGTACGCTGTCAAACCCAACGAGAAATGGCTCACCGACTACATTGGGAAAAGCCGTTTTCGCCGGATTTGTGCCTTCTGGTGCGATGGTGTCGAAAATGAGAATGTTTCCCGGGCGGATGTTCTTATGCACAAAACCACAGCTATGGACGTATAGAACGGCCGATGCAAGCTTCCGCACGAGTGCTATTCGGTCACTCAAGGAGTGGCGGATTCCAGGAGACTGATTTGATGCATGGGTGAGAAGATGCTCGAGAGTATGGGGGCCAGTCTTTCCGACAGGGTATTGGAAGCGGAGAGCGAATCTGTTGTACACTGGCTCCGCTGAAAATCCATTACAACGAAGCAAGCCCATTGTTGAAGGATCGCTCTCGTGGAGCGCAGCAGCGAAGTCTCGAATCAGTGACCGGGTTGCCTTAATTTCTCCGGGAGGTGCGCGGGCATCGTACGTACGATACTCCACTAGCTCTGACCCAACGTCTGATGCATAGACACTAGATCTGTCTAGCTTTCGTAATATGACACTGCTCTCAAAGGCGTCAAGCTGGAGTTTTGTCATTATTGATTCTGGCACTGGGTCGAGGATTGCTCTTCGGATGCGTTGAACTCGGCTCAAGACTTGAGAATGGCCCATGGCGGCAGATCCAGTTGCTGTTGTCCCAGGCCCTCCAAAGACAAGAAAGACTACAGCACGCCTGAGAAACCGTATATACCATTGCTCCAGCTCTCCACATGCATTGTCCAGAGATTTCCTACCATGAAAAGAGAATTTGATCTTGACCCAAACACTGGGGTCCGAGACAGAGAATTGAGCGACAATCCTTTCGAGCAGAAGTCGAAGCTGTTCAAAGAGTGTTCGTGTCTGATCCTCGAGTGGCTGAGTTCCATGTAATGAATAGAAAAAGGTGAGAAGTATGTGCAGTTCGCCTTGGACGAGCTCGACTATGAAGTGATCAAGCCTCGCAATTTCTTGCATGTGCCGATAGGTTTCGATCTTCTGCTTCAAGAAGTGGCCATATTTCAAACAAAGATCGATGATGCCGGGGATGGCTAGGACAATTCCTCCTACAGCCGCTTCCGACATGAGGGTCTTCTAAGGTAAACCGGGAGCAGATTAGGGCCTTTGTACTTGTAATAATTGTGAATTACGATGCTCAGATGAATGGAGGAGAAAAGTAGAGTTCATCATCACATAAGTGCACAAAAGTTGACTGATGGCCGTGTAAGCTGCAGCTGTGCTACGTCATCGGCACTCATCACATGCAACCCTACCTTGAAACGCGTAATTATCAACGTTTGGTGTACTGATGGCTTTTTGGGCTGCAGCTGAGCTACGTCGACAGCACTCATCACATGCAACCCTACCTTGGGACGTGTAATTCTTAATGGTTGGTGTACTGATGGTCTTGAGGTTTGAATTGGAGGAATCTTGTAACTACGTGGCTTAAGTCACATGATATCATATTGTAGAAGCACTTACCTCTGAGCCGAAAGCTCCTGTACAAGAACATCACCCAACAACACAGATAGCAATGCAATTGTTGACCACAGCCTCCGATCCACACTGGTTACGCAGTTACAAATGTGCTGTGTTGATTGAAAGATGCAGAGGACCTCTAAGATAGCTATATAAGCGAGCAATAGGCGAGCGTCTAACCACAGTGAGCATAGAACAGTGAATTGATGCTGTTGGCCTGATTTGTAGGGTATCAAAACCGTTACAAATGGCTTTTTGGGCTGCAGCTGAGCTGCGTCAGCCGCACTCATCACATGCAACCCTGCATTGGAACGCGTGATTCTCAGTGATGGGTGTCATGCGTGTACGTAAAAACGTGCGTATTGATGAGTAGGCTAGACCCTACAGCTAAACCAAGCTTAACTCAAAGCACTTCCTTCACTGCTAGGCTACACTCACCAGCACATTACTCGTCTGATCTTCCATCATTATTCAGTGGCCACACGTCTGTATAGCACTTGATCATGACGAATCAGTCAACAACTTTCTCGTTCACGTACCGCAATCAAATTGCTGGACTAAGTAGCACATCGTCTGGCCTCTCTCCTGGCGACACAGGTCCAGGTCGGGATGATCCAAGCCGCAGCTATGATGCCCTACTTACCATCGACTCCTTGAAGACAGTGGACGATCTCGTCATATCATTGGATGTCCTAGGCGTGCCAGGTCCGCTCACACTTCACGCACCGTTCTTAAATAAGCTGGGAGAGGGAGCACAGTTCTCGGTCTTCCAAGGCTCCATTCTAGAAGCCTCAACCAACTGCGACTTCGCAACAGACATAGAAGAAGTGGCTGTCAAACTGCCGTTGTTTAGTACACCAACAGAGAGGCGACTAGATCTTACATCGGCAAAGTCGCGGCGTCAGGTTCACGACATATATCTGGAGATCATGGCTCTTCGAAACCCGGCTCTGCAAAATCACCGAAACATCGTTCACTTGATAGGTTGGGGTATAGAAGAGACGTGGAACGAAACGCCACTGCTGGTTCTTGAACTTGCCATGGGCGATCTCTGTTCTGTTCTGGCCAACCCAGACTTTCAGATCACGTGCGAGATAACTCATCAGCTATCCATCGACATCGGGCACGGCTTGGACGCCATTCATGAACTCGGAATTGTACATGGCGATCTTAAACCCTTGAACGTACTTGTGTTTTCCAATAGTCCACACAAAGTGCCCTTCGTCGCAAAACTTGCGGACTTTGGACTCTCCGTAAACGAGGTACACTTCGCTTCAGATGACTCGGTCACAATATCTGGCACATCAGAAGACTGGTGTGCACCCGAGATTATTTTGGGGGCCACCATATCCGCTTCTCAGTTAACCAAAGCTGACAACTTCTCCTACGGTCTGATGCTTCTGAGCCTCAATTGTCTTAACGGTCGACCACCAAGACATAAGGATTTGGATACCGCTATCGACATTGTGGAGTCACATCAAGCCCTATCCAGCTCTCTCTGTGGCCTCCTCGCCAAGGCGTTGCCTCTCCTACTTCAGGCAAATTCGACGAAGCGACCGTCCTCAGTCAAAAATATCATGAGGGACAGCTTCGAGGCGTGCATTGCGTGGTCAGTAACAAGACTTTTATATTGGCTAGAACTAATGTCGGCCAGGGAACAAGACGAGGCTGACCGTGCCTCATCAGTAAGGAGACGGGCTGATGCGCCCTATGTGCACCCCTGGAGGTTGCCACCATTAGACGCTTATCTATTTCTAGGCCTCGAGAAATCTCTAAGACGATACGAAGTACGCCTAACCGGCCCGCAACTGTTTGCGATGTTTCTTCTCAAGTCCTTTTCCGAAGCGTCAACCGATGACAAGTCTTTACAGATGGATATGCTGCTCGCGGCGGTCAACAAAGGACACATCCCAGCTCAGGCAGTGGTCAACCGGGTCATTGAATCTTATGGCCTGCCTCAGAGCCTGCCTCTAAGTTCTATTAAGTCTTTCTTGTACGACGGCGCGTCTAGTGGATCACTTCTCGCCATCGGCGATCTATTCGCCTTGGACCCTCAGCTTGCCAGCGCAGCACGACATCGATTTCAGGAGAATACTGGATACAACCAGTTCTTCTCCCCATTGACAGCGACCGCAATCAGTGCAGACTTCCTCACAGACACCGACGGGAACACAAGGTTGCACTACTTTTCAGCTCGAGGAGATCATCAGAAATTGGCAGAAGTACTGCGAAACCTCAAAGAACCGCTTGGTCTCGATGTGAAAAATCGTTATGGAGAGACTCCTCTTTATAAAGCCTGTCTGATTGGATCCTGGGAGTCTGTGGAATTGCTTTGTCAGCATGGAGCCAACGCAGCAATACCGTCCTTCCTCAACGGCCTTACTTGTTTACACTGGCTATTCAACTTTTCCGCGGCTTGTATAGATAAAGCTCTGACGGCGCTTGCGGAGTCCGGTGGCAATGTCAATGCCTTGAGCATGCCTGTGCCGAATATTGTAGACTGTCATTTCCCATTCAACTGGCCTGCAGGGACGCCTCTACACTTTGCAGTCCACGCGGCCAACTTTGTTGCAATCAAAGCGCTGCTACGACGAGGAGCACGAGCGACTATCCGTGATGGCCGTGACCCATATCTTTCGGATGAAAATGTGAGACAGATGCATGTTCATGGATCTGCGGAGTCTGGTGAAAGCTCTGTGCCCGATCGACCTCCGCTCGGTTTCAACGCTATTGATCTCGCCGCCGCAATGCATAAGCACGAGGTTTTGGACAGCATACGAACGAATAGTCAAGAAGACACTCTAATGGCCTCGGATGAAGAAGGGTACACACCATTTCATCGCCTGTCTTATTTCAGAGTTGCTCGAACAAGTCATGGTCTCCGGTTCTGGTATCCCGCATTCAGAGGCAATTCGACTGATAGCGAGACTCGCCTAGTCAAGACGGTACAGGCACTGCAGCGTATGGGTGGCGACATTAACCGACTGACAAACACTCCAATCAGGCCCGCTATACACGGGGTTTCTGGACTTTCACCATTGATGATTGCAATCACCAAAGCTGACTGCAAGACTGCCACTGTTCTACTCAAATCTGGAGCACATGTCAATGGGGTCAATCGAGATGGGCGCTTGCCTATACTGCTGTTGCCTCACATCCTCGATCCATGTGTAACGCCTAACAGCTTACTCAACCTGACCCAGCTACTGTTGAGTTATGGGGCTTGCGTTAACTACAGAAGTCTGGATGGCATAACTCCTCTGGGTGCAGCCATAGCCTCGGAATCAATGCCCTGTATCAAAGCCCTCATCAAGGCTGGAGCTGATCTCAGTGTTGATGAACAGGGCTTGAACCTGCTCGCTCGCCTCATCTACGAGTGCCACCACAAGGAATGGACGAAAGGCTTGACTGAGCGGCCGGTGCAGGATGTGGTCGAGATTCTTAGGCAGTTGGACGTAAAGGAAAGTTTGTGGGTGCACAAGGTCGACAAAGACAATGGCAGCCTGCTGCACTACGCCGCATATGCAGGTCTTATAGAGTGTGTTACGATGCTGCTTGATGCCGGCTTGAACATCAACCAAGTCCGCAAGATGCACTTCACTGGATCGGTACCTAGCTCGTATAGTACTCATGCAGGCTACATGCCTGATGGCACCGCACTTGATATAGTTGAGCTGCAAGAATCGAAGTTCAAGAGTCGTGGGCAGCGTATGCTGTCACCAGAAGGTAAGTGTCCAATATCTCTTTAGATGAAATGGTGTGCCGAATTAACAGTTCGTTTGTGTCAGACGTACGAAGTAGGATAAAGAACTTTGAGGAGCTCAAACAAATACTAAGAGTTCACGGGGGCCTTCCTAGTGTAGTAGTCTTAGGCTAGAGTAACGTGTCTTATCAGTAAGTTACGCATATCAGTAAACTGCGCAGCAATTATACCTGGCTGAATACGAGGTACTCGACCGTGCCGCACAGCTAGCTTGTTCTGAACTCTTTCTCTGGATTGATGCGACGTGTATCGACCAGACCAACGTCAAGGGAAAAGGTCAACAAGTCCAACAGGTGGGTTTAACGTACGCAGGTGCTGATATAGGATTCATTTGGTTGTCCTTAGATGATCACGACGAGTCGGCACTCCGGCAACTCAACTGGATGTTACCAATAAGAGCCAATCCAACTGTTTCAACTATATATCTCACAGATTTATTGTCGCAGTACAGTAAGAGGTCATGTTACAGCACTGTATGAGGTTGTGTAAAAGGACCGACTGGACCAGACTCCTTCAAACAGTATCAGTAACATAACAGCTTCACGGTCAGTTCTTCTTTCCGTTCATTCACAGTATATAACCACACGGCTTGAGTACAATACAACTTCAGTGAACCTCAATATCCATTGCCCAATACCGATTATCTTCAGTACCGTCACATTTATCCTTGACCGCATTATGAAATCAGGATACTGGTCAAGAACATGGATCGCACGGGAGGTCTAGTTAGCCCGACAACCTGTGTTCTTTAAGCAATTTGGGTTGTGCGACCTTAGCAGAATTGGTCGTGCGCTTTTTAATTCGGCTTTTATTGCACAAATGGCTAGTTCACGGAGCTGATCAACCTGTACTCAGGGTCGTATACGACTATCACACCCCCGAGTACCTGGTCCGGGATACAGCTCGGCAACAGGAAGCAGTGCGTCAACATACTAGACCGCGTGTACTCACGGCTGGCACTTGCAGACAATGGGGCTGAGATTGAGGTCAACTACCAAATCTCCTCCACTCAGCTTGCGAGTCAGGTTTTGATGATTTGTAAGGAATCGTTTTGTATTTGCTCTCAGACATTCATGAAGCAAACCCTGGAGCTACCTTTTCCGATACCGGAAACTGTAAACCACTTTTTACATGGTAACCGAAACCCCCCAAACTGATACGAAGGCTGGCGACAACCAAATGTGTAGATGTTGTCAAAGGTTGATAGTTAGAGAGCAGACCTACCATGAGTACAACATCCTTCGCCTTCAAACTTTATGCGCGAGGACTAGAGGACATGTGTACACCCAGAATCATGGATAATCCGACAAAGCAAATGCATCGCAGGGAGTATGCTATGAAGGGTCCCACAGACAGTTCAATATATCTGGGGCAGATGTAAGGAAACGTCAGATGAATAGGGATGAAGTGCGTGCCATATGGCGGATCACTTTCCATGGTCTGGCCACTATCGTACGTCTCGAATGGTCAGAACGGACCAAACCGATAAGACTGGGTGAGCACAGTGGAATGAGGATGCTGCAGTTTGACCAGCTGAAGCGCCATCGAGTGTGATTGGAGAGGGGACAGCTTTGATGGGGGGGTTGTATTTGTGGTTGGTACCATAACTAGGTTACTGTCCACGGTTAGAATGATAAACACAGTGACGCAGACATACAAAGCAATGTAAGACCAACCAACCATGTGACTTTTTCCTTTCGTCGGTGAGGGATCTTCTAGTTCAGAGCTTCAAGCGGAGCCGTGCACGCAAAGGCTCAAATTTTTACTGTCATGCATTGCTCTGGTGAATGTTACAACAGAAGTACATCTATTTGTAGACAGCCACGATCTCTTTTTACCTCACAGATACACCGTTGGTCAAATAGCGTCCGCACTCACGATCCTCAGATGTTGCATTCTGACAAGCATCCATCGCGAGATCACGCTACTTGCAATTGGCTTACGCGCCAGGCTGAATGAATGCACAATGACGAAGACTGTAGCTTCCAGCCATACAGCTGGCGCCAGCCCCGCTTCTTTGCATGAGTTGCAGCTTTGAATCGATCATATTTGTTGATATTATGCAACCCACAGCAAATCCGACCTGGAATAAGTCCGTCATACAATTCCGGAACGATGAGGTTGTGGTTAGCATCACGAATGCCAACGGGAGCTTTCGCCACCTGGCGTTGGATCACACAAAAGCTTCGATTCGACTCATCCAAGTCTTACCCCAGCTTTCCGAAGGTGGTCTTGCTCGATGAAGCATGCATCATACTGTCATACCGACCGTCGACTCCAACAGAAAAGACAACGAATCAACCTATGAGGAGCTGATGTACGATTGCCTTTCGTATACTTGGAGCGACAACAGCAGAAGCCACGTAATCAGAATGAACGACAGACCTTGTTCGGTTGGCCACAATTTGTGGGATTTTCTGGCTACTTTAAGGTTGTCCATATGTAACAACAGCGACATCCTGCAGCTGAAGGAACCCGGATCACTACCAGCTCGGGGAAGACTTAGGATTCTAAAGAAGCCGCTGCTATGCATCGACGCACTCTGTATCAATCAGGATGATACCAAGTAGAAGGATCATCAAGTTCAACAGATAGGAAAGATGTCGCAGTAGATGCAATAAATGAAGGTATAACCGCGCAGGCAGTAAGTCAGGGGGAATCGCGTAAAATCAGTATATTCTGTTCTTGTACTTCTGTGATTGTCTCTCCCCCGGCGGTCCTCAGGGTCTGTTTACATGACGTATCTGTCGTGCAGCCAGGGGTAGAAAGTGCTTGTTGGAAAGAGCAAGAACACTGCACCAACAGGTGCCACACATTACTCCATAAACCGTCACAAAAGATCTATAGCAGTGCAGCTTTCGTCTTCATATGTTGCGGTGTCAATCGGTCCGTACAAAGCCTGATTGCTGCTGCTCAGTCTATTCTGGACTAGCATATTTCAGGACAGGTATAGTGTCTTCTTCTAGCTAGATAGCAACTCGGCGCAGTATTCCATCGTATTCTCCCAGCGGCCTCACCCCGCTACATCATATGGCTTGGAGATGACAAGACCATGGGTCAATTTCTGCACAAGTGTTGAAACCTACACACGACAGGAGCACAGAATGACGATGATTGGAAAGCAATCATCCCAAAGTGCATGAGGGTCACTGAGTCAGAATATTGGTCAAGAGCATGGATCGCGCAAGAAGTGGTCCTGGCAAGATCGCCAGTCATATACGTCAAGTCCGGCCTGTACTGCCTACGTTTGATGCCAGGGACGTGTTCAAGCAGAAGCTGCTACCATACGAAGATACAGGGTCGCACTTCCTCCAGCTCGTGATTTGGCGTTATGAACAAGCTCCAGGCCCAACATTGCAGGCATTCGGTAAGAAGCAATGTCCCAATGCACACAGTCGAATTTACTCAATACTGGCGCTATGTAACGCTCGAAGCGATTTTGAAGTCGACTACAAAGTAGGCAAAGACGAGCTTATGCGGCAAACGCTTGAAACTTGCAAGGACATGATTTGCTTCTGTGGTGCCGCCAAGGTTGCTCGAGCTCTGAGTCTGCCATTGTCAGAAGTGGCCCATCACGGCTCGCCCTACGTCGAATTCAGCGCCTATCAGTATGAACTTGGACCGTTCGAGGCAGGCTATCAAGCTTGCGACTTCTGTCACTCAAGCTGAGCGTCGCGGAGAGGACTGGACTGACTTTACTATGAAGCACTGCGCCCGAAACTTGAGCAACCTACTTCTGATTCCAGTGTTCGAAAGAAGGCTTAGAATGATGGGAATGCATTCTGTTGATGGTGCACGTGGAAACGCGACATTTTGGCGGTTCGAATAGTGGGGTTGTGACGATGCTAGCGGCTCGCCCCTCCCGTTCTTCCCCAAAGCTCAACGACCGCGTCTTCCCTTCTCCACAATTGCATCATGGCTGCGGCGACCTCTTCCACCGCCCAAAATGATACTGACAATGCACCGTTCCCACCATGGCTTGCAAATCACCTCAACATTGAGTGGAACTCCGACGATGTTGACGCGCTGCTTAGCTCTATAGAAGCGAGTCAGTGCCCGAAGTCACCGACATTACCTCACTTACCTGCCGAACTACTTATACTCATCCTCGAGTACATTCCAGTTGCCCATGTCCTCGATTGGCGACTGGTCTGTCGCGGCTTCCGCGATGCAATCGACGGACCAATCCTGTACCATCACCTTCAGAGAACACGTTTGGTGGGTTATCTTGGGCCGCGGGCGTCTCCCAATATAAGAGATCTGAGCGATAATGAGTACGAACAACTACATCTGGTACCTGCGCGGTTTCAGTCTATAGCAAAAGCGCGAGCGATTTCGCAACTACAACAGCAACCCAGTCCCATCTGGTGTAACACTCACGCCGTCTTCAAAATACGCTACGCCTGGTGGGCGGCACATAAATGTCACCAAAGTCGTCCAGACTTCCCATCGAGATCTAGCATGCTGTCTCAAGTAACGCTCTGCCGGACTGACCAAGGTTATGGCACATTGATATGGGCGATCAGGCTCGACACAGCGGTCCTTGACCTGGACTTCCCTTTGGAGCCGAACAGGCACAATTTTGACGTGGATGTCGACACGAAGACATGGACTGTGCGAGTGGAGTGGAAGCCGATGCTTTTCCGGTTTCTAAGAACCGAGCGCGCACTCAGGCTCCTCATGGACAAGAAGCACAACTCAACATTCACCTTCAGCCACGCCGAGGATTGTCTACGTGCTATGCGGCGACAGCGCTTACATGCAGCCCTGGACCCAGACAGTAAGATCGATCGACATATCAAGTGGTCCTTACGCCTGCTTCGACCTCTGTGGGGCATCGGTGGACATGGAGACCCTTCGACGCTGGACCCCGTCGAGGCCGACGCTGTAAGAGTTTTGCTGCTTCTGCGCCGCGAGGCTGCCTTGAGCGATCGTCAGATAAAGCATTTATGGCACCTGGCTAGCGACTACAAAGCCATGGTCAGAACCATGGACAAGCTTTCTCGATCAATCAAAGACCTGAAGCAACAACTGATCATGCCTGGACATGCTTCGATCCTTGAGCTGGAAGTACGCTCGCACGACAAGATCCCGGCTAACCCTATTGCCTGGTCAGATGAGCTGAGAGCCAACATCGAGACGCGAGTGCAGAGATGGAGGGCACAGCAAAACTTGATTGAGCTGATGCAAACGTTAATGATCACATCGCAGGAAGCACTCGCTGTACCTGAAGATGCATTCGATATGATGGACTCGGACTTTTGAGCAACGAGATGTACGTTATTTTGTCTGCGTCTCTTCCTGCGATTACGGGACAACGGATTACGAGATCATCTTTGTGATATGCAAACGTAAGTCTTGCTCATGTACATAAGCTCCGAACCTTGTCCTTTCAAAGTAATCATCACAACCTTATGCCTCCAGGATATGAAGCCACTCCGGTTGATTCTGAGGAGAAGTCATTATCCCAACCTCGGAAGATGGTCAAACAACCACCCTTCAAGATAACCTTCGGTGAATCCTCAGACAGCAACGATGCAACCGGACTTTGCATGAATTGGCCTCATGTCCTTCTTAATATACTCCACCTGCTCAACTTATCATCCACAGTTACTGCAGAACTGACGAATAATCGTGTTTCCGGAAGTGATGTCGCTGTCCTTGTAACTCTTGAGCGCACCCTTGGAGTCATTGATTGAGACTTCGGATTTGTCGAACATGTACACGATTAAGCCGGGCGCCGAACCTGCGCAGCGGCATTTTCCACTATACGGTCAGACTACTGGTCCCGATTCAATCTGTGATAAGTAGGCGTATCAGTAGCAGATTGCCGACGCCTTGGGCATCTTTGTGATCGGAACTTTGAGGCTTGCGTAGTTGCAACGTCCTTCAGGCATCTTGACAGAACTTGTGGTACTTTTTCGATAGCATACGGATTGAGGATGGTTGAGTCGACGGAGTCAAAGGTGTTGCAGAGTTCAAAGTGCTGGATGAGTCCATGTCGTCGATGACGCAGTGGGGCCTACGGAGCTTTGCGGAGACCAAAGCGGCGCAGCCTTGGCTACATGGTTCGTGGTCGAGTCGGCTTCAACGATAAGAAGATTGCGCTGCACGGATGCATAAAAAGGTGAAGGCATATCAGATTTCTGCTCAACAGTGGGATCACGGTACGGAGTTGTATATTGTCAGCAGGACTATCATTCTTGGTAGTCGCAAGAAAAGAAATCTAGGAAGGCATACGTACAGCAATAGTTTCGAGCCGGTGTTCACTCCTCGAACACTTCTCCAGTATGAGCCGCATGATGCAGTGTCATTTCACATAGGGCCGGACGCCTGACAAATAAATGCTAGCCATACGACGAAATCCGAAAACAGTGACGTCTGTTTATGGCAGTCTGAAAGCTCCAACATCGTTCCCACTCAAAAAGGCACCTTGGGGGTGAATAAACAAGCACCGCGACTGACATCTCGCTCAAGTTATAGAGAACAGAGGACGTATGGTGAGTTGATGTAAGATCAAGCGTTGATAGTGTGATCAAGAAGGCGAAGTCGCGACATGTAGGTGCTCCTTCTCATTGCGTTCTTATCGATAAGCAAGTAAACAATCGAGCTGTTCGAGTACTGTATCAGCCCCACCTTCACACCAACACAAACTCGATCACCTTTCCTTTACCTGAAGGCGGTAGTCGCTATAACTGCTATTCCATATACAATTCCAGCAAGGACCCAATCATCATGGTATGCGGCCTTGCCAGCCTTGCAAATGAATGCTCACTCACGAACATACTTAGACGCGCGACTCATCAGCAACCTACTTGCATATGCACGCTTCTCACCATGCAGACCTCCTCGAATCCTTCACAAACTTGACATTGTCACAACTCGCGCCCGAAAACATCTATATACCGCCGCACCTCGAGCCGCTCAACCCCGAAGACGAAGATGACGTTGTACCAGATCAACACGCAGCCTTTGGCATCCAGCGCGCGACGCAAGCGAAGAAAGATCCCACGTGGCGCGACTTGGGACTAGAGGAGCTTCTGAGACGAGGGCCAAGAGCTGCTGAAGGGCAGAGTTTTGGTGGTGGCGCGCTCGGTAGAGGTACGGCGGAGAGGAGGGAAGACGAGCCGGTCATCACAGCATTGAGGAGACAGCCTGGGCCTCAGGCAGGTGTTGTGAGACCTGGAGGTGCTGCGAGAGATGCGCAAGGTGGTGGAAGTGCTGCGGGGAACGGGCTGCCGAGATGAGAAAAAATGAGTCAACTGAGGAGATGTGGAGCAAGCATTCAGTAACACAATCAGCAAATACCGCAAAAAGAGGGTAGTGCCACGGCGATTGGGAGTTGCACTATATCTCAAACGACTGGCCAAGGTCGTCAAGAAGGAAAGATTGACTGCTGAAGTAGCGGCTCTTCGCGCGTCAATCTGCAGCAAGACATACCGGACATTGCCGCAGATGCAAAGTCGTGAAGCTCATGTGTAGCGCATGTTTGGACGCGAAGCAGGAAGGCATATACCTTGTGTTATTCTGCACTTGGCTGGCTTTTCTAGGAGAACAAGGGAGCCCCAGGACAACAATCGGACTGCTATAGCCCGAATACGACCATAATCATGCCTACAGTGGAGTCGAAATTAAAATGTGTGAAAGCAGCTGGTACAAAAAAGATTTTCTATCCACAGCGACCTGACTAATACCGGTTGACTGTAGGAGTTAACATGGTAATCGTCTAGGGTGGATGTACGACTCGTACAACACGTGCATCCCGTTTTCACAACCCGCCAACAGCAACCCGTCTTCACAACCGGCACGTGCCCACTCGCCTGGACGATTCCTCGTGCCGGTACATAATTCTGGAGCCGAAATCCGGGGTAATGCATCAGATGTGCCAATCACATTGAACCTGTAGGACCCACGGCAGAAGTCACCAAGGCATCCTATCCACGACCACTCCAGCTTTGTACTTGCACCTCAAGGGCGAGCGGGCTGACTGCCAAATTCTACCTAGCCCAATCGACTCCATGTTTTTCTCCATACCTGATCCCCGCAGTATGTACACCGACATCGCTTTTAGCTCGTTCAGGCCATTGACCAATGAGAATTATCGGTGGCTTGCATACAGAGTTGTATAAGAGTGACCACAATAGCAACATCTTTTTTTTTCACGGACTTCAGCACCTCAAGCCGCAAACATGGTCGCACACTCAACACTCAGCGCAGCACTTCTCGGCTTCACCTCCACCGTCCTTGCGAGCCCAACCACGGCTCAAAAGGGCCACTACGTCAACTGGAGGAAGTTCCACGCCAACGGTGTTAACCTTGGCGGATGGCTAGCCCAAGAAGCTACTATCGATCCGTACTGGTGGGATCAATACTGCAGAGGCACTGTCGATGAGTGGAATTGCTGTGTCAAGCTCGGTGACCAGTGTGATTCCGTCTTCGAGAAGCGATACGCGACATACATCACAACAAAAGATATTGACAAGCTCGCTTCTGGCGGCGTGAACTTCATCCGCATTCCGACCACATATGCAGCATGGGTCAAGATTCCCGGAGCTGGATACCACTCTGGCAACCAGCAAAAGTACTTCAAGCAGGTCGCAGATTACGCCATTAAGAAGTACGGCATGCACGTTGTCCTCGACCTGCACTCCCTCCCCGGGGGTGTCAACGGCCTCGACATTGGCGAAGTAAGTTCGTCCCCTCCCCATGTTATCACTTACAATCACTAAACTTCACCCAGCGCGTTGGCAAGTGGGAGTGGTTCAATAGCACCACCAACTTCGATCTCTCCCTCAAAGTCGTCGATGCTGCCCTCAACTTCATCCAGTCCTCCGGCTCACCCCAATCATACTCTTTCGCTCCCATCAATGAACCCGTCGACAACCCCGACTTCTCCACATTCGGCACGCCCGCCGCGCTCTCCGACGTCGGCGCCGCATGGGTGCTTAAGTACTTCAAAGCCGTCCTCGCACATGCTGAAGCAGTGAACCGCAAGATTCCTGTCATGCTGCAAGGTAGCTTCAAGGGCGAACCGTTCTGGTCTCCGTTTTTTAATAAGAGCGACAATATTGTGTTCGATGTACACAACTATTACTTCGGCCGGCCGAGTGATTCGAACAATGTCACGAGTCTACTCTGCGCGGATGCGAAGACGTTAGCAGGGGATGGGAAGTTCCCGGTTTTTGTGGGCGAGTGGGCAATTCAGACGAGTGCCAACAACAAGTTTACGAACCGTGCGAGAAATCTGAATACTGGGATTTACGCGTACAACAAGTACACGCAAGGTAACTCATACTGGACAGCTAAATTCTTGGGTAACGTCTCTGTTGCAGGTGAGGGGACGCAGAGCGATTACTGGAACTATGAGTCTTTCCTCGACATGGGTATCATCGATCAGAAGCAAGGGAAGCAGTACTGCTCTTAGTTTCAGCGTGCTGCAGAGGTTGTGCGTTCATAATGTGTATTAGCGACGGTCGATCAATCAATATTTAATCTGATGACCTTTCAACGTTCAACTCCTTCAGCATAACATTGCAATAGCCACAGCCTCGGAGACAGCGGGACTGTGGCTGGCGCTGGCGAAAGTCAGGAGCTGGACGCCTCAAGGAGAGAGAGAGTACAGAACTGTAAATGACAATCAAGATGGCTGTATCTAACGTTGTGGCAAGAAGCCTAGAACTTGGCGCTCAGGCTTAGCGGAAGACTTCCCTGAATAACTTAAGCTTGACGATAAAGCAAGCGAATGGAAAGACTGACGAGGTCCACCCAAAATCTAAGAATACTAGAGAAAATCTGAAGGAATTCCTCAAGGCTCTAGGTGGCTATGCTGTGACAGAAACGCCTCTTCTATTCATTTTTACAATCGATAATAGGATTGTTGTCATAGCGATCATCGTCACGACCGGACGTTGTTTGTTCCTCGTATGGTGGGTTCACGACCTGGATATCGGCTAGAGCAGCCTAAATATCCCAATGCAGCCAGGAAATGAGATCTTGACAGATACAGCGCGCTACGTCGACCGGAGACACCATGCTACGATTGACTTGCGGAATGTCAGGGTACGGGAATCGCTTCAGTATCAGATCCACGTCTGGGGACGACACGATAGGCTTTTAGGCGGCATAGACCATCATGAGCAGGGCCTGTCAAGCTTGTTGGTGAAGTGTGATGGTCGCATGACTGGACTTGAATGAATTCTGTGCTCTCGAATCTGTCCCTAGAATCCAGTTACGTGACTTTGAGAATGGTAATCCGTACTACACCGGGTAAGTAGGACGTAGGCCCCTGAATTTTTTCGTCCGGTCAGAATCTTGGCATTGTACGGACGCAAATTCAGCCAGGTGAGTAAAGAATGTAAGGAAACTGACACACAACAAGCTTAACGTCAGTACCCAACTGACTAGTCCAAAATGCCTCGAAAGGTCTGGAGTGTTAACCCTCCGCACACAAGGACCTACCCTCTGCAAACCAGGATGTCGGGAGAATAGCCGTTCCGTTAACGTCTCTCGCCCGACGCGGGAGACGTGTATTTCGATATCTTCAGGAAGATTCACCGGATGTCCATATGTTATCGACCGATGCACCATATTTCCGTCTGCATTCCCACACTTCCTGTCCGTAAGTTTGACTTTTGATCTCTTCTGATTGATTGCAGGTTATGACTCAGGTACGCATAGGCTTGAGTGACCAACTGACCCGAGGTGATCAGGTGTCAATCCTCGTTGTGAGCTAACGACTAGTATCGGGTTGTCTCGTCCTCGTCTGAGCTGTCCTCATCGAAATGCCTCGCCTCCTTAGCTTTCTTTTCACAATCAATGCACATTCGGATGCAACCCAGCGACGGATCAGCGGGTGACTCGTCCGCAAGGGAATGACCAAGGACGGAACTTAGTATCGTTTCATCATGGGCAGTCGTGACTTGGATGTCGTTCAGGAATATTCCAGCGCAAGCGGTAAAGTAGCTCCGGGCGGACGCGTCGGTTCAAGTCGACAATCATTAGCATACTATATACAGTTTGAGAGCAAATCCAAAACGCGCAGTCTCGCTCTATGAACTCAAATGTTGTCGTGAGCTCTCTATCTTGCCCGTGCAGATTGATAGATTTTAGAAAGTGATGGGACGGGGATGGAGGAGCTTCAACAGGGCGAGAAAGAAGACTAGGGTGGTCCGTGACACGCTAGAGACGGCTCAGCTTCGCACCTTTTCCAACACTCACACCATCAACAATCAGCTTTCATTCAATTTTGCAACCACAAATATCGCACATCTGAGCATGTGAGCGCTGGCCAGCCGTCTAAAGACGTTCGATGGAGGAAGCGCGTGAACGCTTGGTCGAGAGGGTGCAGACCTTGAGCGACCTGGAGCTTGCTGTGCTCGTCTGCCTCGTTGCTGAGCAGCACTGCATCATCCAGACCGAAGGGCAACTGCTCGACAATGTAGAAGAAGAGTTAAAGCTAGTCAGTGAAGTACTCCTGTAGGTTTCACACGAACTAACGCAGCCAGGTGGCCACTGATGTGTTTGGTCTCACGTGGGCTGTGCTGGAGTGCAATAAGCAGACCACACTCGACGACTTCGGCTGCGGCATTCTCGTCAAAGATGAGACAGATGACTACTTCAACAGCAAGACCGAAGCTAGCAACGTCAAGGTAACGTCTGTCTCTGAACTGTAATAGGCTCTGTGGCTTACCTTCACCACAGTTCGCGTCACTTTCCGGATCACCAAAGCGACCTCATCGTCGCATCTCCAGAACGCCCAGTGCTTTCGCACAGCTTGACAGTGGAAGAATCGCAAACATCGTCGTTGCGAAGAACCTGGATCGAGCGAACTCTCAAGTCCAGATCCAGGCCCTCGAGGTACTATGCAGGTCATTTTGTCATGGCTTTGGCTGACCGTCTACAGCTCATGAGAGGCAAGCGCAACTTCACCAGGACTGCTGTACATGCTGCCCCTCGGCCTTTCCTGTTCATTGCGTTGAATGACCTCAACACTACGCGCTTGACGATGCATCTAGTATGATCCATACTTGATCTGATCAGTTGTACAGTGCTTACAAAGCCACAGAATGATCAGTTCTTCATCTCGCACAAGCACTACTTCGGAGACGGCCTGCCAAACATCGAAGAGCAACACGAGAAGGCACAAGCTCTCCAAGATGATCGGTCGACTTCTTCCGTCATTCATACGCCTCCATTCATACTCGCGAAGCGATCACCCCAGCCAGCTTTGTTCTCAGCAGAGGTACGTGCTTTTACTATGATTGTGACACGTCTATTCACTACCAAAAGGACCTTGCAACGTTCACTACTCGTATGGCAAATATCAAGATCAGTTCCGAGGTTCGTGCGTACCTGCACAACATAGTAGTCTTCATGAGGCTCCATCGAGCTGTCGCTGGTGGCATCTCTGCATTGGCCACGAGGCACTTCAACACTTTGGCGTTGTAAGTAATCGCGTTTCTACCCTCTTATTGTTGCTGACCTTGCAGTACTCTTGCACCTCTTCACAATCTGGACTACATCTCGCCATCGATGGTCGCGCTTGCTGCTCGCAAAATCTACCCACACCGCATTATCATCACGGCACCAGAGAACGAACGCAGTATGCAATGGGGTAGCTCTCTTGAGGCTGTGAAGGCTGTTCTCGACGGTGTGACCGCTGACGACGTTGTGGAAGAAGTGCTGCAGTCTGTCGAAGTACCGTTATAATTACGTGCCTTCGTGAGACATCGGTTCAACGATTCGTGGGCCGCATGCAGACGCACAAGGGATGAGTGAGCATGACATGCGGGTCGTGGATCAACGATAAGCGGGGCAGCCACGATGGCCGGCGCCAGGAACGCCTAGGGTCGCGCCTGTGCTTGGACCTGAACTTTGCGCACATAATCCAACCACACGAACCTCAACCCCACCCTCGAGGACTTTGAATTGTTCTCGATATTTTCACGGCCTGTAGTCATGACGAAAGACTACTTCGATCCGAATGCGCTGGTCGCTACGGAGTCTGCTGCGGTCTTTGTAAATGAGGTATTTGAAAACAACGTCATAACGACGCGGTCTAGGCTAACTTCCACTCTGAGAATGAAGTAGGCGACCAGGATACTAAGAGGTCCAACAGCATATATAGTAATGACGACGCGCTCGAGGTACATCACCCCACCATCCCCACCATCACGACGGCCAGTTAAGAGGTCCAGGTCATCTTCGAGGGCGGTAGTATACACAGACGCAAAGCCTCCCTAGCACCTCCCCTTCAACACTCTCACTTCGGCAAGATGAGCGCACGCCCGGGCAACGACCGCCGTAATACGTCGTGCATAGTTCACGAGTTACTTGAAAAGCACGATGGCGTTCCATCCCAACAACAAGAACAGTCATACGAAGGGCTTGCCCAAGAACGGCTCATGGACAAAGACCCACACTCTCACGCCGAAGCGACACAACACTCGCGGTTGTTGACTAAGAAGCAAATATCAGACATGGCGTTTGGGATCAGGGAGCTGTCGAAGAAGCTGGCGCAGATCCGCCTAAAGCTGCACGTCAAGAATATCTTCATTCTTGGGAAGGCGCATGACGAGGGTCTGATCACGAACACAAGAGAGACCGTTGATTGGCTCCTGACGAAAGACCCTGGTTACAAGGTATACGTCGAGCACACGCTGGAGGACAACAAGATCTTCGACACCAAGGGCCTGCTTCAAAAAAACCCGTCTTACGAGGGGCGACTGAAGTTCTGGACGAACGAGCTTTGCGAGCAGAAGCCGCAAACCTTCGATATTGTCCTGGCAGTAGGTGGCTCGACGCTCAATGATCAAACGGCTGCTAATCGTACTAGCTTGGTGGTGATGGCACTGTACTGTACTCATCGTGGCTCTTCCAGCGTGTAGTACCACCTGTTCTCGCATTCTCCCTCGGATCGCTCGGCTTCCTGACCAAGTTTGACTACGATCTCTACCCACAAACCCTGTCTCGCGCTTTCGAAGAAGGTATCACCGTTAACCTACGCTTGCGCTTCGAGGCGACCGTTATGCGATCGCAAACCCGCGACAATGAGGACCAGTCTGACTTGGTAGAGCAGCTAATTGGAGAAGAGGCGGAGGACCATCATACACATCGACCGGACGGCACCTACAACATCTTGAACGAGGTGGTAGTAGATCGCGGCCCAAACCCAACCATGTCCTCGATTGAGTTATTCGGCGATGACGAGCACTTCACGACTGTTCAGGCAGACGGCATCTGCGTCTCAACACCCACGGGTTCGACAGCATATAATTTGGCAGCGGGAGGCTCGCTCTGCCACCCCGACAACCCCGTTATCCTTGTTACAGCCATTTGCGCACACACCTTATCCTTCAGGCCGATCATCCTGCCAGACACGATAGTGTTGCGATGTGGAGTTCCGTACGATGCAAGAACAAGCTCGTGGGCAAGTTTCGATGGAAGAGAACGGGTCGAGCTCAAGCCTGGCGACTACGTCACGATTAGTGCGAGCAGGTTCCCGTTCCCATGCGTGCTGCCTATGAATAAGAGGAAGACGGATTGGATTAACAGTATTTCGCGGACTTTGCAGTGGAACAGCCGGGATAAGCCGAAAGCGTTCAAAGAGTGGAAAGAGTAGCGGTTATGAAGTGACTAATGCCATGGAATATCACGACGCTAGTGAAACTTGTGTGACAGGATTGTTCAGTCTTCGGACGTTCCCCACCGGACGTTCCCCACCGCTGGCAGCTGTGTACTCAACCTACTGCTAGGGAAGACAATTGTATGCCGCTTGTTCGCTATATCTGCAAAGAGGACGAGCATGTTAGCCGATTCGAGGCTTCGTAAGCCTGAGACCCCAGCTTCTGATAGGCGGGTCGCAAATGCGTGGCTGCGAGATGGTCACTGGCTTGAAACAGCAACAAGCTTACACCAACAGGCCGCCACTAAAGTTGGTAGGCTGTAGCGCGGTTAGACAAGGAAGGAAGTAGTACTAGATATCAAAACAAGTGATAAGTCTTCGCTCTTGCTGTCATCAATGCCGCTGACTGTTACTGGTGCCTAGCGCATCGTCCCCATGACCACGCACCGCCGCACTCGCAGATAGCTTCCACAGTCTTCGACGAGGACTATCTGCAACTGTTCCACAGATTCACGAATGTTTGGTGCAAAGAAAGAGCTGTGCAGTGTCAACAGCCTTGTCGGTTGGCTTACTCTATGAGATTCACGCTGCCGTTGCTCTCTCGTGCGAGATACCACTTGTTCCATACGAAGGGCTTCGGCGCCTGAAGTGCCCCCACAGGGATACGACATTGTGGGCTTGACCGCGAGTCCAATCGGCGCACTACCTATCACAAGAGTAGCACCCAGGTCTCTGCGGCTGCCTTTTTGCGGAGCTGGCGTACGCAAGGCTCTCCTTTTGCGCAGGAGCCTGCGGAGGCTCGCCCGCCTGCTTCCTCACGCAGCCGCTGGCAGCTGTCACAGAGGAGTGGCCCTTCAACCATGTCCCAGAGCGCGCTCGCCTCGGTCTGGAGCCTGTGCGACCGCTACAAGCAGGCGCTGGATATCATCATATCAAGAACCGCTGGGCCGTGGCTTTCCTCGGCAAGGCGTACACCGAGAAGATCGACCACATCCGGGCTCAGGACGCTGTGGGGCTGAACAACAAGGGCAACAACTGACACGGCAAGGGAAAGGTCAGCTCGGAGGCCATGGACGCCTTGCTGCTGTCTATCACCCCCGCTTCAGGGCCTCAACAGCGACAGCGGTTCAATAGGCGGCTGCACCAAGCGCTCCGCTGGTACGAAGCAGCCAAGCAGCTGGGCTGGGACATGCTCTGCCTGATGCCGCACGACATCGTAACCAACTCGTGGGTCGAAAACCAGCTTCGCATTTGTTTCTGGCACGACTGGCTAGGCTCTGAGGGCATCTCTAGCGGCTCCATAAGCAAAAAAGCAACGCTGTCGATTGAGGCAAATGCGCCGGCGCCTGCGACACAGGTAGAGGAGATGGAAGACGGCGACAACGATGGCGTTGAGCCTGCGCCGTCTCAAGAGACCGTTAAGAGCCCTGCACCCGCCTGTCTGTTGCGCTAGCTTACCTTGATTGGGTTGATATTGGACCTGATCTGACGGCCCGTTGGTGTAGCAGCGGATTGTATACTAGTTGATGGTGGTTGTTAATGTCATAGAACGCGCTGACTCTAAGGATTTGCAATCAAGATGAGGAAGCTTACAATTCTCCGGCCAGATTCAACAAACTCCTTGGACGGGACGCATCTGCTTAGCATCTGCAGTTGTTGAGCTGCAATACCCTCTTCTTCCTTTCAATCGATCTTGTCGAGCCGAGCAGGTAGAAGAGAAAACAGCACTAGAGACATACAATGTCAGTTAGGGGTGACCTGACAGTGAGTTGCAGTGACAAAGAAGGATAGCTCAAGCAGGAAGAGGCAATAGAAGAGAACAGGTGCGATGGAACGCGTGATAAGAGGTCCTGCCTCTGCATTTTCGCCACAGGTAGCTGTATCAAAGGTTGGGCAGCTCACTGGTTTACTTCTATCAAGGAAACCGATGTAGCAAGGTTGTCAAAGTTTGGAAAGGGAGAGAATGCTGACCTCGGGGTGTTGCGCTAGTCCGGGCTAGCCTGAAGAAGCAAGCACTTATGTTTTGCCGCGACCAAGCATGTCATAACGAGCAGAACGGAGAGAAGGCAGAGATGGCGGCTTCGATGGCAGTAAGCAGTTTGCAGTATAGGAGAATGGGGGCCGATGGCTGATGCAGCAACAGGAAGCACAGCTTCAGCATGGGAAGGCAATGGAAGAAGCCAGGTGCGACGAAACGCAAAGAAGTGAGCTGTAATGCCGCCGCATTTCCACCGCGGGTAGTGAAGTTCGACAATGGAATGGCAGAATCTTTACAACCGATAAGGTAACTCAGACTAATATAGCTGGTCGTGTTGTCAGCAAGTTCGCGCTGAATCACAGAGTTCGGAAGCCCGGGAACCAGACACCACAGCAGCGACTCGCGCATCAGCATTGCGTTTCCCAACATGACTTTCGCACTTTCCTCTTCATCCTCCAGGCTGCTGTGGTGCATCTCCACTGTACCGGCGCAATATCAAGCGAATAGTGTCATTCTTATTCTGCCCGGTGTGACATGCTTGACTGGGAGGAAGGAGGGGTGTGTAGGCCACGAATGCCGTTGAGCTCCTGCGTCGAACCCGCCGCCCAAGAGCAACGCTGTGGGTGCATTCTCACAACTGCCGTATCACATTTTGCCGAGCAAGCACCGCCTGCTGGTGTGCATACAGTCGCCATCGTCTGGTGTTTGCAGTGATCGAGCTTTCGACACCCAAGGCCTTGCAGTACGACTAGATTTTTACCTACGCCTAGAGCATCTACGGTAGCTGCACCTACCAGAACCTTGAGTACTTGCGAATCCTGCAGCCAGCCTGCTTCATGTCCGCTTCCAGCCCAGCTTCTTTAGCACTCTATGCCGTCTTGAAGCCGGTGCAGGCTGTGAGTGACGGGGGTCCATAAAGCCTTCGCTATACACTCGCTCCTGCACTGCTGTCCCGCATGGGACGTTGCCGCCCTGCTCTGTGTCATCCAGAGCGAGAAGATTGTCGCGCAATGGCTGACACTTGGGATGACTTTCCCCAAACATCTTCTCGTAGCCACAGAGCGCTTTTGAGTACCACGCTCTGGCCTCGTCCACACGGCCTAAGCAGTTAGATAGCGAGCCAAGGGCCCACATTGTGTTGAGAGCTGGGACATAAGTAGAGATCCTTTCCGGTACAACTGCCTTTTCGTATACCTGTTCTCTGTAGAGGTCGCCCAGGTTGTTGACTGTACCAAGTATCGACGTGTGATCTTCCCCTAGCGCCTTCTTGTAGCCTTGCAGCGCTTGCATGTACATGTTCTCTGCCTTGTCGAGCTTTCCCTGA